TAAAAGGCAATTACAAAACACTTTAAATTGTACCACTTGTTTGCCCATAAAAAAACAACAAATTTGGTGACTTTGAATCTCCTAACAAATTGTGGAACTAAAAGGATCAATGACTCATATATCCACCAACAATTTAATTCCAATGAGTGATGATCAATCATTACCAAATAAATAAAAATAAATAAATAAATAAATCCAATAATAGGAGAGGAATGGGATCTTAGAGATTTTTAATAATTGAATTTTGCAAGTGGATATTGTCACAAGAAATACCAAAAGCAAAATTTGGCATGGACTCTAATGGGAATCACATATAATTATATTGGAATTTTATTTTATATTTATAGCATCTTATCAAATAATTATTTGCTTTAATATGATGCAATATTATATGAAAAAAATAATATACTTTTTTCCTATAGAACTTATGCGATGGTCACTAAAAAATTTAAACTAAATTAAAATTAATAATAATCAAAACTTATAATTTTTTTCAGTCGCCTATGTGATATTCATTATCATTTTGATTCATTAGGTAAAATTTGTATAGAAATAATCATATACTCCCTCCGTCCCATATCTATATATCCGATAGAGTAGAAATAAAGATAAAAAGACTAAATTAACCCTATTAGTATGATATGATATAAAAGTAATAACATTTGTGTAATATATTGTAAATTGGAAGGGTATTTGTAATGTTATGTAGATAATACAATTACTAAAAAATGAAATAAATACTTTGTTATAGGACGGACCAAAATAGAAAAATGGATAGATGGTTAAGGGACGAAGGAAATATATTATATGTAATCATTGAAAAAGACCATATAAGTACTAAATTATGTATTGACATAATCACCTTTGAATTTGACATGGATTAACAGAGATTTGGCATAAATTTAATAAATATACCAAATTATTTTTAAATTAACTTTTGGTTTAATGCCATGTATAGTACACATACTTTGGTACTAAAGAGCATTTTATGGAACTAGATATTAGGGTTCTATTTACCCAACGCACTTTCATTTATTTGATATTATTTATTTTAAAAAAAATATCACATCAAATATATTGTTTCTCTCACAAAAATATCAAATTAAATACTAATTTTTTTATTTTTTTTTTAAATTTTAAATTTTCAAAAACCTGTTATCTAAACAAACCCTATATGTATTACTATTTTTATACTAATTTTATTAGAAATAATGGCCTACCAATTACCGTCTAACTATGTAAGTGTACCTCTAACAAGGGTGTGTTTATTTGGGGGATTGGATTTCCAATTAATTGTTATCTCATTTTTTTCCCTCAAAAATATCAAATCAAACACATATTTTTTATTTTTTATATTATACTAAAAATCAATTTTATATTCAAAATATCATATCAATACCTATTTATATCACATCGTACAACTATTCAAATTCAAAATTTTTACTATTCAAATCCCAACTCAAAATCCAAATCCCTAAACAAATACACCCTAAAAGTATATCTTTTGTACTCCCTCCTTACTATAAAATATGTTCATATTAATATAGATATGAATTTTTTTTTAAAAAAAATATAATTAGCAAATAATTTAAAAATATATTAATAAAAGTATAATTAATTATGTATTAATAAATTTAATTATAGGTTAAAATCAAAATAATTTAAAAATTAAATTTAAAATTAAAATATAATTAAAATATATATTAATTTTTTTTTACGAAAAATATGAAACAAATAATAATAAAAGTAAATAAAAATTCTATTTGTAACGAATAAAGTAATAAATTAAATGAATAGACATTCCATTAATATTATGCCCTCAATTTCACTAAACGTGTTCATTAGATACATGGATAAGTAATTAAAATTTATATCAATAAAAATAATTATTGTAAATAAAAATAATTATAAATTATAAAATTTAAAATATAATTAAAGTATATAATTATTTTTTAAAAAATTATGTAAGACATACATAAATAAAAAAAATAAAAAATAACACTCCATATTAAAAGAAAAAAAGTAATTAAAAAAAAAAAAAAAGGGTCTCGGGCGGTGGCTGGTCAACGGCTAACTGCCGCAGCACACCAATGCTGACGGCGATAGCATTACAAGACAAGTCGCTAGCCACCTTTACACGTGTGAATAGGTTTTTCTACACGTGTGAATAGTTGGACCCCACCGCCCACCACCCAGCCCACACGTGTGGACTCGCTGGCACTAGTGATAATTCGGCACTCGGATATTTATTAATCTTTTTCCGGCCGCTAAAATAGTTCATTTGGGGTTCAATATAAAGATTTAGGAAAAGAAATATTTTATTAAAAATTAATAAAAAATAATGTCTCAATTTTTTTTTAATAAAATTTATTAAATCAAAATATATTTAATATATATAAAATAATTTAATTAACTATATAACATTATATATAAGGTAGGTCCATTTAAATTATTTTATTTTTATCATTTTTATAAAAAAATAGATATTTTTTATCTTCATTTAAAATTCACATCTTTTATAAAATTAAATTACAGTAATTATAAATAAATAAATTATATATAAATTTTTATTTTCTACAAATTATATCCATATTGCATTTATTTTTTATTTCGATATAATTTATAAAGACCACGAACATGTGGTTCCAATTTTGAATGTTCATGAGGAGGAATTAAAGCAAAAATAATATAACTGAGAGAACCGAGAAGATTATAATTTAACGGTTTATTACCATATAAACATTCAAAAGAGGTACTGGTACGAAGGACGAAAGATGAGAGACGATTTATAATATATAAATCGGTAAATGTAACTTCTCATCAGAATCTATCAGAACAAGAAGCATCATTTGAGAGGTGTATGAACAATAATTAAGTAGAAAGAAAATTCATAGGATAGAATCCTTATTGTTGGCCCCAAAAAAAATCAAATCCTCGCATAAAAAAAAGTGTAAATTCCACAACACAGACGGGTTGTTCGCTAGAAGATTGAATTATGGATATATACATCGGTGATGATAAGAATATAAAGTACAAAATAATTGTTAATCCAGTTTGGTCATCAACGACTTATATTTGAGGGTTTCATCCCATACAGATTCCACTATCAAAACAAGTTGAAGCATGAGGTTCCATCGATACAATTAAAATCACAATTCTCGATAAATTACCACCCTATTTCTTGAAGATACCACATCCCTAATATATTATCCAATGAACTAGTGTCATATTCAGATTTTTCTATTGTCAAATCTCTTTCTATATCTTGTCTAACACTATATTTCACTCACCAAATATATCATCACCTAACAAATTCAATTATAATGGAATTTTTTTATCCATTATCTTTTTCTGCCTTCACAAAGTTTGTTACAATCAAATTTTATTATTTCCACACATAAATTGAAGAGACCAACGAACTTTTTTGATCAATTTAGTTGAATCTTAATATTCTAAAACTCCATTCGTTCCAATACAATAGTCTTGTTTATCATTTTTGTCTGTCCCAAAACAATAATATTATTTTCATAAATAATCATATCACTATAAAACTATCTCTACTTTTTCATTTTTATTACACAATTGCAACTACTTTTTACACTAATATACTCACAAAGGCAAAAAAAATTTTTATCTATATTTTTTACCAATTACCAAATAATATCAATATTCCTTAAATTTCGTGTCCAACCCATTTAAGACTATAGTTTTGGGCCACCTTTGTTTGGTTGAGCTCAAAACAAATTAGATTTTGTCTGTCTACGCATTGTTCAGTCCACCTACAAGCAATATCAACCAAAATTTAAATATAAATACAATTCAATTTCAATACTTATACTTAAGCCCATTACTAATATAAAAAGGCCTGCATGGAATACAATAACTTAGTCATAAGATCTAGTATAAATATAGATCGTATTTTTTTTAGTATTAATAATTTTTATTTTTTATTTTTTTATTCGAACATATGTCCATTATTTTATTTTTGTCGTTTTTTTAATTATACCAGACAAAAAATAAGTAAATTAATGTATTTTTAAATTTACTTATTCTATAAAATTATATTCTTTGTAAAATAATATTCAATTTTATATAAATTTTGAAATAACGGTAAATTTATTTTATATATCATATTAAAAACGAAATATTAATAAAATTAAATTTCTTCCCATCTTAATTTTCACCCAAAATTCAAACCAACAACCTAACAAAAAACGTGCAGCAAATGGTTACGAGTATTTGCATAAATTTATTACATTTTTGTTCTCAATTCATTTGTTATTGTTTTATTTGGAAATATTTCAATTTTTATTTTTTTTATTTTTACAAATTTCTTCACTTTATGTTATTTATTTATCTTTTAGTTTTTATCAATATAGTTTTTAAAACCTTTATAAAAAATAAAAAACTATTAAAATGATATCACCTAGAAAATCGAACAGTCATCATATGATTTTATTTTATTTTTTTCTTATATCTGACTTTTCAATACAATTTTACTAAATTATAGAACATTTAAATATGTAATATTACGCCAGTGTAAACAAATAAGTTCACAACTTTTAATTAAGTACGAATTTTATTATATATTTTTTTGATTATTTTTTGTATTTTATAGCAATAAAATAAAATAAAATAATTTATTTTTTTGCTACCGAAAAAAAAAAAAAAACTCATACTTATTATTACTATTATATAAATATATAATTTTGATTTAAATGAATTTGAATCCAGACAGTTTATATAGAATTTTGAATTATTATTGTTATTCAGTTATAAGGAATTATCGAGTATGGCGCGATGATTCTAATTTCTATCTAGAAGCTTCCAAAGATCAATGATTGGGCCTAACGTACGTACGGAATTTGTGGGTTTGTTTGAACACTTCTCTCTTACATCCGTCGGATATAATTTGATCGGACGGTCCCACAAAAACCCTAATCATACACATATCTTAGACTGCCGAGCACGTATAAATACCTCCTACTATTTGTTTATCTCTATTTCCTTCACGCTGCACAGATCACGTTTCCCCTTCACTCTGACGTACGCAAAGGTCGGTTCTCTCTCTCCTCTCGCTCTCTCGTTCTGGAATGAATTTGTGTTCGTGCTTGAAATTTTTGATTTGTTAATGTAAACGTATGCGATTGTCTGTGTGGATGTGAGTGTTTAGTCTGAGGATCGGGTTTCGATTTGTTTTTATTGATCATTGGTTATATTGTCGTTTATGAATTTATGGTTGCATGTTTGGGCAGTGATGCTTCGCGACGTTAAATATCTGAACGGATTTGATGCTGTTTGAGTCGGTGAAATTATGTCGTGATTACTGGATTTATTTAGTAGATCGTTTTGCATTTAATTTAGTTTTTATCAAATAGATGATTGTACAGATCTATGTTCTTTCGTTTAGTGGATCTTTGCCTGTTATGTGAAATTAATTGGTTACTTGTATTTTAAAGAAAACATCCTACTGATGATTACGACGGTATGAACTTTATTATATTTAGGACCGGCCTTCTGATTTGCTTATATTTACGTTTGTATTGTGAATTTATTTTGATTGTCGGTATCGTTTTTTGTGCAACGTCGCCAGACAATGATTGTTTTATTGCTAGATTTTGTTGAACATATACAATATAGAGAGATATGGTGGAATGAACTGTTTGTGTTGAAAGCAACTTCATGTTCTTATCACTTTTTCCCCTCTTTATTCAATTTTTTTGGACTGCTATAAATTTCTCACTTGTGTGTTGGTGCTCTCAGTTTGAGTCTTCGTGATGCTTGTATGTATGGTATGAATTTATTATATATTCTAACAGAGTTTGTGTCATGTTCTGATTTTGCAGTTTTACGAAGTTAATTCATCATGGGTAAAGAGAAGAGTCACATAAACATTGTGGTTATCGGCCATGTCGACTCTGGAAAGTCGACCACAACTGGACACCTGATTTACAAGCTTGGAGGTATCGACAAGCGTGTGATCGAAAGGTTCGAGAAAGAGGCAGCTGAAATGAACAAGAGGTCGTTCAAGTACGCCTGGGTGCTCGACAAGCTCAAGGCCGAGCGCGAGCGTGGTATCACCATTGACATTGCCTTGTGGAAATTCGAGACCACAAAGTACTACTGCACTGTCATTGACGCTCCAGGACACAGAGATTTCATCAAGAACATGATCACCGGAACTTCACAGGCCGACTGCGCCGTCCTCATCATCGACTCCACCACCGGTGGTTTCGAAGCCGGCATATCAAAGGACGGCCAGACGCGTGAGCACGCGCTGCTTGCTTTCACTCTCGGCGTAAAGCAAATGATCTGTTGCTGCAATAAGGTAAACAAAAACAACCGATGAAATTAATTCCTCTGTAACCGAATCCAACTTATCAATGCTAACAAAAACTACTTCCCACGCAGATGGATGCCACCACGCCAAAATACTCCAAAGCAAGGTACGATGAAATCGTCAAGGAAGTCTCCTCCTACCTCAAGAAGGTCGGATACAACCCAGACAAAATCCCCTTCGTCCCCATCTCCGGTTTCGAAGGCGACAACATGATCGAAAGATCCACCAACCTCGATTGGTACAAAGGCCCGACTCTCCTCGAAGCTCTCGACCAAATCCAGGAGCCAAAAAGGCCCTCAGACAAGCCCCTCCGCCTCCCCCTCCAAGACGTGTACAAAATCGGCGGCATCGGTACCGTCCCCGTCGGCCGTGTCGAAACCGGCACGCTCAAGCCAGGCATGTTGGTCACCTTCGGCCCGACCGGATTAACCACCGAAGTCAAGTCCGTCGAAATGCACCACGAAGCCCTCCAGGAGGCCCTCCCCGGCGACAACGTCGGATTCAACGTGAAAAACGTTGCAGTGAAGGATCTCAAGCGTGGGTACGTGGCGTCGAACTCGAAAGACGACCCTGCGAAGGAGGCTGCGAACTTCACGTCGCAGGTGATCATCATGAACCACCCTGGGCAGATCGGGAACGGGTACGCCCCGGTCCTGGACTGCCACACCTCCCACATTGCTGTGAAATTTGCAGAACTGGTGACGAAGATCGACAGGCGGTCGGGTAAGGAGCTGGAGAAGGAGCCCAAGTTCTTGAAGAATGGAGATGCAGGGTACATAAAGATGGTTCCGACGAAGCCGATGGTGGTGGAGACGTTCTCGGAGTACCCGCCGCTGGGGCGGTTCGCGGTGAGGGACATGAGGCAGACGGTGGCGGTGGGGGTGATCAAGAGTGTGGAGAAGAAAGAGCCGTCGGGGGCTAAGGTGACCAAGGCTGCGGCCAAGAAGGGCGCCAAGTGAATGGTGCAGGAGCAGGAGCAGGTTAGAGTTATTATTATTAATGGGTTTGATTTGAATAATAATAATAGTAATAATAATAGTGAAGGTAATAATAAGAATGGAAGAAGTAAGGTTTATTTAGAGTTATGTTTTTTAATGGTGGGTAGCAGTAGCAGTAGCAGTAGGAGGTGGTGCCGCCTCCGTCTCCGCCTCCTTGCGGTGGTCCTCCAGTCGCAAAACTGGGTTCTGGACCGGCGGTGGCGACGCTGCTTTTCGACCTTTGTTTCGTGGTGCGTCTTCTCACTTCAGTTTTGTCAATTTTCACATTATTATTGTTATTAGACCTTGTTTTTAATTTTATTACTATTATTATTTTTGTCCAAATTATTTTTTCTTTTCCTTATTATTATGGTGCTCCTTCTTTTTATTATTATTTTTTTTATTCTTGATATGCTTCTAAATGTAGATGCATTTGGGATCAACTAAAAAGTACTCCTATTTCGCAACTATGGGGTGGAGCAAAGACTGAATCTAATAATTATTATTATTATTATTTTTTAAAAAAACGAATGTGTTAGTTTTTATTCTTCTAATCAAACTAATGAAGTATGGGTCTCATGCAATAAGCTAATTATTATATTAATTATCATTGAAGAAGACAAGTGGATATGTCTCCGGTGTTTGATCAAATAAGTACGAATTGAGATGAAGTTTAATATTTTTTCTATCTAGTAATTTTTGTATTGAAAATAGTTCAATTGTCGAACTCACTATATCAATTGTTTTTTTTTTTTTTTCTTAAAAAAGAAGAAATTAAATATAACGAATGATCAATTGAGTATATATATATTATGTGTGTATGTATATATGTATAGTAAATATGGACTGGTAAGTTTGGGAAGTATTATGAAAACAAATTACGTTGAACCTTTGTACTATAATCCGAAGCAGTATATATTGAATTATACAGGAAAATATAGAGTAAAAATCATTTTTGGTCCTATTCAATATCATAATTATCAATTTTGGTCTCATTAAAAAAAATTTATCAATTTTGGTCCCACTCAAATGAAAATTTATTAATTTTAGTCCCAAAATGGTGACTGGGATTGAACGCGGCCGAATGACTGAGAAGGTGATAAATTTTCATTTGAGTGAAACCAAAATTGATAATTTCATCTGAGTGAAACCAAAATTGATAATTATGATATTGAATGAGACAAAAATAATTTTTGCTCTAAAATATATATTGAACGTTGTGTTTATTTTAAATAGAATCTCACATAATCTAAAATTTAACTCTTAACAAAACCAAACAAATCCTAATACTTTTCATAAAATGCTTTAGCTGTATGTTTATTTTTTCATTTACATTTTTTTTATAACAAAAAAATTATATATTTAATAATTTATATCTTTCAAATTTATACTCCATTTATTTACAAATGTAAAAAAATTTATTTATCTTATTATCTCACTTATTGTTTTCAATATTAAATATTTTTTTAATATAAATTATTGTTAAATATGATTAATAATAATAATAATAATAATAATAATAACAACTACCAAAAAAATAATTAATTAATAATTAATAATAATAACCACCCAAAATAAAAATTAATCCGAATCACTCTAAACCCTATAAACAGAGAAAAACCTTACACTCGTTAATTTGGGCTCTCTTTAGAGGAGACTTAATTTCTGATAAAATTTTGAATATTCAATAAGAGGCTATTGCATTTTTAAAAATTACTATTTAATTTGATGTTAATTTTTTTTGAAATAACTAGAGATGAACAATGATACAAAAAATGTATGTAAATAGAAATTTATTTTTCCAAAATCATTTTCACTGTAAACACAATAATTACCAAAAGAAAACTCATCAGTTGACTGAATTGATTTAGCAATGTAGTAGAGTATAATATATATATATATATCTATATTATTTCATTATCAAGAGATGTTCTAAGAAAATGACCATATTTCTAAGAACCAAAATGAACTCTGCAAAACCCCCTTTGGTAAAAACATGAATAGAATAGAATAGAATTAGGTAGCAACAATCACAGCAAAAGTCCTAATAAGACAGACATATATTTGCAGAAACAATTTTAATCTCCTCAAAAGTGCACATCTAAAAACTCAAGAAACTAAAATATGCCCAACAATATGTTACAACAAGGAAAGCAAGTTATCTCATCTTCTCTTAAAAAATCTAAGGTACCCAAATAATGGTTCAAAAAAACACTTACTTGTCCCTGTATATGCCGGCTTCGTTTTCGCCCGAAAGTTCGTCCGAATAAATAGCTGCATCTGAACTCCCATGTTCGTTAATGGACATTGCACTGCTGCAATAGAGGATGACCGTAGTCGATATACTTATCCCAGAGTGGTTTGTACTTCTCCATCCCGATTTTCAGCCACGGTTTAGAGTTTCCATTGAAGTGCAGAACAGCGCCCTTTTCGATCAACTGAGAATCGACGTTAGTGTAGCCCAAACCGAGCACGTGCCACGACGGATTCAAAGGCTCCGTCAATCCGTAAAACGTTAACAATCCCGGCGGGAGGGTCCCGAGTTTCCACAACGTCCTGTCGACATTTTTTTCTTGCCAGTAATGGTAGATGCCCGTCACATTTCTCCGTCGCCATTCAACCAGGTCGAAGACGTTCATTCCGAACGCCCATCCGCAAGCATCGGGATCGAAATGCTCGCGGATGAGCGGGTGGGAGTAGTTCAAGTACTTGTGGTATCGGTGGAACGTTTCCATGCAAGTCTCGACTGCACCGTTGACATTTCCATTCAGATCTATGGAGAACAGAGCTGAGAGATCCTTCTGCACTACGACGTCATCGTCGAGGAACACGACCTTCTTCAGCGCAGGGAAGACTTCGGGAATGTAGAACCTGAGGTGGTTAAGCATGGAGAGATACTTGGGGTTCCTAAACTTTATCGGGGTGCGGCTATCGCCGCCGCTGCCGGAGAAGTAGTAGCTTTGGGTGTCCGAGTCTTGAAGCTGTTTAAGAACAGGAACGTACGAGGCGTTCAACCAGCTGAAGTCTTCGATCTTTTGGACATCGACCGTCACACCGCCGAAACTATTCATCGCAAACCAAGCCTTCATTGCGGCATAATTCACTTCGTCAGTTACCAGATGGAAAACCACCTTATCTGGGCTATCAGAATTCGTGGCAGTCGAATTCACGACAACCGAAGTTGCGAGGATGTTGTCCGAGAAGACGCAGAAATGATATAAACTGTTGTCTCTGAGCTTGGCGGCGGTCTGACTGCCGTTCTCCTTGAGTGTCTCCTGCAAACTTGGATTCTTAAACCACTCGATCGTCAACCACACGCCGAGGCAATACAAACTCTTTGGAACTTCTTCGGCAGCGATTTGTCCATACTTTGAACTCTTCTCATTGATGGAGCTCATTTGCTCTTCAATCCCCTGGATCTTGGCCTTGAGTCGCATGATCATGGTGGCACTGTCGTAATGGAGTTGCTGAGCCTGGAATAGTAGAAGGGCCATGTCTCGGATAGCCGTTTCTGATTCACTGGTCGTCAAAGGAGTTCTTCTTAAAGCAGCATTCGAGAGAAGGATCTGTGAGTTACGAATTTGTGCACTAAGTTCCCAGGCAAATTGAAGATTGCCACTCTCTTTTGCAATAACGAGAAATGCCTTCGCGAGAGAGATTTGGTCATTCAGTTGTCTCGTCGCCGAATCAGGAATCAGCATTTCTTCAGTGATGTTAAGGCTTTCGATAAGTCTGTCCTGCTTAGCAGATGTCTGCATTACATGAATCAAATGATAAACTTCCTACTGCCATAATAATTTCAGAGGCTAAGATGAAGAAATGAAAAGCAAAAACTAACAGAGCAGTAAAAGGGCAATAAGAACAATATGCAATGTGATAGATCTTTTCTTTTCAAAAAATCTTTTGACTACTGGATAATGGAGCAGAGATTCTCCTATTTTCCGGCATTCTTTAACTGATATTTAAGGCATCGTATCTAAATAGTGGTCAAAAGTGTGAACCTTATGGCTTAATCACACATAGTTTCGAATCCAAAAATCTGTAAGCCAGTGTTTAGCAGTTACACGAATTGATACACAAAAGGAAGTGTAGAACTGATTGCCAAAAACTTTGATAATAAATAGGAAAAATCAAAATTTTTTGAGATGTTGTATATTGCATAGCAATTTAGCAACAGAATAAGACAATCTCAAGACATGGAGCTTAATGCAGATGTTGGTTTCTCATGGGAAACAGACACATGATTTAATATGCCTAATTTGAACATCGAGGCAGCTGAAAATGGTCATGAGAATGCGCCTGTTCAAGATAAATTAATGAATAGTTTATAGAGCAATTTAGGTGTTTAAATGTCCTTCCATTCAGATACCACAAATAACTACATATATAGAAATTCTGTATATTATGTTTCTCCTTTAGTTAAAATACTTCTTCTCATCAGAGCTTTCTAGAACAAATATTGAATTACTTAAAGCCAAATGCTTAATCTGAATTAATCCATTACCTAAATTACATAGAATAGAAGAACTAGATGACCCAACAGTGATTATATGATCAACAAAAGATGGTTCACAATGAATCATTCCTTCTTAAAAATGATATCATAATCAGACGTTAAAAATCTGCATGTGGCAGTTCAACTTAAATCTGACCAAAAGCATGCTCTTCTGTTTTGAAGCTGCAGGTTCATCGTATAAATTTTGTTACACTACTGTTAACGAATTCTAGTTAATCGTTTGGCAAATAATAGATTAATGTCACACCCTTTCAGAAACCACAACTGCATCATTCGAAATTAATGAGGGAAAATCAAATACTAGCGGTCATTTAACTTAATCAAAATACGGCTACTTCTGAACCAAAAACCAAAGGCTACTTTAACAAAAGTTGACATTCAAATTAATTTCCTAAAACCTAAATCAAACAATTTCTCCGTCTGTGCCAGTTCTCAATCAGAGATTCTACTTTCCTCACTCCCTATTAAAGCAAATTCACTCGGTAGAAGCCAAGAAAAGGCATAGATCCAACATCAAACCCTTTAACACCTTCAAAACTAGCACGAAGATACATCAAAACATTAACTTCCTTATTCAAGATACACACTTGAAAACTAATAATCATCACTAACCTAATTTCACTAAAATTCCCCATACAGAGTCGCCTATTTTCTAACACTCCAAGAGATCTTCTTCCACATATCAGACTCAAAACATATCATCCTAAATGTCTAATCGTTTCGAATCCCCCAATGCATTATACAGTCAGTAGCAATAAGGAGAAGCTCAACAACATTGGATCCAGTCCCACAACCTCAATCAGGAAAATTACAATAGGTAAACACTGCATCAAGTTAAAGCGCAAATCAAGAATATATCTTATCTGCCCAAATCTACCCAGCTAATACGTTATCCTTCTTTTAGTTTACTCGATGCATAATGCCATAGCTCATACAAGAGAAGATTTCAATGACTTCAGACTCAATAATAAAAGCTTATCAAATCTTTATTAGCTAATGCACATTTCCCCCATAATCACCCTACTTATTGCCAAAAACTGCTCGACAAATTCCTAAGCAAAGCGCAGACAAAAAGGTAAGCAAGTGAAAAATCATTTACACAAAACAATTAATTTTCAGGGACCAGATCCAAAATTATTACCTTGACAAAGTCCGATCTTGAAGCAGGATGCTGATTCTCGCGGCTCAGGAGCACAATGAAGAGCAGAATCACTAAGCCGCAAAGCGTCAACCAGAAAACGTTCGGAATTCGCCGCCTCGCCGGCCGCCGGAAGTCCGATCCTCGACGCCTCATTTACTCCGAATTTGAAAAACCAAAAAGAAAAGTAGGAATCGCAATTCACATATACCGAATCAAAGAATCGAGTCTCCAGCTGGGGTTTTCTCAGGTTTTAGGTATATGGAAAACGCGGGACAGTGCGGTAGGGCTGCGCAAGAGATCTGCAGCGGTTCGAGCTTGGGGGAAATCGGACCGACAGGAGCTGGCAGAAACAATCTGGATTAGAGTGGAGAAAAAGAAAGAGAAGGAAGGTGAGGATCAGAATGCTCCCAGACTCCCAGTAACGGTCTGATTAACCCACATGGGATTGCGACGGAGTGGACGCCATTTTCACCATTTTCACGTGTGCTTTTGCTGCTTCATTCTCGACAATTGCAAATTCGTGAAATTTTTTACTCCATCCTTCCTTCCTACAGTTTTATTTATTTATTCTACAAAAATTTATTAAAATCGTAACAAAATGATAAATTTATACTTTTTCTTTTACCACTATTTATCATCATCATTATTATTATTATTAATACAAACCCTCAAACAAATGCAATATATATATAAAAAAATGCATATTATTAATAATATGCAAAATCATTTGATGCCCGTATTTTAAAAACTTAATGTTTAACTCTCGATTGTCTTTATTTAACCCACACCCACACCCACACCCACACGCACACAAACTAATGATTTCATAATCTCCATTTTTTCTCCTATATTTAGCTAAAGAGACTTTAAAATAGAAATCGGGTTAAACATCCTTAAACAAGAGCAACCTAAGTTAGACACGAAGTTTATAAAATAATATTTTCTCCGTCCATAAATTAATGTCCTACTTTCCTATTTTTGAGTGCAACAATTATTATTTTATTTCATTTTTTTTAAACACAAATTTTATATTTTTATATTTCATTCATTTATTATTTTTAATTTCTATCATACAATTAAAAATAATTTTGTCAATTCATAAAAAAAATCCCCTAAAATTATGAAATTATGAAAATACTGAGATTTGAAGTACACAAGTGAATTTTGTTAAATTTAATCTAAATATTATTGCATTTATATATATTTACATATACTTATTTACATCAATACTCTAAAATTAAATATATATTTTTACTAAATAAAAATTATTATATCCAAGGTATAAATAACAGTTTGTTTTTTCAATTAAATTTTTTTAGCATATTTTTAAAAAAAATAATATGTTATATATATTTATTATTTTTATATTATATACATAATTTTATATTTTATATAAAAAAAAATTCAAATCAAAATATAAAAGCAAGCCATCCTTTATTTGTATGAGTACAATATGAGATTAATTATAAATTAACCATAAATGTGCTTATTATTTTACCTTTAATAATTTCCTATAATATTATTATTTGGTTGAGATTCACTTCAACAGTCATCAGTCTCAGAGGAGGAAAGCTCAAAACATCAGCGAGCTATGGAAGAAGAATCGATCACCGCAATGAACCAGCAGCAACGATCACATCTCCTCCACGCTTCATCGCGCTTCTCCCCTCCTCTAGGTATCACATTCCTAATGTTGTCTTTTATTCCTCTCCCTCTCTCTATTCAGATCCTGATCTAATTCCAAGTTGTCCCCAGGCTTGAAATTCTCCTACGGCACCGCCGGGTTCAGAGCCGATGCCTCGCTGCTGGAGTCCACAGTCTTCCGCATGGGAATATTGGCTGCACTTAGGTCCGTTCAGACCGGTTCCACGATCGGCCTCATGATCACCGCATCCCACAATAAGGAATCCGATAATGGGGTCAAAGTCGCGGATCCTTCCGGTGGCATGCTCTCCCAGAGCTGGGAGCCCTTTGCAGACGCCCTTTCAAATGCTCCCGACGCGCAGTCCCTTGTCCAGGTACACATGGCGAGGAACTCATCTTACATAATGGAAATTGCCTTGTGCACAGATTGGTCGTTTGTGTTTGTTTTGTGCTGGATAACGATTTTGTTGCTATTTTGGAGCAGTTGATAGAATTTTTCGTGAGGAAGGAAAGCATTTCACTCGATGGAGTTTGTAAGGCGGAGGTTCTGTTGGGAAGAGACACTAGGTCTAGTGGAGTTTCTCTTTTGGAAGCGGCCAAAGAAGTATTGTATTCCTTTGCTTTCTTCTGATTCATATATTCTTGTTTTTATGGTGTGCACATCATCTGATTGCCTGTTATAATCTGAATTGTTCGAAATCTATTTTGGAGTTCTGCAATTGTATTTTATCATTTACTTGTTTGTTTGTACATTTAGAATGTGAAAATTTTGTTCCCAGGAGTTCATAAGCCGTTTTCTATTGTATTTGATCGATTAAGAGGTATTCTGTATAGAAAAACGCCATGCTTATGCTGGTTAACCTGTTAGGGAATAGCTTCGATCATGGGAGCCAAGGCCACAGATATGGGAGTAGTGACCACTCCTCAACTGCACTGGATGGTTCGTGCCAAAAATAAAGGAATTGAAGCATCGGAATACAATTATTATGAGCAACTTTTGACATCTTTTAGGTTAGGTTAGATATTTATCAAAAGTCAGTCCCTAAACTTGCACAGCATTTCGGCTACATTAAACTTATGAGGAAGTTTTTGTGAAACATTTCAGGTGCTTGTTGGATTATATTCCTGAAGGAAATAAAAGCAAGAATGCAGGGGGCAAAGTGGCGGTTGATGGAGCTGATGGTGTGGGTGGACAAAAGCTTGAAAAATTGACAAGCAAGTTGAATAATTTAACAATTAATGTTCGTAACTGTGGTGATGGTGTACTCAATGAAGGTGTGGGTGCTGATTATGTTCAGAAAGAGAAGGTGGTTCCACGAGGTTTTGGTCCTGCTGATGCAGGCATAAGGTATTCAGTATATGTCCGGTTTTTAGTTCCCCTGTGTAAGTAGGTATCTTGTTAATGCTTTGCAAGAATTGGTCACTTTTAAGATCACTCACTCAAATCTGGCCAAAGAGTGATTTGGCATATTTATGTTTTAATATAGTTGGAGATCACGTACTATTTCATCTATCACGTTGCCTTCATCTTCGTCTATCTGCCATACCAACCTAATCCAATGCTGAGTCTGTACTGTAGAGGCTTCTGGATCTCCTGATTTCTTGTATTGACTTTGATCTTATAGAAAAACCTATGGAGGGTTCCGTATATGATAATCTCTTACTCTGACTTTGATCTTGTAAATGGTGGGTTTTTATATATATGATAATCTCCCAATTATGACTCTAACTCTGACCCTAAACTTAGTGGATGGTCCTACTAGTGATAATCAAGTTGCTAATGTCATTATTTACTGTAACTTTTTTTTTGTTTGTTTTTTATTTTTTAAGGACGACTTATAAATAGTTGATGATTGATGGGGATTAGAAAATTTCAACTCTTACTGTTGTAATATTTCAGGTGTGTCAGTTTGGATGGAGATGCTGATCGGCTTGTATACTTCTGTGTTTCGTCAAATAGTAACAACATCGAGCTTGTTGATGGTGACAAGATATTGTCCTTGTTTGCTCTATATCTGAAGGAGCAATTAGGTTTACTTGTGGGACCTCAAAATGAGAAATCAAATAGCAGTTATCAACCCCATCTTGGTGTAGTACAGACAGCTTATGCTAATGGTGCATCCACTGATTACCTGAAAAAGTTGGGTCTAGAAGTTGTGTTGACTCCAACAGGTGTCAAATACCTCCATGAAAAAGCTGCTGAGTATGATATTGGCATCTATTTTGAGGCAAATGGACATGGAACAATTTTGTTTTCAGATAGTTTCCTTTCCTGGTTGGAGACTAGGAATAAAGATCTTTCATCAACATCAAAAGGTTTATTGATGTCTATGTTTTTATTGTTATTTATTTATTCGTGATTGAATTTCTTTCAGTGAAATAACCTTTACTCATGATTATTTCCAGGTTCAGATCAACACAAGGCCACTGTGAGACTATTAGCTACCAGTAAATTGATTAACCAGGCTGTTGGTGATGCATTAAGCGGGTTCCTTCTAGTGGAGGCTATCTTGCAACATATGGGATGGACATTCCAAAAATGGATTGAACTGTATCATGACTTACCTAGCAAACAACTTAAGGTCAATCTATACTTGAATAATCAATTCTTGGTTCTCAGGATTTGTTCAAATGATATATGGATTATTATTATTATATTTTTCAGTCCTGGATTGCTTTTGCTGTTATATGAGCTTTTAGAAATTTGAGTCATTTTGTTTACTTTATTGACCATTTTATAAATCGAAGCTGTAATTTTGTATATGTTTGTAATCTTCATAGAAAATTATCATCGTAAAATTTCCAAACTTCTATATGTATATTTTTGTTACTTTACATTCCTGTCACATATAGTATGCCACCTTCCTATCTGTTTGGAAGTATTTTTAATCTCAAAAGTATTACTTTACATTCTTGTTCCCTTTTCAGGTAAAGGTTGCCGACAGAACTGCCATCAGTACTGCAAATGCAGAGACTGTAGTGGTAAACCCTGTGGGTCTACAAGAAGCCATTGATTCTGAAATAGGTATGCCTCTCTTGCCATGTGTGCTGACTTCCATTACCAGCGACTTTGTGGTTACACATATTTGTATATGTTTAGTTAGACTTACACCAAGGATGATTAATGAAGTTTATTCAAAAGAAAGAACAAGCCCTTGAAATTGCAACATGATTTTGGAGCTTTTATTCTTGTACATCTTATTAAAATTAGCTATGAGTATGTGGACTTTATCGATGTTTTTGACGGGAATATGTCACCTATATTACTGAACAAATCATTTTGAAATATGTAATGTTGTGGCTGTAGATGACATACCACCTATATGCATGCCTGTATGTATGTATGTATAAATATACCTTACTAACTATGTTTGGCTGTAGGACATGGATTTTTACATTAAGAAAATAATTTCCTTGTAAGTTGTTTTCCCATAATTCTTCAAAAGATCCATGTTTACACTCTAAAAGTCAATATTACTATCTATGGGCAATTTAGCAAGCTAGGAAGAAAGTAAATCAGTATCTACTGAAGATATTTCTGACAAAGTGAGTCCTAACTTTTGTCGAGCAATTTCACTAGCTTATAACACAGAGAGAGTTCAATTGCTTTGAATATGTCTTTCAGTTCCTCACAATAATTTCTTACATCCATGTTTGACAACAAATCAATAGTGTCCCTTGCTCTTCTTAATGGCATATCACATATTCTGGTGGTTGCACCACGAGCAATATTTTGCTCTTCATTTCCATAAATTAAGTTTCGTTTTACATCATTGACTTGAAAAGAGAAGTGTAAAGTCAAGTTGGGACAAGCTATGGAGATAAAATATCGAACTAATCATTAAAATAAATTAGTGTAATCCCTTTTCAGCAGGTAAGAGAGCTTTGTATCCTTTCATAGCATCATTACCTTGATATTAAAAGATGGCTACCCATTTCTTAACATTTGCCAGGCTTTAAAATAAAGTTTCTAGTGCAAAGAGAAACAAGACAATACACATTGATTTGTCATGATGTAGGATGTCATAATGCCACCTGATGAAAGTGTAGAATAAAATGTGTTTGCATCACTAGAAATCTGAGAAATCCCTTTAGGATCAGCTATGAAAGAAAAGTAACAATACCTAGGAAAAAAAAAATTAAACTGGGTTAAATATGATGATAACGGATAAATTAATGGAGATGAAGTTAGAAATTAACGGAGGAGCCATAGTAGAGCAGTGAAGAGAAATGGTAATTAGTTTTATATGCCTGATTATATGCACAATTACTTTTTATGCATTATCTTCAATGAATGGCAACCATTTCTGTCAATAGACATTTTACTAACTGCATTCCCACATCATTGCTGGTGTTCATATGCTGTTCTATTTATATATTGTGTTCAAATGTTGATAAGGAAAAAATTCTCTTCTTACTCTTGTCAGCTAAATATTCCCATGGGAGGTGTTTTGTACGGCCTTCAGGAACAGAGGATGTCGTAAGAGTATATGCTGAAGCATCGACGCAAGAAGCTGCAGACAATCTAGCTCATTCCGTGGTCAAGCTTGTTGATCAGTATCTCGGCGCTTCCAACAGCTGATGCATCGATCCGTGCCTTAGGATACAGATTTCCTGCTGTTTTGAGGTAGGCAAGAAATTCTTTATTTCCTTAAGTCTTCAGAACTCAGAAATTTAAATTTTGACATTGTTCCATGGTGAGTTTATCTGGAAAAATGATCACATAATGCTTACTGTCTGTGTATGACATTTATGTCATTTTTCATTTGATGGATAAAACAATATCCATTTAAATTTATTTCATATGGTTAAATTTAGGTAATGTTTGAATGCTTAATATTTGGATGTTAAGCTTCTATTATACTTATTTTTGTAATTCTATCCTCATTGATTTTGGCATTCTATCTAATTAATGTCTCAAAAATATTAAATTTTTTTATAATTAAATTTATGTGATAAATATGAACATTGGCACTGCTGTTCTTGTCTGCTCATTTCACTTTCATTCTTGTTATGGTTACGTGTCTTTTTCATCTTTTGTAATGTGTGTCTATGCTATGCCTATCACAAATTAATGAACTTTTATTTTATTTCATTTCATTTCATTTCATTTTACAGGAGTGCTTGCCTTCAATGCTGCCATTGAATTCAGGCAATATATTTTTCTAACATCGAAAAATGAAGAAACCACAGGTTTGACTAGTTGTGATAAGGTGGGAATTAATAATTTGAGAGAGTGAATGTGTCGGCAGGCAGACAAATTGTAACGATCATATGTATTGATTGAATGTTTAGTGTCAAAAATTGATGTTGTAGGTGGAATGTTAATTTTTGTTACTGTTGGATCAATCATTCAAACCAAGTCAGATCTTTGTATGTATCCTTCTCAACTACTCGCTCCGTCCTATATAATTTGTTCCTATTTTATATTTTCGTTCGTCCAAGTAATTTGTCCTTTTTATTTTTGAAAATATAATTATACACTTTTAATCGTATTTTAAATTTTAAATTTTATAATTTTTTTAATTTTAATTAAATTATTTACTTATCTTAATTTTAATTTATAATACGGAGGGAGTACAATACAATGGCATTGCAATTAATTCACACGCACTCGCACTGACACTCAGTCACTGACGATGGAGCTTATTAAATAGTACTTCCTTTTTCGTGTGTGTTTGTAAGAAGAATTGGATTTTAAATTTACTATTTATGCTTTTTTTTTTTCAAAAATATCAAATTAAATATTTATTTTTTATTTTTTATATTATACTAAAAATCAATTTTATATTCAAAACATCACGTAACTTCTATTTATATCACAATTATACAACTATTCATATTCAAAATTATTACTATTCAAATCTCAATTTAAAATCCAAACCTCCAAACAAACATAAATCTATTTTTATATTATTTTTTTTCAACCAAATTCTTTTTTGTTTCATTTTTTCAGTAACAAGATACTAATTTTTCTTTTATCTTTTCTTCACAAAAATAAAAAATAAAAAAACATTATTACTTGTTTTTCTTAAAATTCAGCACACAATTGGATGACCAAGAGTATCAAGTAATACCTATCAATGATACAAATACAAATGACATATACTACCCCCTTTCACACCATTGCAATTGGCTTTTTATATAATAATTAATATTTAAATATTAACGCACAAAATACAATTATAATTTTATCTTCCTATTATTAACCATCCTTTTTAATTGTTATATCTGATAATATTCCATTAAAAATTAATTTATATACAACAAAAACTAAAATATATTTACACACAATATATATATATTTATATCAAATGTATTTTATTAAAAAATTAAAACATTTTATTATTAAATATATTAAATTTATTCAATCACCATCTATCATGATCTATATTTTCTTCTAATTTTTTTCAACAAAATTTATTAAAAGATGCTTTATATGATTATATAAAAATCACATTCAATTAGTATATTAAATATAAAATAAACAAAACACAAATATATATATATATATATATAAAAACCCAAGTGTGATCCAAACAAACACAGAAGAGTAATAAAAAAACTGAGCATGACTCTTATTATGGCTATGGCTGTGGGTGTCGTCGGTGCTATTATGCTCTCACACTCTCACTGATATTATATATATATCTGCGTGTGGAGTCCACTGCGGTCACACACCACTGCATCCTTTATTTTTCGTCTGTTCCCACGCCTTTTCTTCTCTGCAATCGCACTAACAGATTCAGATTGAGAGAGAGAGAATACTGTTCGAATCGACGCACAAAAACGGGATCTTAATTTGTGTCTATTTGGAGGCGCCTTCAATTTCGCTGTTGGAGTGAGTTCGTTTTTTCGAAGGATCGGCTGCGGGGTCTCAGCAGGTAATGACAATGCTTCTTTGTTCTGTTATGTTCTGTTCCGAGTGGAAAGGAACTTTAATTATTCTTAAGAACTTTTCCATTTTTTACTGCTGTTTGTTGTGTTGCTGAGTACTTCAGTTCCATGATTTTTGGATTTTCCCCTTCTGATTTGCACCGGATCTGTATTGAATCTACGATTTTAGGATTTCGAAATTGGTTCTTTCTACTGTTTACTGAGGTTTTGGATTTTTTTTTTTTTTTGAGTAACTGCTGCTGGAGGTGTTTTGTTTGGAGATTCTTTGAACTTCTTATGAGAGGTTGTGTTGTTTTGTGTAAACATTCTCCATTGAAATTAGCCTATCGTATATACGTAATTTGGTTGTGCAAACATTTTTGCATAATAGGGAGCTTGTGAATGCTGCACTGAGCTCAGATGGCGTCGAAGCTTCACTCTCCAAGCAGCAGAGGGCGCAGTAGACTGTCCATATTCGCTGTGATCGCCCTCTGCTGCTTTTTCTACTTGTTAGGAGTATGGCAGAAGAGCGGTTTCGGTAAGGGAGATAGTTTTGCAATACAGATGAATCGACAACAGCCTGTAAACTGCACTATTTCTCCCTCGCTGGACTTCGAAAGCCACCATAAATATGTAGAACCCGTCGAGTCTTCAGGGCCAAAAGCTGAAGTTTTCAAGCCATGTGATCTGAAGTATACGGATTACACACCTTGCCAAGAGCAGGATCGAGCTATGAGATTTCCGAGGGAGAATATGATTTATAGAGAAAGGCATTGCCCTCCGAAAGAGGAAAAACTGCGGTGCTTGATTCCAGCTCCTAAAGGCTATACGGCACCTTTTCCTTGGCCCAAGAGCCGTGATTATGTTTACTATTCTAATGTGCCATTCAAAAGCTTGACAGTCGAAAAGGCCGGGCAGAACTGGGTGCAATATCAGGGCAATGTATTCAAGTTTCCAGGAGGTGGGACGATGTTCCCTCAAGGAGCAGATGCATATATCGATGAACTTGGAAGGGTGATTCCATTTGCAGATGGTACTGTTCGAACAGCTCTCGACACTGGCTGCGGAGTATGTGCTGATTTTCGTTTTCTACTTGACTTTAAACTCTTCTGCTATTTACAGTTCTTTTGCTTTGTTTTATTAATGGACTGCCATCTGAAATATTTGTGAAAGTTAGAAAGTATTATATAGGTTATTGATTCTATTCGGTTAACTATCATTAATTTAAGGAGTTCCATGTTTAGCGAACCCATCGACTATCATACATTTTAGATGTGCTATAGTTATTCATTATCTTACACAAGCAGAATTAGAAAGTAAGAAAGTTTAATTCTCCATTGACTTTGTTTTTGGTGTATTGAGCAACATAAGTACTTTAGATCTATTTCCATTCTAGTTATGCTGGACATGGTTTAAATCTTACTTCTCAAGGAAGCTTCTTCGCTAAAAGAATATTAATTAGTTATTGTAATTGTGGTAAGGTTGCTAGCTGGGGTGCTTACATGCTGAAGAGAAATGTTCTGACCATGTCGTTTGCACCAAGGGACAATCACGAGGCACAAGTGCAGTTTGCTTTAGAACGAGGTGTCCCGGCAATTATTGGGGTTCTTGGATCAATTAAACTACCATATCCGCCCCGATCATTTGATATGGCACAATGTTCAAGGTGCTTAATACAATGGGCATCAAATGGTAAGCATACATTACATCATCTGGTTAGAGTTCTGGAATTAGAATTTGATACCATATCGTTCAGTCAGATTTTATTCAATAGGTCATAATCATTATATGGATTCTATACATGTAAAGCTCAAAAACCTTTTTACATCCCTTCAGATGGCATGTATTTAATGGAAGTTGACCGGGTTCTGAGACCTGGCGGATACTGGGTTTTGTCTGGTCCTCCAATCAATTGGAAGACATACTACAAAACATGGAAAAGGACAAAAGAAGACCTGAAGGCCGAGCAAACAAGGATCGAAGAGTTGGCAGAACAACTATGCTGGGAAAAGAAGTATGAGAAAGGAGATATTGCCATTTGGAGAAAAAGCATAAATGCTAAGTCTTGCAAAAGGAAATCCGCCAATTTTTGTCAATCTCCAGATACTGGAGATGTTTGGTAAGTAAAATGCTTCTTTTATGATTTTTACATTTGAACTCCCCAATGGTTCTTGTCATCTTTACTTCACAATAGTGCTCTAGAGTTTAATCGCGTCGATGAAGGTCTATAATGTGGTTATCACTTGTGGTTTAACTGTATCTGTCGGCCATCTAACTTTTATTTGTTCTACTATCTATTATGGTTTTCAAGGTACAAGAAAATGGATGTGTGCATTACTCCCTTCCCTGAAGTCAAGAATCCCAGTGAGGTGGCTGGAGGACAGCTGAACAAGTTTCCAGCTCGGCTTTTTGAGGTCCCACCTAGAGTACAAAACGGAGAAGTTCCCGGGATCACACCTGAGTCATATAAAGAGGATAGTGAACTTTGGAAAAAGCATGTTAAGGCTTACAAGAGGATTAATAATTTACTTGGCAGCACACGGTACAGAAATATTATGGACATGAATGCTGGCCTAGGAGGTTTTGCAGCAGCCTTGGAATCACCCAAACTTTGGGTCATGAATGCCGTGCCCACTATTGCTCAAAACACTTTAGGTGTCATCTACGAAAGAGGACTGATCGGAATTTATCATGATTGGTACACACCCTTGTTTCTCTACTAAGTTTTTAACCCCGTAATCTAGTATTGAGAAAACTCTTTACTAAAAATGCAATGATGGTTCTGTTTACTCTACCGTTTAGGTGTGAAGGGTTCTCAACTTATCCAAGGACGTATGATCTCATTCATGCTAATGGATTATTCAGCTTATATCAGGACAAGTAAGTGATAACTACTAATGTAAATTGGACTCAGAATTTGATCACACTATTAATTGTAGGATCATAATCAAAGATTGTTAACAAAGTAAATGCAACTTTCTAGAAAAATCGAAAACATTATATTTCCACTCTTTCATGATACTGAAAGAAGTATTTGTTCCTGATTTCCGATAAAATTCTTCTTTTCATGTGTTCATGAGCAATTCTCCTTTCCAAGAAATTATGAAAAACCTAAAATAAAAAAGAAAAACTAAAAAGACTACATTGGGTGGCTTGCAGGTGTGAATTTGAAGACATTCTCCTGGAAATGGATCGCATATTACGACCAGAAGGGACTGTCCTTTTCCGAGACGAAGTTGATGTACTGAACAAGGTGAAGAAAATTGCCGGAGGGATGAGATGGGACACTAAAATGGTGGATCATGAAGATGGCCCATTTGTGAATGAGAAAATACTCGTGGCTGTGAAACAATATTGGGTTGCTGGGAACAACGGCACGTCCACAGATGAATGAACCACAGGTATGTTGGCTTAACAACTGAAACTGAGGGGAAGAATACGTGCTATATACACTTTTTGTTGTTAAATTATCCGTACGAGTCTTAGATTCCTTTAAACAATTGTGCAATTGTATTTATACTTTCTGAAATCTTGCCCTTTTGGATCGACAGAACAATAAAAGTTAAAGCATGGATCCACTGTCAGATTGAATTTAATATCTCTACTCGTAATTATTTGATTGCTTTTGTACGAAAAATACACACACACACAAGGATGATAAACTTATGAGATGTCTCACTGCATTGGATTGGAATTTGATTTTGATCTTTTTATATTTTTGTTCTGAGAATTTGAATTCAGGTTGAGTTAGAATGAATTATCGAACTGTTTTCCTGGGTTCGAGATTATAAATGAATGCATGTATGTACTATGTGATGTTTTCGGGTGCTTTGGTTTAGACGCTTTAGAAATTTATTTAAGGTACTCACCCGAGGTTCTTAGCTTATGCTTTGTTAAAGGAGCTATTCGGATGCTTGGGTTGTTAAAGCTCAAACTCGAGTCGGGCTGTTAATCATACTAGCTTGAGCTTCAAAACTTATTGAGGTAAGTAGACTCAGTCAGATTGGAATGTCTTCGCAATAAGGTAAATTGTAATAGATAAAAGGGGATGGATCACATGTTAGATTTATATAATTTAGCTTTGCTGAATATTAATCCTGATCTTTAATTTACCCATCATTAAATCTATATAATGAGATACCAAGTAATTAAAGATTGAGTTTGTTATGTTATTTGGTGAGCTTCAACTCAGTTCAATAAAAGTTGCACTTAACATAAATACAAGTAGTTATTATAAATTTCATATTGAAATCAAAACATCTCCTCTACTCAATTGGAGTTTTTTTAGGAGCTCAACAATAACCTAATAACGTGTGATATAATGTGCTGTTTTACCACCAGCAAATTTCAAATTCATCTCCATCATTTTCAAATTTTGTATCTAATGCAGGCAGACAAATTAATTACGAATAGCAGAATGATTTATAAAAGCTTGTGAAGAAAAGGAAAATAATAAGAGTGACTTCAATCATAAAGACACAGAATAAATCAAGTGGAAACTTGGTCGACAAGGTTAGCCCAGACGAACACACTCTCCTTAGATACAGAGGATCTCACACCATTTGATCAATTATGATCGCACTCAAAAGTCAACTACAATCCGTGAAGTGCATCCAAAGTACATCACATGATGATGCACCGACTCCTCTCCTCGGCTGGCTGCGTCGCAGCTTGCTGGTACCTGTTGGACTCCGATGGGTTGTATGTAAATTCTGCAGTATCCAGTCCATACTGTAACAAGGGGCACCAAAATCAGTAGTTTATTATTATTATTATTTAAAATGGGTTAGTAAAGAACAATTTCAGCACAGCTGAGCTGAATAACAAAATTCAAATCCCAAATAACAAATCTAAGGCAGCATAAAAACAAATTGCAAGAGACATATTTCTAACTCTGGATAGCAAATTAGAATATTCAGTAAATAAAAACACTTAAAGCGTTAGATTAACTTTTAATGGTCTTGATTTAATCAACACGGGCTTATTAATTTAATTAATTAGCACATATCGCGACATTATAGGGATTTATGGGTAGATCTTGGTGGATAAATGGACATCAGTTAGAAACTTCAAAGACGCCGATTATTCCTTAATTCACTTATTATATATTTTTTTCCATCTCTAATTTTGTCTTTCAAACTCTCAACTTCGAGTCTCTAAATAGATTTCTACAGAAAATCAGTAGTTGACCTAAGTCGATGAGGATGAGAAACTTTATCCCAAAAAGAAGCCTCACCTACCCTTTGCCCCACACCATTGAAAACTCATCATGGGACAACTAACTCAATGGTCCCTGGCATTACTTTCTTCTTGAATCTCTTTACTAGAATTACCACAAATTTATGACTTTCATCAGCTTACTACCTAATGCCACATAACCACCCACCCCATCAATAATTTCTTTCCAATAATACACGTTCATTTAGTCAAACTGAAGAAAGTCGAAAGAAGTAACTTAAAGTTCAAAGTGCCTCATTGGGTGGAGCGGTTATCTTTACTGAAGCTCACAACCACGTAACACTATATCATTCTAGCACAATTTTAAATTATTCCCCTAGTGGTCACTCAAACAGAAAACATTATGGTTACTTATATGGTGTTTTTCGCTTTATACTTCAGCTAACCTAACATATAAACTGAACGCACTTTTCCAAAAAAATATCCAATATCGAAAGAAGTGGAAAGCAGTACTAATCACAATTACCATGACTAATCAATTAACATAAAGAAAAAGAGAAAGAAAAAGAAAACTTAAACCAACAAGAACACAATAACTTTGATTTTAGACAACCTTACTTCTAAAGGGAGGAGATATGAGTAAAGAGAATGATCACCTTTTCCCTCATGCGTGTACTCCAAGCATCATTCCTACTAGGGCGCTGATCAAGGGCACCAGCAACAGGAACACCTGTGGTGGGAGCAGCTGGTCTATTTATCAAAGGCTGGCGGATCTGTTGCCTCGGGCCACCAATATACTCTTCATCACTATCATAGTCTGCTGGAATATTTGCGGCCCTCACAACAAGTGCTAGTAAAAATATTACAGCCTGAAATTTTATAATTAGTTAATGGAAGTTTTAAAAAACAATGATCAACTTCTTAAACCTCAATTGTGATTCAACTCTCATTTATCATATCAGATTACAAATGTTACCCCACTGTCATAAGAAAAAATATGAAGATAAAAAACACAATACCCTCGGTCAACATGACAACAAACCAGAAATAAATATTTGACCAAGTCGAGTATTTTCATGGAGCAAAGTTAAACTAATTGAATTTGGTAGCTAGAATCTTTTGACATCAATTCAAGGTACCACTTGCCCTTGCAAAGAAATAACTATTGAATAAATTTCTGTGCAGATAAAGATATATATGCATGAAGCTCTGACAACTACAAAACTATGGAAACTTCACCTCTAGTACAACCACACCAAGTGCAACCCATCTGATAATATTCCAGTGGTCCTCCAGAAATTCATAGATCATATCAAAATTTCCAGTTTTGTCAGTTGGGATTTCCTGTTCAAGTTTCTGTCAGATTCACCAACCATATCTTTCAAAAAATAAAAATAAAAATAAAAATTGGTCTCATCTAACCTTTTGCCAGCTTTTGTCAAAGAATATAAAAGCAGCTGCTCCCAGTTCAACCAATATCAACAAGACGAGTAGCACTGAATACTTTATTGTCTTAAGGAATCAACAATATACATATACCTGCAACCTAATATTCTATATCTAAAGAAATAACACAACCCTATAAGAAACAGATATTAAAAAACTCATTCAATCTCAAGCAACTACCACATAGATAGTGTTAAAAGCACTGGAAACGAACCTGGCCAGGGCAAAAGCCTGTCAGACAGGCACCAAATCCTGTGAATGCAAACCTAATCTACTCTTGAAGCAAATGATCATCTCATCCAAAAGGTTGAGCTAAGTCAATGCATCATTTTTCATTTATTAATAGCTCATTTTAGCAAACATGTCCACTCACATGCAGGCAGTATTCTTTCCCTTCCAAGTCTTAGCATCTGATACTCTTTTTTACAATGGATCATGGTAAGTTTGAACATAGGAACTACTGCTCTAAGTTGATGTTAAATGACCATTTCACCCCAAAATTAAGCATTTAATAGTATTTTTCTCTACAACAAACAAGGTTCATTCATTCTCTTGATATCCACCTAATCAATCTAGAAGCTCCATGAAAAGATAATATAACAGTCGCCAAGTTATAGAAACATTAGAAACTTCACAACCAAGGCATTTTTCCAAATAGTGAAAAAGCTTCATTAAAAACAGCTTTATACATTTTCAGCATATGACAGTTCACATTAGCAGCAACATGCACGCATGCGCTCAATCTCTTTAATAGTTAGTTTATGAAAGCAAAAAATGACTATTGAATCATAGAATGTCTAAAGCAACCGAATTACTGAATTAGTAGGAAGGATACACAAGTTAGGCAGCACCCATTGCGCATAGATGTTCCAATGCAACCGCAACAAGCAATGAAAAGAACTATTACACCAACGCCAATGAAAAGATAAATAAACCTGCATTGCACATATTAAATCAGCCAGGTGATTAATTTATCATTGGGATAATTGTCAAACTAGTCATGCCCCATGCTCACATAAATGCATATTTATGTAACTTCATTGTTCTTACAGGAAATAACCTGAGACTATAGAAGGCTATGGTTAGCCAAAGTGCTTTGCTCGGAGCTCATTAAAGAATATGGATAATAATGAAGTGCGTAAAACAGAAATTCAATGAGCGTTAAAAATGAACATATAAAATAAAGACTAGCCAAAGTGAATCACTGCAAAAACTGCAGGCAGAAGTTTGTTTTCGATTACACTCATAGATAGCTTATAGGTTTCATTCAGGTTGTTTTATACAGCTCCACATTAACACAACTTATGATATGTTGGTTTTTTATTCAGGAGAAAAATAACAGTGATATAGAGTAATTATGAGTGTGTTGATAGGTTTTTATATACTTGTACATATACTATTATATAATGATACGATAGTATACATGAATAATGTGCAATTTGTGTCTCAACATCTGCACTCACACTTACTATCTACCTTTTCAGTCCTCAGAAAATGCAGCACTATTCTCTTATATAAGAGTGTAAGTGCAACAAATTCAGAAACTTGCATGCCACATATACCATCCTATCCATATCAGGACTTATGAAACAACAGAGCCGCCAGTCTAAGAGCCGCCAGTCTAAGAACAAGAAAACAAAACTGAGATATAAGCCATAGTTTTACATACCAAGCCTTTGGCAGTTTGTCAAATATGTTATCAGCCAACGTAACAGCCACTAGCATTGGCCTACCAAGCTGCACATACTCCCCCATATTTGGGGGGACAGGAGGGGTATCATCACCTGGTGAAGCACCATTCTTATACTCAACAAAAAGGTATATTCCATAGCCAATCATTGCCAAGCCCGCAAGAATTAACAAGAAGTTCAAAAGCTTCAATAGGCACTCCCAAAATCCCCTACAAGCCATTTCTTTATTTCCAGAACAATCTGCAATTCAAGCCCTTCTTCCTGTGCAACGATACAGTTACAAACACCTCAATCAATTTCACAAAAGGCATACATAAACATAAATAAATAAATAGTCCATTAGCAGAATATTCAATGTTAATTTTTCCTCTCCAATAATTCTCCCATAAACATCTAATAAAATCATCCATCAACAATCGAAAGCGCGCGGCAACACGGAATCAGTCCCGATCATTAAATACAGATTGTAAAAAGTCAAAAAAGCGAAACGATGGCCAGAAATCAACAGAAAACCTAATAAAAATGATTTAAATTGATCTGCAGCAGATAGCTCACCCACCAAATAACAGATCTGGGAGCCGAACCGAATCTGAGGGCCGCGAGAATAAAAGGCAGCAAGAAAGAAAGAGGGAGAGAAAGATAGGATCGAATGAAATGGTGAGATTGGTTATTGAAAAAAAAAATAAAAATTAAATTAAAAAAAATATACGATTTAAGGAATGAACGGTGGTGGTCGGCTTCTCTGTTGCCTAGTTGTAACTTTTTTCAATTTTTATGTTTCTTTTTTTTTTATATATATATATACACGAATATTCTACCATTTTGTTTTTAATATTTATATTATTATTAATTATTAACTTTTATGTTATATAGAGTACTTTATTTTTATTGTTTTTTTACTTTTTTTTTAAATTTTTTTTACTTTCTTTTTTTTTTTTACATCCTATAACTAACTTATACTTTTTCTTATTTAAAATTATATTTTCTTCGTCCCGTAAATATAGTCTTAGATTGGAATGAATATTTAAGGAATACTTAGTTGGTAAAAAGTATGGATAAAATATTTTTTGCCCTTTGAAAATATATTATTGAAAAAACAGTGATAATTGTGTAATAAAAATGAAAAAGTAAAAATAGTTCTATGCTTATATAATTATTTATGAAAATAAAACTATTGTTTTAGAACGAACAAAAATAGTAAATAACACTATTGTATTTGAAGTAAGTATATTATTAGATCATTGAATAAATAATTTCAGTTATTTAATTTAAAGTATTTTTTTATCAAATACTATAAGAAATAGTAGATAAAAATATAATATTTTATATTAAATTTTATTTTTTTTATTAAATAATAAAAATTTGAATAAATAAATTATAAAAATAAACTCATTCCATATCATAAAATCATTAGTTCAAACTTCAAAGTTTTTAGAATTTGTAGATTAGTAATAATTTTTTATTTACTTATATAGAAAATGTTAAATGAACATATACATTTCAAAATAATTATACGGATGTGATAAAATTTTTAAAATATTTTACGTAAAATTTTAAATATAATATTATTTTTTCCTCCGTCATGCAAATATATGCTCATTTGACCGGATATAAATTTTAATAAAAATGAATAATAATTGTTACTTTTGTCTTTTATAATAAAAAAATATATAAAAATATAATAATATTTTTAAATGACAAAAAAAAAAAGTAAATATAAATGGTAGAGGGAGTATATTTTATATAACATGTTATTAAATGTCCTAAAATATATATAAAGTTAGACTAAAGCACAATTTAATGAATGAATTTTTTGTTTGATTATGAAATTTCAATTTTTATTTAGTTACGATCTCTTAAATTGCATTTCAATTAATAGAAGTATTTTGTTTTGAAAACAAAAGTTTAAAAAAAAAATAAAATGTATCAGATTTGCATAATTATAATTTGAAATTAATTTAAAATAATAATATTTATTTAAATAATATTTTTCATATGATATTTTAATAGATGAAACGATATACTTTGTTCTGTCCGTATCTTATTTATCTTTTGCGTTATTATATTTAATATTAAAAATATATTTTATATTTGTATCATTTTTTCACAAATGTTATTATAATATTATTATAATATACTAATAAAAATAATTTTGTCATTTTTTCTATATTTTTATATAATAATTAATATTCAAATATCAACCAGTAATAAATAAATAAATCTCTAGAATCGAACGTAGATAGCAATTTTTATTGAAAACCGCACTATAAATAATATAAAAACAATAAAAACAAAATAACTTGTTAATTATATCTAATTTGAAGCAACAATCGTCTTCCTGATTTCCCTTTGAAATCACAACAATTCCACCAATCAATTTCGGGTGTGTTTGTCTGGGGATTTGATTGGATTTACGCTATTATCTAATTTCCCAAAAAAAATTAAATCAAACATCTATTTTTTATTTTTTATATTATAGTAAAAATCAATTTTACATTCAAAACATCACATCAACACCTGTTTATATCACATCATACAACTATTCAAATTCAAAATTTTTACTATTCAAATCTAAACTCAAACTCCAAACACCCAAACAAACATGTGTTTCTTTATTTTAAAAAAAAAAAAAACTTCAACGTGTTATTTCATAATTTTTAAAACATATTTGTTTAAACAAAATTAATATATTATATATCTTTATTATTTGTATATTATTTATATAAGTTCTCTTATATCTCAAAAAAAATATATGTCTTCAAATAATTTCACTAAGCAAACACATATTTATTTCAATTTTCTCATTTTCCGCTACCCAAACATTCGCACTGGGTAAACCCCCGGTCGAACTTAATACCCTGTAAATCAGGTCCGACGAAAAAATCACACTAGACGAACCATGTGTGGCAGGTGACCTGAAGCGTCGGGGGTTTGAACCAATGATATCACGGTTACAAATCCAACTCCTACTTGATTAATTTAGATGTATACATATGGTGTTCCTTTATGATATTTCATTAAAAAAAAAAAAAAAATTAAAATTATCAAATCAAATATTTATTTATTTTTTTATATTATATTAAAAAATAATTTTATATTTAAAACATCGTCTCACATATTTATATCACATTATACCATTAATTCAATTTAACATTTTTACTATTTAAATCTCAAATAAAAATACAAATCCTACTTTAAACAAACACAATAAATATTTTATATCCAAATTATAAGTACATACTTTTCGGGAGTAATATTTTTTCCGCACGATAATATCATATTCAAATCAATAAAATAGCATAATACAACAAGTTACTGTTATATGGTGCCATTATTTATTTATTTATTATTTTAAATGAAAAAAAAAATATACATTTCACAATACAAATCTTAATAAAATTATACTATCTCCGTCCAACCATAAATAACTATTTTTCTTTTTAATACGTTCCATAAAAGATGACTGATTTTTATTTTTGTAACTTTATCAATTTTAAATATACTTAACAAATATAAATCAATTTAATTGAAATTAACCCCTTTATTTCTATTTCTCTCTTCAATTAACATAATTTTTTTTTTTTTTATATTTAAAACTCCTCATTTTTTTTTATAAAACTAATTTATGATAATGATAAATATTATATAAAATTTTATTATCTAGAAAATAATATACATATTGCATATATTTTTTCGAGATATAATTTTAAAAATTTTTAAAATACCAATAATATTATTCATATAAAAGATAATAAACTAATATCATAACTTATTATTAATAACTTACTAATTTATACTACTTAAAAAACCATGTTCCGGGTTTAGGGTCCATCCCTCGCGGGACAGAGGAAATATTTCATCAGCCAATCATTTTTTTTTTCACTTTCCATTTTATAGTTAAATATATTTCGTTATTAATTTTAATAAAATCAATAAATCAATATTTAATTATTATTAAAATTTAAAATTTATTTATAACATGAACGATTACATTTATTACATTATCTTTAAATTTTCTTTAATCTCTAAACTTTTCAAAATACATTCAACTTTTTATTATTATTATTATTTGAATACAATATTCATGTTTCTTAATTTTTGTATTAGACCCAAATGGATTAATTTTACGAGGGAGCGATGAGTGGTGTTAATGGCGTCAGAAGGAAGAGGCTTGCAAGAAACGGGGCTATGACTCTGGCGGAAGTCGATGACGAATTTAGAGTCGGCGGAGATTGGGAAAAATTAAAATTTCTAGCAAAATTATGATAGATTGACGATTAAATCCGTTTCATTGAAGAAAATTGATGTTCTTCTTTTATAATAAAATAAAAATTAATTATTTTTATTCTTATTGGGATTAATTTTGATTTGTTTTTCTAATATATTATATCAAAATACTATTTAAATTAAAATATAAACTAAATTGGTGTGTGAGCTTAACAAAAGTTCGTTTATTAAACTTTCACAAATTTGTATTATTTATTAAATATTTATTTTATTTTTTATGTTTTATGTTATACTAACAATATTAATCATACAATTATATAAATTAAAAAAAATTTACTATTCAAATTTCAAATAAAAAATAATAATATTTTTTATTTTTAGTGGGATTAATTTTGATTTTTTAAATATATTATATCAAAATATCATTTAAATTAAAATTTCAAAATAAATGAATGTGTGAGCATAAAAAATATTAGGGTGTGTTCGTTTATTAAATTTTCGCAAATTTATATTAGTCATTAAAAAATTTTCTTAAAAAAAATTAAATCAAATATATATTTTTAATTATATTAAAAATTAAGTTTACGTTTAAAATATTATATTATATAATTATCTAAATTAAAAATGTTTAGTATTAAAATCCCAAACAAAAATCATAATTTTCAAACAAACACACCCTAATAAAAAGATGCAAATTAACCAATCCGAATGCTATTATCTAATTGTAACAGTGGCGGACTTAGGATTATATTGGAGGGGGCTAATTTTGAAATTTATAAAATAATATATTTTGTTATAAATATTTATTTTTTATCCGAAAAAATTATCATTCTAATTATTATATTTTAAAAAAAATAAATACAAATAACTAACTACAACAATAATAATAATTATACACTATATTATAAATTTTTTTTTTAATTTTTTTTATTCAGACAAAATATACAAATTTTTAGTATTTTTTTATTTATTTATTTTCTCTATATTATATAAATTTAAATAAAAAATACATAAATTTAAATAAATAAATAAATAAATAATGGGGTGGTGTGTGTGGGGAAGCTGCAGCCAACCCTTGGCCCACCTCGGTTCGCCCCTCAATTATAATAAAATACTGAAAAAATGGCTGTATTGCACAAAATTTCTTTAAAACAATTGCCTAACAAATGATTAAAAAATAAATAATAATAATAATAAAAAGAAAAAAGAAAAAACACTAGTCCCGGATTCTCTACGTTGACCCTACTGTTTTCGCGAAGTCCGAGGACTCAAAAGGACACTTAAAAAATTTTGAAAATTGCCAAGGATGTCCTTTTTCGTCATTTCATCCAAAACCGTCCGTCCAAAAAAATGAATGAAAATCCACCACCTGGCTCTTTTTTCAATGCGTGGGTCCCACGAGCCCCTCCCAAAATATATATATATATTTTTTGATTAGTTTTATTTAGTTTTTCATTGGTATGCTCAGGTCAGCGTTACAATCCACCCACCCCACCTATAATATTTTCAAATGTCTCTCCCTCCATTATCCCCTGCATCGCGTCTCGCAGCAACGGTTGTACATTTTCCAAATTTTCACCCTTGGATTTTGAGGTACAACCTGTTGAAGCGTCGGAGCAGTGGTCCGTGCGGAGCAGGGGATCATTGATGCCCAGCAACAGTCTCTCTCTGAACTGTATAGTCTTCGCCTCTCTGACTCTCTCTCACTCTCGAAAAACGGAAGAGGGAAGAACCAACGCATACACATACATACAGGCAGGCAAGCTGTCTCTCTCTTTCTCTGGTTCCTTGTCCGGGTTGCTCCCATTTTGCGGATTCGATTGCGTCGGGAGGAGGATTTTCAGATTGGGAGGGGGTAGGGTCGATTGGCGGTATATGGGGGCTGTTTATGGTGTTGGATTTTGATTTGGTGGGGATAATTTTGGTGTTGGTGTTGCTTGATTTTTGCGGGTTTTCGGGTTTGGGATGAATCGTGGGATGTGATGGGGGCGGGGTTTTCGCAGGCGTTCCCCTGTTTCAATCCGGCATCGTCGGGGCCGAGCAGGTCCGAATCGGACGGGATTTTCGCTCCGAATGCGCCGCTGGACGAAACCCTCGGACACTCCTTCTGCTACGTCCGCTCCTCCGCTCGATTCGTGTCTCCGACTCACTCGGATCGGTTCGTTTCTCCCTCGCAGTCGCTCAGGTTTGACGATCCAGTCCATTTGAGGTCAGCGAAGCAGCCTGGTTGTTCCGAGACCGGATTCCGGGCGATATCCGGCGCTTCCGTGAGCGCCAACACTTCGACTCCAATTACCGTGCTCCAACTCGACGATGCGGACGACGATGCCGCCGGCGACGCTGCCAATCACCAGCTTGACGGTAATGTTGCTAATAGCAGCAAGGGTTTCTTAGCCGGAGCTTCCAGGGGCGGTTGCAATAGCGTTACTTTGGATGGGTTTGAGAGCACCTCGTCCTTCAGCGCCTTGCCGCTGCAGCGCGTGCCGCGGGGGAGTGAGCCGCCGTCAGGGCCGCTGGAGAGGGCATTCTTCATGTCCGGTCCACTTGAGCGGGGCGCACTCTCAGGGCCGCTTGATGGTGGGGCAGCCTCTGGGGATAACAATGGGGGAGTGCCGTTTTCGGCGCCACTGGGTGGCATGTATGTGAAGAAGAGGAAGAAGAAGAAGAGCATTTCGGGAATTCGGAATGCATTGTATCGAAACTTCTCGGTGGTGCCTGTGCGGAACTTCATTAGCGGTGGAGGACGGAAGGATCTTCCATCGGAGGACGATGGCTGCAGAAGGGCAGCAGAGATGGGTGGTGAGAGCAATGTGCAGTGGGCCTTAGGAAAGGCAGGTGAGGATCGTGTGCATGTGGTTGTGTCGGAGGAATTAGGCTGGCTGTTTGTTGGAATATATGATGGATTTAATGGTCCTGATGCCCCTGAATTTTTGATGAGGCACTTGTACAAAGCCATGTGCAAGGAATTAGAGGGTTTATTTTGGGATACGGAGGATGCTGCTGCGGCAGCAGCTTCAGACAATACAGTTGTTGCAAAGAGTTCCTATCCTAATGATGTTAGAACCGATAGTTGTGAAGAATTTGAAGGGAGAAAAGAAGGCGACGTGGAGCCACAGCCGACTAAAAAGGTGATGTTTGGAGGGGAACAAATTGAAGTTAGGAGGAGAAGATTATGGGAATACCTTGTGGAGGATGACACAGAAGACGGGCTTGATCTGTCTGGTTCTGAAAGATTTGCATTCTCATTAGATGATGCATTGAGTGTGAACAATGCAGGTTCAGCCGTACGTAGGAGGTCTTTATTGTTGTCCAAGCTAAAACATGGATTGTTGAATAGGCATAAGGATAAGGAGACTAGTAGCTTATTTCCATGGAGATCATGGCTGGAGGGAAAACAAAAAAATACAGGGGAACGGAAGGAGGATAATCTAGCAGATGATCGAGGAGGCGTTGAGAGGGAGAGCATTAATGAAACTGGTAGGAAGCGGAAGGTTGGGCCTGTTGATCATAATTTGGTTTTGAGTGCTATGTCTCGAGCACTTGAAGTGACAGAACAAGCATATTTAGATATGACTGACAGGGTCCTTGATCGTTACCCGGAGCTTGCCTTGATGGGTTCTTGCCTGTTGGTTGCCCTGATGAGGGATGAAGATGTGTATGTGATGAATGTAGGGGATAGTCGAGCCATTGTGGCCCAGAATGAAGTTGAAGACGAAAGTTGTCGGATGGATGTGGAAGGTCCTGCAGATGATGGTTTAAATGATGAGGCCATAGTTGAAGAGTCCGTTGGAGTAAGTAACTTGGAAAGTAAAGCCGTGATTGAAGCTCACGCTCATCAACCTATGAGCTTGACCGCACTACAATTGTCCACTGATCATAGCACTAGCATAGAAGAGGTCAGTTTCACATCCTTCCGTTTACTTGTTGTATGTATACATAACTTTTCCTGGTGATATCATTCAGCTCGATACATAGGCCTAAGGATTTTTACCTTCCCTCTTCAACAAAAACGACCAGTCTAATTTTCTGTGTCTTTGATGGACAAGGTGAGGATATTTGGTGTCAACTGGGACAACTTTATCGCATCCCTTGTATATCTTCATTATGCAGTGGATTTACGCACATTAACTGGCTTATGTTTTAGGATTGATTATCCACCATATGCAAAAGGATAATTGTTTGCTTAAAGTGTTTCTTACTAGTCCTTAGGGTGTGCTCATTTTTTATTTTTGTTGCACTTTTTTACCTTACAATCTACCAATTCCCTCCAAAAACATCATCTCATCCAACACCAATCTTCCATTCAAAACATCACATCCACAAAAATTTCACCTCGAACAATTTAAAAAAAAAATACAAAATAAACTGCGACAAAACAAGCCCTTGATCAATTTTCTAATCAGGAGTGCCTGCAAGATTGAGAGAGGAAGGATTGTCTTCTAATCAATTTCTCCAAAATCAAACAAGGCCAAGCAATAGAGTTCATTTTAACTACTATCAACTATTCAATCAAAATTACTGGAGAGTTATATCTTGATTCATGGCTAACCTTTCGACAGTGTCAATGATGAGAAGTATCTTCCCTTCCCTAACTTCCTTTTTCATCGTTGTACTTAAAATTTGACTAGTTAATTAAACAATTAGATATTTTGTATCTCTCTTTGTTAATCCCTCTTATACCTTTGCTATTTCACATCCTTTGAGGGTCTTACCTTATCATTATCTCTAGTGTCAAACTTGGATGAATGGTTGTCTTAAAGAGAACAGTGAACATACTTGCACTATATATTCATGGGTACACTGTGTCTTCCAAGGCATATGCTAATCTTTATTACTAGGATTAGTATGTTGTTTGGCGTGGTTTGGATATATGATACTTTGTCATCACAACCTCTTTTGCAATGGTGAAATATCAATCATCTTTCTATGACTGATACTTCTAGATATTCTCAGTGCCCCTCCTTAGTTATGTCTTTCTCTTTGCCTTTATATGTTTGCGACAGCATGGACTAGAGAATGTTAGAAATCAGCACCTAATCGATTAAAGATCACACAAAAGGTGGCTCTTAAATTCAAATAAACTTTTCAATTTTCATCCTTGTGTTTATGGCGATAGGCTTTAGGGTGGTTGCGTTTGTTGGTATTCTATTTGTTGCATATCTTAGATTCAAATGACTATTACGATTTCTCAATCTCAATTTCAATCATAATTATACTAGAATATTAGTAATAGGGTAGTACCTTGTTCATGCTTATAGAATTCTTAGTTTTAGAAACAAATGTTATACTTCTTCTCCATTCCAATTGAGTTTGAAATGATTATATGTGGTGAATGGCATTTTGATTGAATAAACAAGTCTTAGTATCTAATGACTGGAACTATATGTTGGTTTTATATCTGTTTATTATGATTACACTGAATACTTGTTTTGAAATTTAAGGAGCATGCTGTATTCAGAATAAGAAGGGAAGGGATCATCCTAGTTCTTGTGGATTGTGTGGCAACTTATTCTTGAGAAATTGGAAAAGTAGTTTAAGGAGTTTGTAGAATTTTTTGGGTTCACAAGTCATTTAAACAATTGTTTAGTACTTTGGTTGTAATTAATTCTCTTGTTTGTTTGCATAATTGATTTAAAATGACTTACACATTTTCACTTTTTCTTATAATTCTCAGGAAGTTACTAGAATTAAGAATGAGCACCCTGATGACCGTAATTGTATAGTAAATGACAGAGTCAAGGGCCGCCTTAAAGTTACCCGTGCATTTGGGGCTGGATTCCTTAAACAGGTTTGCCCCTTTTGAGCCACTTCTACTGATTTATGAATGCCCTTTTTCTTTAATGTAATATCATTGCTTGAGTGTCTTCTAAATCTTACTCAATCTAACTAGAAAATTCATTGCCTTGTGTTATTTTTATCAAAGCCATACACTAGTTGTTGATGAATGGCTATTTCTTGCCTAATGTACCTCTTTTATTCTTATCAAACATTCAGTGGGTGGTTTGGAGATTTAAATCACTTTAATTCTAAATTAGTTCATTGTGGATCCTTAAGACACCATATTTCTGAGGAGCAGAGCATCGTTCAAATGCTATCCAAATACAATAAGACTACAAAATTTGCACGATTTTCACTAACTTTTTCCTTCTTGAGTTTCCTATTGCATTATTGGCCTCTGCAATATTTTTTGGTTACTATCTCTCTACACAATTTTGTATCGTTATTGTATCCTTTCATTGTTAAAATCTTTTAGTCCAAGAGAATGTATATGCTTGCCAATGAACTGTAGTATTTTCTGAGTTTGCGTTGCTTCTTAATATTTTCATGCTAGCAGCTTGCTGACTGTATACAATGTGTGTTGATGCAGCATAAATGGAACGATGCCTTGTTAGAAATGTTTCGGAATGATTATATTGGCACCGCCCCCTACATATCATGTTGTCCTTCTCTTTGCCATCACAAATTGTGTCCCAGAGATCAGTTTTTGGTACTTTCATCTGATGGCCTGTATCAGTATTTTAGCAATCAAGAGGTGGTATCACATGTCCAGAAATTTATGGAGAGGTTCCCTGATGGGGACCCCGCTCAGCACCTGATAGAGGAATTGCTATCCCGTGCTGCAAGAAAAGCTGGTAAAAACTATACCTTAACACAACAAAGATGATTGTCAACCTGATTTACATCATGTGCTATATAATGACTTGTTGTGCTTATAGCTTAGCTATCCCTATTTAGATATCTGCATTCTATTCTAAATTGGCCCATATGTCTTTATTAATGAGTTCATAGCTGCTGGTCCCTGAGAACCTAAGTTGAGCCAGCCGCTAGATTGGCCTACATCTACACGGAAAATGAATCTTTGGGGGGATTTTGGTTCATAACTCGTATGGTAGCTGAGGGGTTAGAAGTTAAGTGGCTTATCATACCTTTATATGAGAAATATAATTAGTGTGAATTTCCTACTACCCTGACAATGATAAGAAATTTTAGGAATGATTGTGATATTTGAGTCCATGCCACCCTTTTGTGTCACCAAGAAATACAACCCTGTTTCTTTAAATCAAGTAAGCTGATCTGTATTAGGATATTCTCCATTTGAAGCAAGCTTGTTTGTGTTTCTGTTGAAACCGAGTACAAGAGCTCGTCTTTGCCCTTTTTACTGTCTGCACCTTGGTATATGTGAAAACTAAAATCTTATTTGAAATCTCTAGTTTGTTAAAGAAGCCGTAGTCTTAACTTTGCTTGGGACAGTATCTTTAAATAATGTGAACAAACTTCATACTTTTCTCAGATCAGTTGATCTATCCATTTCTTCAATATCATGAATTACAGACTGAGTCACAGCTTAGTTTTCTACATTTGGTATCACTTTAAAGTATTAAAAAATGAAGGAAATAAAGATATGTGATTCCATAAGTTCAATATTTTTTCTTTGCTCATTCTTACATGCAGTTATTTACCAAGTTTCTATGGCTGATACTGATACATGTATTTACTAAAGTTAATTTATTTTGTCTTATATGTAGCAACCTATGTAATAAAGGTCCACTCTGTTACCCTTGCATTTTCCGAATCATGTATTATATAACTAAATTCCATAATTGGCCTTTACATAACTGTAATAACTCTTTCCATCCTCATATATAGTGGTGTGCATTTTCTTTACCAGTGTACATCCTGCATACATATTCTAGCTGATTTAATTGATGCAGGATTTCTCTATTTGCCTTTTCTTTTGGAAATAAAAATAAGTTTCCATTTGGCCATTATGAAGCACTTTAGTCTGTCAAGAAAATATGGTAAACATAGGAAGAAATATTTTGACGTCGTGCTATCAAAACTCTAAATATGTTTCACTGAAGCTAGGAAATATAATTTAAAACATAATTAATCTAAATGTCAATGCTTATCTCCAAGTTCGATATTGTGGAATTGGTATAGTGTTCATCTTGAAAACTAGATTTCAAGTCCAGTTTATCTGTGATAAGCTCCCATCATATGCTGGCTGTTGTTGCCTTACGCCCATGTTTCTATTGAAGTATGTGAGCTTGCCATACATTATGACCTCTAGTCCAGTACAAAACATGTTCATACATTATTACATTCTGTGGTGGTCAGTTTTGCAATATGCATTGCCAATTTGGTAGTGTTGTTCCACTTATAATGGCTATGGGCCTTAGAAAGGCATTACAAACTAGGTTGTTAAGATCTATTGTATTCTGGCCATTTCTTCATGTTATAATAATTAAGGGAACACCATGTAGCTTTGGCAATGGTTGTGAAGATTCAAAAGCATCTTTCCCTTTGCTCGACCTTTATACTAATCTATTTCCCTCCAACAATTCCTTTATTTGATATTCAATTTGCCCTTTCTTTTATTTTTATTTTTTGAATGGTAATAATTTGTCTTCTTGATTTACTCTGGGGAGCAAACAGTTCATGCCTACTTTCATGTTGTATTTGCTCGCAGGAATGGATTTTCATGAGCTTCTAGACATTCCACAAGGAGACAGGAGGAAATACCATGATGATGTCACTGTTATGATTGTGTCCCTTGAGGGAAGAATTTGGAAGTCCTCGGGGAAGTACCTATAAGTGCTTGTTAGATTTTAACCGTCACCGCCAGCTATGCAAGTTATTTTCACTTCGCACATAGCTGGAAGGATAATCCATTCAGATCATGTGCATAGTCGGGGATGGCAATAGCGGCAGAATGTTCATCTTATGCCGGATGCAAGACTTGGGCGGCGGCGCAGTGGTTTCTAATTGCCCCAAGATTTCAATTGTCATAAAATTCCCAGATGTTGGAAGTATTGGAAAAGTTTTGTAGTTGCTGGTGTAAACTTGCTCTAGGCCCGTTTTCTTCTTCATTTTTTTTTTCTTTTTTTTTTTTTCTTCGCGGAAGTTATGGAAAGATGGAGGAGGGCCTTCTCATTCGTTTGTTCTTAATTGGGGGGTTTAGTTATAGCAGAGCTTCGACGTTGGCCTTCTTCTTCCTTGGATATTTGAAGGTGGAAATTTGTAATTCTCCAGCTGGATTTTCAGTGCCATTTAGAGAAAAAAAGAAGTTATAATCAATCCAATGCATCATTTTAGAGTCTGCTTGGGTGTGTTTGTTCGGAAATATGAATTTTTTGAATTGGGATTTAAATAATAAAATATTTGATATTTATTGCATAGTGGGCCAGACCAGTTTTAGATATAAGGGCCGAGTCTAGGGCCAGATCGGCAGTTACCGTTGAATTGAAACCGGCGCATTTGAACCCATTTAGTAGCTCCTCTGGATAATTTGACGAAATTCGGGTCGGATTGGATCCGTACATTAAAGGGTGGGCGGTTCCTCCTCGGATAGCGGACAATCGATCTCTGTTGCTGTCTATTTCTTTTCTCATCTGCGCTTAAGCCCTTTTGCGGTTTCCATCTCCAAACCCTAACCCTAAATTATATCAGATCTTTTGCGTTCATTCAATCGTCCAATTCTTGATCTCGATTCTCCGCCTCCGTATTATTCCTGGTTCGTGGTGAGATCAGACCAGGCATGGATTCTCAGGCGAACAATCTTTACGAGACTGCTTCGCAGCCGGACACTGGGAACGATGCCTATACATTCTTGGAATTCAACACGCCGGGCGAGGACGAGTTTGATTACCCTGAATTCCAGGAGCTCTCGCAGCCAATTCGATCTTCGGCGTCCGTCTGGCCCACGCCCTCCGATTCTTTATCGGCTTCCGAGGTTCCGTCCTCATCCGATGCCGCACAATCCACTGGTAAAGCTCGAGGAGGGGGTGGAATTAATAACAGCAGTGCCGGCCATGGCAGTAGTAGTAATAATAGCAAGGAGACTGGGGTGGTGGAGGCCCTGGCAGCGGGTATGAGCGGGCTGAACTTTGAAGATACTGGGGGAGATGACGAGTTGTTTGAATATGGGAAAGGAGACTTTACGGAGCATGCCTGCAGATACTGTGGCGTCACGAACCCGGCGTGCGTGGCACGGTGCAACGTGCCATCTTGCAGGAAGTGGTTCTGTAATTCTCGAGGGAATACTTCTGGGTCGCACATCGTCAATCATCTGGTGAGTATTTTGCGGGGGTGAATGGGCAGGTAGGGGTGATAGGCTGATATAATTTTGTTGGGTAATCTTCGATAATCTGTATGAAAGGCCACAGTTTGAGATTGAATGTGATAATTGGATCTGCTTGTTCCCTTTGATCATGGATCATGGTATGTTATTAGCTAAGTGAAGCCTGATTTCTAGTCTTTGGGTAAACCTTTTGACAGACAAGCTGCTTCTTGATGGACATAATAATGAGATTTTAGTTGCAAGTTGTTTCATTGACATACCACTCACGTGGTTGACGTCAGAAGTACCGAGAGACGATCGCAAATGATAAATTTAGTTAATATTGAGTTGGAAGGGTCATCATGGAACACAATTTTGTTTAACTGCTAGCTGACTTTTTGTGTTTCTGCTTTCTACAAGAAACGATCCTGATTTGTCTGTTGAAATGCGACAGTGCGGCACCTCATGATTACGATTTAAAGTCCTTCTCTAAAAATGGACAGTTACACATAAATGACGTTAACTTTTTCGAAAAGGATTGGAAAGTCTAGAACTAGGTTCTTGCTCATTTAGACATCAATTTATATTTAGATCATAACTAATGACTTTTGAAAAGCAGCAAGGTGAGCTGCATTGTACTATCGATTTTTTAAAATATTTTTTATGTGCTTGGCTTTATTTTATTAGTGCTGATTTCATACATGTACATACTCCCCTATGAAAGTCGAGCCTCGTTTCTATTGACGTATACTTTCAGACTCTACAGAATAACAAAAATATAAGAACCTTGAACTTTATCATGGTCTTTATTATTATTATTATTATTATTATTTTAGAAGAAAAAATCAACTGACTTATTTTTGAAGAAATAATGATATGTATGATACACTAGTTATTAGCTAACACAATATAATATGCGACAATCATCTACTGATCTAATAAATTGTTGATACTGCTAATTTATAGTTTGCTCTTTAATTTATCTACTGAAGACAACTTGCACTCATATTTTAATGTACTAAGGACCCCGTGTTTTTTTACCTGCGATGTTTACAGTTTTATGGGTTTTGTTAACTTAATATGTTTTAATCATTTTCAGGTGAGAGCAAAACACAAAGAAGTTTGCCTTCACAAAGATAGTCCCCTTGGAGAGACCATTCTCGAGTGTTATAACTGTGGTTGTCGGAATGTTTTCCTTCTTGGATTCATATCTGCCAAGACGGAAAGTGTTGTTGTTCTGCTTTGTAGGGAACCATGCCTCAGTGTTAATGCCTTGAAGGACATGAATTGGGACCTGAGTCAGTGGTGCCCGCTTATTGATGACAGATGTTTCTTGCAGTGGTTGCTAAAGGTTTGTTATGTATACATTTTACACAGTTACAATTGATATTTCTATACTGGTCCTCTAATCTTTGTATAATGCAGGTCCCATCTGAACAAGAGCAGTTGAGGGCTCGTCAAATTAGTGCCCAGCAGATAAATAAAATAGAAGAACTCTGGAAGACAAATCCTGATGCTACTTTGGAAGATCTTGAGAAGCCTGGAGTGGATGATGAACCCCAGTCTGTAGCTTTGAAGTATGAAGATGCTTACCAGGTATTCTATACGTGAATTATTGGCGTCTTTGTTGACTGTGTTGCTTTTACTAATTGTATTCCTCTCTCCAGTATCAAAATGTTTTTGCGCCACTTATCAACCTTGAAGCAGATTATGATAAGGTATGACTACTCTCCATCACATTTATGTTGATTGTTTTGCCTGAGAACCACAAAATATAATTTTCGTTTCTATATGTCAATATTGCAGTTTTGGAGGAGATTTGAAAATTAGACACTCGAATAGTATCAGATACTGCTACATATGTTGCGATAATAGTACTTATTGAGAAATTTGGCATAGATGGATATTCTTGCCTGTATATGATGTCACCAAATGTCACCAAGTGTGGATAATTTGGGTAAACAAATGATTACCTTAGCAAATGAGATATTATTATTTTAATTTAATTGATGCCTGCTTTGTGAAAACCAAGGGTGTGTTTGTTTGGGTGATTTGATTTGTTTTCCACTATTCATAAGTTTTTTTTTTTTTTCAAAAATATTAAATGTAATACTTATGTTTAATTTTTTATATTACATTGAAAATCAATTTTATATTCAAAACATCGTACCTATTTATATCACATCAAACGACTATTCATATTCAAAATTTTACTATTCAAATCTAACCCATAATCAAATCCCCAAGAGCAACGCACTCTAAGTGTGTTTGGATATGTTATCCTCTGAAGTAAAAATGACACTTAAATATGATCAATTGTTGCCTATTTGGACCTTCCTATAAAGGAGTGAATTATTGGCCGAGAAATTACATTGTGGCAAAATAATGGTATACCCCATTTTGGTTTGCCAGAAAGTTCTGTTTTTGCCTAGCGTCAGTAGTTTATTACTATACCAATTCAATTTTTGTTTTGTTAGGTGACTTATGTCTTTTATTCGATGGAAAGTAAAATGAATATTTTATATTTTCTTTGTATCGAACTAATGCTTTTAACGTAATTAAGTAGAACAGAAATAAATAAAAAAAGTAGGCAACCTAAAAGATGCCGCACAATGACTTTACGAACTTTATCCTAAATTATATGCATGAGCTTTTGATTGCATGCAACTGTTTTTCTCTGTTTATATCAGTGTAAATGTAATTTATATTGGATGCACTGGTTAACTAAATATTGTATATTTACTATATGGGATGTATAATTGTATATGTTAACTCATATTGAATAGATAATTGTTGAACCTGGTGGAAAAGGAAAATCTTCTGTTCATTCGTCCAACTGGATTCTTTTGAGATGTGCTAAAAGATGTTTGATTTTATTTTTATTGGCAGATGATGAAGGAGTCTCAAAGTAAAGATAACATCACTGTTCGATGGGACATTGGACTTAATAAGAAGCGAATTGCTTATTTTGTCTTTCCCAAGGTAGACTTAATCAGTTTGTTCTGTTGCGTGTTTTGCACTGTCGTTGTGCGTTGGATTAATAATTCATGTGACATGTAGGAAGATAATGAGTTACGCCTTGTACCTGGTGACGAACTACGACTGCGCTATTCAGGTGATGCAGCTCATCCATCTTGGCAGTCAGTGGGTCATGTGGTATGGCTTCTTTCTCTGAACTATTCAGCCTTTTCATCTCATTGGTGACAGTGGATTTGGCTTTTGTGTTTGCTTGACATTTGTGGAAGTCAATCTGTATTACTGTTGGACAATGTTGAGGGATTGTTCTTGCTTCTCAGATAAAATTGACTGCACAAGAGGAGGTTGCTCTTGAACTTGGTGCCAATCAGGTTTCTTTTATTTTTGTTTACCTGTTTCAGTGTTTTGTTTGAATCACTTATAGAGTCCTGTTTTGAAGGAATATCAACCATAAACAAGAAAATAAAGGATATGTTTTCAATGTTTTTACAGGGTGTTCCCGTTGATGTGAACCATGGTTTTAGTGTGGACTTTGTTTGGAAGAGCACTAGTTTTGATCGGATGCAGGGGGCCATGAAAACTTTTGCTGTGGACGACACAAGTGTCAGCGGGTCAGTGCCAAGTTACTTTTTCAACACAATCTTTTATTATTTTCATATTATGTATATTAGGAGCAAATGGTACTTGATCTATTGATTTCTGTGCAAGCTAATGTTGTTTAGCTAAATTTATTGTTGTAAAATAATGGCAATGATGCCTGAACTTCTACCTCTTCTCCCTGTCTGGTCCATTTTTCTGGGTTTTACATCCAAAATTAGTTTGGCCTTTGCAGAGGTATTTTTTTCTTGATTCCCATTGCTTATGATTCCAAAAAATTTTACTCCAAGATGGTGCCCAAATGATCACTCATTTGTGTTCTTGGGTTTGATAATATGCTTGTTGTCTGAGGGCTGTTCTCGAATTTCAATGTGCCCAAAACAAAAAATCGGGTCCTTATTTATTTATTTTTATATAAATAATCAGAAAAATTATCATTTATATATTTTGTTTGATTTTTAATATCAATAGTTTTCAAGATTACATATATGTATTTATATTATATTTTATTGTCATTTTCATTTTTTTTTTTCTAGGCAGGGCCCCCAATTTTCAACTGGCCCTGGGCTTGGGCCCAGGCTGCCCACGCCCAGGGCCAGCCTGGTTGTCTGTCATTACTGAATATCTTTTTCTATTGTTGAGGTAGCAAAATGATTCTGATATTTGGCCGAGTGGTGTTGGATGAATAATATGTTAAGCTTCGACTTAAATTTTATATACTTTGTGTGTATATACGAAGAGGGTTGAGGATGGCATTATTGAAGAGTTGATTTGTTGGTTAATTAAGCTCACTTTTCTGTTTTTGGGGCCAAAAAAATTTGTGATAACCATGAGTATCGAACTAGAATGCCTCTTCTGTGAATTGAAGGTGGCCACTTTTACTAACATGCAGTGTGCTTATAGGTACATTTATCATCATCTGCTAGGCCACGAAGTTGAGGTGCAGACAGTTCGTAACACTTTGCCCCGCCGTTTTGGGGCACCTGGTCTTCCTGAACTTAATGCATCTCAAGTATGCCCTCGCAGCTTCTTTCATACCATTTTTAACGACATGCTGTGTTGATTTAGTTCTTTGGCTCTGTTTTTAGATGATTTTTCATCCTCTCCCATGTTGAGACCATAAAAGCAAATTAAATTTCTGATAAGCATGGTTGTCAAACTTATGAGTCAACCCATTGACTTGGACTAGTCAAAATCTGATGCCAAATGCACTAACTTGCATGGTTTGGGGTGTTAAGGGTTGGTGGGGCCAGGTGTGCTACACTGATCAGCAGAACTTCTGATTGCTGATTGAGCACCACTAGTTACCCTCTAATTTTTTAAGGAAAAAGGGAAATAGGATTGTAATCCTCTTTCCAATCCAGCCATCTCTAGTTTGTATCACTGAGCACAGTGCTGTGCTCTTAATCTCCCTACTTTTTCCCTCTAGTAGCGACACTGATTCGTCTTCTGAAATCACTTCAATAAATGCTCGATGTACTCACTTTATTGATAAACTGTTTGCTTACTTTTCCAATTAAAACCACTAACATTAGCACCTCTTCAACATTTTTGTAAGTTTTCAGTTTATTCAAATATATCATTATTGATTCTTCTATTTTTAATGTCAATTAATTAGTTATTTTCTATATAATTTTTCTTACATATTATTGCTTTGTATACATGATATATATCCCTTTTCTTTTTTTTTTTTTTTCGACTCTTAAGAGTTTCCGGGTCTACGAATCCACCCTTCCTTATTTTGTCGACCTCAAGGATCATGTTGGGCAACCATTAAGGGTGTGTTTGTTTGGGGGTTTGGATTTTGGATTGGGATTTGAATAGTAAAAATTTTGAATTTGAATAGTTGTATGATGTGATATAAATAGAGTTTGATGTGATGTTTTGAATGTAAAATTGATTTTTAGAATAATATAAAAAATGAAAAATAGGTGTTTGATTTGATGTTTTTTGGGGAAAAAAATTGGATGAATAGTGGAAATCCTCCAAAATCCTTCAAACAAACACACCCTAAAAGGCTTATTGTGGCATTGTGAATCAATGAATTATCATTTTTCCAATCCTAGTCAGTGTCAGTGTTGGGAGATTAATTATTTATCAATGAATGACATTTCTGCTGAAGTCTACCGCAAAAGTAAAGTTTCACTCTTGTTTTCTTTTATGTGAATTTAGTCAAACCGTTTGTTCCAAAGATGTTATGTTACCAAAAATTGCATTTAATGCTTATAGGTTTTTGCTGTTAAGAGTGTCTTGCAAAAGCCTATTAGTCTCATCCAAGGGCCACCTGGAACTGGAAAAACTGTCACATCTGCTGCAATTGTTTATCACATGGCAAAACAAGGCCAAGGGCAGGTTGCATTCATACTACTTCTCGCTGATACTTTTTTTTTTCTTGCTTGAGAGCTTTTATTTCTGTTTAAGTGTTTATAATTTATCTTTCAATCCAGGTTTTGGTATGTGCTCCAAGTAATGTGGCAGTAGATCAGCTAGCTGAAAAAATAAGTGCAACTGGTTTAAAGGTTTGGATATTACTATTATTACTAAGCAACTTTATATATCAAGTCAACATTTCTTTCTGTTGTTATTAATGTGTTTTTAGCTATCTACTCATCAATCCTACACATTGTAGATACGATTAGCAAATTGCCTGATGAATAAATTTTTTGAAAAATAGTGAATAAAAATACATTGCTAAATCGAAAGCATTGTAAAAGAAGAAATAATCGGTTTTTGATGGCAGATAGGATCATCAAACATATGGCAGGATAAACAGATTCATGGGTTGGCTAAATTGATTTGCTGTTTGTTTATTCATCTTCTGAGTTGAATGATCCCTATGATTTCTGATATGGTAATCACTTGTCTTAGTATATTTTTTTTGCCTTTTTAGAATATCTATTCAAAACATTGAACCTAAGTTAGAAAATCACCTTAGACACTCTGACACTTGCCTTTAAAGCTCAAGATTGTTTAGTTGAGGCGCATGTGATTCTTAGGTTTATAGAAGTAATGCAGAAACAGGTTTGGAACATTTCTTTGAGAAAGAAATGTAAAAGATTGAAGCACAGAAGTAGGTGAAAATTGAGAAGTGGAAAGTATGGCAAAAATATATATGGTAAACAAAGGCTTTCATTTTCAGGGTGCATACACCACCTTTCCTGGTTCAGTATTGCTTTTATTTTCTTCTTATTATAAGTATTATCTATTAATTTATTTATTTTCGCAAAGTAAAGCAATTTTCTAAGAGTTCTGTTTCTCAGGTTTTACTTGGATACTGTTTCACTCCTATAGTCCTATTGACAGTTTAATTCATCCTAAATCTTATTATGAGTTGGCTTTTGAAAAATTAGTTTAGTGCATGCCATTATTTTCCTTCTTCCATCCTGCTTAGGCTTTCTGACAGCAACTAAAACAAATGTGAAATTTATTGGAGGATATAGAGAGCTTGAGGGACAAATCTCTTTTCTCTAATTTTGATATTATATATATATATATATTTGTAACTGGTTTTTGTTATTTTGTTTTTGGAAGGTTGTGAGGCTCTGTGCGAAATCAAGGGAAGCTGTTAGTTCGCCTGTTGAGCATCTAACCTTACACTATCAGGTCTGTGTATTTTTTATCAAAATGATAGCATCCTTCCTTGCCAATTTCTTTAATTTTTGCTGGATTTTATGGTGGCTTTCTAGGCATTCAATGAGTCATAATATTTCACATTTTCAGCATTTTTACTTTTCCAACAAATGTTTTCCACCCCATGTTTGCAGGTTAGGCATCTTGACACATCTGAAAAAAGTGAACTACACAAGTTACAGCAGCTGAAAGATGAACAAGGTATGTTCTATTTATCCATTTCTCTTGCCTGCTTTTCCTTCTTTTGTCCATAGTTTCTGAGTGATTGGCATTTGAAGTTAGCTTTGGCATGTGTTGCCTGTTATTTTTATTTTTTGGCCTCTTCTGTGCGTAGAGGAATATTAGATTATTTGTTTCTCTATGAATGTATGATCAATATTTAAACACAACTTTCTTGTTAGATGTGTTGTGTTCCTTTGAAATCCTGATAGGTGAGGAAAGCAATATTGATTTCAAGTGTGAAATTATAATTGGCCTAGTAATGAATTGGAAAAAAGTTGTCAGAGGGAAGTAAAAGAGGATAGTGTATTGTTTATCTTGCGCATTTTCAAAATTTTCATTTTCATTTTATCATTTATTACATATTTTGGATTGAACTGTGTCATCTAGCATCAAATTTATTTAATTCTTCCTGCATTGCGACCTTGGTGACAGTGTGTGAGTTGATTTAATTATTATACTTACTATGCTATTTGTTAAGTGCAGGATTTTGTTTTGCTATTGCATAAAAATCTGAATATTAACACTTAATCTCACATGCCACAGGGGAATTATCAAGCAGTGATGAGAAAAAGTACAAAGCACTCAAGAGAGCTACGGAGAGGGAGATATCTCAGAGTGCTGATGTTATATGTTGTACATGTGTTGGTGCTGGAGATCCACGGTTGGCAAATTTTAGATTCCGTCAGGTAAAAATGGAGGCTTCTGGGCTTTTGCGATTCCTTTATTTCATTAATTATTTTCGCTGTATATGTTTGGTGAGAAGTGCCCGATTCGTTGATTTGTCTGTGGATTATCCTATTAAACTTTAAACTTACAGGTTCTTATTGATGAATCAACTCAAGCAACAGAGCCTGAATGCCTGATTCCTTTGGTCCTTGGAGCTAAGCAGGTATTTGATGGATATAGGACTTATTATGTTTATTCTCTGTAAAGATTTGTATTAGTCTGTATCAAATAAGTATGATATTAAATAGTTGATCCCTATTTTCCCTTTAATTACATCTTGTGGACGGTGACCTTAGAACCCACCTGAGATTTGTTGAATTTACACAACAAATTCCTTGTCTGTTTTACAATATCATATCTTGAGGTTTGTGAGTTGTAACTTATCATGAACTATTAAAGCTGCTCTTCATTTTTTGCAGAGCAGACTTTGTAATATTAAAGTTCTACTCTGATTTTAGAAATTATAAACTTTTTGTAATTTTCAAGTTCAGGTATTTATCTGAGGCTAATTTCAATGTAAGCACAAACATTCTTTTTTCTTATCAAATTATGTGTTGTCAACAGAATTGCCTTTTTTTCAAGGATTCTTTAGAAGCAATAATGATTAAATGTTTGTATTCCTGAAATGGAAAATAAAAACACTTACTATAGATAGTTTTCCCTTAGACTCTCTAGTCTTACTGTAAAGGTTTCAAGTTTAACTGAGGGTGAATCATCATTGTACCTAAACCCTAGGATCTTGTAACAAATGTTTTAGAATTGATGAGGTATGTGTGTATTTGGAATGCTGCAGGTTATTACCTCCATGCTGAACAAACATAATGGGAATTTTGCCTTCATTTCTAGATTGAATTTCACGTTTTCTCTGAATATAGTATCTAACAACAAGTTCATTGCAGGTTGTTCTTGTTGGAGACCACTGTCAGCTTGGTCCTGTCATTATGTGTAAGAAAGCTGCAAGAGCTGGACTAGCGCAGTCTCTGTTTGAACGGCTTGTGCTGCTTGGTGTGAAACCAATCAGATTGCAGGTAATCATTCTTTATAGGATCATGTATATATCATTTATTGGTGCATCTCATGTTTTTTAAAAAAAAAAATTGCATGCTCAATTTTCTTTAGTTTATTGTGTGTGGCCATTTATATCAACCTTCTCACTTCAGCTTCCTGTTACCCCCACCCCATGTTTGCACTAACTCAGTAGATCGTAATTGTCTTGTAACTCACATATAAGAGCCTTATTTTTGTTTATGGGTTACCCACCTCTCTTGATGCAAACATGATTTATAGGGGTGAGCATTCGGATTTTCGGTTCAGATTTGCCAAATCTGAACCTATCCGAAAATCCAAAATTTTTGAAAAAATCAATCCGAACCGAAATAACCAAAATTCGAAATCCGAAAATCTGTAATCCGAACTAAAAAATCCGAACCAAGCCGAAAAATCCGAAAAATTCTAAATATTTTTATTATTATTTTTTTAATTTTTAAATTTCTTTTATATTTTATAATTATTTTATCATATTAAATATATATAATATATTAAAATTAAATATATTAAAATATAATTAATAAATTTGAGTTTTTTATATTAAAATATAATATTTTCTAATAAAATATTAAATATGCATAATAAAAAAATATATTAAAATGTTATATTTCGGATTGGTTCGGATTTTAAGTATACCGATCCGAAAATCCGAAATTTGTTAAAAATTCAATTTGAAAATCTGAAAAATCCGAACTAAAATTAAAATTTCGGTTTGGTTCGGATTTAATTTTTGGATTTCGGATATTTTGCTCACCCCTAATGATTTATGTGTCCGTGTAATATATTTATGGATTTTCCATTTCCATCAATGGTAGGTTGTAGCATGCTGATCTTTTTAGTTCTTGCCCTGAATTTTTCACTTTTATTCTAATGGCCAGAAATAAAGAGATGGCACAGCCTTTATAAAAAGTAAATTAAATAATAATTTTCTAATGCTATACATTTGTATGTATTCTAAGCTCTATACTGAAATATGTACTCAAGGGACGCAAGTAGGTAGTGAATGCACATTTAGATTCTTGCATTAGAAGTGAAATTGCATTAAGTTACTGCCTACATCACAGGCCACATATTTCCACCTGTTAATGTTTTTTCTGTTAGTTCCTTGAGACCTTTGGTTTTATTGTTTGTTTTTCCAGGTTCAATATAGGATGCATCCTGCTCTTTCAGAGTTTCCGTCCAACAGTTTCTATGAAGGGACTCTTCAAAATGGAGTTACCATAAATGAAAGGCAGTCACCCGGCATTGATTTTCCCTGGCCAGTGCCTAACAGGCCCATGTTCTTCTATGTTCAGGTATATTGGATTTCTTTGTATAATTGAGGTTTTTTAGGTTCAGCATCTCTAAACCTTTCCTAAAGCATATCTTTGAAGGTTGGGATACACAGAAAAGGCCTATTATTTTGGGATTTTATTGACCTAATAGATGTAATTATTTGTCTGCTTTTTTGTGTTGGAGCAGCAGATTTTAGTTAGAACTTTGAATATATATTTCATTTTCTTGGTTGTTCCCCTTTTGTTGTAGCATTCAGTATATATTGCTAAACCTTATTTTTTTGGTATGCCTAGATGGGACAAGAGGAGATAAGTGCCAGTGGAACATCATACTTAAATAGGACAGAGGCTGCAAATGTAGAGAAAATTGTGACTACTTTCCTGAAGAGTGGTGTTATTCCTAGTCAGGTGCAACAGAGAACTTTTCTACCTGTTTGGTTGCTTGGTTTTGCTTTCCTATGTATAAAGAATGATTGATATATGCTTCCATTCTACAGATCGGTGTCATAACACCTTATGAAGGACAAAGAGCATACATTGTGAATTATATGTCGCGAAATGGTGCTCTGCGGCAGCAACTGTATAAAGAAATTGAAGTAAGACATAATATTTGATTAAATTGGTTATGTAAAACCTTGCATCCTTAACTGATACAAGTGAAATTGACATTTACATTTTTTCTCCAGGTTGCAAGTGTAGATTCGTTCCAGGGCAGGGAAAAGGACTATATAATTTTGTCTTGTGTCAGGAGTAATGAACATCAGGTGAGTTACTATGCTCATGTGGCATAGCGCATCCTTTGCACTGTCTTGCTGCTTCTATGCTTTTCACCCATCTTCCATTCAGTTGTTTCATTTTTCTTTCGTATTTGGATCTGCCTTCTCAGTTGTTGATCTGCTACCCTCATTTCTTTGTTGCTCGCCTTCCATCCCCCCCCCCCCCCCCCACCCCATACCCTTCCAGTTCTCTGTTACATTGTTCTTGCCTGCTGATAGATTGTTCTTATTCTACCTTATGTTGGTTCCACAGCATCCTTGCACAACCAGGACATATATTTGTGCTTGTTAAATAATCTAATTGCAATGTACAGGGTATTGGTTTTCTTAATGACCCGCGTCGGCTTAATGTTGCCCTCACACGTGCACGATACGGCATTGTTATCTTGGGAAATCCCAAAGTTCTGAGCAAGCAGCCTCTTTGGAATGGCTTATTAACTCACTACAAGGTAGTTGCCTAGCTTCTCGTGTTCTCTTTACTCTATTTCAGTAAACTGTGTTCATTATTGCTGTGACTACATTGTGTTGGTGGATTTTCTGACATTTCTTTCCTTCAACGCGCTACTTCAATTATATTTTATTGCAATCATGTAAGAAGATTTCATAACATGCTATTCTTTTGGAATTTTTGACCATTAGGAACACGAGTGCTTGGTTGAAGGACCTCTAAATAATCTTAAGCAGAGTATGGTTCAATTTCAAAAGCCTAAAAAGGTAGGGGTTGGATATACCTATGCTATATGAAGTGTGGTACCAAATTCTCCAGTTTTACAGAGACATTATACTAAGGCTTTTTGGACTTTGTGTGGATTATAATATTATTGTGGCACAGATATACAATGAGCGAAGACTTTTCTATGGTGGTGGACCTGGAATTGTTCCTGGTGACAGTTTTGGTTCGGTTCCCTCAAACCCAAATGCTGATAGAAGGGGCCCTCGTTCTAGGGGTACTCTTTCTCCAAATATATCACTAGTCGAATTGTTACATTACAAATAGAAACTATTACAAATTTTTTGATGTTCATTGTTCAACAATCCTCACTTGAAATAAAAAACCTAACAAAAAATCTTCTTCATAAACTAGGAGGACTAACTATGACCGTTATTCTGATTGATGGCTCCACTAGAGATGCTTGTAGCTTGCAATAGCAATAAGGAATTATTTGGTCTGCTCGCTGTCTCTGTTAATGTAATTTGTTCTTTGTACAGGTACTTACTTGCCTCCTGGTGCTGCCAATGGTAAACCTGGTGTTCACCCTTCTGGTTATGCGATGCCTCGAGTACCACTTCCTTCATATCCCGGTGCTCCTCCATCACAACCATATTCTATTCCAAGTCGTGGTGCTGTACATGGACCTGTTGGATCTATTCCTCAGATTCCACAACCTGGAAGCCGAGGATTTGGGGCTGGGCGTGGGAATTCCAGTGCACCCATTGGTAGTCATCTTACGCACCAGCAAGGCGCACAGCCACCTGTTGGCAGCCATCCTTCTAGTTTCAATTTCCCACCAATGGAGAGTCCTAGTGGCCAGCCAGCAGTGGGTGGACCACTCTCACAACCTGGCTATGTTTCAAATGTTAGTTCCATTTTGGGGTCATTGATTGTTTCTTGCACACTTACATCCTCTCGGGTATAATGTTTGGAAATGTGGTCTTTGCTATTTACAGGTGACCGGTCAAGGAACAAGCCAAACATATAGAGATGGGTTCTCTATGGGTGGCATGTCTCAGGTGATTTCTGTACCGTCTGGTATTTATGTCTATATGTGTGGGTGTGTGTTTGTATCTTACATTTCCTATACATGATGCAGGATTTCTTGGGTGATGACTTTAAAAGTCAGGGATCACATGTAGCTTATAATGTTGCTGAATTTTCCACTCAGGTATGTCAATATTTTTATGCTTGTTTTGTCAAACTTGTTATTCGTGAATGTACATGATAACCTCTTTCTTGTTATGATAATTGCAGTGTTTGCAATTCTTTCTTGATCAGCTGATATTCACCTTGATTTGTGTAACTTGTGTAGGCTTCTCAGAGTGGATATGGTGTTGATTACATTACACAAGGGGCTCAAGGTGGATTCCCTGGGAACTTCTTAAACCAGAACTCTCAAGCTGGATATGCTCGTTTTGCCCCTGGAAATGAATACCTGTCTCAGGTTTAATTTCTGTTCTCTCTCTCTCTCTCTTTGCAACCATTTATGGTTTGGGCTCGAGCTTTTCATTTGTCTACCTTGTCTACCTATTTTGAATTTGAGAGTATTTCAGATTTGAGCTATTATCTATGGTAATGGAAACGGGTTTTATCCAAAACCCTCCACATCAATGGGTCTTGAGGATTCCTGAATCAATGTTTGAATGTGATTCTGAATTCCTTATAATAGTGAAGTAAATCAAACATTTATGAAGTTTATTTCAAATTTTATATTTTCATATTTATTTATGAGTCGCCGCCAACCTTAAAGTTTGAACCCTAAACACCTCGGAATATTTTTTAGTTGCCTTCATTTGGCTGTCAATGGGGTCTAATACTGCTAAATTTTACAGGAGTATATGGCTCATGGTTCACAAGGATTATTCACGCAGGCTCCATTTAGTGATCAGTCTCAAGATGATACCTCTCCGAACCATTTTGGTGTAGCCAATGCCAATCCACTTCAGTCACAGGTTTTCCTTTATTAATAGATTTGGTGGATTTTGCTTATATGTTGGTAGAATTAATGAAATTGCTTGACATTTATGTTACGCTGAAGTTCTGTGATCTCGAGCAGATTCACAATTTTTTTGGTTTTATTAGTATTTCATCCATTCTTTATCTTTTTGATAAAAGGTCATCTTAGATTCCAATTGCCCAATTACTTCTGGAGTTGGTTTCTAAAATCATCCTTTTTTTTGTCATTTGTAGGGTTTGATGAATCCCCTATATTCACAGCCATTTGCACACTACAAATCACAGCCACTGAATGCCCAAAATCCTTCGCAACAGCATCCATCTCAGCAGGGACAAGCTTCCCAAAATCAAAAGCTCCACTACAGTGGTTGAGGGCAGTAGCATCGATGAGTGGTGATGACAATGGGTTATTATCCTCCCTTTCATACATCTGGTTTGTGCTGTCATTCTTGGCAATTACTATCTGCCATAAAAAAAAAATGCTTTTATAGTTCGACACTGGAGTCAGGTTGATTGATGACACTACAAGGATGAATCTCAAACAACTGGATCAGTTTAGTTCGAATTAGAGAAGGCGCACATCACATCAGACATCGCCCTGTCAGCACAACTAGATCTTGAAGAGAGAGGTAGCCCTAGTGATCTCGAGTGTTGAGGATATAATATCACAAAGGCATGCTACCCGGGCAAGAGTTCGGGACGCAAATCCAGCCAGTAGTTACATCTAACGGGTGCCCCATATTTTCTTAGAGCAGCTACTGCTATGGTTTTGTACAGCATGCCGGGAAGTTGTGCCACTGATATCAGTGGTTAGTACTTCGGCTCTATGGACAACTTAAAACTTACTTTTGTGTTTGTGTGCGACGTAGATTATATATTTCTAAGTTTATGTACCGAATTCTTATTGCTATAAGGTTGTGGTCGTTCACTTTGCCATGTATGAAGTCTCTCTACCAACTCTATATGTGGTTTGTAATCTAAGTAAGGTAATTTGTTGTTTCTGCTTTTCTTAGGATATTATGATTTGAAAGCTCGATAGTATTTTGGGTGCTAAGAACATTGATTTTTCTTGCCACGATTTGCATTTTCCTTGACTTCAAAATATCACAGTAAACTTGATAAAACTTTTGGCGGATTTTTTATGCAAATGATGGCCCGAAGTATCTGTGGGGCATCTGTGTGTTTTGAAGTATTTACAATTATTGAATTTGATGTTTTAATTTTGATTAATTTACTCCTATTTGTGCGGTAAAAAGCATAAACTATTTAACTCATACAAAACATGTACAAGATCTTAGTGGTTTGTTGGTTTTAATTTGAAACTAAAATGAAACTATTTAGTTTGTATGATATTTTATAAAATGAAGTGTTTTTATCTCAAAGTATCATATGATATGTAGCGTAGATTTTAATTTCAGTCTTTCTATTATGTTAAATATCAAATTCAAAATCAAATACAAAACTAAAACTCCAAATAAGCAAATCCTAAGTCTATACACATTCTAAACTCATCTAGATATTCCATCAATTCATATGCCATTGCTCTTTGTTTTTGTTGGAATACAAATGGCACAACTTGGACAATCTCTCAATATTGAAATCTTCCTGAAGGTTTTTCTAATTGCTCTAACAACAATTCTCTAAAAGTAATCCAAGCTGTAGTCCACGTAAGATAGAATTGTTCTCTAAAATTACTCAATATGCATTTCTTGTAAATTTTTAGTTTGTTCTAAGGATGAAAATGGCCCCCAGGTAATGTCTCTCTTCCAATGGAGAGTACAGAAACAATCATCATAGCATATATCAACACGTAAAAGAGGGTAAGAAATCTCACAAACATTCTTGAGATTATATGGCTGCAGTAGGCACCACCAACCATGTCCAATTTACCAACAAATGATGCTACTTGCAACTTTGCCTTAATACCAAAAGCATGTGGGATCACTTTTTACAAGGTTGTGGTAGGTCAGAAGCGAAACGAGGAACCGTACATGCTTCTCAGGTATCATAAGGGGCTGTCATAACTTGGAATGTTGCCGCCATGGGCAGCCCCCTTCGAAAGCCTGGTCCAAGACATCCTCCATTCGCTTTGCAAATAATATCTGTCATGTAAAGAGTATTTCAAGATAACTCAGGTCATAAGAACTCCTGTATGTATTGCAATTGAGTCCTTGCTTTCAGGTATCATCTATGTCATCTAGAATATAAACAGCTTTGATAAATACATTCCCTCCTAATTGAAATCAGTGTTAGCAGACTTTGTGGAGCTCGGATACTGATATTTTTAAGATTGGTAAAATCTGAGCTTGAATATGGTGTGATTAAGATTTACCTCCAGATTGGAGAGCACTGCTGATGGTACTTCTAACAAGTCCTTCAAGTTTCTCTCTGGTAGAATAACTCTCTTAATTCCATAGCGATGGGCCGCTAAGACCTGTTTTGGACATTAGTTAAGTTGTAGAATAAAGAAATAGCACAGCTAGCAATTGAACAATGAAACCAATAAATATCTTAAATTATTTATTTACATGATGTAACTTATTCTTATTCTTATCTGAGAGATCGGACTATATATTGATAGCATTAAAGCAAGAAAGATAATCAAGTCATAAGAGAAGTCACTTATACGCAACTCTTCCTCAAATCATTGCTAAACACCATAAATTCGCCAAACCCATTCTATAGTTTCGAATAAGTAGTTAAAAAGAAAATGATTTAAATAAAAGAAATTTGCGAAACACCATAAATTCATTGCCAAACTCTTCCTCAAATCATTGCTAAACACCATAAATTCGCCAAACCCATTCTATAGTTTCAAATAAGTAGTTAAAATGAAAATGATTTAAATAAAAGAAATTTGTGTATGCTAACAAACAATTGATAGTAACAAAAATATATGAACAAAATTTTTCAGTTTATTTAATAATAATTGAGATCAATTATAAGTTGATGTATGTAAAATAGACCTACTATTCAAAAGTAAAGTTAGATAACATCAGAAAATTGGAAAATAAACTTAAGAGATTGCCAGACATCAGTTTGTTTGAAAGAGTCCTGGTCCAAAGAATAAAAAATGAAGCCACAAGTTAAGACATATTTCTAATTCTAAAAGTAACAATCGACTCTAGGATGGCTGAAACAGCACATAACAATGTCTTGCTACACCTGGTTCTGACTAATGCAACCAAAAATGTATTAGTGATAGAATGACCACATAATTAGATCAGGTAATGACAGTCAAACAGAACTAATTCATTAACAAATAACTAAACACGTAAGAAAAAAACGCACCTTGTCCTTTATGCCACCTACTGGTAACACTAAGCCCCTTAAAGTCATCTCCCCAGTCATTGCCGTATCTGCTCTAACTCTTCTCTTACTGAAGAGCGAAACCAGTGACGTAACAAGAGTCACACCAGCTGACGGTCCATCCTTTGGCACTGCCCCAGCAGGGAAATGTACATGAATATCTCGGCCTTCAAGGAGGTTGCTCTTTTCAGCACTAACTAAATTAAGTTCTGTTGCTCTTGCTCTTACCTGAAGGTAGAGAAAGAATAACAATTACATTACCGAGGAAAAGCACTAACTTGAGAACCACACTACTTTTCTGCAGAAAGAAATGCAGAATACAAGCACTGTACGTAGGTTTCCCAAGCAATGATCAGAATCACGAGTTTTTTCATTAAAATCAAATATCATATATGCAAAGTTTACTTTTGAATATTCAAGTGGAAAATCAACTGCACAGTCAAAGATTTCAACTATATTCCAAAAGCATCGCCCTATGTTGATGTCGATCAATATGCATCTGGAATAACTATTGCCAATCTAAGATACCAGTAGTTTTGCGAGTTTGTAAGTAATGATCATCCAATGATGATACAATAATATGGCTCCCTGGATTTTGATTTTATACACAACAAGAAGTGACAACATTGAAAATTACACATAGCAATCCAAAACTATTACAAGTGTAAACCCATTGAAGTTACTGTATGGATATTTTATAGATCATTGCGCCTAATGTGCATAAATCTATCATTGTGAGAATAAAAAAAAGTATTGAGTAGAAATTTGTGTTTCTGCAGAAAAATTCAAATTACAAGCACTAGACATTCAGACTGTATTATTATATACTACTTAGTGGCTGGTAATCAGGAATAAATGAAACACTGACAAATTATACATCAGGCAATGGAACAGTGCCTGCCACTCTTATAGATTATGTAGTGATTTCTTATCTTGATTACAACCAACATAAAAAATTATTAACTAACTCAACACTGCTCATACGCACACAAAATTAGGCAAAAATCAAGAAAGAAACATGGACTCCACAAAAAGTTGTGCTAGGTTCCAAGAAATAAGAAAAAGGCACAATTATCACCACATGTTTTTCATAGAAACTTGTATCTTACTCAAACCTCAATAGTTTTACTTTCCAAAGATATCAGAATGATCAACATAGGTATGGTGTACATATAGATTCTGAACAACAAGGACAACTTACCACACGCTTGTGATAGGTTGTGACAAATTTCTCAAGACAAGTATGAAATCCTTTTTACGAACATCATTTGGCACATATAAATGGAAAGCATGGATAAATTACCCAAGTCATTGCTATTTGTGCCGATTCCTTGATAACATCCCCAAGTTGACCTGTGAGATGCAAATCACCCTTCCCTCCCATTGCAGTAGCCTCAACAAATTGAACTTCCCCTCCAAATGCTGTCCATACCAATCCGACAGCTACCCCAGGAGTTGCAACACGCTCAGCAGTTTCTTTATCATCATATCGAGGGGGCTGAATTCCAGGATAATAAAAGTAACCCACATGTTAGGCAATATAAGATTACAAAGCTATTAAATAGAGAGCAGACTGGAAATGAAATTCATTAGCATGACAATCAGTGTTTGACCAAGTAAAAAAATACCCAACCCAATTCTCACTTATACAAAACAAAAACCTTATCCAAACACACACACACACACAGACATATAGTCACATGCTCACACACATTGTTATACTTACTCTAACTAACCATTTCTGTATTATGCATATTATAATCCACTTAGCATAAATATTATAATTTTCCAACCCCCCAAAAAACATAAAAGAAAAATCACACCAAACACAGAAGGCATCATTTATATATACATACACACACACACACACAGAGCAAGAGAAAGAGAAGCAACCATAACAAAAACAATTTTACCTTCAAATAAAGGTTCCAAACAAACAAGCCTAGGAACTCAATAAGTCATTTCTACGATTTTGAAAGATAACACTACTTACACCAAGAACTTTCTCCAACATAGGTTCATCCACAGTGCAGTGAGAGCTGATCTTGAAGGCATTTGATATATCATGGTTATTAACACTGATAGGGATAACTTCCATTTCCACTTCTGCCTCTTCAGCTAGTCTATTTTCCTCTAATAACGGTGACGCTAGCCTCTGAACATCTTTGCTCAGTGGCACAGCATTATCTTGTTCAGCAACTCTTACTGCTGCAGCACGAGCCAGAGCAGCCAAGTTTCTCTCCAGGTTACGCACACCAGCTTCTCTTGTATATCTTTGAATTACATGTTTAACCATTCCCTACCAAAAAAATCAATACTCATTAAAATTATGACCCCTCCAATTTTATAATGGCATCTGCAAGACTGCAACTCAAGCGGACTTTGTTATAAGATGGATGCAAATTCCAGCACCAGAAGAAAAAACAATGAGAAGACTCTATAGCCTAAGGATATAAGAAAATGACTACATGTAGCTGGGATTGTATGCTTCAAAAAAAATAGCTGAAAATGGGAGCACCCGTAAAGAGAAGAGGTTCATAATTTTCATAAAGAGGGCACTAGTATAGAGAAACAGTTTACATATAGTATTGTACATGCAATTATACTGTATGAGAACGAACATAGAAAACAAGTTACTATCTCTGATAATACGTTTGACAGGAGTAATAAACAGTTAAGAAGTGTTCGGTATTATGCCGTCAAGCAAAAGAATGAAGCTCTTTCTGATACTCTATGATCTCAAATACAGGTATATATATGGTCATACCTCAGGAATTTGAAGGAAATCAGAGCTCAAGCCATGCTGATCAAGAACCCGTGGAATTAAATGTTGCATCGCTATTCTGAGTTTCTCCTCAGGTGTATATCCTGGCAGCTCAATGACTTCCATCCTGTCCAACAGTGGGGGTGGAATAGGCTGCACTCTATTTGCAGTAGCCACAAAAATGACCTTTGAAAGGTCAAATGGCACATTCAGATAACTAAAATTTCAATCAAGGATCACCATGACAAAATATTTCAATTGTCTATCAGAAATTCTCACACATTAAATAAACATGTTCCGCGCTCTATCCAAAATGCTGATTAAAAAAAAAAAAAAATCAACTTAAAAATCAGAAAGGCTATCCTATAGTTTTACAAGGTTTGGGTAATGTTTAGGTGACCACGTCACCTATAAAACATTATCACTTTTATCTTTTAATTTTAAGTTTTGCTTTCAGCTGCTGCAAACCATCTCCTAACACACATCTGGGAGCCAGTTTTTCATATATGACCTTGGTCATTGAACACTTTTTCAGATATAGATGGGGTTAAAGATATGAAGATGGAATTTCCTATTCCACTCTTAAGAATTAAGTAAAAGCAGCATAATTGCTATAGCGTCTAAAAGCTTATACTACTACACATATGCATGTCTTTAGATTTATTGAGGTCTTTATGCTTGCTCCAACAGTTTGATCCTCATCCAAGAAAAGGGAAAACAATTGAAAGGATGCTTTCCAATGAGTGTACATTTAGTTAAAAAAGGAAACACAAACGCAACTACAATAAAAAGATGATTCAAGATACTGCATAATGATGGGAAAAAATCAGTGAACAAGATAAATATTCAACATGTTAATTTTTTAATTGCCAGTGGCTGTTCTTAAAATACCATTTTACCAAAAACAGAAATTGTAGGATACTGATCATTAAAGGTTTTATTCTGCTCAGGATCAAGGACCTCAAGCAACGCAGATGCCGGATCACCCCGAACATCAGAACCTGTTTTATCAATCTCGTCAAGTAGCATAACTGGATTGCAAACACCTACTCTCTGAAAAATCAAAAGAGCATGTCAGCCCCACTTTTGCAAGCCAAATATACTAAACAAGAGAGTCGGATTTAGAATAGCATGCTAAACCTAAAGGGCATTGCCTGTAATGATATGCATGGGGATTAGAAATGAGAACATAGGATATAAGACTTCATACGAATTATGAGTAGTTACAGTTAAGTTTAAGATTTGAAGTACAAGGCGAAAAGCACTAAGCGTATGCAAAGATGAAAAAGCAGTGAATAAACAAGTACCATAGCATTTCGTAGTAGATTTAGCAAACCAATATACACTACTAAAATAGATAGTATAATCATGTAAATATATAATTTCTTAGTAAACTATATTATATTAGCAAACTTTCATGCCATTAAAATAATATTTTCTGTAGTATGAAGTGGATCCGCATAATTTATTTACCAAAGTTTCATATAAATTTCATGAGACTGTATATTATCTTTCCCAAGGATAACAATATTTCCCTTGAATAAATTTCCATCATGTTAAACAGAAAAAATGACTAGGTCACTTCAAGAACTCATTTCTTTATATTATCAGATATCTTCACTCATATGTGCATGATTGATACCCATCTTCAAAAGTTCACATCGGTAATTTTTTAGTTACTCAACAAAAATGACAGGAAACAGACCTTGAATTTACAATCTTATACCTATGTTCAGCCACACAACTGATTCAGAATTCAACCCCACAAAAATGAACTAATCGTTAACTCTGCCATAATTTCAATCATTCAATTGAGGCAGATTGTTCCTTCCAGTAATGTAACTGCAAATTACGAAGGTGTAAGGTCTTTGAAGCATCAGCTCTCACCTTCAGTCCATCAATAAGGCGACCAGGCATGCTCCCGATGTATGTCCGCCTATGCCCTCTAATATCCGCCTCATCTTTTACACCACCTAGGGATATCCTGACAAATTTTCTCCCCAAAGCAGCAGCAATGGACGAAGCTAAAGAAGTCTTTCCAACACCTGGTGGGCCAACAAAACATAAAACTGGACCTCTTGCATCCGGCTTGAGCTGCACCATATGTTTGAGATACATTAATGATGAATCAATAACTACCAAAAATAGGGACGATGAAGAGTGATGCAGTAACAAGCTAACAACCTTACGAACAGCCAGATATTCAATTATCCGCTGCTTCACCTTCACTAGACCATAGTGGTCAATGTCCAGGCGCTCCTTCGCAGCCTTTAAGTCCAACTCCCTTTCTTCACTGGCTTTTTCCCAGGGCAGGTCAGCAAGAAGTTCAAGGTATACACGAGAGCTGTTATATCCAGGTTGCTGAGGCTGCATTTTTTTCAGTCTCCTGATATCGTAGATTTAATTTGGAATCATTAGAAACTCAGCCATACACATAATCCAGAACCATGGAAAATTAAAAGGATATTTCATAAAGTTATCAACCTTAATATATCATAATTGATATATATATATATATACTATTATATGCATACAAACTATGCAATAATACTCAATCAGTCTCTATACATGTTTTATAAAACTATTTGCTTATGACTGAAAACTTACTAAATATATATATATATATGTATACATACTTCCAACTGTAAGAAATTTACACTTTCAGAAAATTTAGAAAATTAAGATAAAGCAAGTCAGGTAAATCAATGAAGAAATACATGAGAACACTTCGCTCTTAACTTCAACACAAGGAACACCAAATATCCAACAGAATGACTCTTAGAACTCCAGGAGCTGAGAAGGATTCATAAACACCAAAATCAAAAAACTTACTAACATTGTAATCCTAGAAGAATTACCATATGATGGTCTAAAGAGAAATGACATTAAAACCGTTTTTTGATCTCTCAATCAGTAAGCCGTCAAACACTAAAATTCATATAGAGAATAATTTCCTACCCATGCCACAGTAAATTCATACCTTAATTCTCTCTGAGCATGTTTCCAGATATCAGTTGGCATCCCTGCATCTTGCATCTTCCTTTCTAGGGCAGCAACATCATCCTCCTCATCATCATTATCACCAAGTTCCTCCTTTATAGCCCTCATCTGAAGGTACATGTCCTCAAGCATGAGCTATAAATAGATACATACATTCACATAAATAATCAAATCTGTAAGATATAAACCTGCTGACGGAGGAGAAACTCTTTCTGTGACTTGGATAACTGCCCTTCTACTTTTTGTGTAATCTTCTCAGCTACACGAATTGACTACACAATACAAATAAAAGAGGCATGATAAAACATTATACTATCTGTCAAAATGTGGAAGTCCCCTTAGCTGAATCCCAGATACCTGTAAATGCCTATCAACCAATTCGGTCGCTTTTGACAGCCTTGCTTTCACATCAACAGCATCTAACATGGAAAGCTGCTCTTCAAAGCTAATTTCAAAGCTTGCGACAAAGATATCAGCCAATTTATGTACGGGAACTGTCTCTAGGAGAACTTTCGTCCTCCCTCCTGTTTTTTGTTTCTAGATAAAGAAACAACTCAATGAGAGCAAATTGTATCTTTAAAAGGTGAATGGTTGACATGCATATCAAATTTCAACAAATTCCCAACATTCTAACTAATGCTTTAGGATCAACTCAACAACCTAAACAAAAATTGTACCTGCTCAAGCACAGAAATTAGTTCAGTGGCTGTGACCTTGAACTTTCTGGATAACGCTATGAAATCAGGATCTTGTTCCACTTGATCCATCTCTAAAAAGATTAGTGAATAATTCAGTATGTCAACAAAGCTAGTTCTATTTAGTTAGTTCTGATGACGGTCCTTTTCCAACAGATATTGCATCAAAAGTAAGTCCGTGCATCATATTTAAGTCCAAATTATGAATGAAAGAACGAGCTGTCGCTAAATTAAAAAGATAATGCATCCAGTTGATCCTCACTCAGTACATTTCAAGAGGTTCAATCAAGCAACTGTGAACTGATTAAAAGCTCTCTTTATTAGAATGTACACAGTGATGGGTATATCATAAATCATAAATCAAAGAATCAACTTTAAAACCGTTCACATGCCGATTGTTGTAGGGAAAGGTGTGCATTGGACCATCTACTAACCCGAAACGGGGATGCATATAAAAAATTGATAAAACTTTGCTTCTTTCAACCTATTTCTCGGAGAAACTATCATTCAGTGTATTATTTCTGAATGATCACATAAAATCCAGAGTTTTGAAGGTATTTGCTAGAGAATTTATGCTGTAACCACACTCATTATGTATATGATCAACAAATTTATGCCCCATGAGAAATTCGCTTCAGAAAAAGAATCACAGATATTTACCAACTTTCGTCATATCTAATGAAGTGATCCGAGCTGTGTAATATGTTCCCCTTGTGCTCAGCTCCTGCACACTAAATCTGCACAACCCTTCAAGGACAACAATATAGGTGACCCTTCCACTTGGTTTTTCAACTCCTCTCGACAGATGTAACGCACGCGCAGCAACTCCTCTGTCAAGCACATAGTTGCAGCATTTATCAAGCCCATAGTTGTAAGCAGAGCATAGTGTCATGAAACAAAGACCTTCTTGGAGCTATGGCAGAGAAGTCTATAGTAAACAAAATATATCTGCACTATTAACTATTTACAAAAATAAACCACAACATATACCATATAATAAATATCATTATATAGAATCACATTAAAGTAACAGGTGCTGAAATTGCCTCCAAAATGACATAATATAAAACAGCCCTGAATTAGCATTCTATGGCACTAAACAACTAAAACTAAATCAAAACGGAATTTGAAGCCACCAGGGTGAGAGTATCCAGCTTTCCAAGCATAATTATATACCTGTTATGCCAGTGGACAACTTCCTGTTGATTTTTAGCAAATTGTTTGGGGGGATCTGATGCTTCCTCTTGAGGTTTCGAGCCTCGTTCTCCTGTGCTAATTTCCACGCCTTACAAATTCGATTTTCAAAACTTATCAGATCGAATCACAATAGTTGCAACAGACAGCTACTAATCACTCCTTAGCAAGACATTCATTAAAATTCAAAACAGGTCAATTTTATCTTCGAAATTGAAGAATTGTTAGCTTAAACCCTTGGACCAAAATTAAGCCCCATATCACCTGGAGGCGCCGTGGCGCTGAAACCGGCGGTCGGAGTCTCCGCCGCAGCATCTCTAACCGGCAGGATACCAATTAGCCCTTTCTCCTCCCTCTGCCATAGCTCTTGCTCCACCAGCTTCACACTAACAGCACAACACAGATAAAAATTCGCTCTAAATGCCAAGAAAAACGCAGAAACGCAAAAACCACAAACTCCCAAAAATTGGGAAAAAAAAAAAAGCATGTAATTAGCTCGGTGCGCACCTGCTGGGCGAAGTGCATCGAATTCGAATAATTGCACCAGGCAACAAGACTTTGTTCCGGAAAGGAAGAATCGCGAGACGACCCGGCAGTTCAACCGATTCCGCCATACCTGCAGCGCCGCGCGTATACCCAACTCGTGAAAATAAAAAATTAAAAAAAAAAAAAAATCAATTCAATACCCAGAGGGGCAGAGGCCGAAATATGAACACCAGGTAGGGAGAGGAGAGGAGAGAGGTTCTTGCAAGATGGAAAAATCAAGAAAATATGTCGTGAGGGGAAAGGTCAATTTGTGATTGTGAGGTGAACGAACAATGATGATGATCAGTGGGAGCAGAAACTACAAAGCTACAGCCTTCTGACAGGCGACAGCTTCCAAATTGTATCCCACTTATTTATTTCTATTATTTTTATTTTTAGTATATAAATATATATATTATTAAAATAAAGTGGATGTGCTTTTTTTATATATATTTTTATTTTTATTCCAAATTTTATTATTCAATAAAAAATAAAATTAAAAAACATTGGATCAAATTTTTATTTTTTATTTTATATATTACATTAAAAATTAATTTTACATACAAAATATTACATCAATAATTGTTTTTATTAGATCATACCATCATATTATGATTATATCAATTCAAAAATTTTAATTCATCCTTTCTAAACACTTCATTGGAATTTAGTTAGACAGTATTAAATAGGATAATTTGAAAATTATGTGATGAGAAAATTGTGATGAATAAAATGTATATATATAAATAATTATTTTTAAATTAAAAAATATTGTACTGAACTATGACCAAAAAAAATAAAAAAAATATTGCAAAATATTTATAACAAACTAAGTACTGTTTAAATCATAAACACAAAATCCAAATCCAAATCCGAATATACCAACACGATCACTTGAAATTTAACAATGGAGATTAGATTTTAAATATACTATTCATTTCATTTTTTTTCCCAAAAATATTAAATCAAACACTTATTTTTTATTTTTTATATTATACTAAAAATCAATTTTTACATTCAAAATATCGTATCAACAACTATTTATATCACATTATACAGCTATTTAAATTCAAAAATTTGTACTATTTAAATCACGACTCAAAATCCAAACCCCCGACAATAACGCAAAAATGGATTGGCCGGTGGGTCTTGTAATTCTAAACCGCCCCTACTACTGTTGATAATCCCTACAAATTTTATCAATCTGTGTAGTGCTATTTAGCAATAAATTTTTATTAAAACATATCAAATAAAAAAAATGAAGAGTTATTTAAAATAAAATTATGAAAGGTGAATTATATGGTAAATAAAATTGATCAGTAGTATTTATTAGAATGTGTCCAAATTTTTATTCATAAATCATAATAGATATATAATCATCGAAATAAGACATAAATCACCTAAATGAACCATGTGTGACAGGTAACTCTCACGGTCACAAATCTAATCTCTACACCATCAGATCAATTTTTATTGGACTGCATTTATACATATCTTAGCTATACATATGGATGTAGGCTAAAATAATCGTGCCATTATAAAACCGAATCTTAAATACATACCTAACTTTTGTTAACACACGTTGAATACATAACTATGCATAATAATAATAATATTAATATTAATAATAAATCTATTGTAGAAAAATAAATTGAAAAATACAAATAGATAGTCGCCTTTAAAGATGTTAAAGCAATTGAATCAAACATTTAAAAAAATATAAACGTCTTGAGTATTTAATATATTAGGTATTTTAAAAAATATATATTTAAAATTTTATAGTAAATATTTATTTATATTATATCAAATAGATATTATAATTTAAAATGTATAATATTCTAAGATATATTAAAATACTGAAATATACAAAAAATATATATATATTAAAAAAACAATTTTATATAGCAACAATTTTTTCAAATGTATGTATGTGTATATATATATATAAATACCCCCTAATGAAAAAGTAATGTTGTTAGGTATAATTAGCATTAATTTTTTGAAAGATTCTAATTTAAAAGTTCAAAGATCATTCTTGATAATTTATTATAAGAAGTCTATAGTAATTATTTATATATGATTTCTTGTTTGTCTATAATATTATTTTCTGATTTTTAATATATAGATATATTTTTTTATAAAAATGGAAATTTAACATAAAATATATATTTTTATATTATTGACACAATTATTTATGTTTAGTATAAAAAAAATCAAAATGCAAAGCAAACAAGCCCATCGTTAAATATATAAAAAATTGTATAAGTTTAATTTTTATTTAAATGGTATTTTAATTTAGGGTGTGCTTGTTTTGTAAAATATTTTAAAGAAATATTTTTTTATGTAAAAATCTAGAGAATTGTAATAATAAATGTATGCAATATATTAATATATATATATAATTTTTAGAACGTATATTAAATTTTTACAAAAGGAACACACTTTTAATATTTATGAAAAAATAGTATATTTTAATTAGAAACTTTATGTGTTGAAAAATTAGTAGTTAAGAACAATGAAAAAAAAAGGCACATAAAAATAAGGATTTATTGACCAAATTCAATAAAGTAATATATGTTTGAGACTGTCAATCATATATATTTATTAGTTTTTCAATTCTTCATCATATAAAATACATCAGTTATATAGAAAATTGTAGATTAAAATCTTAGGGTGTGTTTGTTTGTGGGTTTGGATTTTGAGTTGGGATTTGAATAGTAAAAATTTTGAAATTGAATTGTTGTATGATGTGATATAAATAGGTGTTGATGTGATGTTTTGAATGTAAAATTAATTTTTAGTATAATATAAAAAATAAAAAATAGATGTTTGATTTGATATTTTTGGGAAAAAAAATTGAATGAATAGTAAAATTTTGTTAAAATTCTACAAACGAACACACCCTTAATATGCTCCTGATAAACTCAACAAATCAGTCTAAAAAGTTACTTCTGAACTCCGTTTCACAGCACAATAATATGCTAAACAATAATGATTTTGGTTTGAAATCCAAATCAAACACACCCTAGATGTAAACAAAGTATTGCATTTGCATTTTTCATTGCAATATTTTTAATGTATTAATAATTAATAAATACATTTGATATAAAAAGTTAAATTGAACATTGTATTTTATACTCCCTCCGATACCATGTCCACATTGCCGTTTCTGTCCGTCCCACATACCATGTTACTTTCTTTTTTGAAAAATGATTACACACTTTAATCTCATTTTAAATTTTTTAATTTTATTTTTTTTCAATTTTAATTAAACTAATTAGTTATCTTAATCTTAATTTATAATTATTTATATTATAGAATAATTATTTTCACTAATACATTCTTAATTATCTGCTAATTACACATCTCCTAAAATACTGTGTTAGGTATCTGAGATGAGACGGAGGGAATATATTTTTTAAAAAACCTCAATTTGTACTTTTCTTTGAAAATCATGTTCATTTAATTGAACATAAATTTTAATAAAATCAAAAAAAAAAAAAAAACCTTTTTAATAAAAAATATATAAATGATATTCTTTTTCTTAGTGAAAGAATTAAAATATTTAATTATAACAATGAAAAAATATATACATAAATTGATAACAAGAACATTTTGTGTGGCCTTGAGAACTGGTGGAGTTTATATTTATGGACTCAATTAAAAAACGTGCAATAATGACTCTTCTAGAGTGTCGGATATTTTGAAAGGTAGCTACCTTTTGACTCTTTGTGGCTTACTTTACTTACTACCAAAGTGGACACAAATTGGAATTTAATATATATATATATATGCAAACATATGCTATAAAATAATCCAACACCAATAATTGGCATTACTTTACTTTCAGTTTCTTAAATTGTTTTATAGTCAATTTAAATTAATTTTTATTTATATCATATTAATAGTTTAAAAAATAAATTTTCATGACAAAAAATAGTGTCTAAACAGTAAATTTATTTGTTTAGTATTTTAATTTGATTTTTTTTTTATTTAAAATATAGAGAATTTTATTGATAATAATCATACTCCCTCCGTTTTCGATACCGTGTCTGCTACACTGTAGACACGGTATTTTAGGAGGGATGTAATTAGTAGATAATTAAGAATGTATTAGTGGAAATAATTATTCTATAATATAAATAATTATAAATTATGATTAAAATAACTAATTAGTTTAATTAAAAAAAATTAAAAAATTTAAAATGAGATTAAAGTGTATAATCATTTTCCAAAAAAAGAAAGTGACATGTTATGTGGGACGGATAGAAACGGCAACGTGGACATGGTATCTGGGACGGAGGGAATAATAAAAAAAAAATGAACCCATCCAATTACATTTAAAATGAATATTTATATTATATTTGTTTGGTGATTTTTATTAATTTTTAGCATGTGATTTTACACCAATCTTTTTTATACTCCAATTCTTCTTATTTATTTTTATTTTTATTTCTACTATAATTTTTTATACACTACTTGCTCATATACTTATTTTTATTTTATTTCTTTAAAAAAAGAAACTATCAAGCTTAAAATTGCATTTAAATTGTAATTCAGAATAATTTATTATAATATTTCATCCATCATCATTCAAAATATTTTTTTAATATTTTTTATTTATATATCAAATATATCTATTTTTACACATTAATATTAAAATATTTTTATTTATACATAAATTATAAACTTATTATTACACTTATAATTAATATATAAATATATACATTTATTATATTGCGGTCCTACTCCAAGACAAATTGTCCTTAATAGGATCGATAGAAAATGCAAATTGATGATAGTGTAATTTGCAACCACAAGTTTGGTACTGTGGCAACTCGACTACACTCGATATGGTGGAACTTACTAGGTGTGTTTGTCTGGGGATTGGATTTTAAATACACTATTTATTTTATTTTTTTCTTCTAAAAACATTAAATCAAAAATCTATTTTTTTTTATTTTTTATATTATACTAAAAATCAAATTTACATTCAAAATATCATATCAAACATCTATTTATATCACCTCATACAATTATTCAAATTCAAAATTTTTACTATTCAAATTCCAACTCAAAATCCAAACCCCCAAACAAAAGCATGTTTGGAGAGTGTGTTTGTTTTGTATTTTGATATTTTTTATGTGAAATAGGGATAATTGTATAAACAATATCAAACAATAAAAATGACATGTAATAGTATATTAATTTTTTTTGGAAAAATATTTTAAATCTTTTTATTAAAAGAACAAAATAGTAGTAACTCAGTTGAATTTTGTAGTTAAACATGATGCTAAAAATATGTTATCTCGTCTCAATCCAAATAGATTATTTGAGATTTTGTAATATATTAAAAAATAAAATTTAAAAAATTATAAATTATGAAATTTAAAATGTGATTACAATGTACAGTTATATTAAAAAAAAATAATTTATATATGGAACAAACGAAATAAAAAAAATAACCATGTTACGATAGAACGGAATGAGTATAACAAACAATATATGATGTACTGGTACACACAACAGTGGGTCTCGTAAGAGATGACCAGATAGTGTGGGGGTGAACTAGTCTAACTTGTGTTGTCGAATCTAGTTTACAAAATATTAAATTATGATTACTTTATAATTGAACAATTTAAAATAAAAATATATATAATTTATGAAGAATGAAACAAGTACAAATTATTATTACTACGTCCCAATAACGTAGTACACAGAGGTGCAGCCACATAAGTGCTCGGTGGTCCCAAACCCCCTCAAGCCATGGTCTCCATTGTTATATTAATTATATAAATGTCTATATGTATAAATTCAATTAATTCTTATCAAGTTAATAATTTTATTATAAAAGTATCTGTCTTTTCAACCTCGACGAAACATTTAGCCTTCTCATTCTGATTCCACCATTGAACATACAAAACATACATATATACTATCGTTCATGTGTCATATAATATATATTCATACTGTTTCTACAGCACATTTTATAAATACGATCAGATAATATATATTTTCGTAGCATAATACTCAGTTCCTCAGTAGAAAGATGAATTGGTTTTCTACAAAAAAAAAAAAAAAAAAAAAAAAAAAAAGAGAAAAGGAGGAAGCGGGCGGCTGGTGGCGGAATTGAATGAGCACGTGGCGAGTTAGTCAAGTCAACGGCCACCGCGGACCGTACAAATGGGATAACCGTTGGATGAGACGGGCCCACATTCAAATCCACTACGATCAGATCAGATTCGTATGTACGGCACCGCAAGCTTGACTGCTCGAGGTTGGCCGACCTCTCATTCCAATTTTTTTCCCTCTCTAAACCTTATCCACCCAATCCAATTTAACCACATTTAAAAAAAAAAAAAATAGATATAATAATAAAAATAATATTTAATATGATATATATATATATTTTTTAATGTAAATAAATAATAACAAAAAGTTTCGAAAATAAATGTAAATAGATCTTCATTTTACTTCTACCGTTACTGTTTAGCACGTGCTTATATGTACACACGTGTGAACGCGTTGAATAGATGTGTGTATACCTTCACTTCACTTTATTTTATCTTTTTATTTTTGGATTTAATTAAATTATTTATTGAATCCATAGACGTATATATTGTTGTTAACAATGACTAGGCCAACCTTTATTCATTTCGGCCCAGCCCGATAACGCTTACTGGGTCGGGCTATTATTTATTCATTCCTGCGAAGAAGTCCCCGCCTGTCAAATCGATGGCGGCCTCATCCCCGGCGAAGAGCAACAGCAGCGCCGCTGCCGACGCCGCGACGCCGTCGAGCTCTTCTGCGGCCAAGAGCCAGCGCGGGCTCAACAAGCCCAAATGCATCAAGTGTGGGAATGTCGCCCGCTCCAGGTAACCCCTTTTTGTTCTTTCTACTATTGGCTCTTCGTTTCGACGTTTTGCCGTTCGTAGCGTTTTTGTGTGGCTCTTTTCTAAACCGGTGAATCGTTTACTTTTGGAATTTTAATGCATCTTTGTGTTGTCCGCTGTGCTTCTAGAAGTTGTACTTTTCGGAGAGTAACGTGCTCAGAATCTTAGTTCATATTAAGTAGGTCAAGCATGTTGTGTATGCCGTGAGCTGTTAGGGATATCGTCGCAATTCACTTATTTCGGAGATTAAAGCTTTGGAGTTTTAGTTATGGAAGAGAAGAAAGACAATTTAGATTACTTCCTGAGGCCTCCATTTTTATGTTTTCAACTCTTAGCAGAGATGTATATCTCATGTGCCGCTTAAAAGTGTAGGATCTATGTTTCATGTTGAGATTAACTTTTCATTTTACTAGTCATTGCTCATATGCAGAAAAGCGATTCTGAGATGAGCTTCACTGTTCTGTTTATATGAGTCTCAACTTGTGTCTTTAGTGGAGAGAATGATGGCATCAGTTATCATGGTGGCAGCGTGGAAGGTGTAAACTTATATAAATTTTAGGGGTGATGCAGTGAACTTCAGTGGTGGAGCTAGAATGTCACTTTGGGGGGGGGGGGGGGGGGGGGGGGGGCTAAAACTAGGTTTTCGGATAGAGATTTGGGAGCCTACACTATTAAAGATATCGAAAATTACAAAAACATTAAACAAAGGTAAAAATATATAAAAAATTTGTAGTTGGGGGTGGTGGAACCCCCCAGGGTCTCTATGTGGCTCCGCCATTGGTGAAAATGTGAACTTTGGGAAAAACCTCGTAAGATATTAAAGATGACTGCTGCAGGATCTGTTTTGTCGAGTTGGTCCGCCTTTAATGCTTGTTGAACAGAGAAGCAAATGAGATGTATCACCAGCTGTGTCTACATGATATTGTGTGATCCATGTGCAACCGAATTTTGCAGATTCTATCACGTGAATCTCACTCTCATGACTTTGACTACTGATTTTCGCTCAGAGATTAGATGAATATATATAATAGATAAAGGGGAATGTATATATTGGATTAATATTCTATAATATCTGCGGTCTAACTTTTATTTTACAATTTAATTAAGAGCATATCGTCAAAAGTCAGAACCCACTTATTGCTGTATATTGTTAGTATGATTCTCTTTTATAGTTTGGGTTCTCTGGCATTCGGTCTTATGTTATTTGTCCAAAAGACCATTTGAATTGAAGGATTGAAATATCAGCGCTTTTAGAGAATCTTTAAAAATATTAAGAGGACTATAAGAATGCTCCCTAGCTATTGATGCATATGCTATGCTATTGCTTGTAATATTGTGTAGCTTTGTGAGATGTAGACACTTTGTGAATAATAAACTTCCTTAATATTACATGCGAGTGGATCTTTTTCTTTTTCCTGGAATTTGAGTTTGCCAAGATGAAGTCCTTATTGTGCTTTTCAGAAATTATGCTGTTGGATGTAGTTTAGAACTTTTACATTTCAGTCAAGTGCTTTATTGCTCCCTTTTCCTTTTGATTAATACTGCACATAATTTCTCAAATTCGAAAGAGCTGAAGTCATTAAGTATTTATCAACTTCTCCATTTGCTGATAATATTTACTTTGCAGGTGTCCCTACCAATCGTGCAAGAACTGCTGTGCAAAAGCTCAAAATCCTTGTCATATACATGGTATGCTAAGTTACTCCTCTGTGGTAATGCTTGTTGCTTAGCACCTTTGTATTGAAATAACTTTTGAATCCCTTCGTCATGTCATTAGTACTGCTTTTAGAGTCATAAATGTGGAAGTATGCCCTGCACGTCAAATCAGGTGCTCCTTCACTTGCATATTATTGATGAGGAAACTGAAAATGCCGCCTGGTCCTTCAGTTGTGTAGTTGTAGAGGACCCTGGACTTAGTGTCATGGCATAGTGTCTGCCCCTCTACATAACATGTTATTTAATCTTTGCTCCAACGTACACCAAAGCAAAGAAGCAATTGATTAATATTACCATATAAAAAGATTTCATATGAAAAAAGCACTAGCTTGATTAAAATTTCAATCCAGCAAGCAATAGATAAACAAAGATTTAAAATGAGTTGATAGGCAATATATTGAATGTAAAGGTCTTGGCTCAGGTTGCCACTGCATCTCAATTCAAACGCCTGTCAGTCATTTGTGCCTGTCACTCTTGGCTTTAACCGTCCTCCATCCATTTAATTTCAAAAAAATGCATTAGTGTCGTTTGAGTTTTTCTTCTATTTTGACAGAGTCAGTTGAATCTTTTATTTATCAAGTCTGCTTGTTCAAGTCATGCTTTGGTTGACGGGTACAAATATGGTATATTAACAGGAAAAAATTATCATATGCTGAAACTGTGGTATATTGAAATATCAATAAATTGTTAGATTATATGCTATATGATTTACTTAGCCTTTTTTTTTCCCTGTCCCTATTATAGGAGCCAAGTAGTTTTTCAATGAGGAACCATTCTGCTGTGCTCTGTATTAGTAAGATATCCTGTAGAATAAACTTACTCTCCAAAAGAAAGAAAAATGCTGAATCTACTTATTCTTAATTTCTAATTGAGCATTAGTAGTGATGCAGGTAATGACATATGTATGTTTTGGTGGGATTAGTTTGCACTCTGAATTTTTATATGGTGCACGGCAGGCCATGTGCCACGACACGACACAAGAGAGCTTTTCTACATGCTGTGTCATTAACTAGTCACTAACTTTGCTTTCTTGCCGAGTTGCTGTGCCTTTGATGGTGCTGGGAGAGGCAACCTAATTAGTCTGGTGGGAAAGGAGATTAGCATAATATAGTGTACTGTTAACTAGTGTGTTCCTTTTGCTGAGAGAAGATGCTAATGTGTTTTCTTGGGACCAAACAAATGGAAGGTAGTTATAAGTCTGAGGTTGGTGAAACTGATGAAGAATGAATGGCCTTCCCAGGGAACCCATTTTCAAGCAATCACCATTGGTGTGCTAAAGGAGAAGTACTTTTGGGATTCAGTTACGAACATATTACCAACATTATCTCTGAATCTTATTATGAAACTAGGTTTGTGAAATAAACAGCTATCTCTAATTACAATTCAACATGCTAGTGTAGGCAGCATACATATTGGTTTCTTTCAAGAATGGGAACACTGACCAACCCCAGCTATAATTGCGACATATGATTGTAGTAACACCAGTTTTTCTCCTCGAGAATGGTGAACATGACCTTTCATTGAAATAACACTTTTTGTGATTATGATTGATGCAGTTTTGAAAGGTAGTTCATCGTTGCCAGACAAACCTCCCACTTCTGGGTCTCCTTTGTTTGATCAGCAATCAACCGATGGATCTCATTCTGGGTAAGGTGTAAAAGTGTACATCAGGTTACAAGCTATTTTATATGCATTCATTTCTCATCTTCATAACACTCTTAAATCATATATTTCGGATCTGAGTTCTGGTTTGTCAGCTATTCCTAAAACATAAATGATTCAATGGATAAAATAATCAAGCTGATAGCGACGGTAGCTTCCTTTTGATTTGTGAACTTTGATGTTTGTAAAGTCAAGAGCACAGCCATGTGTTCGATACAGCACTGTTCATCTTCTGATGTGTTATAGCTAATTTTTCACAGGACAAACAGGCTCCGCCATCTTTCTAGCAACTTCTCGCAGTTCAGCAATTTACAGTCCTCATTCCGATCTAGGAAGCCACTGACCAAAAAGGTAATGCTATATACATGCCTACATCCAACACTCTCCATTTTCTATTTCCACTATCGCTACACATTCATGCTTACCTTATATTCGATATTTCCAAAGGATGCACAAGTCATAAATGAATGGAGGTTCTTAAAGTTGAAAGAATTCAAAGAAAGAAAAGTTGAAGCCGAGGGCGAAGCCTTTGATCGATACATGCAGAATGTCGATCTACTAGAAGAAATTTTTCTGTTCAATTCAGCATCCGATAACCAGATACCAGACGAAACATCTTCCGAAGACAACACCAAAAGACTGATTCAAGAGTTGAAATTAAAGCTGAGATCAAGCCCAGCAAGATCCGATAACTTCCGGAAAAGGATCCAATACATTGTAGATCAAGGTTTGAAGAAGCTCAAGAAGGTTGAGTTGGCTGAAGGCACCAGTGACCCCACTGACGAAGGAGTCGGACACCTGGCGAAGAAGATCAAGCTTCCACAAGGTGAGAGAACAATGTCTTTAAGTGATCTTATTGAGAAAATGAACCGAGCGCAGAATGAAGAAGACCTGAAAGCATGCCGGGACACAGCAGCTCAGATCTTTAAGTGGAATTCAACGACCAATTCAGTCGAAACAGAGGAGGTACAATCATCCAAGGAACAGAACCCCACAATCGAGGCTTCTATCACACAACCATCAAGTTTGTTCCCGCCAAAGTGGGTTAACCCAATTGCTATCGACCAAAGCGCTTTGTGTCGGCTGGATGCACAATTTTCTTCCCTCGACCACATTGAGGATGATTTATAGGCTCTGTTGTTTCTGTTGCTGTTGTGCTTGCTCGCGCATATTCTTTCGTAGCTTATAGATCCGGTCTCGTAGAAATTGCCTTTGTTGTAAGCATGTAAGAAGAATCAGCTATGTCACATTTTGATAGACTTTGTTGTGGGTTAGATAATTATATTTTGACCTACTATCATTTCATAAACATTTTATTGTGCAGAAGTTCATGGTTTTTTTTTTTTTTTTTTATTATTATGTCGTGAAACCCACAACTACTATCAGAGTGTCCACTGGGTAATTTTCTGTCGAGCTAGGCCCGATATGTGTGACAGATAACCTGGAATGTCGGTAATTTGAATTTATGACAATGCTTATTTCGTCTCTTAACAATTTATCTATTTTTTTATTTTGATCTAGTATTTTTATAATTTACAATATATTACACAAATATCATTACTTTTTATTCAAAATTATTTTAGTTTATTCTATTTTATTCATGTGTAGTATTCCTAAAACAAAAAGCAAACACATACCTAACTTGCAAATTCCCAGTCTTTTTTGCTAATACGATTGGATGGTTGCTCTGGAGAACTTTTGGATGGAATGTATTGCTTGAAGAAAAAAAAGATTAATGTAAAAATATATATTTCTAAAATATTATTGCTAATAATAATATCAACATTATATTATACTCTTATTACTTTTACAAATTAGGCAATGTATGACGTCATCGGTTTCTTTATTTAACCACTGTTTGGATATGTTTACAAGCAAATTCTTAAAATACAAATATATATATTTCTTTGACTGTCCACCTGTCAGATAACTCCAAAAATAAATGAAAACAATAAATACCACGGCGAAACTGTCACAAAGAATTGCATCCAAACGGAGCCCTATTGACGTGCCACGTGGTCTCGGTAAATGCAAGAAACTGCGCGATTGTCCTTTCTTTTTCCGCACACTTCACCGCCTTCTTCATTCGTTTTCAACTCGATGAAATACGCACGCAATCCGCAATATATGCGGACCTGTTGTGGATGATTCGCGCGCTGGCGGCTGGGAATTTGATATTTTGGGATTTCTCAAGGGGAGAAGAAGTGCTTTAAGGGATTTCGAAAATGTTGGAGGATCAGGTGGCGTATCTGTTGCAGCGGTATTTGGGGAACTATGTCCGAGGGCTCAGCAAAGAAGCTCTCAAGATCAGTGTGTGGCAAGGTGATCGATTCTTCCATTTCTCGTTTTTTTAATTGCTGATTTCTTGCTATTTTACTTGATGTCGGAGGTTTTTCAGCTCCGGTTTTCTGAGGAGTTGAAGATCTTGTAAATCCTTTTTTATTCCTTTGAAGTGGCAGTCTCCAATCTGGAATGGTGATTGAGATATGGTTCTGTTTTGAATGTCAGTTTTGGTTTTCTATTTCTTCCATGGTTCTTTGAGGATAGAGTAATATGTGAAACTTGAGCAGCAGAATGCTGAAGTGTAGGAAAAAGTTATGCATATGGAGAAACGTAGAAAAATCATGTATGGTTTACTATGTCTATATGAAGTTACTAACATCAATGCATAAAATGCAATTTTGTACAATCAGGTGATGTTGAACTAACAAATATGCAAGTGAAACCTGAGGCCCTAAATGCATTGAAGTTACCTGTGAAGGTTAAGGCCGGGTTTCTTGGATCTGTGAAGCTTAAGGTTTGTGTCTTTGCAAATGGCTTTCTTGTTAGTGTTATGTAGAAGGCAATCACACTTTTGTTCTCTTGTGATGTGTTTTGTTGCCCGAGCTTGAAGTACATGCTATATATTTATTTTTAATGCCTGTTGTGATTGTGTTATTACATATTATTTTAACCCTTTTTTTTGTTCCTGATTTGGACATTTCAGGGAATGTGGCTTAACTTTGCTTTTGTTAGTTTCACTAAGATAACATGGCTAACTACTAGAGGAATGGCAGGTTTCTAGGCAAAGTGTGGCGCAAGAGGAAACACAAATATCTTAATGTGCTTATATGTCTCAGCCAGATCATGTGTTTTATTTGTTCATTTTCTTGTTAGTCTTCTAGGCAATTTCCAAGCAGTTCTATGTTAGAGATTTGATGTTTCCTTACACTATTACTCATCACCTTGCTCTGTTATACCACTTATCTTCATTCATCTGTGTTGACATGGCGAATGCATGTGGACAACCTGCTTTTGCACAATTGAGGTCTTAACATGCAAAAAACTTGCAAATCACAAAGTGTATGCATTTCCTATATGTGAATATTTGGGTTTATTGTTTTGATGGGATATGCTTTTGTCCTTTTACGTTGAGCCCATTACATATTAAGATTGTTGGAAGACTATATAATATGTAATTAATGATGTATTTTCCTATCAGTTTAAACTTTTAGGTGAGATGTCATTTAACGTGGTATTAAAGCGGAAAGTGTGTTTGAGTCCTACCACCACTTTGTATGAAAAATTGTTAATGTGAAAGGTTTGTGTGAGATGAATCCATCTTGTATGTGGAAGGGGGTGCTGGAAGATTATAAAATATGTAGTTAATTCATTTCACTATCAGCTTAAGTAATGAAATAGCCATTTAACAAAGATATTGCTTTAGCAGTCATGCATGGCAAACCTCTATCTACTTCGTATTAAAGAATACATTTTCCTATGGTGATTTGCATCAAACCATTATATGGAACCATCGAGATTTGTTGCTTAGGGGAAGACTTGTTCGTATCGGTTGAATATTGAGCAATATGACTTAAAAGCAATACTTGAAAACATGGTTTGGGCGGTTTAACAAAGTTGTCATGGAATTCGGATTACAACAAAATGGAATGATCATTCAGTCATCTATTGATGCACTAATGCTGATAAAATACTTTATAATTAATCGTCTGCATTCATTCATGATTATTGGTGATGACATAATGAAATACTACTATAAAAATCTTTCATCATACTAGGTTTCTAATTAGAGACTTAGCTTCAACTTTAATACGGTCCGCCTTGCTATTGAAAAGTTTCCCTTTCTCTTTTTAGCATATCCATCATAGTGCTAAGTGCTAACTAGTTTTCGGACTATTTTTCTAAGCGTGGTGTTAAGGGTGGAGAACAACTAATGGTGTGGCTGTAATTGGTTCCTTGCTCTCCGGGCAACTTAGCTCAGTATCTCTATCTTCTAATCTAAATATATGTTTTCTTTCCAAAAATCGTCATGGTGGAAAATAAGAACTGATGGTCAGCTTTCGATAAACCAAGATCGATGGCTATTGAAGCAGTCATCAAAGATCACCTTAGCCACTTCCTTTTCATTATGTCTAAATATATTAAATTGGTCTCAAATGTGGCAAACGATTCTAGCCATTAACCTCACGTTGTTCTTAGTTCTACTAAATAAAAAAATGCCCGTTCCTGAAATTTGTTGAATGTGATTCAGAAAATGGACTAGGATGGATCTTGGGCACATCACCTCTTTGGAAGCTGATTTTCAATGTAAAAAGTTTTTGTTTCTTGATTGAAGAGTTCTCTCGTTTTCTAACATATTTGTCGTAGTGGGAATGATGGTGTGGATTAGTTTACTAAGGGCGGTGCAAAAGGAAACGTAAAACTATTAACCTTCTTGTAATACCAAATGAAAATTTTATTCTTTCTTGTATACTTTGTTTCTTTTGATAAACATTTGTTGTACTCTCACAATATATATGTATTTATATATTTGATTTATTTGTTTGGATTGGTGTAGCACTAAACCCTGGACCCCCGAACATGACTCAATGAATTTAGTGTTTGTTTGTTCATATTTTTGTTAGATATATGTAGGTCAATTTTGTATTAAGAATAGTGTATGGACCTTTTTGTTATTTTAGATAATTGGTTTATATCTTTAGGGTTTAGTATTGCAATTATGTTTTTTCTCAATTGGAATGAAATAGAATCGCGTTCTCTACATGGTATCAGAGCCGGGAAGTCCCGTGTTCGAGCCCCACCGGCTTTATTTGTTGTTGTCCACGTGCAAGATTCATATGGTGGCGTATATCCTCCTTTCATGTCATGGGGTGTGATGGTTGACTCCCGTAAGAAGTGATGCGTATGTCTTTAAAATTAAACTTTTAGATAAGATAAGTCATTTACATCATCTGACAACATCAAACCATTATGCAAAAACAAACACAAACCAAGCACACCCATAGAAATATAAGATTATGAGTGGGCCCCACCTTAAAATATTTTGGAAAATGTTTGAGATGAAAAATATTTGGAGCATAGTGTGAACCAAAATTAGAAAGACAACCTAACTGACCTTTGTAGTGTGTTTGTTTGTGGGGTTTCAGTTTTGGGTTTGAGTTATGAATAATAAAATTTTGAATTGAAATAGTTGTTTGATGTGATGTTTTGAATGTAAAATTAAATGTTAGTATAATATAATAAATGAAAAATAGGTATCGGATTTAATATTTTTGGGGGAAAAAATTGGAAAGAGTAAAACACACCCAAATCCCTACAAACAAACACACCCTTAGCGTTATTACTTGATTCAAATTTGACTCTATCCTTAATAATTATACCCGACCTCACCTAGATAGGTTTTGATTTAGGCATTCGGTCAACCTAACCATTGCTATCCAGACTTGTGATGTCTTGTAATTTAATGGTTACGGGGTTTAACTGCAAACTTTTGACTTTTGTACTCGTCACATGACTTCTGTTTATTTGAATAAAGTGCCATCATATTTGTTTATAATCTATGCCAGTCAATGTTGTAAACTTAGCATATGACAAGTGCCAATAAGCTTTGAGGTAAAGGTGGAGAAGGAACAAATGATATCACAAATTAAAGTGAGAAATAAAATAGATAAAACAAGAAAGATGAGAAAATAATAGAGGGAAGATATTCTATGAATGTTGTATTGTTTTACTACCCATCAAACCATTTCATGGAGTGTGTTTAGTTCGTGATTTTCCTTTTTTTTTTTTTTTTTTTTTTGTTTTCAGTTTTTGGTTTGAGTAGCGCTTTGGATGTGATATTCAGTCGAAGAAAATAGGGTATTTTTATAGGGAATCATGAGGGTACTAAGTGAACACACCATGGTGTCTTTATATTTGTGCTGTAAAGTGAAAATGGGAAGTTCCTTCCCTGAGTTGCTCAAGATTTGAGTTATGTAATTGGTTATGACCTTGGGTTTGTTGTAACATATTGCAAATTTTAAACAAAATTATGAAAATCTTCTTAACACCCTAGAGCTTTGAAAATAGCATAAATCATAGCATGTCACTACATGGAAGGTATGTAGAAATGAATTTAGGTGAGGATAGAATGAGTATATTCCTTGCTGGTATGAAAATTGAATAACATTGTAAATTGAATTATTGAGAAAATATTGAAAATTTATAGGATATTTAAATATATGGAAAAGAGGAAATTGGTATAGTAGTGTTAATTATGTTTAATAGCAAAAATAATTAAATAATTATGTTAAGAAAGAAATGATCCTACTGAGTAAGTAAACCTACAGGTACGAGATGAATGCAAATTTCTATGATGTGGAAGACTACATTGTTTATTAATCTGATCTGTAGGATGTTCTTTTTATTATTTTTTTTAAAGGAGCTACTAATTTCTTTAGGAGACTACATTATTTTAGGAGGGTTCTTTTGCATGTTCAATCTAATTAATGCTCTTCAATATCAGGTTCCATGGAGCAGGCTCGGCCAAGATCCAGTTTTGGTTTTTCTGGATCGAATTTTTTTGTTAGCTGAGCCAGCAACTCATGTTGAGGGATCTAGTGAGGATGCAATTCAAGAGCTTAAGAAGAACCGTGTACAGGTAGAAATGTCTTTTTGATTTATATTCACCATTTAATTTTGTTTATGTACCATAACTTAAATTAATTTTTAACAGGAAATGGAGCTGAAGTTGCTGGAGACTCAACAGCAGCTGAATTCAGAACTGGTAAGATTTGTCTTGAGTGTTGCTGATGAGTTGTTCTCGTGAGTGAAGAGCTTCGGTGTTGATGCTGCTTTCTGCTGAAAATCCTGAAACTTAGATTAAAACACTGAAATGTCCTGCGATTTTGTAGTCCCAGCGTAAATCTTACGATCACCAATCTCCATGTCAAACTTAACAGAACCTCACTGAAATGTAAAAAAAAAAAAATAGGACAACTAAAAATATAGACAAGAATCACGTCACTCGCAATGTTGTGATTATGGATCTAAATTCCATTGTAAGGTATTTCTCTTTGAAGTAGATAGAATGCAACTAAATGAAGTACCACTTCCCATATCCGAAATAAATTTAATTTTGCATTATATTTGTTTGATGTACATGTCATGGTACTTGGCATTGGTTACTGCGACACATATGTGTACTCTGAGCTTGTATATGACGCTTTCTATAGGATCTCTTTCATCATTTATATCTGACATTATATAAATATATATTTATATGAGTGCTAATGAAGTATTTGATCATTGTTCTGACATCTATGTTTTCACCTTTTTACACTCCCTCTTAGAACAAGTCTTGGTTGGGATCTTTGATCAATACAGTGATTGGGAATTTAAAGCTTTCTATTTCAAACATTCACATCAGATACGAGGATACTGAGAGGTGCCCTACTTTTGAATGCTTCCCCCCCTTTTTGTGGCTGTACATGGCTCTTTCTTCTATTTGCTCATGCAACAGCCTTTTTTTCCCAGTAATCCAGGCCATCCATTTGCTGCTGGCGTGACCTTAGATAGACTCTCAGCATTCACTGTTGACGATAAGGGGGAGGAGACTTTTATTGCGGGAGGCGCATTGGAGAAAATCCAGAAGGTTCAAATTCTTTCAAAATTTAATGAAGCAAAAACCTTCGTTATGTTTTTCTTGTAATGCTTTTTGTCTAAATTTTTTGTGGCTAGTTTTAGTCTATTTTATATTATTATTATTATTTTGTATGTTCTCTTTAGTTTAATGTGCCGAGTTCATATGTGATATATGCTATCATATAAATGAAAAGTCACCACAACTAATGGTGTGTTCTTTTGTGAAAACTTTCCCCCTACTTTTCAATCTTGTATTTTTCCTATAAATATCATCTCCAACAACTATTTTCACCTAAAAAATATCATGACCAAAAACACAAAACAAAAACAAAACCACAAAAGAATACACAGTTTTTGTTCATATCTTCGATTTTTAAGTTTATTTACCTAATATGCCAAATACTTAGATATCTGAGATAGTGACCCAAGATATACAAGTTGATAAGTAATGTTAATAATTTATAATTATTTTCTTCAATTATATTTGCAAAACATATGCTATATGCTGCTTGTATAATAAGGCTTATGTTGTTCAACATTAAAAGATATATTGTATAATAAGGCTTAAGGAAGTCAGCCAGATATTTCCACTTATCAGAATGTGATGGATCACATTGATTGAAATTATTGACAATTGTTATGATTTTGCCGCTGCATGCTTTTTTTTAAAATATATATATATATATATAAATATAGTTGGCTTATTGATTTACAAAAAATAAGTTTAGAGTAGCAATATAAATACCGTGCCGTATGAAACTGTCATTACCATGAATTTTATTATGTGGAAAGACTACCCTGTGGGTGTCTAACCTTTGTTAGACTAGTTGTTTGGTCTGCCCATCTTGCAATGGTCCCTTCTTCGTACGTGATGATCTTTTATGTTCAATTTTACAAGGCTGAAGTAACTTTTTTCCCTTGTTTGATTTCTCACTATGTTGATAATGCTTTCAGTCAGTGGAACTTGATCGAATGGCCATTTATTTGGACTCTGATATCCGTCCATGGCATGTTGAAAAACCTTGGAAAGATTTATCACCATCTGAATGGGAACAAGTATGTGAAGAAGTTTTGCTGACAGTGTTATTCCTTTACTATTTTTTATACTTGTACTAATTCTATATGTTTTAGATTTTCAAATTTGGTACAGAAAATGGGAAGCCTGCTGTGCGTGAAAAAAAGAAGCACTCATATATTTTGCAACCTGTGAGTGGGAATGCCAACTATTCGAAAGATCGTTCAGATGCATCATCAAGGAAAGGGCAACCACTACAGAGGGCTTCTGTAAATCTTGACGATGTTACTCTATGCTTGTCAAAGGTGGCAGTTCTGCCCTTTTGAGCATCTCTGCTCTTTAGTATACCATTTTAAAACTTTGACCCCTCTTTAATGTTTTCATTAACTTTATTCTCTTTTGTTTTCTTACCAAGGGATTTGAACATCTGTGCAGAACGGTTATCGGGATTTACTTAAATTAGCTGATAATTTTACAGCCTTCAACATGAGACTCCGATATGCTCATTATCGTCCACATGTTTCTGTAAAGACTGATCCAAGAGCATGGTGGAAGTATGCATGCAGGGCAGTTTCAGACCAAATGAAGAAGGCCAGGTTCCTGTGTGATTATTTTAATTCAAAGATGTCACATTATTATCTAACTTGCACATATATTAATTATGTATGAGTTCCATATGCTTCAGTTAGTGAAGGTCAGATTTCATTATGATTCTAGAGTTGAATAGTTGAGCAATCACGCCTGACCTATGATTATATTGAATATTTTTAACAATGGTAGCTGAATTCTTCTTCACATACATTTTTGTAGCAAAATATGTAAATTAAGATTTGAAAAGCACTTTGCTAGTGTAGTGAAGAGTTATCTGTTTAGCTGTAGTTAATTTCTATTATTCCCTACGTCCTAAGGCTATTTGTATCTCTTCTTAAATAAACTTAACTCAAAAAAAAGAAAATCAGCTACAGGAAAAAATATGGTCACACACTTACGAAGTATAGCATGATGATGTAAATTACTGTATGCTGGAAGTGTACATGCATTAGCTGGGGTATGGGTAAAATTACCTAAGGCTATAATGTGTTTCTTCTGGGTGTTTTTCCGAGCTCTCTTTGGAAGGAACTACTTCTAAACTGTATAGCCCCTGTGAGGCTAATATGCTGCTGGTGTTCTATTTAGCAAATGAAATGGAAACCAATAATCCACTTTTTCTCTCTTTTAGAGTCCTTGTTCCTTTATTCTCTTTATTTTGTTTTATGTATGAAGCTTTGAATATTAACACTGAAGGAACTTTGTGATTTAATCTATGTAACTTTTCCTGATCACCCTCCTTTCTAAAGATTCTATTTTCTCCTTATTACCACCATATTGATATGTTGCATTGTCTGAATAGCTGTGTTTTCACTTACCACTGCCTTCATCATCAGTGGAAAGTTGTCATGGGAGCAAGTGCTGCGATATGCAAGGTTACGCAAGAATTACATCTCATTGTATGCTACACTGCTCAAATCAGATCTGGACCAGGCTGTAGTGAGTGATAATGAAGATATAGAGAAGCTTGATCGAGAACTCGACATTGAAGTTATTCTGCAGTGGAGGTATATAATTTGGAACTTGAGATATGGTGCATGTCTAGTTATGTGATGTAGTAGTGTTCCTTTTTTCTTTTTCTTTTTTTTTTAAAAAAAAAAATTGATAAATTTACAGAATGGTGAATCTTTAGTTTTCATCACTTGGACCTCCTCCGGCCCCCGCCACCCCCCCCCCCCCCCCAAAAAAAAACCACTTTTTCCGTGCAATCACATTGCATATGAATATTTGCATCCAATAATAGTACAAACTTTTAATGGAAGTCCATCAAATCTTCTAATGTAATTTTTATGTTTTTATTTTTTTAGCGAAAGGAATATTTCCTGGTTATGCTTGATTCTGTGTGTGTTTATGTTATTGTAGTTGAATTTATTGCTAGCAACTATGATTTGATGACTCATTAATTTCTGACTTGATGTTTATATGTCACTCATTAATATTTGGAACAGGATGTTAGCACATAAGTTTGTGGAGCAATCAATGGGGTCAGAACTGTACTTAAGAAAGCAAAAAACTAAGAAATCATGGTGGTCATTTGGATGGTGAATCTGCATACCTTGATACTTTAGTTTTTATCTCCCAACTGCTTGGTCTGTGTTCACATTTTCTTTAATACTTATTTCAATGCAATTGCAGGGGTAGTGAGCCTGCCAAAGATGAAAATGAACCAGGGACATTGACTGTTGAAGATTGGGAAAGGTTAAATGAAATTATTGGATACAAAGAAGGAGATAACGAACAACTATCGGTTCATGAGAAGGGTGACATGCCATATATGTTATTGAAACTTCACATGAGACATAATGCATCAAAGCTAGTTGATTCTCAGGGATTTCTTGCTGACTTATCCTGTGATAATCTTGAGTGTTCCGTGAAACTTTATTCAGAGTCCAAAGTTATTAAGTTGAAGCTGGGCTCATACAGATTACTGTCTCCGAATGGTCTTCTTGCTGAGGTAAGGAGACCCAACCCTTCAATTCCTCTTTTGTCTATACATTCTATGCCAAATTGTTTGGTCATCACTTCAGTAACACTATGCAATCTTATTTGAACTTCTATGCAGAGTGAGAGTGCTTCCGATTCACTTGTTGGTATCTTCTGCTATAAACCTCTTGATGTGGATGTAGATTGGAGCGTGGTTGCTAAAGCTTCGCCCTGTTATGTGACTGTAAGATTGCTTTGTTATTGTTAGCACCGAGGAATTACATCTTACTTCATTGCATTTAGAACATTTTATGTTTTTTGGTTCAGTATTTGAAGGATTCTATCAACCAAATAATCAATTTCTTTCAAAGTAGTGCCACTGTAAGTCAGACTCTTGTTCAGGAAACTGCTTCTGCTGTTCAGGTATGTCATTTGTTCTCTTTGACCTATAAACTTAAGGTTACTATTGCTGTTTGAGACTTGGACAGCTCGGATTTCACTTCACCACTGTTATTCATTGAGTTCTGGTTATAACATAATTGAAACTTCTTATTTATCAAAGTATTTGGTTCTGGGGAGGGAGCAGATTGGAAATAGGTATGCAACATCATCAGCGTGTGTAGCACATGGGGCTGTGAGGGGATTATTATTATATGAATACCATTAATAAGATTCTGGGGACATTGATAATTTTTTCAATACCTCAATGCATCCTTTTTGTGGGGAAAAGTTTTTTCTAGTATGATGAGAATTGTGGGGGTTGAGATTTTTCCTTCTATTTGGTATATCCTTGGTGAATTTTGGGAATTTCTACATAGCCTTTCTGATTTTGTGCATACTAACATAAAGGCTGGCTCTTAACTTGGTGTAAACGATGCTTCTGTTATTATTATTATTTTGTTAAGTTGTTGTATCAGTCATATTTTATGTTCTGTTACATTAATAAATTATGGATTTCTTTGTTAAAGTTATATTGCCTGCTTACCCCAGTTAAAGTGACAATCTGTTCATGCAATAATGTGTTCATGCCTGGAGTCTAAACTTTGATATAAATAAGCTCCAACTTTTCTTCCAAGAACTCTCCCAAATTATCTTCCAGCGTATCCCTAGAAGTGTAAATGTGTTGGTAGATTATTTTTCTAAGTGCGATGCTAGAGGAGACTTACTTATCATAATTGATCCTACATCTGGCTGTTTCCTGGATGCTTCCCAAAAAAACCTGTTCATGCATAATGCGACTGGATGTCTTGTTTTGAGCCTTGAATATCAGCTGTAGTGAGATCTGCCTTCTATTTTGGGTTTATTTCCTTGCTTTGTTTTTGATCACTTAGGTTTTTCGAAAGTTCAATGTGATTGATTGGTCATTTATTCTTTGTAAAAAAGGAAGCACATAATGTAAATTTAAAAGGCAAATCATTTACTATACTCTCCCTTTTATCTGTGACTACTATGTTTCCTAATGCAAACAGGTTCAAAATATTGGATGCTTCAGCTCATACCTTCACTTTTTGTAAATTTCATATACATTTGGAGAAAATTAATATAATCATTATCTTATTATAATGTTTTCCCTTGGGACATGCACCCCGCACAACCACTTTTGAACTAACTAAAGTTTTGGAAGGTCTTGTTTTCTTTATTTTTAAATCTCTTACATCTGGTTCTCGTTTGTGCAAGTTTTAATACTTTAGTTCCTTGAAATGTACAGCTGTTTTGATGGATAATTATTGTTTCTTTTACTGATCTTGCATCTTATTGTACTGTTCATAGATGAGAATTGATGAAGTCAAGCGTTCAGCAGCCAAGCAAGTGAACAAGGCATTGAGAGATCGTACAAGGTTATTTTCATTTTTCACCAATTAATAAAATATTAACTCGGAAGTGACTGCTTCTGGAGACCATTTGTGTGCTTAGCTTAAAGCCATTTTGTGCCAAATCATCTCGTATACTATACTATTCTGCGTTCTTACTCAAATGCTCTTGGAACTTTGGGCTTGAAGTAGTGCAGCATTTGGTCTGAAGATGATAAGTGTCGATTTATTTTCCAAAGAGCATTGGATAAGGGACGAAATTGTGTTAATCCCAAAAATGTGATATGTTGAGACTAAACTATAACTTCAATATTCGTCTTAAATTTTGTTGACAAACCAATATTCATGAGTTTCCCTGCTATAACTTAATATCTAGAGATTTCTATTCAGTCTAATATTGATACTTATGCCAGTACCATTTGTACGAAGCTATAGCATTTATATATCTCTGTGCATTTGTTGAGAAATAGTCCTTTGGTTTGGATCAAGATTCAAGCAGTTGGGCTGTTGCGTTTGTACTTTTAGATTGGATGAATCAATGTGTATATAATAGTATTGTTCTTTGGTTGATTTTGATGCTTACATTTTGTGTCTATTATTATTCTCCCTCACGTTTTCTCTATACATTTGTAGTATCGCTATTTGTCTAGGATTTTTCTCTACTTGTTCTAGTTTTTCCATTATTTAATTGTTTCTTTATGTTTGCCTCAGATTTGTTTTGGATTTGGATATTGCTGCACCAAAAATTACCATTCCTTCTGACTTTTGCCCTGATACAGTCCACCCTACTAAGCTTCTAATTGATTTGGGAAAACTAGTGATTCAGTCTCAGGTTAATCTCTTAATTTAGAACTGATGATCGGGGTTTTTTTAGTATTATTATTTACACTTTGAACAATATGTTCAGGATGATGCTGAATATAATTCACCTGAAGAAATGAACATGTACTCCCAATTTGATCTTGTGTTGAGAGATGTATCAGCTTTCCTGGTTGATGGTGACTATAGCTGGAACCAAGCGTCTTTGAAGAGATCAGATTTATCCAAGCAAAGCTTTATTACGTTTTTACCTGTTGTTGACAAGTGTGGAGTATTTCTAAAGCTTCAACAGGTGTGCAACTATTATATATGTGCTGCTGTGGTTTAAGATTTTTGAATTTGGTCAGTTGATAATCTGCTCATTTAAAATTTTCAGGTTAGATCACCAGTTGCTTCCCTGCCCTCAACAAGACTTTCTATGCGGTTTCCCTCTATAGGTTTTCATTTTTCTCCATCACGTTATCACCGTCTTATGCAAATCGCTAAGAGTTTCCAAGGGGAGGATGCACAGCATTCTGATTTTGTATGCCCCTGGGATGAAGCTGACTTTTCAGACTGGCTGTATCAACTTACTCGCAAGGCTTGACTCTGTCTTTCTTTTGTTTCTTTGTTTCTCGGTATAGAGTTTATAATTTTAATGGTTTCATGGCCAATCTTATGATGATTTTCCACCTGTTTCAATTGTTTAGGGTGTCGGCGGTAGAGAAGCTGTGTGGCAACGAAGATATTTTTGTATTGTTGGCTCTTTTCTTTATGTGCTAGAAGGCCCTGAGTCAAGAAGTTATAAGCAATACATCAGGTTTCAGCATGACTACTTGAATCTTCTAATGTAGTTTTATGTCCTTACCATGAAGTATATGTTTCAGTTTTCCTGATGTTTGTATCACTGAGTGGTTGCGTTTGAGGGTTTTCCTTAAAGCATGCCACTGAAAAGGGGCTAAACAATAATATGCTTAGGGAAGGAATACATAATGGATGTAAATGGAATAATCAATATTCTATTAACTTAAATAACAGAATTATAGTATACACTTATATACAAATCCCCAATCTAATTTGGGATTAGGTCCACCCTATATAATCAGTCATTAACTAATATATACATATATATTCAATCATGCCCAGCTTGTCACAAAGATATTTGAGTTGCGTACTAGGTAAAGCCTTGGTTAGGGATTTCCAACTTGGTTTCTTGTTTTTACACATCCTGTAGCCACCACTCCTTACTCCTTGTTGGATCTTCTCCCGAATGAAATGACAGTCAACTTCAATATATTTAGTCGCTCATTGAATACAAGATTAGTTGAATATGTTTCTGATATCTTATGCAATAGAATATGGCATTTTTTGTGTCCTTGAGCATGGGGATGCTACCAATTGTTAGTTTTGATTTGTCTATCCTCCCAACATTTTGGCATCAATATGACAATGGTGTGGAGACACTCGAAAAGCTAAAAAGAGAAGGCAGCTTAGGCGAAGTTTGAGGCACTGAAAAAAAAAAAGTTGTTTTTTAAAGCTTGAGTGACATCTCTCTTTATTTCTATTTAATTATCAATAAAAAAATCATAAAGGGAATGTGCTGATGTGTGTTGAGGTTTTCCTAAAACTTGTTGTATATATATGAATATAGTTCTACGTATTTCAGTTTAGCTCATATGTATCTATCCAGATGCAATCTACCGCTTCTCCTTTTACATATATATATATTTTCCAGAAAAAAAAAAAGTGACAAATTATGAAGCAAGGAAAAATGTTTAGATTGTTCCCACAAAAAAAAAAAAAAATCTGAGGATCCTACTCTAATACCATGTAAATATGTGAAATTGTGAATATAGTTCTTTGTATTCTACAAGGTGAGGTTATGCATGTATAGGAATAGTAATTCTGACCTAGCCTAAGTCTTAACCTCTATCCTAATCTAATTCTATCTACACCGATGTTTATCTATGTGGTCAACCCTTGTAATAAATATAAATTTGTTACAGAACAAATTTCAGTAGAAAATCAGGTGCAACATTTAGATTTAATATTGAACTGGATAATAGCCTATAAGCCTAACCAATTCATGTGCTCTAAAAACTGGAAAAACCTACCATTTAGTATCAGAAATAGTCAGTTTTTCCATGCACTGTTTCACCATAGTATACAGTATACACCATTTACCATACTGGCATCCATGGATATCAATGTGCTTGATTTTCACGGTGATGATATGGTCTTTTTTTTTTCTGATTCTAGTCTACGAGGTAAACAGCTATATCAAATTCCTGCCAATTTGCTTGGGAATGTGGAACATACATTGGCTGTTTGTGATGCTGATCGCTCCTATGTCAAGGTACTTCATGGAATAAATAGCAGACATTGGTTTAGATTTCAGCAGTAGTATTCTGGAGCTTCTGGTATCTATGGCTTCTATTGGATTTCATGTGGCTTTCTACTTTTCTAGGTTCTTGAAGATGCAAATGCTCTCATTTTGCGATGTGACTCAGAAAATTCTAGGAAAACTTGGCAAAGTTACCTTCAGGGAGCGATTTATCGAGCATCGGTATTCTCTCATGTTTAATATTGCAAAACATGCTGTGGTTGCTTATGTTTTGGTTATATTTGATGGTGGGTTGTTTTGGGTTTTGAAAATTTGAGGTGAAAATACGTATTAGATGTAATGTTTTGGATGAAAAATAGGTATTGAATATGTATATATAATTTTATTTTATTTTCGCAGAAAAAATAGAAAAGAATACACAGCCCTTGAGCTAATTTAATATGATTTGGCAAGTGCTTGAGTTTGACATAGCTTTTACAAACTTTAACTTGCTCATAGGATTTCCAATTTATTGTCCAATTTCTTTCTAGGTTCAGGATATTTGAATTGCGAATATGATTTAAAGCACAAAAATCTAGCGTATATTGTGTAACTAGTATTCTATCAAATCCAATAAATTATAGTAATCAAATCAATTATGGAAGTATTATCTGTACAAATCCTGCCCAAAGGGATAACCTGATATTTTTCACTAAAAATACCACAAACATCTTTCCCACGGTTACTTTTTATACCATTGCGTTAGTGTCTTGCACTGTGTCAGTGAGCTATGACTAAAGCTGAATGTTTAATAGGAATATTATACGATCCTGTGGTTGAAAGCATTGGATATAGATCAATAAAGAGTGACATTAAGCAACTTACTATTTACAAGGTTTGGATATGTTGTTGATGATTGTAATGTTATGACTTCAGAATCTCATGAGGTATAGATCAATAAAGAGTGACATTAACTTGCTATTTACAATGTTTGGATATGTTGATGATTATAATATTATGACTTCATAATACAATGTGGTTGAAAGCACTATAATTTGATCATTAAAGGTTGTCATCACTATTTTACATGGGTTGGATTTGTATACCTCAGCGGTTCAAAACAAGAGACACACCATTAAAACTTGAGAAGATTGAAAAACAATATCTTATCGACATCATCATTTATACATTATCCCTCTAGGGGCAGGTCAATGGTGTATCAGCAACTCAACATTTTAGTTTGATCAAGTTACATGCCTTTTTTGGTATGGTTTTATGATTGCTATTATGAGTTTTTCCATTTTCTTATCAAATAGAGTTCTTCTGAAGGGTAAATTTTGTATAGTTCATTCTTTTTTTTTATTTTTTTATTTTTTTTTATTTTTATTTATCCTTAACTTTCTTGTCAGATGCTTTATTTTTGAATAGTTCATTACGTCACCCAAACTGTTTCTCATGTTGAAGAAACCTTTCATGCTATGAGCAGGCAACTTCCTCTGTGGCTAGTCTAATCCCAGCCTCATCTGATTCAGAAGATTCACAAACTGAGAATCTTGATTCACTTGATCCATCACAGAAAGAGACATTATTTTTGACAGGCATACTAGATGAGTTGAAGATAAGTTTCAGTTACAGCAGCTCAGTAAGCATGGCAGTTTACTCGATCTACTTTTTTATATGTATGTATGGAAAAATTGTAAACACATGTCTCTCTTTGTACTTCTTTAGCCTGATCAAAGCTTCGTAGAGCTGCTTCTTGCTGAGGAAAAGTGTTTGCTTGAATTTCGTGCTATTGGTGGACAGGCAAGATTTGCCTATCACCCTTCTTTTCTTTTGGATTTTATGCTTTATTGTTATCTTTTTCAGCTGGTTTGATCAATGCAGGTTGAATTGTCTATAAGAGAGAACGATATTTTCATTGGAACAGTCCTTAAAGCTTTGGAGATAGAAGATTTAGTTTGCCTCAAGGGGTCATCTCAGATTACTTTTCTGGCAAGATCATTTATCAAGAATGCCGATGGTTCCCTATTAGAGAATAATGACAATAGAACAAATGTCAACAATGATTTAAGCCCACGTGAAGGGGAAGATGAATTTTATGAGGCATCAGAGAATCTTAATGATGTCGTTGGTAGCCCCTTGTCACATGAATTGGAGTATATGGGTTCTTCTCGAATCATCACACAAGAAGATAGCAGAGACTTAAAGGCCCTGAAATTTGTACGCATCCCTGGTTTGCTACCGATTGATGTCACTCATCTGGAAGCTGGTCAGATGGGATTCACTAATGCGTTAGACAGTTTTGTCAAAGCTCAGATCGTTATTCTTGACCAGAGTTCAACACTTTATTCTGGGGTTGACAAACAGGCATGACAATATTCCCACTTTTCAATATCTTCATCCATGCTTTACACTGGCTTTCATGCAATGTCTCCTAATAAGTGATACGTGCCAAATCCCAATGTTTTTGAAGAAGTTACAATATTCATTGACAAAATTGCCTGAATACATTTAAACATGTAAAATGATGTTTAATTTAGTACCATCAGAGGATTTATTACTTTGGATCTTAATATTTTTGATCATTAACTTTTGTTTGGTTAGGATATGAGATTTTCACCTCAATCTAGCATAGCTTAGTCGTAAAACTGTACCTTTTCAGAGTTGAAATATGTGTGTGCGAGTAGGGTCCTATACGCCCAAAAGCTTTTTTTCCCCCTCTAGTCTGAGACTATATCTTTAAATTCATTTTTATAGGGCTACCTGTATAGGTATTTCTAGATTCTGCGCAGTACTAAGGGGCTCTTATCATTGTATTCTTTATTTCATCATGATATCATTAAACTCGCCCTAAAAAAAAAAAAAAAAAAAAAACTATACCGTTTAAGAGGTACCTTGAGTAGGTTATCTGTATTAATGCTTCAGTGATTAATTGCATTTCTTAGGTTCAGTTTTTTCTTATTTTGGAAAGAAAATTGGTAATTTTATTGTTATTAAAGCATGCATAGAGGATCATTCTGACCCTTCTTCAGTAGAGGATAGAGTCTATTGCAATACTATATGCTCAAGCGAAGCCATATCTGATTGTTTCAACCCTTGCTCCACATGTAGCAAAAAAGTCTGCCATATTGTCTGCCCTCTGCAACCTTATGGTACATATGTCATTTGGAATTTATGGAATGATACTCTGCCTATAACCTAGTTCTTAATGCGATGCTGTTAGACTTCCTATGTGCTTCCATTTATTTGATTTTAAGCCAAGCATCTGTAAGAATTAGTTTCATCATTTAGTGAAACGGCTTCTTATGAATGACTTAAGTTGTATCTTCATATTGTTTGCCGTAACTTGGAATCTTATATCTTATCATTTCTTTTAATTATTTCAGGTGTCAGTTACGCTCTCTACTTTGACCTTCTACTGTCGTAGGCCTACTATTCTGGCCATTATGGATTTTGCGAATGCCATAAACACTCAGGAGGATAGCTGTGAAACTTATAGTGATTCCTCTTCAACAGCAGTTGGAGGACATGGTGTCTCCAAAGAAACTGTAAATGATGGCCAGTTTTCTGTTCAAATGGAAGAGCCTGTAGTAAAATCTTTGCTTGGAAAGGGAAAATCCAGAACAATTTTCTACTTACTACTGAATATGACTCGTGCTGAGATATTTTTGATGAAGGAAAATGACTCTAAGCTTGCTACTTTGGCTCAGGACAGTTTTCGTACTGATATTAAGGTGCACAAACTATCTGTTTCTTTTTCTTCCATTCTTTTTTCATTCACTCGCTGATCTTATCTTTATTTCCTTGGATAACTCTGACATATTTGCCTGTGTTATAGGTGTTTCCTTCGTCTTTCAGCATAACAGCGTCACTTGGAAATCTCCGAATAAGCGATGACAGTCTTCATAGCAATCACATGTATTTCTGGGCATGTGACATGAGGAATCCTGGTGGTAGTTCATTTGTGGAGGTACTTACACTTTGATACTTTATCAATTGTTTGGAATCTATTTGGTTTTACACTCACTTTTGTGAGTTTCTGATATGAGTTCTGCTTTGTTAATTGTGTTCTGCTGTGGATCTCTTCCTCTCTGCTCTTCAAAGTTGAATAAATCTTTTAAGGTTTTCAATGGAATATATTTTATGTGTCAACTGTCCTCCTGTATTATAAAAAAATCTTTCCTTCCGCTAAATTTATTCTCACTTTTCTTTCCATTACTATATTTGGATAGATAAAAGTTACTCATATTATTCAATTATTACCCTTCATTAACACTTATTTATAATAAATATTACATTCTCTCTCTTCGTTCTCTTTAATTACTAAGGGTGTGTTTGTCTGGGGGATTGGATTTTCAATCCACTATTCATCCCATTTTTTCTCCCCAAAAACATCAAATCAAACACCTATTTTTTTTTTTTATATTATACTAAAAATCAATTTTACATTCAAAACATCACATCAAACCTATTTATATCACATCATACAACTATTCAAATTCAAAATTTTTAATATTCAAATCCCAACTCAAAATCCAAACCACCAAACGAACACACTTTAACTAAATTTTCAAAAATATCCTAACTATCTTTTTACCTTTTCCACTTTTTCAATAAAATATTAATTTTTTTTTAATTTTCATGCCAAACCCAAATGGGCTAAATATTGCGAACGGAGGGAGTATCTCAAGAGATACATGATATACATAAGCTTACGAGGAGCACCTTGAGCATGCACCCGTTGAAGAAAACTCTCTATATTTTTGGGCTATTAAATATGCTTCTGCTTTCATCTTCTATAAAATTTCTTGATTTAAAACTGGTTAAGCCTCTTGTTGACATATTTGTTTTTAGTAGAAAAGAAAACAGTGTCAACAAACATCTTGATTTCATGACACTGATGACACCCTTCGTTTTGGGCATTGGACTGATTTGACTTAATAAACATGCAGTTAGTGTTTTGTTCATTTAATGCCGATGATGAAGACTATGAGGGTTTTGATTATAGCCTCATTGGCCAGCTGTCTGAAGTGCGAGTTGTCTATTTGAATCGCTTCCTCCAAGAGGTTACAAAGTGTTTGAGTTTCTTTCTTTCATTTTCGTCTTGATTTTAAATGTTTGCATGGTGCGTAATGTAAAAGCATCTCAGGTTATCAGTTACTTCATGGGACTTGTTCCCTACAGTCCTAAGGATGTTGTCCAAATAAAAGATCAAGTGACAAACTCAGAGAAGTGGCTTACAAGAAGTGAAATTGAAGGATCACCTGCACTGAAGTTGGATCTTTCACTTAACAAGCCAATCATATTGATGCCTCAGAGAACAAATAGCATTGAGTGAGTTCAAATTTTCCTTTAGTCACAGTTTTTTCACTAGCTGTGCTCGTTTACATATGATTAAATAACTGTGATCACCAGGTTATGTAACAGTATTACTTTTCTTTGCTTGCAGTTATTTGAAGCTTGATGTAGTTCAAATCACTGTTCAGAACACTTTTAGATGGTTTGGTGGAAGTAAAAGTGAAATCAAGGCTGTACATTTGGAAACATTAAAAATTCTTGTAAGATTTGATGCTTGTTATTTGTTTGCTGATAGTAAGAGATAGCCCAATTGAATATTATTGAGTATCAATTATTTTTAGTGTTGTTACTCTTAATCACTATATCCAAGTGTTTTCTGCTTCTTGAATTTCTGATGGCTACATTTCCTTACCAGATTTGTTATTGATTTTTCAGGTTGAAAATATAAACTTAAATGTTGGCTCAGGATCAGAGTTGGGTGAAAGCATAGTTCAAGATGTTAGGGGTATATCGTTTGTCATTAAGCGGTCACTTCGTGATGTGCTGCATCAAATTCCAAGTGTTGAAGTTTCGGTTATGGTGAGACACTAATTAGATCTTTGAGATATTCTTTATGGATATGCTCTAGAGTGATGCAATTATTTATCCAATTATTTGTTTAAATTTGCCCTCTAGTGATGCAATTATTTATTTACTTGTATTAGATCTATTCTATCAATATATATACAAGTATATCTGTCTTCAGTCTCAATATTGAAATTTTGTAAGAACAAATTTTATTTTGATATTGCATTTTATATTACATTGCTATAATTTCAGATTGAAGAACTGAAAGCAGCATTATCCAACAAAGAGTATGAAGTAATTATGGAATGTGCTCAAACTAATGTTTCAGAGAAAGCAGATTTAGTACCTCCGCTGAATGATGAACCCTTACCTGGTTCAATTGGTATGATGGATCATGCTGGCACAGAAAGTCTAGATCCTGCAAGATCTGAAACTCAGACGAGAGAAACGTGGATTGCAACTAAGATTTCTGTCCGCATAGATATGGTTGAACTGGGTCTTTATTATGGTACTACAAGGGATGCAGCTCTTGCCACTCTACAGGTAGATCGTTTACTAACCTTGGCATTCCCCATTATGATGTGTATGGGGTAATGATGACATAAATGTAAGAGCATGGTATAGTTTCTTTTGGAAAGTAAAATAATCTTATCAGAAAAAAGTGAAGAGTTAGGGAAGTGAAGGAAACCACTACTGCGTAAACGAGCGAAAATGAGCCAATCTATAAAACTCAGAATAAGAACACTACAGCCATGCAGAAGTTCTCCGTCCCTCGCTTTGCTCTTTCAAAAAGGTCAAGCCAATTTTTCTGCATCCTAGAATTGTGATGGAAAGTAAACTTGGCATCTAGTAATAAAGTGTCGTTTCAATTTCCTAATTTTTTATATTTTTATTCACACATAAGGCTATGAATAGTTCTGTATACCGAAATTTTCGATATTATATCCATCCCTAGCCATGATATTATAGTCCTGGTTCTCTACTATTAGCCAGACTTTCCTCAGATTCAGTGAATGTCTTTCGTAAGGTTGGAGGTTAAGAATTTGGAGGGGTGGTTAATCGTTGGCTTTTTATTGAACTTCCTTTCCTTAATATACTTGCTATGTACTCATGATTCTTTTTACTGAATGCTGTGAAGCTGTTGTCAAGCTAGTTGAAGCAGTAGCTGTAAGCCCTAAGGGTATACAATAGGAGCATGAGTAGGAGCTAAAGGCGAACACTTCAGTCTGACAAAAAGAAATATTGACTTTTCTTATTTTTAGCTTCACGAGTGAGCTTAAGGAGGTGGTTTCTGACTTATTTTATTTTGCATATTTAGTAGATCATTAAACTATAAGGGCTAGCTATAAAGAGGAATCTCGGTGGTGTGGTTTTTGGTTCAAGGATTACGGAGGTAGAGTATGGATGAGGATCACAAGGTTCTTAATACAAAACTGAGCTAATGTGGTAATAAGTACTGCATGCTTTGGAGAGATGAAACTAAGTTTTTATTAGATGGGCGATGATGCGAATGTGTGTGATTGGTTATGATGCTTCTCTTTGCTCCGAGTTTCATTTAAATTTTACTTGGTCCATGTCTGATTATTTTGCGTATGCTTGGTCTCTCTCTTACTTTTCACTTCTACTGTGTAACAAGTTAAATGTCTCAGGTGAGTGGAGTGTGGCTCTTGTACAAGTCTAACACAATTGGGGAAGGTTTTCTATCAGCTACATTGAAGGATTTGATTGTTGTTGATGAACGTGATGGTATAGAGAAGGAGCTTAGGTTGGCCATAGGAAAGCCTGATATTGATGGGCATGGATACAGTCCTTCACTATCTGTGCTTGGAACAAGGGATCAACGTGTTGCTGAGAGCAATTCCTCAGTGGGCAGTACAAGAAAGTACACTCCAGCAATTCTAGTTTTGGACGCCAGATTTTATGAGAAGTTAACATCTGTTTCTTTGTGCATCCAGAGGCCACAATTGCTTGTTGCACTTGACTTTTTACTTGCAATTGTTGAGTTTATTGTCCCAACGATTCACAGTGAGCCTTCATATGATGAAATTACTGACTCTACACATTTGCTTGATGCCCTTGTACTTGACCAGCCAGTCTTCTGCCAACCTTCTACTGAGTTCTCATTGTCACCTCAGAAACCATTGGTTGCTGATGATGAGAGATTTGACCATTTTATATATGATGGGAGAGGTGGTACTTTATATCTGAAAGACAGGCAGGGATTGATTCTCTCGGGTCCAAGTATGGAAGCTTTGATATATGTTGGAAATGGAAAGAAACTGCAATTTAGGAATGTTATCATTCGGGTTGGTCCTCATACTTTATCAAATTCATCCTATTTTTTCATATTTGATATCAAAATTTCATTATCATTTGGATATATTGTCTTTGATCCATATTTCAGAGTGGGTTGTGGCTAGATTCATGCATTTTCTTGGGAGCCAAGAGTAGCTATTCAGCTAATGAAAATGATAATGTCATTATGGAGGATGAAAGTGAAAGACCTTCTGATCAAATTACAGATAGAAGCCCCGGTAGCCGAACATCACAAAATGCTGTTCCTGGCAGATCAGCTGAATTAATATTTGAACTGCAGGTATGGACATATGTGTAATCTTTTTGGAACTTCTCTAAGCACAGTTTTATCTTATTTGTAGTATGTCTCTCCAATCTAGAGTTTTTGGGAAGTTATTTTTCTCATTTCATAACTAAAAGATGTGGCATGTCTCAACAAATAAGGCAACTTTGTGGATGCTTTATGTATCATCATCACCATCATGACACATATTATATCCAGTTATAAAATTCGCTTTCCCTTCTAAAAAACTTTGAATTAGAATATTAGGCTGTTGTAATTGAGTCCATTCTTCAACTTGTTACTGTTTGTTTTCTTCTTTTACAGATCACACTTACATATTTCAAAAAGGGCTTGTATATTCCAGAGACAGCATGATTTCTCATCACTAGTATATGTTACATGTGCAAATAAATCTCCTTATTACTTTAGATGCTATATCCTTAAGAATGACATCATTTTGCAGGCAATTGGTCCTGAGCTCACCTTCTACAATAAATCAAGAAATTCAGGAGAACTTAATATCTCCAACAAAGTCTTGCACGCACAGATGGATGCATTCTGCAGGTTAATTTCCATTTTGATTGGTCTTTCCTGAAGTGGAATTGTAAATTTATATATGTTCCTCTTCAAAATGCTTGGAGCCCCTTAAGATATATGCCTCTTCTAAGCTTTGGATAATGACCTTATACAGATTTCACATTAATGTTCTAATACCTTTTGGAAGACTTAACAATGCTCTGCACTTTGAATGATTTGATGCCTAATTTCACTAGTATCATTATATGGAGGCTGCAATATGTTTAGCATGTAAATACAGTTTGTGTATTTTATTTATACTAATGATACAATATGGAATTGTATGTTTTGTGCAGGCTTGTGTTGAATGGAGACTCTGTTAAAATGAATGCAGAGGTTCTTGATTTAACCATGGAGAGCAATGGAATCAAAATTTTGGAACCTTTTGATGCATCTGTAGCTTTCTCAAGTGCTTCTGGAAAGACAAGCATGCAATTAGTTGTCTCAGATATATTCATGAATTTTTCATTCAGTATCTTGAGGCTATTTTTGGCTGTGGAAGAGGATATTTTGTCATTTTTAAGAACGACATCAAAGAAATCAACAGTTCTATGCTCCGAATTTGACAGAGTCGGAACCATCAAATGTATACAAACTTGCAAACATATATTTGTGTGCATATGTATATGTACAAACATGCATGTGAGTATATGTGAATTATTAATTGATCTCTGTATCCTACAGATTCCATCAGTGGTCAAACATACACATTTTGGAGAGCTCGTCCACCCACTGGTTTTGGGGTACTTGCAGACTACCTGACACCAATGTAAGTCAATATGCATTCCCATAAGTTTTTATTTCTTCCAAATTTGACTGGAAGTCTCAATAATTTATCTCATTTTTTTTTTTTTTTTTTTTGTACAGTGATAAGCCACCGACAAAAGGTGTAATTGCTGTTAATACAAACATAATACCTGTCAGAAGGCCAAAATCTTTCACTTTGGTGTGGCCTCCCTCATCTTCAGATAAACTCATTTCTGAAGATGTAGATAGTGATGTCTTGAATCCAGATACAACATGCTCAATTTGGTTCCCTGAAGCCCCTAAAGGCTATGTGGCATTGGGTTGTGTGGTTTCTTCTGGAAGGTCACCGCCTCCAATTTCTTCAGTTTTCTGTATCTTGGCATCCTTAGTTACTCCTTGTGGCTTCAGAGATTGTATCAATGTTGGTTCGGGTTCCAGGTATGCAAACTGTAGTTTAGGTATTTTGTAAACAGAGCTCTGAATTCAATTATTCGTCGTATTTCAACTATTTGTCTCAGGGAAAAATAGCTGTAACCTTTTGCAAGCATGAAATTACAGTTGTCCATCTATATATTCATATTTATTAAGTCCAGAATGTTAAACTGTAATCTAAGATTGTGTTTGTTTGTGGTTTGATGTGATGGTTTAAATGGAAAGTAAGTGCTGGATGTGATGCTTCGAATGTAAATAAGTTTTGATGCCCTTTTCAAAATAAGTATCGGCTGTAACCTTAGGTTCTCAGTTTTTTTCAGCATTTTAGTGGGCTGTCTTTTCCCTAGTTTCTCAGTGTTCTTAATTCTCAGGGCTCTCCTTTATTAGTTTGCAGATCTTCTTTCCTATTTTTCTATCTGGGATATAATCTGTCACTTTTCCTTTGTTAAATGACCATAAATGACTATTTCACCTAAGAGTTTAAACTTAAAGAGATACACACCATTTATTTATATATTACAGAGTCAACCAACATCCTTTAATATATGTAAATATTTCTTTCTTCCTGAAAAGAAAAAGAATTTTGGATATGATATCTTAAATGGTATATGTGATGTTTTTATGTGGGATACAATATTTTATTGTATGCTGTATAGAGAATACAAGATTAATTTAAAGGGACACACACACTAAGTTTTTTAGCTTGATCTCCAGATTTCCTGATTTGGCATTCTGGCGGGTGGATAATGCTGCTGGGTCATTCTTGCCTTCTGATCCTGCCTCCTTGAGTTGCAGCCACAGAGCATATGAACTGCGGCATTTGTATTTTGGATTTTCTGAAAGTTCCCCAGAGAATTTCCAGGAATCCGGAAACCGGCCCGCTGTCTCTTTAGACGATGATAGTACTATACAATCAGAGAGAACATCGGCCGTAAATTCTATGCGAAGGTTTGAAGCAGTTGCTACCTTCCGGTTAGTCTGGTGGAATCAAGGTTCTGGATCTAGAAAGAAGTTATCTATTTGGCGCCCTGTGATCCCTGAATCAATAGTGTATTTTGGTGATATTGCAGTTCAAGGGTAATATATAACTTCTTCAAAATTAAAACCTCATGTTTCACAGAATATTTTATTATTTATTTGATTCATTTCAGGTATGAACCTCCAAATTCCTGCATTGTTCTTCAAGACACAGAAGAATATGATTTGTACAAGGCACCTACAGATTTTCATCTTGTTGGTCAGATTAAAAAACAAAGGAAAATTGATGCAATATCATTTTGGATGCCTCAAGCACCACCAGGTTTTGTTGCATTAGGATGCATTGCTAGCAAAGGCACTCCTAAGCAATCTGATTTCAGCTCCTTAAGGTGCATTCGCAACGATATGGTCTCGGCTGATCAATTTTTGGATGAAAGTATATGGGATACATCCAACTCCATTTTTACAAGAGATCTATTTAGTATATGGAGAGTTGGCAATGAATTAGGAACCTTCATTGTGTGGAATGGCTTGAAAAAACCTCCTAGAAGGTTTGCTGTGAAGCTCATTGATCCAGACATTCCAAGTGGTTCAGATGATACTGTTGTTGATGCAAAAATTCAAACCTTCTCCGCAGCACTTTTTGATGACTATGGTGGCGTGGTAAGCTTTAGTTGTGTTCAATTATAAGTGTCAACAAAATTGGCCATCTTTTGTTTGGTCTTTTTTCATGGAAAACCTAATGATACGACAGAGACTTCAACTTTAAGTTGCTATAAATTATTGGAGGCAAGACACTTTTACATATTAGAAGATTTGCCCACCTTGATTGTAGGGCATTTCTGCTTTTTATTGTTTTTTATCCTGCTTAACGTTACAAAATTTTGTTAAGTTTAGCTACTAAGCCGAGGAAGTGCTTATCTTACCCGTATCTTCTGACATAAGGGTACGGAACAATAGTATCATTGGGGTAGATACACAAATTAAATGCTACTATTCTTGAACAACAAAGAGCAGGGTCTTCTTTTCGCACTATTATGGACATGAAAATAATGGTCAAAATTGGATTCAATTTGCCCCTATCGGAAATTGGATTGACATCGATTCCGAAGGAGCTGGAGTTCCACTAGTTGGCTAGAATCCGTTACTTGAACGATATCTTGTGGAATAAATTGAATGCCACAACTGAACCTATAGACCGAAAGAACCAATATGATCAAACAGATTTAGTACTATAGTAAGGTGAGCTGGTTATACAGAGCCTTATAACCATGCAAAGAAGTCCCCTCTGTTTCCTACAGTTGGCAGTGTTAAGAGCTAGAAATGTAATGGTGGCTGAGTCCTCACAAAGTTGCATGTGGCATGCTTGTTAATTTTTACTTGGTATCATAAACATATAATGTACTTTGACAAATTCTCTTATCTGACTTTCTGCTCTTTTGTAGATGGTGCCATTGTGCAATTTGTCTTTGGGCAGCATAGGGTTCAATTATCATGGAAGACCTGATTGTTTGAAGTTCAGTGTTGTCTTCTCTTTAATTGCAAGGTGTTACAATGATAAATATGATGCATGGGAACCTCTTATTGAGCCAGTTGAAGGAACATTGAGGTATAATCTTCTGTAGATGAATCATTGGACTCATTTTGAAGTGAATTAACTGGATCAATTATGAATTTGGGTTTTGATGTAGATCCATGTACCATATAGGGGGAATTCTGAGTAATTTAAAATGTGAGCATGCACTTAAATATCAATGACATGGTTTTTATGTGTAGATGGTTGTACAACAGAGTTTCCCTAGTCTACCTAGAATAGTGAGATGATGAAAAAAGACTATAAGAGAGAGATCCCTTTACATCTATAAAACTCTTGTATTTCTTCCTCATTTAGGTTACTTTGTATGTATATTTATATTTGCTAATTCTTAGTAAGTACACATTATTGAGAATATAGTATATATATTTACATGGTATCAGACCGTCTATTATTAGGGTTTAGCCTACCCTAATTTTTGGCTGATTCACTGGCTACCACCGATGCACCTCCAGTCACTACAGACCAGAGAAGTGTTAGATTGGGCCTGTTTAGATTTCTTTGTATCTTTGTTTGTGCTAATTCCTTGCAAATACAAATTATTGAGAATATAATATACATATTTACATCCCTTTTATCTTGTATATTCTTGTTTATCCTAATCTAAATACTTACAACTAGCTATCTCAGGGATTTTTTTTAATTGCCCTCTTAATGCCAAGTACAAATGATTGAGAATGTAGAATACATATTTACATCTTCCTTATCTTTTACCTCAAGTCTCCTAATCTAATAGAATTTTCCTTTCCTTAAGAAAAAAAAAAAAACAAAAAACTTACAACTAGCTGTCTAAGGAAACTTTTATATCCCTCTTGATGCCATTGTCCCTCGTAGTACAAACAAGGCAGCGAGTTATGTTGCTAAGTGTGGTGCTAGAGGAAAAATAGATATATCAGTCTGGTTGTAATTCCTTATATTCTCTGGCTTCTTGCGTATTTGTATCTTGCTTTCCATCAATAAAACTGCTTCTACTCTTCAAACGGATATAAAAGTTAGCGACCTCTTTCACTCGTCTTTTTTACATTTGAAGTTAAGTCCTTTTTTAGGGATATGCTTTGCTAGAACACATCCGCAATACTTATTGACATGTAGGATCCATCCCCTTGGCTTCGAGAAAGTTGTGTCTCCTTATAGAATATTTTGCATCTAACAAGGCATCTGAGCCGATTCTTTATTTTGATATGTTTTGGACCTAAAAAATTTTGTGATTTTATCCAATCACTAATACATACCACCCCTAATTGTTTTTCCTTCTGGTGTTCTGGTTTTTCTGGTCTGTTTTCTTCTTTTCGAGAGTAAAATCTCTGGCTGTTGCCTCACAGTAGCTAAAGAATCAAACAGCCATGTGCTCCATTTTAGTTGTCAAATGTGTATGTGTGTATTTCTGCTTCTTCTCAACTGTTGTTTCTTTCATATAGGTACCAATATAACCCTAATGACCCCGGTACGGCTTCTCAGATTCGAATTACTTCTACTAAAGACCTGAATATGAATGTGTCTGTCTCCAATGCCAATATGATTCTACAAGCCTATGCAAGCTGGAACAATCTTAGCCATGTCCAAGAATCACACAGTGTAAGCTTTGATCTTTGAGTTCAAGACTTGAAAATTTTAGGAAGTCCCTATATATTGATTTTCTACCTTTATGATCGTACTCGTAGGTTGAAGTTGAACAATCATCATTGCTCGTAAGTCATGTATTCACTGTGAAATTGTACCTCTACCAACAGGATTTATGTTTTTTGTCAACAGGAAGCAAATTCTCCAACTAGTGATGTTGGATCAATGATAGATGTTCATCAAAAAAGAAATTACTATATTGTTCCTGAGAATAAACTTGGGATGGACATTTTTGTAAGGACTTCTGAAGTCAAGGGTCTTCCTGATATAATTAAAATGCCAGCAGGTGACAGAAAAATGCTCAAAATGCCGGTTTCAAAAAATATATTAGATTCCCACTTGGAAGGAAGTGTTCATAAGAAACTTCGGAAGCTGATAACTGTTATTGTAGCTGAAGCAGAGGTATGCTAGGGTGTGTGTTTTACACTTTCTGGGAACCGAATTGTTTTGAACTACCATTATTCTTTTGGCGCAGTATAGTTCCTATGCCAATTTTTCGCGATGGGTTACTTATCATATTCCATTTCTTGCAAAAAATCAAAAACCGTTTTGAAGCACCGTCAGTCTCATTTTCACATTTAAAGAACCTATGAAGGAGGACCAACATGGGATCAATGAACATGTTTGATTAAGCCTACCTTCTTGTTTGTTGCCACATTGTATAAAATTGATATATGATGTTATTCAAATTATTCCATTTGTAATAGTGTGAACAGTACACTGGTGATTAATTTTGTTGCATAAACCCACAAGTTAGGTTTCATCAGCATTCTAATTTAATTTTCCAGATAATTATCTAAAAATGTCAATGCCGAATTTTTCATGAAACCCTGAATGAGAACTATCGTATATCCACTGGTGGATCTGTGATCATTAAATATGTTGTTCTACTTGAATATGCAGCTCATGAAGCTTGAGAGTTTAACGTCTCATCAGTATGATGTTTCTGTCTGTCTTTATCAAGAGAGTCACCCTACTCAATCATCACTAAACCAGCAATGTGCACGAACTTATGGTGCTGGGTCAGATGGCTCTGAATCTTTGGACATTGAATTTGTGAAGTGGGATGAAGTATTTTTCTTCAAAGTTGATTCTGTGGTTAGTACAACTCTGAGATTCTCAACTGATGAATTTATTCATACATCTTTCAAAGCAATTGTAAATACAGAATGCATCTGTTTTTCGCTTTATTTGAATGATGTCCCTGTCACATGTCACTTGGTCAATTTCTCCCTAATGTTCAAAATTATTATCTGGATATTATTTTACTATACAGTAGTTTTTAGAACCCTCACAGTGACGTGCAAATTGTGCTGTGGTGACTGCAGCCACTACCGCCTGCGACATTAATTATACACATGATCTATCTTCTCCTTCCTGGTTTAGAATCTTGCAGTGAATGGTCTTGGTTTTTACTGTTGTGAACTTATATTATTGTAAGCATACAAGATGTTGATTCACCTCTTATTTGTCTTCTTATATTTTACAGGATGGCTGCATACTGAAATTTACTGTTAGTGAGACTGGGAAAGGTAACCTTCTTGTGTAGTGTGCATGGCTGTACCATGGCCAGTTGAAAAGAAGTGTCCTATAAACATTCTTTTGAATTTTGATGGTCTGGGGAATGAGGAGATTTGGAACTGGACAGGCCACATCTGAAACTCATTGATATTTCTACTGCTGACCCCTATTAACAATTGAATCTTGTTAGAGCTATCAAGTATCCTTGTGTGCCTTATATCTTTTCTTTATCTGTTAAATATATAGTGATTGAACTGAAATATAATTGATAAATGAGAGAAAATGATGCAGTTCCCTGATTCATGGCTTTCTCATGATTTACTGGCATGTTTTTGCAATGTTGACTTAGATTTACATTTGCAGGTGAACCTGTTGGCTACTGTTCTCTGTCTCTGATGCAGCTGGCTCAATCTCAAGACAATTTGCATCCAGTTAACTACCAAAAAAATTTTATTTGGCTAGAGTTGTCATCTGATGAATCTGAGGTGATCTCTATCTCTATCTCTCTCGCTCACTCACACCCGTACACACGTGCATGCATGTGTTATACATGCAAACAAGATTTTGGCGCACCTGCTATAGGTTTGTTTTCGCCTTAATGGAAAACTGAACTAAACCTTAATGATTTTCTCTTTGGTGCAGCTGGGTAACAGATCAAGGATATTTGGTCGTATAAGGTGTGCAGTGATTTTGCCACCTAGATCTGAAACTGAGAATCTGAACAAATGCAAAAAATCTGGTCTGATTCAGATTAGCCCAACCCTGGATGGCCCATGGACCACATTGAGGTTAAACTATGGCGCACCTGCTGCATCTTGGCAATTAGGCAATGATATTGTTGCAAGCGAAGTGAGTGTAATTGGTGGTAATAGATATGTGAACCTCCGTTCTCTTGTATCAGTTTGCAACAGTACTGAGTTCACTCTAGATTTATGCCTCAAGCTTATATATACAAACGGGAATTCGGTACCAGAAACTGGTGTCATGAATGAAACTCCATACAAAGGAAGTGAATTTGAAACAGATGAACTCTTTGAATCGCAGAAATACGACACTACTCATGGTTGGGTATCATGTACCAACTTTGAGGAGGTACGCATATATAGGAGTTATACTATTAAAAATTCTTTTATCCTGTATGTAGTGTTATAACCAAGGTGAATATGCTCCCATTGACATGTTTTACTCTATTACGGTGAACTAGTGTATCCAGAAAAGGAGGTTTCTTATTTGGCTGATTCTAATTTGTCTGAAATTATTATTGTTAGGTAGGAAATTGATCAACTATCATATGTTTATTGTCTACAGGAAGTATCTACTGTTCACTTGCCATCCAATTGGGAATGGGTTGATGAATGGCATGTGGATAATTCCACTGTCAACACAGTTGATGGATGGGTTTATGCTCCAGATATTGAACATTTGAAGTGGCCAGAATCATATGATTCATTGAAATCTGTAAATTATGCAAGACAAAGGAAGTGGATTAGGAGCAGGAAGCATGTGGCAAAGGAGTCTGAAGCACAGATAATTGTTGGACCCCTAAGACCTGGTGAAACTTGTTCGCTTCCCCTACCATGTCTATCACAGATATCCTTGTATGCATTGCTTTTAAAACCCTCAAAGACAGAAGCTACAAGCCAGTATTCATGGAGTTCAGTGATGGATATGCCTGGTCAGTTGCAAGACATGGAGAGGTCAAAAATTAATTCAGAAATATGTGTTTCAAATCTTACAGAGGGTGACAAACTGTTACATTGTGCTGATGTGAGTGAGAGCTCTTCACACAGCTTACATGGTCTTTGGTTTTGCTTGAATATCCAAGCCACTGAAATTGCGAAAGACATTCATTTTAATCCAATTCGGGATTGGACAATCGTAGTCAAATCACCTGTATCAGTTACCAATTATCTCCCTTTTATGGCTGAAATTACAATTCTTGAGATGCAAGCCAGTGGCCATTTCCTTTCCTGCTATAGAGGGGTCTGTGGTCCCAGTGAGAGTGTCAAGGTGTACAATGCTGATATACGAAACCCTCTGTATATCTCTATGCTTCCACAAAAAGGATGGTTGCCAATACATGTCAGTCTGTTAGAACTCTCCATTTTATTATTATTTTTCTTAGAACTTTATTTTGATGGTCTTTATTTTTAATATTCTGTTATAGGAGGCTGCTCTCCTGTCTCACCCTGGCAAATCACCATCAAAGACAATATGTTTAAGAAGTTCAGTATCTGGAAGGTTCGAAATTGTACCATATATAATATTTTCTTCCAACTGTAACATTTTTTCATTTTTATTTTTTTATGTTTGCATGTTTAGGACTCCATTTTTTGGTCTGCAGGATTGTTCAGATTGTTCTTGAGCAAAACAGTACTGATGAAAGGCCTCTGCAACCGAAAGTCATTAAAGTGTATTCGCCATACTGGGTTGGAATTGCAAGATGCCCACCACTTAGTTTCAGGCTTGTTGATATGAGTTCTAGAAAATCAAAGACAAATCCACTCTCTTTTCATGCTAAAAAGATGCAAAATATTATCCTCGAGGAGATAACTATAGAGGAGATGCATGAGGGCTATACAATTGCTTCTGCATTGAATTTCAAATCATTGGGTCTCTCTGCATCTATGGACCAATCTGAAGGAGAGCATTTTGGGCCTCTTACAGATCTTTCTCCACTTGGGAATATGGTAAGAATATTGCTCACTTACTATATTCTTTTGTGTGCAGGATTTCACTCATCTTTATTTACTGATTTCTAGGATGGCTCCCTGGATTTATCGGCTTATAATGCTGATGGCAACTGTATGCAACTTTTTGTGTCTACAAAACCTTGCCCCTACCAATCTATTCCAACAAAGGTATGCACCTTTCAACGGGAACCTTTTTAAAATTATCATTTTGCCACTGAAAAACTTTGGCTCTATGAGTATTTGACACGAGGTGCATATCTAGAACAGAAATCATTATTGATTACCATATATAAACTTATGTTTTCCATCTGACAGGTAATATCTGTCAGACCGTATATGACTTTTACAAACAGAGTTGGTGAGAATTTGTTCTTGAAGTTCAGCAGTAATGATGAGCCAAAGATACTGAGGGCTTCAGATGCAAGAGTTCCCTTTGTACATCTTAAGACCGATGGACCTCAGGAAATCCAGGTTGGTGGCATAATTTATCTTTTTACTATTATTAGCAATAGTGATTTTATTCATGGATAGTGTTTTCCTACAATATTTGGGGAAACAGTAGATAAAATCATCATAAGCAAACTTGACTAAATTAAATCGATGTAGTCAGATTGATTGAGTTCTAAAGATTAACATGCATGAGACACAGGAATTATAACCTAGCAATAAAGTCCTCTCTATTCCTAGTTCTGCAGTAGCAAGGAAGACAGCTAAATAATTCCACTTCTAGGAAGATCAGTCCAGTCTGCTGCATAACAAGTTTGCTAGTGGATATTTGTTGCTCTGATATGTAGTTTTAGTTCCACTGACAACAGGCATTACTACTCTTTTTTGGGGAGAAGTAGAAATTTATTTCTGTAGTCGTAGGAATTAACTCAGAGTCTGCCCGAGAAGAGCTATCTAGCTTGGAGGTTAAGCTAAAGCCATGCAACAGTTTCCAACAAGAAAAAATAAAAAATAACAATAAAGAAAAGCCAAACAGTTTGCACTTTGAGGAGCACGACGGAAAGTGATGAGAGGGCATCTCAAAATGAAACCCAAAGTTGTTGATTTTGAAATAGATAGACATTACTATTAGCAGGAATCTTTTGCAAATAGTTGTTCTCAATCAAAGTTAAAGGAGAATCTATTTTAGTAAAAATATAAATAATAAATTTATAGATATAATTGATAATATGGATATCTGTATAATATTTAATATATATAAAAGATATAATTAAGTGTATCTTTATGTAGATTGTAGGTAGACACATGAATTCGGTAAAGTTATTTGCTGAAAACTTTTCATTTATGAAACTAATAACCCGCCTATGTTTTCATTTTATTCTATAGGTACAAATGCATGATACAAAATGGTCATTTCCTATTCAAGTAGTGAAGGAGGACAGCATTACTCTCACCTTAAAAAAACATGATGGTGCATGGAGGTTCTTACGAATGGAAGTCCGAGGTTATGAGGAAGGATCTCGTTTCATAGTTGTTTTTCGTCTTGGATCAGTGAGTGGTCCTATTAGGTAAGCTTTTTTTTCATCTTTTACATGTCTAATGAGTTCAATTTAATATTGGATCATTAATGATAAGCAGGATGTCTGCCTACTCTTGTGAATTCTGCCATTGCCAAAAACTCTGCGATATTTAGTTTTTGTCCAGGTTTAGATTATGTGTTTTTTCTTTTGTACTGTTTCTGATCCACTACAATTTTATTGAATAGGATTGAGAACAGATCAAGTTTTAGAGTGAGAATTCGGCAAACTGGATTTGATGATGATTCGTGGATTCAATTACAGCCACTTTCATCAGAGAACTTTTCTTGGGAGAATCCATATGGCCAAAAAACCATTGATACTGAGATCTATGGCAGCCATAATGATGGGATCTTCAAAATTGATCTTGATAGAGCTGGATTCTCTGATGTTGATGACAGCTCTGGGCTCTTTTCCTATGTTGACAATATAGGTGATATCAAGGTTGTTAGGCTTATGAACATAAATACTCAAACCTTAAGATCAAGGGAAAGTACTTCGCAGTTGTGTAGAAACTTGGGAAATCCTCATATCCTAGCTAAGATGCCCGAACAAGGATCTCCGTTGGAAGTTATGCTAGAGTTGGGTGTTCTTGGTGTTTCTCTTGTTGACCATAGACCAAGAGAGCTTGCATACTTCTACATGGAGAGATTCTTCTTATCCTATTCAACTGGCTATGATGGTGGAACGACAACGAGGTTACATCATCTCCTCCAATTTGGTTTTATTGTGTATTAAATTCTCTCTTCTGAAAGGTGCTATCCTCTGAAAACTTAATAGTAATCCATATTCACTTCCAATGGAGTATTTAATTCTAATTTGCATGGTTTTTTTTCAGGGAAAAAATTATAGTCTTTTCATTATATTCACTTATTCCTGGGCTTAGCCTTGGGGACACAAATGATTTTCTTAATTGGATGTTGAGTTATGTTAAAACTAGTACCTCCTTAGAGAAATTTTAAGTGTTGTGAAAGTACAAATTTGTCTCACCAGTGCTGTACCAACATCTTACGGACTTGACAGGTCAATCTTTTGATCAGTTAGATATACTCAGTAGGCACGCCTCATTTTTTATTTCTGTGAACTCCTCAGCAATTGTCTAAGTTATAGAATGTAGACTTCTATCCAGTTTCTGTTATATTGGATTTGAAGTTCCTCATTGACCCATCGTATATTGTTTTGGTTTTACCATAACAGGTTCAAAGTGATACTTGGATACATTCAACTGGATAATCAGCTTCCTCTGACAGTAATGCCCATACTTTTGGTACCAGAACAGACTCCGGATGTGCAACATCCAGTCTTCAAAATGACTATAACATCACGCAATGAAATTGTTGATGGTGTCCAGATCTACCCCTATGTTTACATAAGGGTAATGTCCCTGCCCCTGAAGAGTTTTCAATTTCAATTTTGCATTGAATGTTGCTTAATACTTTCACTATGTTACAGGTAATTGATAAAATTTGGAGACTCAACATCCATGAGCCAATCATCTGGGCTTTCATAGATTTTTTCAACAAACTCCAACTAGATCGTGTTCCACAAAATACTACTGTTACACAAGTTGATCCTGAAATGCGTATAGAGTAAGAAATTATTCAATTACTTTAAATTGTCCTCATCTAATCGTGTCATCATCCTTGCTGTACTACATTCTGGCACCTCCTGCTGCCTGTTGGTAGCTATGAAATTGTTTCTTTAGCATACATTTACAATGCTATGTGATAGAATGTAATTGGGTTTTCTAGTTTGCAAAATTTTATTGGCTCTGCAATGATTCGCACACATTATTAACTACTAGTCTGGTGATTGTAGTTGCTTAGAGTTTGCTTAGTTTAGTAACTACTATTCTGCAATGTTGTATGTCAGTCAGCTTCTTGTCCAAATGCTTCATATTTTCATTGTTAGTAATATGTTCTATTTGACACTCTTAGTACAATGTTATTTTTCACACACTTTATTTTCTTCATGACAATTCGTATACCAACATTCTGTATGTGTTGAGAAGAAATTTTCTTTTCCTTTCCATGGTACATATAATATGGTGTTGTATACTTGTATACCCATGCCTAATTAATCCCCTCATGCATGTTCAATGATCTTATTATGAATCGCACCTGAGCAGCAGAAGTAAATGTTTTAAACTTCCTTTAGGAAAATATATATATACATATATTAACTTCTAAAGGAAATTACTTGACATATTCCCTTTTTGCTTCCAGCTTGATTGATATTTCTGAGGTAAGACTTAAGGTTGCATTGGAGACTGCACCAGGTCAAAGACCACATGGACATCTAGGTGTATGGGGCCCTGTTTTGTCAGCTGTTGGGAATGCCTTTAAGATTCAGGTCTGTTGCCAGTTTTCTCTTCACAAAATGTTGGCTCATGGTTGCATTCACTTCAATGCTATTTATCTATGGAACTTCCTATTGAAAATCTCAAAAGATCTAAGATGTTGAGATTGCAAAACAATATGATTAAATATCAATCCTTAGTATAAATAATATTCACATACCTGATACCACATTTAGGAAAAATCTCCAGATAATCAACTCAATGTGTCTAATATACCCTTTGGCCACCAATATAGCTTATTATAGAAAAGGATTCATCTGCACCATGCTTCAATGCAAAATTGCACTTAGCAATCTAATTTTACTTCTGACTATCACCATCTCTCAGATTTTCTGTTTGCCCAAACACTCATCTCTCCATACAATCCCTACATTCCCTTTCTGAGAAACCTTAAACAAATGTATTGGGAATGGAAATATCATTTAGACTCGATATAATTTTTAGGGTAGATAATAACAACTTGAGGAGACATAGTTAGACAGTTGATCAAGGGATCGCATAGTCTCCAGGTCCTGTGATGTATGGATTGTGTAATTAATGGAAGGTCTGATATTACTGTTAACTCCTTTTTGTTCACCTTCTACTTCTTTTTTCTTTTTTTTTTTTTTTTTGTGTGTGTGATGTGGGGATACATTTCCTCTAGATTTGATTTATTATGTTATCTATTCCAAGTTCTGCACACTCTGCATAAGCTCATCTAAAATCAATATCTATTAATACAAAACATTTTATTTGGCCAAAGATACACATGAATTTAGGTCACATGAATATAAACTGTTTCCTTTTCTTTCTTTCTTTTCCCCTGATATATGTTAATTGCAATGTCTTTATATCAGGTTCATCTTCGGAAAGTGACACACAGAGACAGATTTTTAAGAAAGAGTTCCATAATGTCAGCAATTGGAAATCGCATATGGAGAGATCTGATCCATAATCCACTACATTTATTATTTTCTGTAGATGTACTTGGCATGACAAGTTCCACTTTGGCATCACTCAGTAAAGGCTTTGCCGAGCTCTCAACTGATGGACAATTTTTACAGCTTCGCTCCAAGCAGGTAATATTGTTTGAATATTCTGCATCAGAGAAAATAAAAATTTATATTAACACTAGACAATGGATTTAGGTGTGGTCTCGAAGGATTACTGGTGTTGGTGATGGAATTGTGCAAGGAACTGAAGCTCTTGCTCAAGGCTTTGCTTTTGGAGTGTCAGGGGTTGTGAGGAAACCGGTACAGAGTGCTAGACAAAATGGTATTCTTGGCTTTGCTCATGGATTGGGACAGGCTTTCTTGGGTTTTTTTGTACAGCCAATGAGTGGAGCATTAGATTTTTTCTCCTTGACTGTTGATGGAATTGGTGCAAGTTGTTCCCGGTGCTTGGAGATTTTGAGTAACAAGAAAAACTTCCAGCGAGTACGAAATCCACGGGCATTTCACGCAGATAATATTTTGAGAGAATATTCTGAAAGAGAAGCAATTGGGCAGGCATGTATACTGTTTTTTCCTACTATTTATGTTATTTGAAATTAATGTGCTATTGATTTACCATATGTACTGAAAAATCTCATATATGATGCTTGAATGAATCATGAATGTCCATGCCCTAAACATTCATATGCTGGAATACACTCCTGAATCATGGGAGGATGCTCCATATCTTTATCGTACAGGCTTCAACCAGAATTATGGAGTTTCTCTGTTTGATGTCTAGTTCACATATATTTATATATGTTCAAATTTTCTGATTATTGGGCCTAGATTCACCCGATGTTTCCATATCACTGTTTTTGTTTTTCAATTTTTTTAAACACTCACAGTGTCATGTTTCCTTGATTATGGCTCTTCTTTCTATGATCTATAAACTATCTTTCTTCTAAAAACAAAACTTTATGTGGAAGTTCATACCCTCCACAATACTAACATGAGCTTTGCACTGACGTTTTTGTAAGTTTAGTGCTAGGTTGACTCTTGGATCCATTTTAACATGTCTTAATAGAGTTTATTACTCTCATACGTAATAGAATCTTAACATGATGCTATTTTAATCTGTTTAATGATAATTTGGCGCTGATGGTAATAACCTGACATTATATTCTCTGTTTCAGATGATACTTTTCCTTGCAGAAGCAAGTAGGAATTTTGGATGTACTGAAATATTCAAAGAGCCATCAAAATTTGCTTGGTCTGATTGCTATGAAGAGCATTTTGTTGTTCCATATCAACGGATTGTATTGGTTACTAATAGGCGAGTAATGCTGCTGCAGGTAGCCACATTCCTCCGTTGTTTCGACTTGCTTCTCCTTTGTTTAGAACATTATTGTCTGCTTTTATGTAGTACAGAGTTTCCTCTTTCTAATCTTTCTTTTCATTAATTTTTTGTGTTGGTGTTTATTTCAAGTGTTCGGCCCCTGATAAGATGGATAGAAAGCCGTGCAAGATATTGTGGGATGTGCCATGGGATGAAGTAATGGCACTAGAATTGGCCAAAGCTGGATATCTCATCCCTTCACATTTAATAATCCATTTGAAGAGCTTTGTGAGAGGGGAAAGCTTCGTACGAGTTATTAAGTGCAAGACAGAACAATTGCCAAATGAAAGTGAACCACAAGCTGTTAGAGTTTGCTCGGTGGTGCGGAAAATGTGGAAGGCACAGCAGAACTTCGCAAAACAGGTCTTCTACTCACCATCAAACCAATATTTTATTTGATGAATAAAAATCTTGACATGTGATTTTCTACCATGTGCAGGCATCTTCGAGCCAAAGTTGTGTATACATTTCTCGTAATGAAGTTGACTTAGCAGAATCACGCAAACGGCATAGACCCATTATCACATCAGGAAAATATTCTTCTTCAAGCTCCACATCCGGTGAGCAAAAATTCATTGAACACAGCATCAATTTTACAAGAATATGGAACAGTGAACGAGAATCTAAAGGTCGTTGCACGTTGTGCCAAAAACAGGTGCGTAATGTCAATCTCCATGTCATATTCCCAGTGTAGTTTTTAGATTCCCGAACATGTCTATTCATATTTTTCTCTAACAACTTTGTTACTTCCAGAGTTCGGGCAATGATGAAACTTGTAGCATCTGGCGGCCTGTTTGTCCTGACGGGTAAGTACCAATTTCCTCCTTGAAAAACAACTGCTGAATTAAAGAACTTCGCAAGAAGATCATTTGGCATGCATTTCGCCATTTTACCCAAAATGGTTAAGCTACTTTTTTATTTTGGATATCCTTTAAATGTCTTGTTGACATAACCATTATATCACTTAGATTCAAAAAACTTATCTTAGAGCTATAACCATTATATCACTTCGCAATGTCTTTGAATGTTCCAGGTACGTCTCAATCGGAGATATAGCTCGCCCTGGCAACCATCCTCCTAATGTTGCTGCAATTTATCGTGTATCCAATAAATTGTTTGAGTTCCCTGTGGGATACGACCTGGTAAAACATCCTTCAAATATTATTGTTGATTTCAATATTGAAAACTAGAAGGTTGAGGCAGGTTTGTGTTTTATTGATGTCTTCAACATTCCACTGTATAGGTTTGGAGGAATTGTTTGGATGATTACAAAAACCCCGTGTCGATTTGGCATCCACGCGCTCCTGAAGGCTATGTATCCCTTGGATGCGTGGCTGTTTCAAGATTTGAAGAGCCGGAGCTCGATGAAGTGTACTGCGTAGCCGAATCTCTTTGCGAGGAAACAGCATTTGAAGAGCAAAAGATATGGTCAGCATCAGATGCTTATCCATGGGCTTGCCATATATACCAAATGTGTAGCGACGCCCTTCACTTTGTCGCTTTGAGACAACCTCAAGAAGAATCCGACTGGAAACCTAAAAGGGTCCTCGACTCTGCCCAGCTTTCAATGCATTCATCGGATGCTCGGTGACTTTTGCATCCTTTTAGGAGGTCGACATCATTCGAAGCCAGCAACACTTGATGGATAGCAAGGGAACAGGGAACCATCAGCAGTAGATAAGTCGTTAAGCTCTTTCCATCATCGATAAGCTTTTGGATACCTTTTTACTCCAAAAAAATCTAAACTCTGTGAAGGTGTTTTGTAAATGGAATAACAAAGAGTGCTTGGCAAAATTCCCTTCAAAGGTCTTAGTAAAATTGCACTCTTCAACTGAGCTAAGTATAAAATCAAATTGTGCCTCCATAATACGGTTTCTAGGCAGGGGTGGAAATAACATACCAAAACACCATGCATCGCATACCAAAAGATTTGGAAAATTTTGGTATAGTATGATATTGTATCGAATTTTTTTGGTACGATAACAGTATCGGTTCGTTCAGTATACATATCGAAACATGTGACGATAGGAGACTTTAACAAAAACCAAGATGCTGTAACAAAGGAAGCCTCAGATCCCTCAATGATTCAAACATCAATTGAGGAGTAAAGATGAGAGGAGAGAATAGACGAGAGCTTGCCGACAGGCAATCAAGAAACGGAAATCTCCCTTTAATTTATGGTTATTACCCATTAAATAGCACGCAATCAATGAATCGACTACGCCAAATCAAACCAAGATCATGTGGATGTGGTGGTACCAATTGCCCTCCGATCGCTTTCCCTCAACAACACATTCACACGACTCAATGAATAAATAAATAAATACACACTTTCCATCGACTCCTTCTCCTTCCCCGTCTCAATTGCAATTGCAATTGCAATGGAAGGATTGGTCAAGGGACTGATTAATGTCGCCTTGGGAGACAACGATGACGATGGGAATGGGAGACGGAACGATCAAAGCAGGGAGGAACGGTCCAGATCCACTTGGGCGCAGGTTGTGTCTGAGGAAAAGGACCACGAGGATGATCGGAACAGACGTGTAACTTTTTCTTTCTTAACTGTTTTCATGGAGTGAGTTCTGTTTCTGTACGATTTCCTTCCCTTTGTTCGTCAGCTGAATTTGCTGTTTGGTGGTTAGCAGGGCCAGGGTCAGGGTCAGGGTCAGGGTCAGGGACAACACACAGCATCATATCAGCGACCATATCAACGTAGGGAGGTAATCTGTTTCTGTGTTTTTCAGTTATCATGTTCTGTTGTTGGTTTCGTTTCAACTGCATATCCTTAATGGGGTAGAAAAAACTACACATTGAGAAGAGAAGAGTAGAGTAGAATAATTTTGTGAGCTTGAAAGGTATAAATTAATTAATTAATGCATCATCATCGTCTATCTTCAGATCTGAACTCTGATTATATGACCTCGAATGAATGCGTAAGAAATGAAAATTGTTTTTATGGATAATTTTGATTTAGTACATACCAAGAAAGGTGTCTTGTCTTGTTTGGTTTTGATCTCTTATTATATATTACAAGTTTGCTTCAAATGATAGGGTTCATATTCTGGTAATATTTCTGTATCTTAATTCCTGTGGTCTACTTTCATAGTTACATTTCTTCTTCTGCTGAGTTTGGTGTTTTGGGTATCAGGAGGAATGGGAATCAGACTGCTCACAAGGACGACTTCCAGAGGGACATCCACGGGTACTTTTTATGTACATTAATTCCTATATAGCTAATATTGTTAGTTTTTGTGGTTGAATTCAACTCAACTCTAGTCTGGATGCAGATCCTCAAAAGGTAAAATATTGAATTGTGACCATTTTTGGCCTTCCTGTTGCATTATGTTGTAATTCTTGAAACAGGTTTTTTCAACTATTTGCATAACAATGGATCATTATCTATTCTGTCTTTTCAGATCATCTAACAGCCCATGCAATCAATCACATTTCTAATGCATGAAACAAATGAACATTATTGGATGAATGATTTTGTACCGACTGCCCAAGAAAGGCATTTGGTTTCGAGTTACTCCTTTTGTTAAGTATTATATGTTCATATGAAGAGATCATGACGAACACAGTGCTCATTTTGGTAATTTTATGTTCGCATATAGACGAACAGGTGTGAATAGAATGTGTATACATTTAGCATTTAGTACCTAGATTTTTCGGCGCTACTTCATTATCAATGGATATCATGGAATAGGCATTCTTTGACTAATTAGTATGTCTCTCGCTTAAGTATTAGAAGTTCAAATTTATGAACTTGCTACTTGTCGGATCCGTGCAGGAGGACGATGGAGACAATGATGGTTGGGAAACAGTACACAAGAAGCCTTCTAAACGGCGGCAAAAGGTATTCATAGAACTTGATTAAACATTAGAGACCATTTCCTCTTGAATAGAGTGTCTAGAGGGTGTGTTCTTTTTGGGTTTATGTTTTGGATTACAGTATATTTTAGGTGAAATAGTATCTGGACATGATGTTTTGTACGGAAAAAAAATATATAATTCGATGTTTTTTAAAGAGAACTGATAGGTAGAAAAAAACAATGAAATATATATATTACATCAACAGATCCCTAGTAGCTGGATTTTTCAGCTCGACTACTTTATCACTGCATGTTTTGGAATAGACATTTTTTGACTCATTACTAGATCTCACCGTTGGGAGAGAAAGCTGTAGATTGACTTATTCATCTAACCAAAATCAGATTGATGATCCTAAAATTTTCCAGAAGCATGACTGACTAGTGACTACCCCACCCAGTATATGCAGAAATATTTTCCATCTTCTGTCTACATCATATGTTCTAATTAAACTTAACAACTTACTACTGGGGTGTTATCAAAAAAAAAATGCAATTCAATTATGTCCAGGTGCCTAAGGAGAAGTGGAATGACTACAAGAAGCCACCTACAGAGCAGAATTACGCTAATGAGGTCGACTGCCGTGGTGACTTAGATCCCTCAGAAGAAGAGCTTTACGATCTAGCAAAGGCTGCAAACAAACTGTGGGAACTTGATTTGAACCGTTTAGTACCTGGAAAAGATTATGAGATTGATTGTGGTGACGGGAAAAAAGTCTACCAGAAGGAAGACATGGCAGAAGGGAGCCTGTTCGCCTGGTTGAGTGATGATATATTGAGGAGGCCTACGTACTCTCGTTTCTGTTCTCTTCTTGATAATTATAATCCACATGAAGGGTATAAAGAAGTCGTAACACCTGAGGAGAGACAAGAGCAAGCAGCATTTATAGAAGAGATCAGCAGAACAGCCCCTATTAAGTACCTGTACAAGTATCTGTTAGCCAAGGGCAAAGCACCGGAGAATTATCAAGATTTCAAGCGAATTTTGACAAGTCTCTGGTTCGATCTTTATGGTCGAGGTGGCACATCTAGCTGTTCTTCTGCTTTCGAACATGTTTTTGTTGGAGAAATCAAATCTGGACAGCCAGAAGTATCTGGATTTCATAACTGGATTCAGGTACAAGCCTAAAGAAGTTTTATGCTTTTCATCTGGATTGGTTCTCATTTTGCCTAAATTTTGTTACATGTAAGCTTGTTATGACAAGCAGAATGTGTGATCACCCCTCTTTATGTTTCTTGTTTTACAAATTTTAGTGATATCATTTACAAACATCAAACTTCATTTGCAGTTCTATCTGGAAGAGTCAAAGGGAAATGTGGACTATCAAGGCTATATATTTCCTCGACGGCGTGGTGACACAGTAAGTAATTATTTGCATCCATCTTCAACATAATTGTATTGTTCACGTTGAATTTTTCCATCTAACCTTGGTTCATGAACTAGAGCTTTGAACTGAATCTAGTTTTCATGAACGAAATACAGAGTTGGAGATTGATCATCAATTTTGGTAGCCCCCAGAAGGGTTTGTTTTTATGCAAATATGTACAAGTAGGGATCTCAAGTAGATTGTATCTATAGAAAGTTAGACATGACTAAAATTAAGCCTATATAGTCTTTCAAACAAATGTATTGCGTCTACAAGTTACCAAATTAAGCTTGTTATTTGCATGCATCTTAACAAATATCTATTCCATTCGTAGTCAACTCTCTAATTCCATGGATCCACATGAATCAAAATAATTTCTTCTAAATATATTAAGATGTTTGTATTTTTTAATAATAGTTATGTTCTTTGCCCTATGTTGCAGCCCGACTCAGAGACACAGCTGCTTACCATTCAGTTTGAATGGAATGGCATTCTGAAAGCTGTGTCGAGCACCTTGATTGGAGTGAGCCCCGAGTTTGAGATTGCATTGTACACTCTATGCTTCTACTTGGGAGAAGAAGATAACCATGTCGAACTTGGTCCATATAATGTAAATGTCAAATGCTACCGCCATGGGAACAAGCTTGGATCTGCTTTTCCGGTGACTTGAAACACCGTGGTAAGCTTTGGCTAACCTTTAAGGATGTGTTATATTATGACCTTTTGATGAAGATACTAAATTATTTGGATAAAAAATTGAAGACATAATTGCTATGGGTTGGCTTGTGAGTGTCTTTTATGTCCAACCTTGTGTGAGGTGATTGATAATCATATTATGTGATGTTTGAGGACTGAATTATATGTAATGTTTGTATAGACAATGCTATAAGTTTAAATAAGATGTTGATTAGGTGATAATTTAAATGTGTTTTTGCATACAGGTCAATGTATGTATTTTTCAGTTATAGGTAGCTCAACATATTTGTTATGATTTTTCATTCTGCTAAACACCATAATCCACCTCATGTTATATTATTCCAGCTACAGCATTAAAATTCAAAAAATAATAATGATTAAAAAAAAAAAAAAAAAATGAATCAATGAATGCTTGGCACTTTGATGGATACAAAACCTTGAAAGGAACTCAACAATGAATCAATAAATATCTTGGTAAGATATTTGCTATGCTTGGTTCTGGTACACAAACAACAGCTGTTGAATTCATTCAAGAAATCCATTTGATTGTTTTCGTTATGCCAAAGCATATTCGTGATTCCCACCTGTCACACCTTATGCATCTATTAAGCTTTTTCATAGAGTTTGATTTCAATTATGTAATTTTTTAGTTTTCCATTTAGTATAAATTTGTGACAGATGACAAATAAATTCTATATTAATTTTATAAAAGCAAATTATATCCTTTATATATTTGTATAATGTATGTATATATACACGCATCCACACAATGAGTATTTAACTACATTCGACGAATCTAATCCTAGCGAGAAATTCCTCAGCAGTGAATGAACCAAGAACACATATTTTCTATCGCAGAAGAGGTTCAACACAACCTAAACTAGATGATGCATCTCTTACTATTCCTGTTCCCATTCCTATGCCTCTCAGATTGAAAGTTCCTACAACTCTTTTCCCTACTCATTTTCCTAAAATGAAGACATCCCGACAGCTTCTATGCATAATTACTCATAATGTTTTGTTTCAGATTTGAAGACTAAACCATAAGACAAATATGGCATGTGAAATGTGCAACTAATACTTGTGTTTTGTTTGTTTGAGACTTCCAACATAGACCCACTTCATCTTTTTAGATTTTATCAAACAATGTGCAATCTGTAGAACATGTGAGAAAGAAATTCGACAAATTTAATATGATATTTACCTGCGTATCTGTGATCAGTCAATTTGGCTATGTGATCTACTTATGGATAACTAAAGATGAGACTAGACATGCAACCAAAAAATTTCAACCTGAGCCTCAGCCTTGATACTCATCAAATATCTACACAGCAGAGAGCAGACATCACAAAAATATGTCAGATCTAAATAATTATTTATAAGTTATTCAAACAAATCAGCTGAGAATTCTATTCTTTTGTTAAATTTACTAAGTTCAACATCGATCATGAGCTTGTGTGCCCAGTGTAAGCATTAAAAGTTACTGCTTGAGTTGAACTCAACCATTTTGCTATTCCACTCCCTCAATGATATGTTATCAGTTAATCCTAAACACAACCAATTTACTATTCAACCTCGAAATAACCGGATTTCAATCCTACCTGAGGTAGAGCTAATTCGGGGGAGAGGTTTCTACATCAAATCAAGGATATCTACTTGATATGATCACACAATTATCTCCACAAACAAATATGTACAGAACATCTCTAGCAGCCACAATTATGACTACAACAAATTATCCTACCAAAACTATATATCAACATTTGAGCAGCTGGCATTTTGTTGATTTCTCCTACAACATCCCGGGTATATCAAATCTCTAAAGTCTAAACTACCACACATCATGATGCACGTTATGATCTCTGTGTCTAATTTACAAACAAAAACCAATAAACCGAAAGCACCGTAGTACCCAAGCACAACTGTCTGTTTCTATTAAACCTATAAAACTTGATTGATCCTTATGATCCCTCAAACAAATTAAACTCTGCACATGTATTATATTTCAAATCATGTTGCAGGCAGTTTGTCCTGGTCTAGTTTGGTCACCTCAAGTTTTGAGTACCACAAGAGCCTGCAAGGGAGGTATGCAATTCAATTAGAACCATTAATTGCAACATCCAAGACTCATGTAAGCAAAAATTTCTAACCACAAGGGCCAGTCCACGAAGGAATGTTTTATCTCTAACATGTGTATATGGAGAAGAATGCTTCAATAAAATGCAAGAGTCGACTTTTCTACCACCACTAATTCTAGACTTACAAGGCTCCCTTTGTTCATTCTTATCCTGATACACAAGGAAATGAAAATTCAAAAACCAAGAATTTTCTCATCCACACAAGCTGTGTGTCTTCATTCCTGAAGGCCAAAGAGAAAAAGCAAACACTGTGGGGCCAGACAGGTCACAGGAAGAGAAGGGCCACCCATTGGTTATCATGTTGGCATGGCTGATAATTAACCGACACAGCTTCCCTCACAAACTTAACATCAATCGCTTTGCTTTTTCAAACCTTTGAAGGGGACATGATGAAAGATATCCAAATGCAAAAAAAAAAAGTACAGTAAAGCACAAAATTTCTTACGATTAGCATATGTAAATTAACACTCCCCCCAGATTAAACTCACAAAAGAAAAAATTAAAATCTCTACGAATTATTCTTCTTTTTAGCTATCAGCACATAGATCTGTCATTAAAACATATTGCCTCCAGTTCACTAGCAGAGATGCAATGGTTGGAAGTATGTGAGAACAATCGAACATTAATTTACATGCTATCTAACTAATCAAACCCATTTACCATAATCTAACTAAGGCTTTTACACAGTTGCATCAATACCTTCCTACAAGAGAATAAATGACCAAATGTATTTGAATCACTGAATCAGGATGTGTACAACTCACATAGACTTGTCACTTGTGACCAAACAAACATTAGTTGTTTCAGTCAAGTTAATTACCAAAACACACAAACACACACACATTGATCATAGAACCTCAGCTATCCATCTATGTTATGCCTATGTCAGCTTAGTGTCACTATGAAGCATTTCCAGCCACACATAGGTAGTGCTCGCTCATATGAATGATTGCCTGTAGGGGATTTATTAAAGGAGATAACATTAGGTGAAATAGGAAATTACATTAAATCTACAGACCTACTTCAACATCCCTTAAGAGAACCCTGCCTTTGATATCAAATATTCCTGCATGAGATTTGGGTTTAAACTTTTAATATAAATAAGATTTCCGTGGGATGTGAGTGTATACACATATAGGCAAAGGTAAAAAACGAATAGCTTCTAAATAGCAGAATGCAGCAGAAACATTTGTTATAATCATTGATCTCACTTGATGTTTTTATTTTTACAGCATAACAGATATTTATGATTCCACATATTTAACACGTAGAAATCGGAAATACATAAAAGATTCCTTTTCCATGGATCCATAGCATTTTAAGATGGATAAAAAGCAAACACGAAGCCAAATTGAAGACTTTGAAAAGGTAAAGCAACTTGTTTGATCTTTAGCACTTTTTGCTTTCCGAACTAGAGCCCACCAAAATTGGCTTATTAAGGAACCAGGGAATACTTTATCTTCATAAATAAACACCGGTAGGCTTCATCTTTGCAACACTTCATTCTGAGGAAAAATGACTCTAACGCTTCGCTCTTCAACTTCATTTATCAATCTACCTGAAAACAAAGGCTTTAGAACTCCTAGCGACTTCTCTAGCATAGTTGGTTTTGCCCATATCAAGCCGTCATGCCAGCTGCGAGCAAGGAATTCAATACAAGAGGCACAGCTCTTGCAACCTGAGAGAACCTCCTCTCTTTTGGAAGGGGGATACTATGAGCAGAGAGAAACACTTCATCAGATTACACCCCCTCACAGCCATAATAAATTGAAGGTACCTGTTTTTGTGATGCTGCCTCTTGATACCATATCCATGGGGGGCAACATGAACAAACCAAAAGCAATGTTTGCTAGTTTGATGGCTTTAAAGAGTGCTGGAGTTGAAGGGGTTATGGTTGATGCATGGTGGGGATTGGTTGAGAAAGACGGACCACTGAAATACAATTGGGAAGGTTATGATGAACTCATAAGGATGGTTGAAAAGCTCGGGTTGAAGCTTCAGGTTGTCATGTCTTTTCATCAATGTGGAGGAAATGTTGGAGACTCTTGCAGGTCAGTACCATATTAGTGCGCAATTATTTGCCTTTTTAACTGTCAAAAAAGTTTATCTTCCAGGTACTCCATTAATGCTTATACTGGTCCATGACTTTCATAAAGTGATAACAAAACCTACCTTTGTTGTGTTTGAACTGGCTTATAAAAAATGCTTAAGGGGATGTCCTTCTCAAGAGAAACAAGCGTTCCAGATTTAAATTATGTTCTCAGCTTTTCGAATTATTTGCCAGATGCTGAAGTTTGTCCGTACGTGAACATTAAAATAACTAGTGTACAAGTAACAAAATGGGTTTCTAAGCTTGACTAGTTTCAAAAGTTCTATGCATGCTTCTAGGTTTAGTTATTTCAATAGCAGTTGTTTCTGCACATCTAATTATCATTACAAGTTAAAGAAGATTGCAGTGCACCAACTGATACTTCCTAAATTCCACTCAGATATTTCAGCCATCTTGTCGCGAATAATCTAAGTTGCAATTGATACAAATGTTCTGGCATTATATTTGCAGTATCCCCCTACCACCATGGGTGCTTGAAGAGATCAGCAAAAATCCTGACCTTGTCTATACTGATAAGTCAGGTCGGCGCAACCCTGAGTACATATCGTTGGGCTGTGACTCACTGCCTGTTCTTCGAGGAAGAACACCAATTCAGGTCTATTCTGACTACATGAGGAGTTTCAGAGAGAGGTTCATCAACTACCTGGGAAAGGTTATTGTGGTATAGCTTCTAACCCAACTTTTTCCTTGTCTAATTAGTTAACTTTATGAAACAGCAATCTACTGTCCATCCCATAGAATTTAGCAGTAGTCATGGTGCTATATGTAGAGGTGAGCAAAGAACTTGATTATAACAATTAGCAATTCTTGTTGTGTGATACACATGAGAGCCAACAACAATAACTCAGAGAATATTAAGATAACAGAGAGCAGAAATATTTGGAAGGTCCAATTTACCAAAAGCAGAAGCTACAACAAATATATATTAGATGATAGGTATTAGATACACTACATCAAGAATCAAGCATAAAAGTAAATGCACAAGACATTTATATGAAGCTGAAATACCATGATCAATGATGTCATAATTGTTGTCTTATTGTAGATTCAATCATTCAAACTCTCATATGATACAAGCAAGTAGCAACAAGGTTAATTGATTATCAAAACAAAAAATAAAGGATTCTTTTTAACATATGTTACTTTTAACAATACAGGAGATTCAAGTCGGAATGGGGCCTTGTGGAGAGTTAAGATATCCCTCATATCCTGAGAGCAATGGAACCTGGAGATTTCCTGGAATTGGAGAATTTCAGTGCTACGACAAGGTAATTCCCACAAATAGCAGTGGCACAACATTTAGCTTTTGTTTCAAAAAATTTTCTTGATAAATGTTCTTTCTACATGAAACAGTACATGAAGGCTTCATTGGCAGCAACTGCAGAGGCAATTGGGAAGGAAGACTGGGGACAAGGGGGGCCCCATGATGCCGGCCAATACAATCAATTCCCAGAAGACACTGGATTTTTTCGGAGGGAGGGTAGATGGGATAGCGAGTACGGAAAATTCTTCTTAGAGTGGTATTCTGGGAAGCTACTCGAACATGGAGAAAAGATTCTCACAACAGCAAAAGGTATATTTCAAGGAACTGGAGCCAAACTGTCTGGGAAAGTAGCTGGGATTCATTGGCATTACAAAACAAGATCACATGCAGCAGAACTAACAGCAGGGTACTACAACACAAAGTATCAAGATGGTTACCTGCCAATAGCAAGAATGCTAGGAAAACTTGGTGTGGTATTCAACTTTACATGCATGGAGATGAGAGATGGAGAACAGCCAGGCAAAGCCAATTGCTCACCAGAAGGTCTAGTTAGGCAAGTAAAGATGGCAACTAAAAGTGCTAGAACAGAACTAGCTGGAGAAAATGCACTACAGCGGTATGATGGAGGAGCATTTTCCCAAATTTTGACAACAAGCAGGTTAGATCTAGCAGAAGGTCTCAGTGCATTTACTTACTTAAGAATGAATAAGCAGCTGTTTGAAGCAGATAATTGGAGAAATTTGGTTGAGTTTATAAGAAACATGTCAGAAGATGGCCAAAACAAGAGACTTCATGAAAGTGACAGGATTGGAACAGACCTTTATGTTGGATTTATCAAACAAAATAATTTGCAGAAGACAAGGGAAGCTGCCCTTGTATGATGATATGGAAGCATATCTTTGTGACATTGTACTCCAAGAATGTAAAATATAAAGCACATTGGAAAGTCAAGGGCGTACATATACACATACATACATGGCAATGTACTGATTAACCTTGTCTTGCCCAAGTCCAAGACTCCAAAGAACAGAGTATTGCTGTTTTAAAAGTTAGGTGGACATGAAGAGATTCGGAACAATGGCAAGGAAGCTAGAAGCTGAGGCAACAAATCTGGCGTATGCACAGAGTGAAAACAGAAGCACAGCAAGTATTAATTAACTATCTTGGTCCAGTAAACAATATATATTCGTTTCCTGTACAAAACTTTAAAATCTTTTTGATTCCCTTGAAAACAAAAAGGGACATACTTCAGTTTCCTGCAATGTTTTGGTCCATAAAAGTTTACTAACTTAGTATGAACTCTGCTCTGCTTTTCAGGTTATTGTTTTCTTTCTCAATTATATATGAATTATGATATAAACGGTAAAGCAAGGGTTGGAGTTGCAACAGCTACAAAATGGTCTAAGAAAACCCATATCACATAATTGAAATATGAGTAAGAGTTAGGATTTTCTGAAGATGAGCCTGATCATCATCATATCTACTCTTCAGGTTAGAAGCAGAATCTAAGCAAAGATAAAACACTTCTTGTAACAGATGAAAACAACAGACAAATCATCCAGAAAGAATGTGAGTAATACTTCAATGTAATTCCATAAAACAGAAACTTCATATAAATTCTTCTCCTAAAATGAGGAATCACAAGCAAGTACCATCAGTATCATGACATCCATCAGCATTTAAACTTAATCTCTACCAAGTCTACAAAATTCAAAATTTTGGTATTATAGAAAGTAAACAATTCTAGCCAATAGTAAGTAGCCAATACATGAATGCATGCTTCAAATATATATTATACTGAAGATTTAGGCCAAATCTCAAGTTCCTTCAGCAGAAAACTTTAACTCACCTTCAACACAAAGCAAGAACATTTCTCTCAGTAAACTTGATGCTAGTACTGAATCTGCAAATGTATACATAAAGATTGTTAAAGTTGAATTTCTTAAGTTTCATAGAGAAAAAACTCTATGTAGTGCAAACAAACGTTTGAACACTTACGGAAAACAAGCTTACGTCATTGTAAACCTTTTATTTGCTAAGAAAAAGTTCAGTCAATTAAAAAAAAGGGATGCGAAATTGTTTCTCACTGCCCTTGCATCATCCATTCAGAATAATAATCATATAAAATAAAAGTCAGATGTTGCACTGCAAATGAACTTGATTGAGTAGAAATGACAAGAACTCCCGTAGTCTTTGTTCGATGAAACTTTGGATTGTAAATCTATATTAAGGATTAAGATTTACCTAGTAAAACAACAGATACTTCAAACAAGTAGAGCTCAAGATTCACAACACATAACTGCTTTTCATCACAACATAATGTATAGATACAAAAGCAAATCCTAGAAGTTCGTCTGAGAGTACCACGTAATGTATAGATACCGATGCAACCCCTAGGTTTTGATTTCATACCAAATATCTCTTCGCCGGTTCTATAATAAAACATATAACCCTAATTTTCTTATTAGCTACGAAACTTTAAGGTAATGATGCTCGGTATAACAGAAATTCTACGTATTAATGATAAATTACACCACAAAAGCTCTCCAATTTTTTAAAAGAGGTTGCCAATAATACCATTTAGGAGTCCAGCAATTCTAGGTTGGGAAGGCGAGGCTCACTCTCACTCTCAAGGGCTATTAACCAATTACAGCACAAAACCACTCCAATTTTCAGAAGAGTGGTTGCAATCGATACCGTCTAGGACTGATCTGGAGGAGATGAAGAACGGCGGAGTTTCTCAATTAGCTCTTCGAGCTCCTTGCGCGCTGACTCTCTGCCGAACATGAACCCGTACCTGACATTATGTACCACCAAATTACTAGATCGATAGTACTAAAAGAAATGATGAAAAAGCAAATATAAAAACGCAATGGGAGATAATTGAATACCAGAAGGATACGGCGGAGAAGATGCCGGCGGTGCCCACCGTCTGCACGAGAGTGAAGCCCTTCTGCATTTCTTTTGCTATTTATTTTTATTTTTAGATTACAAAAAATTTGGGAGCTCTTCTCTTGGTCGTGTTAGTAACGACATTTTTTTTTATACTGTACCCTCTCTCTTCCTCGAAAATTCAAATTTTATATTTATTTTATTTTTATTTTTTTGATTTTTTTTATTTATTATAACGACAAAAAATTATTTTTAATCTTATTTTAAATTTTTAAATTTTTTAGAGAATGATTATACATTTTAATTTATTTTAAATTTTTTAATTTTTTTTAGTTATTTTAATTTATAATTATTTATATTATAAGATAATTATTTTCACTGATATATTCTTAATTATCGTGTTTACAGTACAGCAGACACTGATACTGACACTGGTACGGATGAAATAATATTCTAGATGTACGTTTGGTGGTATTTTGAAATGTGTGCTATATGTCAAAATAAAATTAATAGGTAGTGTCGGATTGCATTTTCAGACCATATTTATTTTTATTAATTTTAATGAAAAAATAAATAAATCTCAGTCGAATTTTAAAGGTCGAGACTTTGAACCTAAGACCTCGTCATCATAAGGTCAACTCTATTCCATCATATCATCTCAAGAAAGTATTTTTAAATTAGTTATATACTCCCTCTGCCCAAACAAGGTGCAACATTTATTTTTGGCACGAATTTTTAGGTAGATAGTATTAAATATAATAATTTAAAAATCAATTGATGTGATAAAAAGAGAAATATATATTTTATATTTTTATTTAGACGATGCGATGAGATAAAATGTGGGGTAGATATTAGGTATAATTAATTATTTCATATTTTGGAAATGTTGCAGGGTGTTTGTGACATATCTTTGATGATTCCATCATCTATGAATGAGTTGGGAAAACTTCTGGATAGGTATCCTACATCTGCACCGAATTCTTTCTGGTTAAAGAATCTTTTTCTAGTTGCTCTGGAACAATTAGGAGATTTCAAAAGAAAATATTGCACTGACGGAGGAAGTACCATTTTTAAAATATTAAATTATTTCCTTGAATCTTGTTTTGTAGTATTAATTTTTATTTTAATTATAATTTGAATAATAATTTATATCCTAATCACATATATCAATTTGTTATTTTTGTTTGTAATTTAAAAATATATTCATTTTTTTAGTATTTTTCTTTTTAATTTTAATCAAAAAATATCTATATATCTTATACTCTTTCTGTCCCAAAATTATAGTGGCATGAGATTGAAAGAATATTAATAGTATATTGATAATGAGTAAAAAGTACGTGTAAAAGATTTTTTTGCCCATGTGAGTGTATTAGTGTAAAAAGTAATATCAATTGTGTAATAGTAATAAAAAGTAAAGGTAATCTTACACTTATACGATTATTTCTAAAAAAATGAGACTATTGTTTTAGAACAGACAAAAATAATTAACAAACTATTATATTGGGACGGATGAAGTACAATATTACTAAAAAGTAAATAAATTTAAAAGCAATGTTAATTTTTATCATTTTATGGTAGCATTATATATAAAAATACTAATATATTTAATTTCATATACAAAAATCCAACTGATACATATACATTGACAAGAGGAAGTATATTTTTATAAAAATTACTATGGTTACATAATAATAATAAAAAAAAAAATATAAAACTAAATTAAATTATTATTATTATTATTATTAATGACTTTATGAAATGGCATAAATTGGGGAATTGACCAAAGGAAGAAAAGTATAATAGGAATTCTTTGGTCTTTTTGTTGTACAAAATATTTAGGCACCTATCACTATCTTCCACCCATTTTCAATTACTATTTCATTTGCTCGATAATTCATTCATAAACATAATAATGGTGATCAATAATGCAAAATTTTCTTGAAATGGTACCTGGATCTTATATTTTTTTGAAAATATAAATATATATATATATATATGGTGTGTTTGTTTGGAGGATTGGTTCATATTTTTACTATTCATCGACATTTTTTTTTTAAAAAAATATCAAATTAAATATCAAATTTTTATTTTTTAGATTATACTAAAAATTAATTTTGCATTCAAAATATTACACCAACGCCTATTTATATCACATCATACAACTATTTCAATTCAATTTTTTTATTATTCAATTTCCAACTCAAAATCCAAACCAAAAAACAAACACACACATAGTGTGCTACAATAAATTATTAAAGCCGACGGTTATAGTGCTGAATTGTAAAATTCAGCATTATGGTGACAACACACTGCAGCACACGGTGTTACTATCCGCAGCACACTGTTTGTTTTCATATAATACAATAACAGCACATAAACTAACAACACTAATCAACAACAGATGCTATAATCTTATAGCATACAATAAATACTCGATTTCAACACGCCACGTACTGTAATACAATTGTAATTATGAATCAACAATACAATACAACACATGAACTGACAACGCGCATACTGTAGCTTTATACAACACAAATATTAATTGATTTCAGTATACCACATACATATTATTATACGACATGCTATAATTACGAAGCAATATCACATGTCATTATTATACGCAGCATGTGTTGTGTATAATAAGACTTTGTATTGCTCGTATATATTATGGGGGTTGAAAAATCGTTCTGATTTTTCCAATTCATAAGATTTATGTTTTAACCTCAAATCAAAATATTGTTTAACTAAAGCAGCCAAACATTTGATTGAATAATCTCTGGAAACCGGGAAAAGGGTTATTTTGTATATGTGCAAAGAGAGCATTAATAAGTGTGGTAATTAAGAGTGATAATTGTAATCCCCACTCCAATAAATATAATTAGCGACTAACTATTAACAATTAACTTATTATTTAATGACAGCAGTTGATTTAATTAATTAACAGTAGTAATTAATCTATTCATAATTAAGAAGAACAACCATAGCAGTGTCCTTTCACACGGTCCTCGCTCTCAGTCCTCTCTGATCTCGGTCATGGATTCCGTTCATGGTGCTCTCTCTCCTAGTCTCCTCCCTCTTTCTCTCTCTGTGGAAAAACCTGCACGCATACCCACGCACAGATATAGACGCGGTGACGCGCATTCTAGCCTCTCTTCCTTTGCGTTCACGTTAGTTCTTTGCGGTTCGGTGCTTTTCTCCTATGCTTTCTAAACTTCTCGTCTCCACATGAGTTTGGGTCAATTCAATTCAATTCTGGCCTCTATCCACTCTGCCTGCCTTTTGCACGATTTTACTGTGCTGCTGCTTCGTTTGCCCCAATTTTGGTTGCAAAACAGGGCAGGGAAGGGCGGCGTAATCTCTCCGGCGCCGATCGAGCTTTCAATTTCCACCGGCAGGGGCTTGATTTTGGTTTCTCCTCGTTTGGATTGTTTGTTGTTTGGATATTTTTTCAAAATTTTGGTCTGATTACAACGGCACAGCTGGAGCGGTTACTCGGGAAGATGATGAGATGTTTCTCGATATTTAAAGATAGGTCGAAGTCCTCCAGGCCGGGGAAATCGGCGCCGGAATTGGGGAGCGGAGGCCGGGGCGGCGACGGGGACGGATCACGCGCCGCGCAGTCGACGGGGTCTATATCGTCGTCGACGCGTCGGACGATACCGGACATGTACAGAGAGAAGGAGCAGTCGCTTAGGGTTTTCTCCCTGTCGGAGCTCCGCGAGGCCACCAACAATTTCAACAGGTTGCTCAAGATTGGGGAAGGCGGTTTCGGTAGCGTGTATAAAGGCTCCATCAAGCCTCCCGACGGAATTGGTGATCCCACCATTGTCGCCGTTAAGAAGCTCAACACGCAGGGAGTTCAGGTACCTGCCATGGATATTAGTTACTCGATCTCAATTTCGAGATCAAATCCGAAAACTGAAATTACTGTTCTTCTACATAGGGCCATAAGCAATGGATCGCGGAAGTCCAGTTCCTGGGAGTGCTGGATCACCCGAATCTGGTGAAGCTCTTAGGGTACTGTTCGGTGGACGGAGAACGAGGAATCCAACGCCTGTTGGTTTACGAGTACATGCACAACAAAAGCTTGGAGGATCATCTATTTAGCAGAGCTGTTGCGCCGATTCCATGGATAACCAGACTGAACATTATACTCGGTGCTGCTCAAGGAATGGCGTATCTGCACCACGGATTGGAAGTTCAGGTGCTGCTTCATTGTTATCTTCCTGACATTAATTCATCATCACCATTGTTGTTTTCAATTAGTTTAGGGTTCGAGGTTTTTGATTCATTGTTTGTTAATTATGCTTATCAGGTGATCTACCGCGATTTCAAAGCCTCGAATGTGCTGCTCGACAAGAACTTCAACGCCAAGCTTTCCGACTTCGGGCTTGCGCGAGAAGGCCCGACTGGGGACCAGTCTCATGTCTCCACGGCGGTGAGTAGATTTATCGTTTACGAAATGTTATTGGTTTTAAACTAGGCCTGAGAATGTTGAGTGTTGGTTGGCTCCTGTGTGTAGATAAATAAATAAGTGATGCTTATTTTTAATAACTTAAGCTTTCAGGTTAGACGGTTATTTATATAGTCTTAACATGGTATCAGATTCTTGCTCAAGTTTATAAAACAATCATTTTCATCCAAAGTTTGTAAATACATATATGCAAGTGTTATGCAAATAAACTAGATGAAATGTTTTAAATATCATTTTTTTTGAGTAAAATAAATAAATGATAAATTGATCACCTTAAGACATTTCACCCCTTTATTGCATAGCACTTGTTTGGATGGAAATAATATTTTTATGCATATTTTAATATAATATAAGGAGATTTTACACAGTAAATAAAATATTGGTGAATATGATGTAATTTTTCTTTTAATTAATGAAATTTCGATTCATGGTTAGCCTGTGGGGACACGCGGTTATGCTGCTCCGGAGTATGTCGAGACGGGGCATCTGTCGGTCAAGAGCGACATATGGAGCTTCGGGATTGTTCTCTACGAGATACTGACAGGGAGGAGGACACTCGACAGAAGCCTCCCGCGGGATGAGCAGAAGCTGATGGAATGGGTGAAACAATTCCCAGCTGACAGCCGGAGATTTAACATGATAATGGACCCGCGTCTTCAGAATCAGTATTCCCTAAGTGCCGCCAGGAAAATAGCGAAGCTAGCCGACAGATGCTTGAGCAAAAATCCAAAAGACCGGCCAGCTATGAGCGAGGTCGTTGAGATCTTGAAGCAATCAACGGAAGAATCGCAAGGAGCTGGTGGTTCGTCGTCAAGAATCACAGGCCAGGCCACGGCAGTGGCGGGTGGTCATAGAAGCCCGATGAGACAAATGGAAGCGAGAGGGGGTTCGAGACAGAGTCCCCTCGTCCACACGGCTCGGGCAAGTGTTGGTTGAATTATATTTATTATAAATACTATGATTTGATTTGTATGGTAAGAATTAAAGATTGCCTTAAACAGCAGCTAACCTTAACAAGTGATTTGTGTTTTTGTCCGACAGGCTTAGGAATGTTGATTGATACATCATGAAGTGCTCTATGGTCCTGAAAATGGAGGTAAAAGTGTAAAATTCTTGATTATTTGATGATGATGATGCATTTTGGGAGAGTAAGAAAAATATTTTTAGTTAGTGGCAGTGGTTTTGAGACAATTTTTTTGTGGTTTGGTGTATTGTTGTTGTAAGTATGATTCAGGCTACATATTATTTATATCTAGAGAGAGAGAGAGAGAGAGAGAGAGAGGCTATGGATTTAATTTTTATAGAAATTTCAGATTTTTGCATGGTCCCTATTCTATTTAATTTATACGCAAGTGTGGAACCTATTGTACATGTTATTGACTTTAATTCTATTTAAATTAAAATTAATCACTTTAAAGAAATTACTGACATGATATATATACGGATTGGATCGAATATGCTCATATTGAAATATGAGAGCTATTTTCAACCTAACCATGTTTAAACATGGTCATATTAATCCAAAAATCTACATCGAGTTTAAATTGAATGCCAATCACCTTAACAAATGAGTCAAATCGAACCGAGCTTTAGTCGTTAACTTAGAGATTCGTATATCCAACAACAGAGAAGTATAGCTATTAAGGAACATATCACCAGTCATAAACATAGTATGATTTATATAACAAACAAATGTTAGACAAAGAGAGTGAAAATAATAATAATGTTGACAAGAATTAATGTGAGATGCGAGCTCATGCATAATATACACCGCGATGAAGTAAAGATTTAATTTCGACAAGAAATGAGCAAACTCTCGAATCAATTTAATGATGTTTGTAAAAATAAGGTTAGAATGCCACTGAAAAACACATATCTCATATATGGACGGATACATACATATATAAATATATATATATATGATTATGCTGATGAAAAACCTTACTTTGATTGATGCCTTGATGGTCCTCCATTGCTGCACCGATCAAATTTCATCCGATCAACGCCATGAAAAGGTGTATAATCTCAATAGAAATTTGATCGAAAAGAAGAGTTCGCTCAGATGGAATTCCATAGCAGCTTCCTAGCAGGAACTGGAGGAGCTAATCCGGGTATATCTCGAATGTCTTTGTTGTGTGGGTTCACTATCTGAAATTTCGAACAGATCAATGTAATAAGCAAAAACAAAATTGGAAAAAGATCAGCCTAGAGGCAATTGAACTACTGCAAATGGTTTTTTCAGTGTAACATATGGTTTAATATTTAGGTGAAAAATGTCAGTTCACATATAATTTTTTACCATTAATGCTAAATTAAAATCAAGGCCGTAATCATATAAAAACAACTCATATTGCATATATAAATGAAAGGCCAAGAGACATCTAACCTTCACTATAATGATAGCTATGACACCGATCACAATAAGGAATAGGAGTGCCATGATACACCTATCGGTTGCAACCTATTAAGAAATCGAAGTCAGTTAACCTGTAGAGTGACGAGAGTTAAGCAAATGGTTTTATGTTATAAATACTTAACCTGTCTCCCAATTTCCTTGACTAGCTGTGAGGCCTTCTTGATTGAAAAATGAATAGAGTCCAGTTCATTAACAATTCGGCTCATTTGTTCAGTCTGAAATCATTGAATATAAAATGTGTTACTCCCATATCTTAGGTCTAAGAAATTTTGGCGAAACCATAAGAGATTGAGTAATTCACTGAAATACACACCTGAGCTTTAAGAGCTGCAGCAGTCTCCGTTCCAACAGCAACAGTTTCATGCACGACCTATAAGGGATAGAGGATGGATCATGCTTTGAAGCTATGAATACTTTTACACATATTTCTCTAACATCCAGTTGTTTAATGTTCCACCTTCAACACCTTTACTAATTGAATCGAGAATCTTAAGATATTTTAGGATGCAGACCTTTTGTGCTCTGCCGAGTGCTTGATCAGTCTCATCCATCATGTGATTTCCATGATCCATTAATTGCTGGTTTGTCATATCTGTAAAGGGTATTTGCATCCACATTTAGACTAAAAACGTAAAGGGCAATGAACATGTTATTTGCTAAGGATTTCAAGTCTCCATACAATTTTAAAATAAGGATCCAAACACAGTCCACGGGTGAATTTGGGTGAAGAATAATCATCTATAGGAATAAAACCGAAAAGAAAAAAAAAACAAAAAATTAGGAGCTTCTATCCGTGGGCGACCAAAATCTTATTTGACAGTTGTAGTGTTCTACAGTTTGTTAAAAAAGAGATGTGTGGAAGACGAAGTTGATCGACATACAACTTGATAAAATTTTGTTGTGAGTTCATAAAAAAACATTGCTACACCTAACTGACTCAGCAGTAGAAAGCAGGATTGGAGATTAAGCAAGGCAATTCTTTCAGATTAGTGATATTTTTTATTTCTAGTAAAGCGTTTGTAAAGATGCTATCATTCTTGCTCTACAATTTCATTCATCCTGTTTGCAGATGAACGATGATGTATTGAAAAGCTGAATAATTTTGTTTTTTCACCACCCATTTAGTTGGTCCTTGGATCCAGCTTCATCAGCCAGTACAAATGTATGGACAAGGTAAATGCTTTTCATTCTGTTCTCTTTGATAAAACCACTAATGCAAAGAATCTTAGTTGCAATAAAAATCACGACAAAAAGTAGATTGCTTATAATATGAAGTAATTTTTCTTTCAGGTGGCTGGAAGGTGCTTACTTGAAGCAAGTAGAGAATTGTCTTCCACAAATCCTTCACCTGGACCCTCAAAAAGATCAACTCGTTTGTTTTCAAGATTAGTTGCATACCTACAGCATCAAGAAATAGTTTAATGTATGAGTATGAGTATATTGACTAAATTCATAAAATATGTTAAAGGTTTATAGATTGCATTGGTTAGTTGTTTCTTGTTTCAAAAGTTAATTTGTGTAACAAGATTATTATTAATGCATGCTTAGTTCTTAGAATCATCTCAAACCTGATCTAGTAAGTGGGGTTGTTAAAGCCTGAGCGAATCATGTGTAGTATTATGAAAACATGACAGCATTTTCATGGAATAATAAAATTTGGCGAACCACTTGGACCAATAGTATTTACTCTAGTGGTGCAGAAGTATTAAATTAGATAATTCAAACTAATCACATGCAATTAATGATTTTTGTGGGTAAAATCTAGCATATTAACTCTTTTTCATCGATGGATGGAAATGAGATTTCAGACAATAATTATTTGTCTAGACTACTATGGAAGGATTATTTAACAAGCAAATAACTGAAACAAAGGAAAATCATTTGTTTGTGTAAAGAATTATTGTTTGTGCTCTTTTTTAAAACTACTAGAAGAATTAGAATCTATTTTGACCAATGGTAAAGGAAGACAAGTTATGAATTACAGGAGAAATAAAAGTGCAGTTAAGCCTGCCATGACTATAGCTAAAGAACTCACTGTTTCTTGAGAGCAACATAAGAATTCAGCTCTTTGATCTGCAGAAGAAGGCAGATAAAATTAAGGAAAACACAAGTAATGAAAGATACTTTATACCGCTAAAGGTCAAAAGAAAATTACAATTTAGTTCTCACCATTGACTGCTTTTTCTCATTAAGTATCTTGCTTGTGTCAGGATCATTTTTGTAGTCTGATTCTTTTAACTCTCGATCATACTCTTTAATAAGCCTACAACAAGAGACAAATTTGTGTTTCAAGCTTCATGAACTCAGTAAGTATTGACTCAATATATAAGGTGTAAACATGCCTCAGCCAGGGAATTGTGTCAGAGAGAGAGTCTCAGAGTGAGTGTGTGTGCGGGTGGGTGGGGAGGTGGCTGGTTGGCTTGAAGCTGCCATAATAATCACTCCAAGCTAAATATGGATGCCACAGCCCAGATATTTACACTAAATCTTAAATTGACATCCTCAATGAAATGGCTAAAACAAATTATTTGACACATCATTTTGGTTTACTTGGATGTTTATTCTCAAAGATTTTTAGAAGGTCAACACAACAAGAGGCACTTATTTCCACAACTCACATGCTCAAGATTTTAGAGATTTTCTATGTTGAATACCTCTTCATACAGTGTTTGTTAAACAGTTGAATGTAAATGTTGAGATATTCTCCTCATTCAAATGAGACTCCACATACTAGATTTAGCCCTTTTTCAAGCCTGAAGAGCCATCCCAAAGTTTATCATTTGTATTCAGAAAACATAAAATGTTCTAGAAGTTTGCTTTGGGTACTCCTGGAAAACATCTCGAACTTATACAGACACACGCCCCGGGACACAATATACATACATACATATATATATATGTGTGCTAATGATACAACCAAAAGAACAATTAGAATTCATCAGCACACCTTATCTAATCTGAGAAACCAAAAAAAGTTCTCACCATGTTATTATTCACATAGATCAGAACAGAATCTACTTCAAACAAACATCAACACACCACACACAAAAAAAAGATAAAAACAGTTTGCAAAAAGTGGATTAATTCTGAGAATCCAATAAACGCAGTCAAGAACAACCACCAAATCAAATACCTCTTACATTCGCGCATCTTGTCAGTGAGCTCCTCCAGCTGCCTGCTCTGCCTATTGGAGTCCTTAATCTTCTCCAGCTTCTGGAATCCATTCCTTCATTATTCAATCAAAAACACAAAATCACAATACAAAAACCATATAAATTTCACATCTAAAATTCCTCAGCCTCAAATCTGGCTCAAACCATCCCTCACACGGTATGCATAAACGCCATACACACACAGTCACATTTCGTCAAACTTCCAAAGACCAAAAAAGTCAATTACAAAACTGAAACAAATTAAAGACTTACGAGAGCGCTCGAAAGATATCCTGAATACGCCCCTCGATCTCCGCGAGCTCTTCGCTCCCCATTGCTTTAAACCCCCGAAATCCGAGTCAAATATCTCGTCGGAGGAAATCAATGGATCCGCCTCCTTCTACAATAAAATTGCGCCGGAAATCGCTTGATCCGACCGGTATCGCCGCCGAAACCGCGCCGGATGGATTTGAATTCGACGGCGATGATCGAATCTGGGCGAAGCAATGCGGATTGGATTGAAATCCGCGAGGGAGGGGGAGGTGTGGTGTGGTGTGTGAGCTGGCGCTCTGGTGATCTGTAGGTATTTATTTCTTGTCATAGTTTGAATTTCACTGTCGCCCCCAAAATTATTTCATTTATATATACTATAATATATAATTTGTTATTACACTAATGACGCAATTAATGCTGTCTTTTCCTTTTGATTCTTTCCTCTTTCAACTTGCCGTTGTGGCTATCATTTCTAATTATGATAAAAATAAATTATCAACTTTTTTTTTGTATCTTTAGTTTAAATATTTTTAATAGTTTTTTTTGTTTTTATTAGAAATCAAAGTATTTATTTTACGGATCAAATTAAAGATATTTTTTTTTTCTTTAAGTAAAATTAACCACGCATTAGAAACAAAATAGTATTAATTTTTATTTAAATTACAAATATATTATTAAATGTAATTAATTTTTATCTAAAATACACATTTTCACACTGACCAATAAAATATTATTATCTCTTAATCTAATACAAAACCCGGAAGTATAATATATGTAAAAAAATCTGTTATCTTTGTATATCACAATATATTATGATATCAAGTAAATATATTATCTTTGTATATCACAATATATTATGATATCAAGTAAATATATTATAAATACAATATAAAATATAATCTACACAACATATATTTCTATATCATGAATATGCAATTTTATTATCACAAATTCACCTCATACTACAAGATATTCGAAATTAAATTTATTTCATTTAATATTTTTTCTTATAAATATACAATATGTTGTCTTTTAATAAATAGTATGGTATTAATTGGAAATTTTTACTTACTATTAAGATGATCATATTTAAAATGTTGGGTTCAGATATTGTTAAATTACCTTAAATTTGTCCAGGGTTGCTTGACTTGAAAATTGGCAGCGCATGTTATTTACTTATTTTAAATACTCTATAATAGGCCAGGTAAGTAAAAAAACATATCATTATAATGAAAAATCAAGTCCCGTAAAAGATGACCTGGTGATGTAGGAGTTGGACTTGTGACATGAGATGTCATAGGTTCGAACTCGCGACATGTCCACGTTCCACGTCATCAAGAAAATAAAAAATAAAAATCAATGTTTCCTCATATTTTTTGAAATATAACTGATGATAATTTATATAGTCGTGATCAATACCAACAATATATTTTTCTTAATTCTTTCTATTTTATTTAATTACACTCATTTCAAGGTTTATCAAATGTAAATTTCAATAATAGTAGAATAATAAGTGAAAACATAGGAACAATTTCAATCATCAATTCCCACTCAATAACGTGCTGCATTTATATAAATAAAAATTAAAAATTAAAAACCCCATCAGTCATTTTAAAAAGAAATTTCAAATGTAATAAATAAGCGCAAGAAAATCAAATATACCGATATCTACGGCGCGTGGACGGCGACATCATCGTGTAAGTGGGCTCCACCGACTTGTTTTGATTGCGAGCACTGGGCTCCACAGACCGGCGCGTCCGGATTGGCCCCATCATCCAGCCACGACACGTGTAATCAGCTTAGTGGCTAGTCCTTTCCTTTCATAATTTTACCGACATTGAAAAATTAACGGTAACGCTGTTAAATTATTTTTATTTATTTGTGTTGCTCTTTAAAATACTTTAGACATAGCAGTTAAATAAACCATTTATTGTATTTATGATAAATATTATTAAGAAAAATATAAATATACACACTCATCAAAAATATCAATTCAAACATAAAATATTACTCATTCCGTCTCAAACACCCTGCAACAATCCCAAACACCTGCAATATTTTCAAAATAAAAAATAATTAATTATATTTAATCTCTACCCCACACTTTATCCCCTCACATCATCCAAATAAAAAAATAATATATATATTTCTCTCTTCATCACATCACCTAATTTCTAAATTATCCTACTTAATACTACCAATCTAAAAACCCTGTGCCAAAAACAATGTTGCACATTGTTTGGGACGGAGAGAGTATTTTTTTCTATTACTAACACAGTCTTCGTGCTATACACAAAAAATCAATTCATTTAAAAAAACAACACTAAGTGAACAGACTGAATATTTTATTACAAAAAATAATACATAACATATTTTTATAAACAATAGTAATAGTCAATTAGGGACAATATCAGCCCGTTCTAACGGAGTCACCTCCTAAAAATACTTTTGACAACAACCTACTAAATATAGTAAATGTTCAACACCCTACTAAATATAGGACCTAAAGAATTAGAGGCCATAGGTTTCTTTCAAAATCTATACTCTAAACCCCATGTGGAGGGAATCTGTAAGAACCAAACTGAGTGTAAATGTTCATCATCTCATCTGGAGTTACTTACTAGTGATGCATGTGTAACTTTTAGTTGCAAGCAGCTATTACCTAATTTGAAGGGGCTCAATCAATCCGAAAAATTCGAAATTTATAAAACTTTTTCAAAAGAATAAACGACCAAGTTAATTGCAGATTAGAACATAGCTACAACTGCCAAAAGCCACAAGCAGTTGATCAACAACTAAGTTAAGCTACGGAAACCATTTACGCCATACAAGTTAATATTGTGCACTGTAGAAATCATCAGAGGCAGGAACAATAAAATAGCTACCAGGTTGTAGACCATAAGACCAATTACATCAATCTTGGAAGCATTAAGATTTCAGATATTCAATATGTATTTCATTTCGTCGTGTTTAATTCCAATTTCCAATTTGCTATATCAAATTTAGATTTAGAATATGCTCTCAAGTTGTCCTTTGAACACAACACAACCTATCCATAGATCTATCTATACACCAACAGTGAATATTTAAACTCTCTTCAGCTTTTACAATGCTATTAAATAATGAAACTAATATGAAGATTGAACAACAAATGTATCGATGCAAATCTAGACAAGAAAAGCTCAAGTTTTACTTGCTTCTATTAACTATTTTAGTCATACTGCTGTGACTTGTGTGCACGTATGCCTGTGTGTTTGCAATTACCTCCGAATGCACCAAAGGATGCTTCACAAATTATAAAAGTAAAATCCTGAACAATTTTGCTGTATTTCAACCCAAACTAGGACCTCTAACTAACAGATTTAATCGTACCTTCGAAAGTCTATATTTTATATACTAAAACTAGCAATCACTCTTATATTCCCATCCATTATATTTACTTCCAACAAAAATATGTTTCGGTCTCACACACTTACATTTTACACAAACTCATTGCAAACTGAGGGTTCACACAGAGTACAAACAGTCGAGCACACCTCTTAGCAGACAACTAACCCAGCAATAACAAACTATATGATAGACAAACACACAGCAGGCATTAGCAAATCTCTTAAAAGTATGATATCAGCAGTGATTGATTTAGTTATAGAAACTGCAGAAAGGTTAAGGAAATACATGTTTCAAACTATGTAGCGATTTCATCAACCTCAGAGTTGAAAACGAAGCTAGGAAATGTAGTAGTAATATCCCTGCAGCAACCATAAGAATCACATCAATTGCTGTGTAAAGATTACCTTGTGTGCATGACAGGATAATTTACCTCAAATATGGAAGTGTCATTATCCTCAACAACGAAGGATTTTGGGCCACAAAGTTGTGCCATTCGGACTTGTCTATTTTCCCATCCTGATTAGTGTCAGCTTCCATGAATGTCTGCCAAAGATAATAATGAACATTCATAAAATCTAGACACTATTAACCCGCAAATTTGGGGTAGCAATTCACACCAGTTAGCCCTCATCTATTTTACAACATCTACAGAGCACAGATGGTTGCTAAACTACATACATCAGAAGACACAAGGTTTAGAAACTGATGTCAAAACATAATATGCAGCCACAAGACAACCATACAAGATACAAAAATGAGTAACCAAACTTAATTTGTGATTGCTAAACACCAAGTGAGAAATGACATAGAATTATCAACCTCATCAAGAAACTTTTTAGGCATACCCCATTCACAACTTGCACTGACCATAGAATTTAAACAGAGAAAACCACTGTAAATCTCGTAAGAAGTGACTCATCATGATGTAATGAGAGAACAGCTATTCCCTTACTTTATCCAGTATTAACTCAATGGTTTCATCAGCCAGCTTCATCTCAGACTCGCAGAGAAGTGCAATCAACATTTGCTTGACCTGACCATGAAGAAAAATAAGATGACAAAAACATAACTTCCTTACCATGAACCCATTACAGAACATTTAGGGTGTGTTTGTTTGGGGGATTAGATTGGATTTACACTATTCATCCAATTTTTTCCCCCCAAAAACATCAAATCAAACACTTATTTTTCATTTTTTATATTATACTAAAAATCAATTTTACATTCAAAACATCACATCAACACCTATTTATATCACATCATACAACTATTCAAATTCAAAATTTTTACTATTCAAATCCCAACTCAAAATCCAAACCCCCAAACAAACACACTGTTAGGGTAAAGTTTCTCGAGTAACATCAAAATAAATAAAGATATCTAAATCCTAGAGCATGCATTGACAGAATGACAATGTAAAAAAGCCAAGATATTGAATTATGAACTCTTAAATGTTATCAATATATTTTGAGAAAAATTATGGAATTATGGATTCTCAAAGATAAATAATATATTCTGAAAAAACCTAAGTCAGATGAAGGCAAAAGACAGTAGAAATGTGTATCTGTTCGAAATGATTCAGATCTAAAATAACTACAATGATTGTATTTCTAGTCTATTTGAAAAATGCAATTGTCTAAATACGCAAAATAGGAAAAGCAACACTAAACAGGTATCAACAAATTCAAACAATTATTAAATCAAGAAATACTACATAAACACTTATATTGTCTACAAGATTATTTTTGATTAATTTTCAGCTTAATTTGAAAGTCCAATAATTAAAATGAATGAACTTATTGAATATATCATGGTCTAGTATCACTAAAAACGGAAGAGCAATATCGAATCTGTATCAAAGTGTTCAAAGTACTTCGAATCTAGGAAAACTGCATAGGAATGATGAGACCTCAAGACTTCATATCACATATTTTCACAATAAATTACTTGTCTAGCAATGCAATAAGTCCTACGAAAAAGAAACCCATAAAAACATAAGAATGTAAATACCTCCTGCCGCTCAATATATCCAGTTCCATCCAAATCATATAGCTTGAAAGAAACTTCAGGGTCACAAAAATAAACTGTGAGCTGATTGATTGAGTTAACATACTGAAAACCAAAAATAGGAAAAATTTGAAAGCATCATGCTAACATACAATTAATTTTGTCTTCCTGTGGAGCATTTGGATGGAAAACATTGAGTGCTCTTACAAAATCTCCAAAATCAATAACTCCCTTTTGCTTTGCATCAAAGAGATCAAAAATCTGCAAGCAGATAACAATCAGCAGACTAGGATCGAATGAACAGAGACAACATTGTTTTTGGAACTCTACAAACTAATGCTGAAAGAAGAAAAGAAAAAGTGGAAAGCTGAGTGCCAAGTGAGAGAGCCATCCGAGTAAGTATCAAGTCCAGACAACTTGAAAATTGGGATGACTGCACACATCATCAAACAAAATTTCATTTTTGACCTTGCTAAAATTGATGGCATACCCGATTTGCGAAAAGATTCTCCTTTTTTCTGTTTTTGAATAATGCCAACTGAAGTTCTTCCTGCACAGTGAGCATGGCTAACACAAATTATAAACAATACAAATTTGTTATAAGTATCCAGAAAAATAAAGAAAACTGCAGTTCTTTTTTCGAAAAAAAAAAAAAAAAAAACCACATTGTACATGAGCTTTGAACATTTCAGGGCAGGAAAAGAAGTGGGAAGATATACTTATGTCATCCATTCCTTTGTTAATCTTTAGAAAAGCATATAAAGGGTACGCCATGCACATTATTAAAAGGCACAAACGCTCATTATCATCTAGACCTTTAAAAGGACCATTTGCATAGCAAGACTTGTAGAAGCAAAATTGTGAGTTATTGCATGTCATGGCATCACTGTCGGAAACTATGGCTTCAATATCAGATTCAAAAACAGAACAACAGTAGATAGAGAAGAAAAAATATTGCTGATTCCAATTTTTGTTGGAATTTAGAATATATTAAAGAAATAAATCAGAAGACTAGAAAAATTAACACAAGGACCAACCTTAAAAATAATTTTCATTTCAATTATCACAATTTACACGGTAAATCTAATCCCAAAAAACAATCAATACAACTTAGAAAACCCTAATTATCATAGCAGAAATTTCTCAAAAACAGGCTCCATTTACTTGTGTTTTTTACTTTATTTTCACAATATTCATCACAAAAAAAAAAAAAAAACTACTCAGAAATATCACATTCATCGCCGAAATTTCATTCAAAATATTACATAAAAAAACATGTTGTATATTCAATACATCACATCCAACACCTATTCTCCCTTCAAATTTTACTATTCCAAAACACCAAATTACTTCCAAAACACAGCTAACAGCATACTTCTTTCTTATTGTATCAAATACAGATGTCCATGATTTATTGTTTTACGGTGGATAAATAGTTGAAGGTAACTTCAATGTTATGACAAACCAGTCTTGCATTCCAACATTTGAGAATAAATAAGGTTAAGAGAAAAGCACCTTATTAATAAGCCCGTCGTCAATGACAGAACTGCTAATGCTCTTAAAGAGTTCAAAAAGCGCTTCAACTTCACTTACGCTAACTGCAAAGACAAAAAATGAACATATGACACATTACATTTAATAGATAAGCTCTATGTTCAAAAATACTGGATCACATTGAGCAGCAACTAAATCTTGTGTTAAACTTAAATAATGAAAATTTTAAAATAGTTTAGATATATATATATGTATGATTGCACACGGTACATCAGTTATTCAACTTCAAATAAGATGCAGGCGCAATTAATGAGAATTATACCCTCAAAAGATTAAATTGCTACTTCCCAAATAGGCTAAATAGCAACATAGCATCTCTGGCACCACTAATAAATGATTACTCACTAGAAAACACATATAGAAACATTAATAGGTTATAAGCAAAGCCATGGTAGCATTTGTAAAAGTTCCTTGATCGCTTGTGAGTATACTCGTTGACAACTAATCTACAAACAGCTGTAAACATTGCATCTCATTCACATTTAAAACCAATACAGCTCATCTCATTAGAAGAAAATTTACCCAAAGAAGAATGTGTATTAAGGATATATACAACTCACAAGCTGTTTGTGAAGCAAGTTGAATTGGGTCTTCATGTCCAGGAAACTGCTTTCTAGATGTAGATTGAAAACAGCCCATTTATGATGGGAAAGAACCTTGGCCAATGTATGTTGCCAATGCCTAGGCACCAATACAACACACCATCTTAACCTTGCAAATTACACTGCCAAATTTAAAATCGCAGGAATTCAAACCCATTAAAATACAAAACATATAAGCCATAATATGAAAATATTGGTCCTTTATAAGACAAGCACAATAATAATCATCTTTGTCTGTGCCGCCAACATCACATTGCAACCATAAAAAAACATAAAGATCTGAGCGATAGATGCATAGATTCAAATATTCGCATGGATAATAAAGGATTTAATACACCCTCTCATGAAAGGAAAACAAATCCTTCGTCCTCTCAACTCCAGCAAGATCCAATCAAGAAAGCAGTAAACATTCAATAGAAAAAGTAAAACATCGAAGAACGATACATAGATATAAGTCTTTATTAAAATGATGCCGCACAGTAAAAGGGGGGGGGAGGGGGAATTCTTTAAAAATAGACAAAAACTAAACCCTAGTTCAAAATAAAATTTAAAAACACGAAAAGAACTCTTCGCAACCTCAAATTCGCCGTCAACAGCCACACAATCCAGCGCAGATTAGAGACTTTCAAACTTAAAACTGACGAAACTCCTCAGATTCAACAACTACAAATCAAATAGAGCTGAACATAAGATAATCCATCGCGTACCAGTAAATCAAAAGGAATCAATAAAGCCCGGGGCTATTCGTGTGAAGAGCAACAATAAGCCAATATGGCGGTGCGCGGCCTATGCCTACCTACACATATATGTGTCCTCTGCGCATAGAGTTAGATTTCGTCGTCCCTCTGATAAAAGAGCGCTTTAATGGTAGGCATGGCCATGAGACGACATGAAATAGGTCAAGGGCGACAGAGGCAATTTGGAATTGATGCCTATTGGAGCGAAGCCAGAGGCGACAGGAGAGGGGAAAGGTTGGGGTGGGTGAGTGAGCACACGCGCGATCACAACGCGTGGCGGAAAAAGGTTAGGGATCTGTTTGTGAAGAATTAGAATTATTGTCATTGCCCATTTCGTCAACGGTATTATTTTTGGAGTCAAAGGAGTCGTACGGTAACGAAGTGTTTGTTTGTGTTTCGCCTTTAATTCAACTATATATATACTGATTTAGTTGTTTTTAGGTTTGTTTTTTTATGAGTTTAGAAAAAATTTGGTTTGAGTTTGATATGAAAATAATATATTGATAAGATGTTTTGTGAGAGAAAAAAATATTTTTTTTTTTGAAAAAATACAGAGTCCGTTTAATACAAATTTTGAAAGTTTATTATGTCTATATAGGGGTGTGTTCGTTTGATGGATTTGCACGAGATTCTACTATTCATCCAAAATTTTCCCCCCAAAAACATCAAATCAAACATTTATTTTTTATTTTTTATATTATACTAAAAATCAATTTTACATTCAAAACATCACATCATCACCTATTTATATCACATCGTATAACTATTCAAATTCAAAATTTTTACTGTTCAAATCCCAAATTAAAATCCAAACCTCCAAACAAACACACCCATAGTATATTTTAGTAATTTTTGTAAAAAGTTTATATCAAATAATTATTATTTTTTATAAAGTATTAAATTAAATATTTTATTTTTATTATTTTCAAAAAATTTCAAACCTAATAAATTTTTGAAAATTTTGAAAATATAAAAAATTAACTATTTGACATAATGTGATTTTGTTTAAATAAACTACCAAAATTTTTAATATTGTTAATTTACATTAACATTAAATATTAATTTTTTACTACACATGTGTTTTGTTACAATATATTTAAAAAATATATATTTGTATTTATGGTAAGTATCTTATTAAGAAATTTGTCATTATAAATATATATAAAAATTATTACGATTAAATATAAGATTTTATTTTTATATTCTAATATGATATCAGTTCAAATTTTATCCGAATACATTTTATTTCGTTTTTTCTATTCGGCACTGACAAAATGTTTTTTTAATTTCAACTCTAGCTATATTTTGAGCGAGCAAGTATCTTTTCTATTCTAGTTCTATTAAAAGTGAGTGAATTTTGTTTTCGATAGTTCTGTTACGAATAAGCGAGTTATGTTTTTAACTCTAAAGATTTAGTTCTGATCAAGTTAATGACTACGTTACTTTTGGTTAATTTTGGTAAATTCAAGTTCATTCGTGAACGATTTCAATTATATTTTTGCAGTCACTTCTGGAAAATTCAAATTTGTTCGATATTTTTATGATTCTTGCAATTTTTAAATGATTTGTAAATCATTATAAATATGTACGAAATTTTATAATAAAAACAAACAGACTTTCTTCTTTCTAATTTTTTTTCACATTTTTTTCAAAAAAAAAATTTAATTTCCTGCACATTTTTCTTTATTCACACACAAAAAAATTCTTTTTAAAAAATCTCACAAAACAATGATACCCACATAATTTCAGTTGTATATTTCATATACTTTGAATTTTTATAATATTTAATTTTAATTAATGAAAAGTTCAAAATAGTGCGAAATAAATATTCATAAGTTGATTTTAAACAAAATTCCTGGTTATTTTTATATAAATAATAAAAGCAACCAAAACATTATACGTACACAATTCAAAATTTGGAAAGTATTTTGACTTTAGTTTAAAGAATACGCTTTCATGAATATTTCTGATTTTCTTCTTCTAAAAAAACCCTAAAAAATGTGTAATTAAATTGACACGGAATTGAAAAAGTTGGTGCGCGTGGGTTTATTTGTGTTTATAAAAACCGTACACGACGTCACGTTTGTTTGAGATCTAAATCCCCAATCTCGATCTTATACTTTATTTCCTTCTTCTCGTTACAATGATTTGATATATTTTTTATCTTTAATTAAATTTATTAAATTGAAATATATTTTTAAAATATAAATTAATTTAATTATTTATAATATCATATACTCCTTCCGTCCCACATAATTTGTTTATATGTTTTATTTTCGTCAGTCTCACATAATTTGTTATTTCATTTTTAAAAAAATTAATTATACACTTTAATCATATTTTAAAATTTAAAATTTAAATTTTTTTAATCTTAATTAAACTATTTAGTTATCTTAATCTTAATTTATAATTATTTTTACTAAATAATAATTATTTTTACTAATATATTTTTTAATTACTTACTAATTATACTTTACCTAAATTCATAGTCTACCGTAATACACCCACATTACATGAGGGAGTATCAATTAATTTATTTAATTTTTTTTATTGTTATCTATTTTTTCAATAAATGAATATTTTTATATATATTTAAATTTCTTTTTATTTATATATTCATATAAATTAACTAGTGATTAACTCGTACTCCCTCGTTATAATATAATAGTCTTATTTATTATTTTTGTTCGTCTCAAAATAATAGTCTTATTTTTATAAATACCTATATCACTATAAAATTACTTACTTTTTCATTATTATTATACAATTACAACTATTTTTTACCTTAATAAACTCACAAGGGCAAAAATGTCTTTTACTTGTACTTTTTATCCACTATATCAAATACAATCCATACTATAGTTTTGAGACGACAGGAGTACAAAATAAGATAGGATAAAAAATAAAATCAAAATATTTTCCAAAAAATTATTAAAGAGTCAATACGAGAATACAATCAAATACTTCCTTCGTCCACAAAATAATGTTCTACTTTTTTATTTGGGACGCCAAATAACTATTGTCCTATTTCTTTTTTAATCACAAATTTTATATTTTTACTCTCCATTCATTTATTATTTTTCATCTCTACCATACAATTAAGGGCAAATTTGTCAATTCATAACAAAACAGACAATCACCTAAAAAAATCGTGCAAATATACTTTTGGACAATAAAAATTTGACGGAAAGAGTATATAATTAATAAATAATTAAAAATATATTACTAAAATTATTATAATATAATACAACTAATAAAATTGAAATTAAATTAAAAATTATAAAGTATACAATTTTAGTCCATTTCAAACTGAAATTACAAGCATGTGTCAGTTACTTTGAAAATAAAATTAATTAATTGAATTTCATTTTAATTGAATAAAAATTCAATAGAACCAAAATTATTACTACGTCCGTCTCACGAACCATGTTTGCTACACTATAGATACGGTATTTAGAAAGAATATAATTAATAAATAACTAAGAATATATTAGTGAAAATAATTATCCTATAATATAAATAATTATAAATTAAGCTTAAAATAATTAATTAATTTAATTAAAATAAAAAAATTAAAAAATGTAAAATGAAATTAATCATTTAAAAAGAAAAATGTGATATAGAATATGAGACGAAAAAACTGCAAGATATGTGGGACGGAAGAAATATAATTTACTATAAAAAATCACAGTGGTTTTTTTCTCAAAATAAAATTAATCATGATTTTTTAAAAAAATCTCACTCTTTTTGCAATGTGCTGACACGTGGCTTGTCCAATTCATGGTTTGTCCGTGACACTGGCGTTACTTTCCACTCCTACATCCTTCACCGTCCATGTGGCGCCTTGCCGCCAACTAATCAACGGCCTAGATTCAATCTCACCACCCCTATATACTTGCACTAACGCCTTCGTGTTCCCTCGATCGCGAATTTCTCCGATCTTCAGTTCATCACCACGTCTGGTAATTCTAAGGTCGAGTAACAATGGAATCTCTCATTTTCCTTTCGGGAACTGGTTCGATTCCCGCACAAAATCACCCGATAATGGCTGCTTCACCTCGGCGCCCAATTAGGCTGCCAGTCCAGGAATACCACGCCGAGAAAAACGCCACCGTTTCATCCCCCGGAAGAACCTCCACACACATAAATATGCATCGCCGGAAAATTCGCCGGTCATTTTCGGAACCCAGCCTCACGGGGATTCATCTCCGTCACGATACGTCCGGGGAGTCGGAGTCGAGGTCTTTCACAGAACAGACACTGCCGCCTGACGACGGCAGCGTCGCCGACAAAGGAGATCCTCCGTCGTCCTCGTCGCCGGGCGGTGGAAATCGCAATTTCCGGGCGTATTACAGTGAGCTGGTGAAGGCGAACCCGGAGAATTCTCTGGTTTTGAGAAACTACGGCAACTATTTGCACGAGGTAGGGTTATTCGATTAAGCCCTAATTTTCGATTGAGCCTTAATTTCGATTGCGCCCTAATTTTCAAGCATTTGCCCTAATATATATATATATATATATATGTAGGTGGAGAAGGATGCCGGGAGGGCGGAGGAGTGGTACGGGAGGGCGATATTGGCGAGCCCCGGCGACGGAGAAGTGCTTAGTCTGTACGGGAAGCTGATTTGGGAGACGCAGAGGGATGAGCTTCGAGCCAGACATTACTTCCATCAGGCAATTCAAGCTTCTCCTCACGACTGGTAATTAGATTATTAAAGCTTATAATTATATATGATTCATCTCTGACCTCTCTCTCTCTCTATTTATATATATATATATATATATAAATGGTGGTGGTGATTTTTGGCAGTATGGTTTTGGGATCGTATGCACGTTTCTTGTGGGAAGCAGGGGAGGGAGACGAACCAGAAGAAGAGATGAGAGAGAATGTACAATTGTGAGGAGAGGAAGACGATGAGGAACGTTGTATAATTAAAGTAGCCGTTGGTGCCATGCATGCATGGTGGAAACTTAATTTCTAACGGCTATATATATATATATATATAATGGCTTAATTAATTATGTTAATTACTCTCTCCGTCCCACATAATTTTTTCCTATTTTCTATTTGCGTTCGTCCCACATAATTTATTTTTTTTTTTTTAAGAAAATTAATTATACACTTTAATCATATTTTAAAATTTAAAATTTAATTGAACTATTTAGTTATCTTAATTTTAATTTTAATCTTAATTTATAATTATTTTTACTAAATAATAATTATTTTTACTAATACATTTATTAATTGTTTACTAATTATACTTTATCTAAATTATGGTGTCTGCAGACCTATATCACATGGGACACATGGGACAGAAGGAGTAAAAGTTAAAACATACACTAGCAAGTATCATTGTACATACTTGGCTACTTGCATCCATATACTTGTATATATAGGTCATATACATATGTATTGTGTCCCCAACAAATTTTATTATTTGAATTCTTTCGAAAAAAAAAATAAATAAATAATTTCACAAAATATTCCATCAAATGTTATTTTAATATAACACTTAAACAAAATTTTCCTATAGATCAACACATATATATATATAATGGAGACATTGCATATCTAATTTTTTAAAAAAAGAAATTATTGTAAATAAATAATAATAGTTATTTTAAAAAACTATCTATGTAAATAGAGTGTATATATATGTATTAAAAAATATTGATTAAGTTATGTTTACAACGAAAGCTATATAATTTTGACTAAAGGAGGAAATATTTAATAACACTCGTCGTCACTTTAGTTTAATTAGGACCACTTTGAAGTATATACATAATTAATTAGCTAGTACTAACTATCTTTGTTCTTTGTGTCGGCAGGATTATTGTATATATTCCATAATTAATTAATTATACTTCTAAATTGGCAATGTAATTAATTGTTTCCTTTTCAACTTTGAATGTTGTCCGAGTTCGTTGACCTTTTGATTTAAGAAAATTAAATAATTAAGTAATAAATAAATCCAGTGAGATTCAATATTTATATATGTTTAGGAATGTGATCCCAAGATACAAATTTAACGACATGATGGAGTATATACATATATATATAGATTGAATAATGTAATAAAAATTAATGGGCTCGAAAACACAAGTAAAAAAATAAACCCTAGTTTTGTTTGTATTTTAAAATTTTCTATATATTTTTGTATTGTATTACATTTAGCCAAAAATAAAAAAATAAGAATCAAATCAAATAAAAAAAATACTCTACCATTTTAAGCCCGAATTCTTTCCACATAATAATAATATTACACAAAATCACAACACAATAATTCATATATCCAAATCCCCAATTTACCAACCAACAAAATAAAATAAAAATAATCCTCAACAACCAGGAGATGGTTCAAGAAAAGAGTCGACAAAAATGTCTGTCCAGAAAGAATCACATGGCTGATCATTCATCAATGGCAATAATAAACCATCGATATCACTGCTCTCAATATCACCCACCAGCCATTCTCCATAACTGTCCGAGGAAATTCCGCCGCCGCCGGAATTGCCATTTTCCATGCTCCCGGAATCTCTGTTTTTGATCACTTGGCAGCCATAGCCAAAAGCTTCCAAACAACCATTATTATTATTATTATTATTATTATTATTATTATTGATGGTTTCTAAGTTAGGGAGCACATCGATAGTATTGATGGGGATGTGGAGGGGAGTCGTGGTGAACAAATTGTTATGACTAATGTTGGTGTTGAGGATTTGGAGTATGCCATGGAGAAGTCGAATATTGGTCGAATTTATCGGATTGGCGAAGAAATGATCATTGGGCATGATCAACCGGTTGTGTGTGTTCGGATCAATCCCCGATCGAATCAACTTCTTCTTCAAATGAGTATTCCAGAAGTTCTTGATCTCGTTGTCTGTCCTCCCAGGCAACTGGCTCGCAATCATCGCCCACCTATAATATGGTACTACATGTTATTAGAAAAATTTCCACGATACATTTTGTATTTGGAAAAATAATGATAACTAATATATATATATATATTTTAAAAAAATAAAAAAAAATTGTATGAAAACAAATACTCCCTCCGTCCCATGTAATATGGGTGTATTACTGGAGACACGAGAATTTAGGTAAAGTATAATTAGTAAGTAATTAAGAAGTGTATTAGTAAAAATAATTATTATTTAGTAAAAATAAATATAGATTAAGATTAATATAAGTAAATAGTTTAATTAAAGTTAAAAAAAATATAAAATTTAAAATTTAAAATGCGATTAAAATGCATAATTATATTTACAAAAATAGAAAAGACAAGTTACGTGGGATGGACGAAAATAGAAAATATGGACAAATGGGACGGAGGGAGTAATATATATATATATATATATTTTTCTCTCATAACATATTATATCAAATAAATATTATGAGTTTGTTCTCATTTTTTATCCTTACATTACATTATTCTAAATTTAAAAATATATATATATTTTTCAATAAGAAATATTTTTTCCTTGCAAATTATTTAAAAATAATAAAAAATACTTTAATTAACTAAAATAAAATTTTAAATTTTCAAAACACTTTGCAGTTCACAATAAATGACAATTAAAAATTCTAATAAATCATAAACATTAAAAGAACAAACTCAGTGGCTGTGTTTCCTTTTATTTTGTTTTTTTAAAAAAAATTAATTTGAGTTTGATATTAAAATAATATTTGATATAAAGTTCAAATAATAAATTTTGAAAAATTTTTGTAAAAAAAAAAATAAACAAGAAAAATAAAAAGAATTGGTTGTGAATTTAATTTACTTGTTGCCGTGCGTGGAATGGAGGCGGATGATGGTGTCCTCTTCCTCCGGCGAGAAGTTTCCGCGGCGGATGTCGGGGCGGAGGTAGTTGCACCACCGGAGGCGGCAGCTCTTGCCGCAGCGGTTCAGGCCAGCTCTTTCCGGCAGGGTCTTCCAGTTTCCATGGCTGCCATTTCTCTGTATGTAATCACTGAGTATATTGTCTTCTTCAGGAGTCCATGGCCCTTTCTTCAACCCTACGCCTGCTTCACCATTATTAGGGTTTCTTGGACACCTCCCCATTTTCTTTTTTTTTTTTTCTTATCTGATCTGATCAGACAATCAATTTGTTATTCTTGATTCTTACAAACATGCATTTATATAGAAGCTTCGGAGAAATCTATGATGTATATAATAACCTGACATTAGTGTTTCTTATCCACCAGCAATGGATATAGCTAGGGTTTGCAGAGTCAATGGGATTATCCATTTATTATTGTTTTTTTTTTTTTGGTAGAATTAATGCAATAATTGAGACTAATTGATTGTGACAGCTTATTAACCTACTTTATTTGAACTTTTATTATTTTAATTTATTTTTGTTAACTGAAATTTGAACGACTTTTGTAGCCATCAAGATTTATGTTTGTCAAAATTTGTAGGTCAACCTAACAGGTTTTTGCATTATTTTAAGAAAATCTATACATGATTGAGATAGTCAACACCTTACCAATTTTATTCAAAAATCAATATATAAATAAATAATAAGTGTGATAAATCGTAAATAAATAAATTACAATCTGTGACATATATATATACATTAATATATACGAATTAAATGGAAAAATTGAATAAAAGTTACTCCCTTTAATTAATTATTAATTAGTTGTCTTTGAAGGAGCTTTTTCAAATCACAGTGGTTATTTGGTTAACTTTTAGGTATCACTAATTAATCCATTCGTCAATACTTTAACCTTATTTTATTTTGTCACTACCATTGCAATTGCCCACACCTTATTGTTATTATTATAAAAATAAATAAATAAATTGTAATGCATCATCATTGAATAGTAAAATTATTAAAAGTTAAAAACTATAAATAAAAAGAACAAGTTAAATATAATTCCAAGATAAATGAAATATATATTATTATTAGTATAACTTCATTTGCAAGCATTCAAACGCATGCATATATGTGGTGACTAAAATTGTTTTACTAATTAATTAATTAATCAAATGACAATAACTAAAATTGCACCAACATATCTCATCACATCTAGGAATTGAACTTTCCTAAATATAATTTATTCAGGAACATCAATACACACCATTTTATCTGTAGCATTTCATAAATTCATCTTATAATAAAAAAAAAAAAATAAAAAAAAAATTGCATATAGTTACAAGGTACATAGAGATGATTTCAATAAATCTATCTTTTGTGGTCATAAAAATAGATAAAATAATATACTCCATCCGTCCCAAATAAGGTTCAACATTTACTTTTGACACTGGTTTTTAGGTGGGTAGTATTAAGTAAGATAATTTAGAAATTAGGTGATGTGATGGAGAGAGAAATATATATTTTATTTTTTTATTTGGATGATGTGAGGGGATAAAGTGTGGGGTAGAGATTAAATATAATTAATTATTTCCTATTTTAGAAATATTGCATGGTGTTTGGGACGTACCAAAAAGGAAATATTGCAGGGTGTTTGAGACGGAGGGAGTAATATTTAGTGTTATGTCATGTATTATTTGTTATATATAGCGTATTATCACTCTTGTGTTGGATTGTTCAATACAATAATTGCCCGCCATAGTTTTGGCTTGGCTTCATTTATATATAATGACTTTAAAAAAAAAAAAAAGGATTGATATTTAATTTAATATTTTTAAAAATATATACATACTATGATATTTATTTAAAAAGTCAGTATTTATGAATAAAACTACGTAAAAAAAAATTATAATATTTGCATGTTACTACCTCATAATTATTACACATATATGCATATATGTCTAAAGTCTCGTCAAACAGTAGTTAGAGAAACCATTGTATATTATATGATATCCAAATTTAATACTTAGATTTTATTTACCAAACCTGAGATTATTTGAGTATCAGACCAAAACTCCTTCCTAATACTTATTTATGTTTTTCCATTTTAGTTTAATTTAATTATTCTACATTTTAATTTATTTAATTACACTGCATATTAATTAATTAAAGCCTACACTTCAATTTAGATCTATCATGTAATATTAATTAATTAAACCCCAATATTTAAACTACATGTATAATATTATTATTCAATATATTTGTTTGATAATTTAACAGTTAATCAAATTGCGTTAATTTCAACGACTATTATATATATATATATATTATTTAAAAACTTTTTATACTATTATACTCCTTCCGTCCCACCACAGTTGACACTATTTCCATTTTTGTCTGTCCCGTAACAGTTGACACCTTTCTATTTTTGGTAAAAATTATTAAATCAAAACATATTTAACAAATATAAATAATCAAGTTAACTACACATAACATATAACGGACCCACTCAAAACTCCTTTATTTCTACATATCTCATAAAAAAAATAAATATTTTTATCTATATTTAAAACTACATATCTTTTACAAAATTGATTTATGTTAATTATAAATAAACAAAAATATTTTTTTATTTACTTGTATTACAGGAAATTTTATTCTCTACAAAATAATGATATTCATATTGCATATATTTTTTAATTGCTATATAAATTTTCAAAATATTGAAACATATATTTAATTTTTTTAATTATATATATTAAATTTACTTTAAAAATACAAATATTATTAATTATTAAAAAAATAATATAATAATATCATAACTAATTATTATTAACTAATTAAACATCCTCACCCGTGTCCCTAATCAAATGGTTCAATTCCGGTGGAACGGAGGAAGTACAATATAGAATATAGGGCGTGTTCAATTTGTTTTTTCTTTTAATTAACTATTTTTTAGATGAAAATAATTACATTTAGATATAATAATTTGATTGAAAATAATAGAAATATTGCATATAATGTTTTTAAATATATAGTTGGTAAACAAGAGTGATGTTGTTGCCAATTTGATATATATTATTAAATTACTCACATTGTAATTTAATAATTTCAATTGCTTCTCCAGTCATTATGTAAGTAATTTAATAAAAAGCAATAAATTGATAGTGATGATATATGCATTGATTATTCAAAACCAAAAATGAATTTATATATAAAATAAATTAATTGAACTTTCTAGAAGGAGTGATTGAGATTAAATCATATTTTTAATTATTTTTTCAATCTTGTTAAAAAAACTATGCCAAAAATAACGTGGGAATTGAGTTGGAGTACTGGCCTTTATAATTTGATTTTTATTTTCCACAATTTAAAATTTTATATTAAAAAGATTTTATTTTAGCCTCTATTTATATATGTAGTATACACTTTTATAAATTTTAATTTAATAATTAAAAAAAGCATATCAAATATTTATTTTTTATATACTTTTTTTTTATTACTTCCTCCGTCCCACATATCATGTCCACATTGTCGTTTCTGTCCGTTCCACATATCATGTTCACGTTGCCATTTCTGTCCGTCCCACGTTCTATGTCACTTTCTTTTTTTTTAAAAATGAATTACACACTTTAATCTCAATTTAAACTTTTTAATTTTTTTAAATTTCAATTAAACTAATTAGTTATCTTAATCTTAATTTATAATTATTTATATTATAAGATAATTATTTTTACTAATACATTCTTAATTATCTACTAATTACACCCATCCTATACAATATATGGGACGGAGGGAGTATTATTTTAATAAAATTTCCAAAACAACGAAATTCCAAAAATGCACATAAATACTAGTTATAATTTGAAATTAATTTAAAATAAAAATGTTATATTTGAATTTTTTTAAATAATATTTTAATGTGATAATTTATATATAAAAAAAAACAATATATTTATATTAAAATTTTATAAAGTAAATAATAATATTAATTTTAATTTAAAATTACAAAAGAACATATGCCTGTGTGTATATATAAATACTTGCACATATAAATATATTGAACATTTCGTATATATTTTATAAATTAATAAATTAAACCTGAGGTCGTCAAGTTTTGACGTATAACGGAATTATTGCATTGCATTGTCGTGCCCACCAAGAAACGTGTTAGTAGAAGACATCGGTTTTATTAAAATTGTTTGTGTTTGTGTTTTTTTTTTGCCAAAATTTATTATTTTTATTCTGTATTTATCGAGAATATATATTTTTTTATCGGCAGTTTCTATAAGAAAAAAAATTAATTAAAATTAAAATTTCATATAATTAATAAATATATTTTTAATTAGCATAGAATTAGGTATTTGCTTCCTCAACTAAACCATCCTTGTAAACAACGGCAACGGTCCGGTCCAATACAGTATGAAATAAAAATAAAAAGAATTTATTTAATTAATTGACTTTGTTGAAAGAAGGTCTAATAATTTCGTGGTATTGAAGTTGTACGATGTCATTTTCATGCATGGATTTTCTCGGCATTATATATATATATATATATATAAAATATAAATTAGAAAATAATCATCATGCACGATGCCCAGTGGAGGGTATATAAATTTAAAATTAACTAATAAGGAGTCGTCCTGTGCATGCAATTACACCTAAATTTAAATCTTATATAATTAATTAAACTGGATTGAATAAATAAGAAAATATTTAATTATTTGATTAGTGTTTATTAATAGGACAACTTGTGTATATATTTCATGCATGCATGCATGCATGTATACGTAAGGCGCTTTGACGTTGAAAATTGTTTATTCGTGTGGTTGTGTTTGTTTTTAATTCTATTTTAGATATTTTAATTTATTTTGGTTTTTTTTTTTTTTTTTTTGGTAAAATGGTTGTTGGACAAAATCTTATGTATAAAAATGAGAATGTGTTTTTGCAAGTAGTAAGATTTTATAGTAAAATAAAGGATGAAAAAATAAATAAATAAATCATTCTATGTATCAACACAATCACTCATACATTTTTCTTTTGGATTTTTTTTAATCTGTTTTAGACAAATTGCATAATATTCATATGTATTTTACTATGAATGTATAAAATACTTTATATCTTAGGTAAATTATATAATACCCCATTTGTTTTTAGTAAAAATGCACAAAATATATTGTATTTTATTTATTGCGTGAAATCTCATTTGTGTTAATGCAAAGTTTGCATCAAAACTGATGTTTTGTTCTAAATAAAGACCTAAATTAAGCAAGTTTTATACAAATATAAAATATAAAATATCTCAAATATTTTTTTGAATAAAAACTTCAATTATTTATTTATTTATTTTATTCAAAAGAATTATTTAAGATATTTTGCATTTTTTATTTATATAAATTTACGTAATTTATATTTTTATTTCGAACAAATATCAGTTTTGGACAAGAGAATATTTCGTGGAAACTTTACATTAACGTAAAGAGTACGAAACACCACCTTCATATCTATATAAGAAATATATACATTAAACTACTTTTCTGCGTGCGCACCCTTTTGGTCTACCCATCACAAGAAATACAATTTTCATTTTCATTTTTATCTTTGTCATCTTTCTTTGCAAGAACTTCAAAGATTCCTAACAAGAGGATTCTTGATTTATCCGTGTAGATGCAAAATTGAGAGCGTTAGATAATCGAAACGATTGTCTCACTTAAAAAATTTAAATTTAACTAAAGAAAACTTCATCTAATGCTTCAACTATTGAAATGGATTTATATAATCATAAAATTAATTATTATGATATCTACTTCGTTTGATTAAATATATAATAACATAAATTCTAATGTAAATATTAAGTGGATAAATTAATTCTACCCATCAAAATTTGATTAATTATCCTTAATTAAAATATTCATCAATACCAATTTTGATCTATTATAGTAAACATATAATTAAATTGTATAAAATGACATTATCGACTCTAATCACCAACACACGTTAAGTATACACAAATTATGAAACTTTTATTTATTAATGAAACTTTTTACTATACAAACTCCACTTAGATATGATTTTTTTTTTTTTTTTAAAGTCTTAAAATTGTGAATTTTTTTAAGAATAATAAAATATTGAGTGTTTAATGTGATATTCCATGAAATGAAATAAACATTTAATTTTGATATTTTTTTAAGTATTATTATAAATTAATATTTACCAAAAGTAATTTTTATATATCCGTAAATGGAGCTATACTTATCGGTGTAGTTATGTTTAAGTCAATACGCAGGCAATGATGAGTACTATTGGGCCATCAAATTTGGCAAAAAGCCCAACAAGAAAATAGGCCCAAGAAACTTTTAAGACTTTCTTATTAATATTTAACTCTCTTCACTTGTCGGTTGAAAATATTTTATAAATTAATAAAAATTATATAGATGAATCAAATAGTAAAATTTATTATAAAAAGTAAATATATTTTTATTAATATATATAAACCAACTTTAAAGTTAAAACAACACATAAATTTGAAGTAAAAAAAAAATTGCTAAATATATTTTAATTAAAAATATTCATCTCCTATTATTTAAAATAAAAAAATATTTAAATAAAATTTTAAATTAATTTAAAATAAGTAATCAAACAAACGTACACCCTGGACATAAAGACAAACTTATACGTATATCGACGTCTTAGAATCGTAAGAAGAGAAAATGACAAAAAAGTAATAAAATAAAAAATAAGCCTAAATAACAAAAACATGTGCCTAATAGAATGATTAATTGCATGTGTGGTCGGAACAGAGATCACGTGCTCCACGTGTCTCATTATACGAGCCGACGCCCCGACCCGATAATCTCTATCTACTCCATATTTATTTTATTATATTATATTATTACCCCATCGCCGTCGCCGTCGGCTATCCAATCCTCAAACGACAGCCTCCAATAAATCCAATTATTTTAATTAAATTATTATTATTATTATTTAAAAACTAATTAACTTTATCAATTTATAAACAAGTCAAAATTAAAAATTAATAACTTAGCTTATACATCAAAATAAGCATAGTTTGTAAGACAAATATAGTACGAAATAAAAGCAAGGTTCAATTGGCAACAACAAATGACCATTAATTTGGGCACCCATTAATTAAACTAAATAAATAAATAATTTTATTTAATAGTATTAAACTAGTTGCTTTCATTGAACGTTTTATTAATGTGCAAATTAAAGCCTGTTTCTTTCTGACCCTAATCTGCATAACAAATTTAAATATTTGACCTAAAGATAATATTTACATAACAAGAAAAAAAATAAAATAATATAATGATTAGATAGTCGGAAAAATAGGAAAAAGTGTTGTGATAAAATTAGAAGACATGACTGGCCGCTGACGTGGATATTATTTTATTATTTTTTTATTTACTGATAAGGAAAAGTGATTTGGTTTATTGGGGAATGAAAGGAAGAATATTCGGAACGCCACAGAGTTATACATCCAATCCAAACTTGTACCTTCGGTTGCTGTTAACTTTGCCTGTGGAATTTGTTGACAGAGAAACTCAATCCGGAGAGAGAGAGAGAGAGAGAGAGAGAGAGAAGGAGATATAGAGAGAGAGGGGGGGGAGGGAGTGTCCCTAAAGCAAGAAGAAGAGGACAGGCCCAAGCCCAGAAGGGATCCTCTCTTCCTCTCCTGCGTGGAACGGAATCAGAATTTGATTTGAAATCGAAATTGAAATTGAAATCGTCTAATTCTGGTATTGGATCGGGGGATTTGAATACCCGAATTGGAAATTGATTTTGAATTCGTTTGTGGTTGGGTTGATTGGAGATGGAGGCGAAGTCGGCGAATGGGGGTATTGTGAATGGAGGGAAGTTGGGGAAGTTTCCGTTGACGGCGTGGGAGGTGACGGTGGCGAGCGCCGTCGTGTTTGGGTTCCTGGCGGGGCTGGTCGGGGTGTATCTGACGATGCCTGCGTCGGATTACAGCTTCCTCAAGCTTCCGCGTTCGCTCCAGGATCTTCAAATCCTTAGGTACTTCTAATCTTTAGATCGCCATTGTTGGAGCTGTTCGTGTTTTAGGTTTCTGTTTTCTTAGAACTTTTTCTGGAAATTCGTTTTCTGTTTGCTTCTGTAGTGTTTAATGATGCTCTGATTTTATCGTTAATTCATTCATATTTGTGCTTTGAAGCAATTTCCGAATAGGAACTAAAAAATTTTGGTTTCTTTGATAGCTAATTAGTCCAATGATTGGCTCAATGATTCTACATTCGATTGAATCTATGTTCTTCTGATTGAATTCAATATTGTTGGCAAATACATTGATGGATATGACTTTGCAAGAATGTCCCTTTTGATCGAACTCATGAAGCTATAGGGAATATAGATATGATCATTATGCATCAAGGAAGATTACCTTATTCATTTTAAAGTCGTCGTAAAACCATTTGTTGTCACGATTTCATTCAATTTCTATAGCTATTTGGGATATTTTTAACCATATTGAGATTCTAGCAAGTTACTTTTTGGTGATTCAACCATTAGATTCTTACTGTAAATCCGACATTGTTGACAAAGTTCGAATCCAAGATTAGCAATATTTGTTCCTAAAGATTTGTGGCCAAGTAAACTAAACCTTCAAGCTTTCGCTTACACATCATTAGCTATTATTCGCCTGGCGATATTTGTTCTGCTTAAGCCTCAAGATCGTTAAATTGTTGTTTTAATTCAAAGGGACAACCTCGAGAGCTACACGAGCGACTACACAGTACAGGTTCTCTTCGGATACTGTCTGGTCTACATCTTTATGCAGACATTTATGATCCCGGGAACTGTCTTCATGTCCTTACTAGCCGGAGCCCTTTTCGGGGTCATCAAAGGCGTGGCTCTTGTCGTGTTCACAGCTACAGCTGGCGCGTCCTCTTGCTTCTTCTTGTCCAAATTAATAGGTCGACCTCTTGTCTTCTCTCTATGGCCCGACAAGTTGAGCTTCTTTCAGGACCAGGTGATCCCCGCGCCTCACAAGATCCCCTCTATTACCTTTTCTCCTCGTATGTATTATGTATGTAATGTTTTTGACATTGCAGGTTGCTAAGAGACGCTCCCGGCTGCTAAATTACATGCTTTTCTTGAGAGTGACTCCAACGCTGCCAAATACATTCATAAACGTCGCGTCGCCAATTGTCGATATTCCCTACCACATTTTCTTATTAGCTACCGTCATCGGGCTCATCCCCGCTACTTTCGTTACCGTCAAGGTATTCCCTCTACTATCACTTTGTTTTTCTATGAAATCGAGGATGTCATTATCGTCGAATGTTCGAGTTGGATAATTGTCGCTTGGATTTGAATTCGAGAAACTACGATCGATTGGCGCTTATATCATAAAACTCACGTATTGTGTTGTGTAGGCCGGAATAGCTCTCGGCGATCTACAATCCGTCAAGGATCTATACGACTTCCAGTCCATGGCCACTCTGTTTCTCATTGGCATTGCGTCAGTTACTCCGACATTGCTTGGCAACAAGAACGAGTCGTGATTGAATGATCGATTAACAATGCCTTTCTCTCAACCAGCTTTGCGCCGTCATTTCCCCGCGAACGTTGGCTGCGACTGATGCCTACTACAACCTGTAAACAACCTCGAACTTACGATGCTGTGGCTACAAACACATGGTTTGTCCTCGAGTATCGCTGGGAATGGAAATCTACATTAACTTATCACAAGCTGGATGTAAATTTTTCTTTATGCTTTTTGATTGCCATTTTGGTTCGCCATTTTAGTTCCATTGAAACAGTCTTATGTTCTTTATTGCCATTTTGGTTCGCCATTTTAGTTCCATTGAAACAGTCTTATGTTCCTTATATATATATATACATACGCAAAATTTAACTTCAGTTATCTTGGTTTTATCTGTACATGCTTAATATAACTTGTCTTTTCGAACCTAAAGTCGAAGTATTAAATTCGATCGAAAATTTACTAAAATCTCTCTTGAAAAATAGTGCTGGGTAGTGGCTACAATTCCCAAGTTCAAAAAAGTAAAATATTGCATGAATGGCATTTATTTCGAGCAATGGCTACTAATAGGTCTAACATTTCCCAACATTTTTTGATTACTATGCGAATATCCGGACATCGTTTTAAAGTTACAACATACCAAGATGAAATAATAATGTTGATTGCGTTTATGACTAAAATAAGGTGAGAAGTCTAGTCGTTAAAAGATACATAGCTGTGTGGGAAAGAAAAGTGTGTAATGGACTTCTAAATTCGCAACAATCTCGAAAGAACTTGGACTCGATAACTTGGTCGATCTTCTATTTGAATTTTCTGGCTTTCTTGTTGTGTCTACCTGCCTGAGGGCTTTGATCGCCGTGCTTTCGCTTTGTTCCAGTTAACTGAGAGGCACCTGCGCCCAGTCGTGCCTTCTCTTTCCTAGCAGCCACTGCCGGCCTTTTATTCTTTCCGAATGCATTAGTCTCTGCAACTGGTCGGGATTTTGATTTTGGTTTTGAATTTGATTGTTGTCTAGGTAGAGGGCTCTTGGTTTGGATCTTCTTCTGAACACCCGACTTGCTCGCCCGCAAACCCTGGTAAGATGACGGGTTTGCCTTCGCTTTAAATGTGTTACTGCTGTCTGGAGTTCTTGAAGCACTGGACAATTTCTTCAATGGAGGATTGTCAGTCTCTGGCTGTGAAAAGCTCTTTCTCTTCAATGGAGTTTCAGGTGATTTAGCATGACTGAGCCGCAGCTCGCGGTCACGAATTTTCAAGCCACGCTTTTTAGCAGCGAGTTTTGCAGCATCCTGATGCAACCACAAACAGATCCATTCAATCATTTGTCTCCAAACATACGTAAATTTATCCTGCCGATTCAAAATACTTACAATAGAGTAAAACAGTAGAAGGTTCGAGTATCTGATCAGAATAAATTAAAACAAAAACTGTAATGTTTATGAAAAGTTTGCTGCTACAACCAAATAAACTCATCATACTAACTCTTGCATCATCGACCCTCGTACACCTATTCATGTTGCTATTACCATTGTTTCCTTTTTACTTTTCATAGTCTCCACAATCTTAGAAAGTCCGTTAGGATTGTTAATGGAAATATCAATATGAAGTAGTTCTAGTTTTTTACGATGATAGTTCTAGTCCCATCAATAAAAATCCTTAAACTACCCCTGGGACAAATCCATTGCGTCAAACTTGTATATGCATATAAACTTGAAGTTAAAAGAAATTCGAATCAGAATATAAAATATTACCATCTAGAGAAGCATTGTCAACTATTTTTGTTTTTAAAAAAAAGGCATAAGAAAAAAAAAACATATACTCGAGAATCAGATATAGAGAACCAAAAAGGCAAAAATATTAAAACTAGGTACATAGCAAAATACGATCACGATAATCCCAGAACAGAAATGCATGATTCCTTAGATAACCAGCAAAACAAAACAAGCGCGGGCACACACACACCAAATGAAAGCAAATTAACATTAAAAATGTCAAAAGAATATATATTATGTGATTATTGTTTTAACCAATAAAATAGATAAAAACAAAAGGCAAGCAAGGAGTTAGAACAAAACTGTCGGAAGCAAGACATTTAACAGATGCAAATAAATACATACCGTGGTTTTGAATAACACATACGCAATGCCTTTCCCCAAGCTTGATCCAGGATCTCTAACAACTCTTATAGCCTCAACGCTACTTTCAAGATTTTTTATACCAGTGAAAAGCTTATAAATCTCCTCATCCTGAAGAAAAGTAAAAAATGTAGTATGGTTATGCTGATTGAAAAAGGACACAAGTCACAAAATACATAGAAGCGTCCGTTTCCAAAGAACATTGGTCTTACCTTCACATCGAATGGAAGGTTTCCCACAAAAACAGTTCTCTTATTGTCATACAATGGTGAATTATCAGCCTTCAATTTCTTGCGCGGAGGGCACGCCCTGTCCACACGGATATGATTTCCACCAACCTGAACCATGCTTATTGCAAGTTAAAACCTTTTTTTAATGATATAATACGTATGTTTTGAAAGAAAGTTAATGAAGAAACATACCAAAGCCATGTTATGGTCCAACGAAGATTTAGCAGACTCCTCCATTTTGAAGACAATATAAGCATTAACACTACAAAGGGACAACAGAATTAATATACATTAAATCAAATCATTCTTCATGTAAAAGGTCGCATATCATTGAATTGGAGAGAGAAATCAGAAGCCCATAATTTTGTCTACTACAATCTGAATAACAATGGCTGAAAAGATATTCATGCATTAATGTGGCAATCTCCACCATTCACATAAACTATCATACCACAGACCAACTAAACCTATTATTGCATTTTGAACAAGTGAAGACTATTCAGCAAAACTCTGTACCACAAGAAAACATATTATCTATCAATTACTACAAAGAAACATGTCATATGTATTAGTTCATCCTCTTAGCTCATTTTGTGAACAATCTCCTTTGAGACACAATCTCAACATAAATGACAGATACCATTCAGAAACAAACCTGTCTACATTTTCATTGAATCGTTTCTTGATCACAGCACCCTTCCTTGGTATTTTTCCCTGAAAAAAGAAAACCACCATCACTATGAATGCTTACTTATACAGTGTGAATCACATATAATTGCTCTAACCTATTTGATGCATAAAATACACATAACAGATAGAACAAACTTACATCTACAATAGGAACAGAACGAATCCTTATAGATTCGATTTCGCCAAACTTGCCAAACTCCTTTGATATTTCCTTTTTCTTCAACTTTAGGGGCAGATTTCCAACAAAAATGGTCCTCAATAACCTGCTCTCATCATCAAAACCCTCCTTGGACACCATCATATCCTCTGGATTATCCATTTTCTTCCTCTTCTCTCCTATCACATTGGCTTTTTCCACTTTGTTTTCTTCCTCATCTTGTGTAGATCCGTATACTCTTGCCTCATACTCTGCCTCAATCTCATCTCTCTTTCTTTTCTTCCTTTTTGTTTTTTCACTTTTAAGACCCAAATCGCCAGCCCCAGCAGCTTCTGTCAATTGTTCATTACCTTCCTCAAGTGCTGCTTTCGATTCAAATCCAGATTCATTGATTTTATCCTTCTCGCTCCTAAATTTCTTACCCTTCTGCTCAGCCGATTCAGCGTCAATAGTGGGGCTTCCTTTCTTCAATTTATCTCCCTTCCTTTTCTTCTCAAGATTCACATCTGAAAATTCGGAAATCCCCGAATCCCTCGATGGCTCTGCATCTTTCTCCACAAACCCTAAATTCGCCTCATTATTCGATCCCCGCGTCTCTACCGCTTTTCTGCGGAATGGATTATTGTCGGAGAAAAGAGTATAAGTAGTGGAATCCTGTTCGGAAATCTCGCCGAACAATGTCTTGAAAAGTGATGAAGAATTCGAACCCTCTTTCGTCTTGGAATCCTCTTTTATATTCCCATCTTTTGTAACATTTTTGTGTTTCCTCGCCATTCGGATAACAATAAGACGACGACAACGAAATCTAAGAAAAAAAGAGGAAGAGTAATTTGTTGGAACCGGCCGGTGTGGCGGCGCCGAAGGCTGGCCTAATCGGCGGCGGCGGCAGCGGCAGCGGCAGCGGCGATGTAGGTTAGGTTTAAAACGACGACGCTGATTGTCAATAGCAGAGAGAAATAATAGGACTCAGGCCACACAAAAATCATTTAAAAAAATAAATAAATGTTATGACTCATGTAAATTACATATTACGTGTCGTATATTTGTATCGACAAGTCATCATTTTTAATGACCAATTGTTTTGTGTAGTTGGCTACAAATAGCCATATTGATATTATCATCAATAATAAATTGTAGAAATCTTTTTGTGTAAAAATCTCTTTAAATAAGATGTAGTATATTTTATTTTTATTTTTACTTTTATAAGTATTTTTATAATTTTTTTTTTTTAATATTTTTAAAATTGTAAAAATTAAAAAAATATATATATTTAATTTTATATTTTATGATAAAAGAATATATTTGATGGTAGATGAACGGAAAGATGGAGGGTTTGAACCCAATTATGTATGGTAGAGGATGTGGAGGGATAATTCTTTACGGAACAAAAGTAGATTAATGTCTTGTAATACTAATATAAAACATTAATTGCAGCTAAAGGGAAACTCTCACGTACCTCTTATCTTATCGACAACGTAACTCTACCCGAAATCATCCATCCGCCAAACCCATATTACAATCTGGATTTAGGATCTTTACAAGCAAATTCTGGAGCACAGGCTAAACTCGGACGACTACTACTAATGGCAACGACATAAAAGTAAGTAAAGACGACGACGTTTCACGCCTCGTCGACTATGCCCTGTTGACCTGAGAACGACACATTCTTAGCCGCCGAAGCAGCAGCAGCAGCATCGGCCAGGCCCTGAAACATCCTCAGTATCTCCGCCGTGTCGTCCAAGTAGTACTTAGCCTTGCTCGGCTTCTGCCCCACAGTACACGCAAACACTTCCGCCACCGGCGACAGTGACCCCTCCTCCTTGGCGCACATTATCACCTCGAACATGTCCTCGTCCGACCGGTCATCCCCGATGCAGAGCACAAAGTCTGCCGCCACTTTCTTCTGCCGCATCATCGCCAGTATCCGCTCCGCCACCAGACCCTTGTGGACGCCCTGTCGACGAGGAACTCTAGTTACATTCAGCAACAAGAAATGGCTTAAATGCATTCGATGACTGACCTGAGGCTTTACTTCGACAATGTGTTGGCCACTTTTGACGGTAACGGGTTCGTTCGCCAGCACGCTTTCCAGGTGATCGAGAAGCTCCTTAGCTTGGCAAGACCCGAAATCCGGATCCGCGAGCTGGTAATTCCAGACGAGCGCGCTTTCTTTCGTTTCTATGAACGAACCGTCCGTTGTTTCTGTATACAGCTGCATCACCGGCTCCGCTATCTGTTTCCAGTAGAAATCTTGAAGGGCGAAACAAGTCTCCCACTCTGCGCCGTGCTGTGGCCTGCGATATCGTCAAACGATAATGCAATGCAGCAAATTTTCGACGCAAAAATGGTTAGAACAACGACATAAAGTCGAGCTAATCACATTACCGGATGAAATATCCGTGCTCGGCTCCCAAGCCGAGATTCTCGCACGAAGCAAACCATGGCGTTAACGTCTCTTTGCTCTTCCCGCTCACGACGAAGACTACATTCTTTGGGTCATTGCAGAGCTTGTTCAAGATTTCGATGCCCACAGCATTTGGGCCCGAAGAAGAAGAAGTGATGGTGCCGTCATAGTCCAACAAGATCGCCCGATTCTTCGTCCTTTTGTACGCCGAAACTATATGTTCGACTGCCAGTTTCCTAAAGCTCGGATCCAACGAAATGACGCGAAAGCCTAGACCAAACCCGATCCCCCAACACCTCCTCCTTATGTGATCCCTACACGCGCGTTCTAGATCGAGCAAGAAGCTATGAGCCCAATAGGCGACGTCGTGGCTGCTGACGTACTTGTAATGCTTGTCGTGCCTCATTTGCTTCTCCTGCTCGGGTACTATCAGCGCCGTATCCATAGCCTCGGAGACGGCGTCGATGTTCCACGGATTGACTCTGATGGCGCCGCTGAGCGACGGGGAACACCCGATGAATTCGGAGACGACCAACATGCTCTTCTTCGGGGCTGTCGGACTTATCTCCAACGTCTTATCCAATTTCTCGGTTCCTTGTCTGCAAACGATGTACTCATACGGTATCAAATTCATGCCATCTCGGACAGCGGTGACGAGACAGCATTCTGCGATCACGTAGTACGCGATCCGCTCGAACGACTGCAGCTGCGTATCGATTAATACCACCGGCTGATACCCCGGCTGCCCGAATGCACGGTTGATTCTTGCGACTGTGGCGAATGTCTCGAGCTGGATTTCCTCGACGTCTTTGCCTCGACCCCTCGCCGGATTTGCGATCTGGATTAGGACAACCTTACCCCTCTTTTCGGGATGTTGTGTCAAGAGATGCTCGAATGCAAGAAGCTTTAAGCTTATCCCTTTGAAGATATCCATGTCATCGACCCCGAGGAGAACGACCTGATCCTTGAATTTGTCGCGCAGCTGCGCCACTTTCTCCTCTGTCGCCGGAAGATCCATCACTGTGTGAAGCTGTCCCATGTGGATTCCGACCGGAAGGATCTTGATGCTCACTGTCCGACCATAATACTCCAGCTCGATGTAGCCGCGCTTCGATTGATACGAGACGCCAAGCATTCGACTGCAGCAAGACAGGAAATGGCGAGCATAGTCGAACGTATGGAATCCGATCAGGTCGGAATTCAGAAGCGCGCGAAGAAGCTCGACCCTCACCGGAAGCGTCCGGTATATCTCCGACGACGGGAACGGACTGTGGAGGAAGAAACCGAGCTTGACTCGATTGAACCTCTTCCTCAGAAAAGTGGGAAGAACCATTAGATGATAATCATGGACCCAGACGAAGTCGTCGTCGGGAGAGATGACTTCCATCACTTTATCGGCGAATATCTTGTTGACGGAGACGTAGGCCTGCCATAGAGATCGGTCGAATCGGCCGCCGAGATCCGGAGACAGAGGAAGCATGTAATGGAACAGAGGCCAGAGATGCTGCTTGCAGAAGCCATGGTAGAATTTGCTGAAGAGCTCCGGCGGGATGAAGGCGGGGACGCACTTGAAAGTCTCGAGCAGCTTCTGAGCGACGTCGTCTTGCTCGCCGGCGTCGATTTCGTCCTTGAGAGAGCCGACGTAGATGACCTCGACGTCTTCTCCGAGGCCGTCTTTTAGTTGCAGAAGAAGCGAGTCTTCGTCCCAGGCGAAGCTCCAACCCTTCCGGCCATCGGATTCCCATCTGCAGAAACAATTTACGTAAAATCGAATTGAAAATCGCTGTAATCCGAAACCCTAAAGATTGGACAGCAAAATTTCACCGGAAACGGATACCTCTGTGCGCGGAGGGGGAGCTGATTCCCGACTATGATCATACGCTCTTGCGAAATCGACGACGGAGCGTCGGATCCTCCGTTGCTCTTATTGTCGTCGTCGAGCTCGGACAATGCGCCGGAAACGGTGGCGACGCGGGGGAACTTCTTCGAACTTCGGGCGATGGTCGGGGAGCCGGCGGAGGTGAGATCTAATAAGTTGGAATAAGACCTCGACACCATTTCTTATACTCTACAGAGAAGAAGAGATGATCACAGAGATGCAGGAAAACACATATCGTCAAAAACCTAGAGACGATAAAGAGGGATTCGGGGAAAGTGGAGAAGCATCAAAAGCAAGCAAGCGATGGCATCTGCAAAATTGGTAAAATATGGAATTGAAGAGGCGAGGTGAGGTTACCGTAGAAGAAAGTGGGCTCAAAATCAGGGAAGATTCCCACTGAAAAAAGTCGGAGGAGATCAGATGCTCGTCGCCATGGCCATGGCCATGTCTGGACAGTAAATGGGAATTATGAAATTGGATTCCCCCTTTCTTGAGTTTCTCTATTTAATTTGCTTCTTCTCCATGGAACCAGATTCCGAATCAACTGTGTGTGTTTGTCTCTCTCTCTAAAAAGGGAGAAGGTGGAGCAGAGAGAGAGAGAGAGGAAGGAAGAGTGTGACACAGTAGAGTGAGAGTGATGAAAGCAAAGCAAAGGAGGAGGCAGGTGAAATTTGTCGTGTTGCTACTTTTAGGGTTTAGGAGGCAATTGGCAAAATGGCAATATGAACAAAAGTGTGTGTGTATGTAATCTCTACCAAACTGAGAGAAAGGACAAAGTGGTTTCGTGTCGTCCATCTCCAGCAGTAGCACCAATTAATTTCCTATTCACAACAAATATCAGCGGTACATTATATATATATATATATATATATATGTGTATATATTAGGTCGTGTCCGAAAATAAATTATAGGTTCTATAAACATACGATTAAAATATATTTTTAAAATAATATTACTTGTTAACGTCGTTGAATGTATTTGTTTAAACAATGTCAATTTGAAAAAAAATTATAAAAAATCGTCTGTCCCAAAGTTCAAAAAACAAAAAAGATTGAAAGAAGGTGAAAAAGATAAAAAAGAAAGTGGGGGTAAATTTGGTTGGAAAGGGTGGATGGAATGCCATAATGTAAGGTAAAGAAGTATAAACCACGATTATATTTAAAAAGATAATGTGAGACGTTCTTAGGAAATAATATATATATAATTAGAATTTAAAATTTAAAATTTAAAATTTAATTTTAAAATTAAATAAAATAATTATAAAATATATATATATATATATATTGAGAGAGAGAGAGAGAGAGTGAGGGCGATAGAAATTAGAAAGAAACAAGGTGGGAAGGGGAAGACATGGAAGGCATCGAAAGAGTATTGTTCTTGTTTCCTTCATTTATGGCTGGCTATGAATATGAGCAATCAACAGTGACAGTGAGTGAGTCTCAGATTGATTTATTATTATTATTATTATTATTATTATTATTATTTTAAAAGTTTTGAGCAAGAAGATGATGGATGAAAAGTGTCTAATCAAATTCATTAATGTAATAAACTAATAATAGTAGTAGTAATAAGTAATGTGTGGTGTGTGTCTGTGTACCACTGCTTGTTTTTTTTTGCTGTAGGACCTCTCTCTCTCTCTCTCTCATTTAATTTCATGACAATAATTATTCATGTTTTGATTGTCATTACTCTTCATAAATTACTATGCTGTTATTGTTTTTTATTAAATAATTTTATTTTAATAAATACTACTAATAATTATATATCTTTAGTTTTTATTTCTATACCAAAACAAACCTATATAAAGTATATCATTATACATTATAAATATTCTGAATGTTATTCTTATTTTATATTAATATTTTATTAACCAAATTAAAATATTAAAAAAATACATATAAAAAATACACTTTAGTTATCGATTAATTTTAATTTACGTCAAAAATAATATAATATATACATATATTTAAGTGAGCAGTGGAAGTATTATTTTACAAATATTGATCAAATTCCCAAATTTGGGTTTTAGCCACCACCATAGTTCAGTACTATAAGAAATTATACTAACCCCTCCGTCCGGGTGACTGTTTTTTGCACGTAGATATTTGAATGTTAATATTATATTAAATTGTTGTAAAAAAAATAAAAATATTTTATTAGTATGGTGTAATATAAAAGTAATGATATTTAGATAATATATTGTAAGTTTAAAGGTATTTATTATCTTAAGTACGCAGTATAATTATTAAATTAGAAAATAGTAACTTTGTTTTAAGATGTACGATGATAATAAATAAAAATAAAGGGTATAAATTGTTATTCACGATGATAATAAATAAAAATTAAAAAAAAAAATTAAATACCAAATTAAAAATATATTGTGGAACGTTACATCTAAATCATGATTGAGGAAGTATCACATCGTGAATCATGTACTCATTGATACGCTTTACCTATTCTGATTGATTACTTTTTTTTTTTTTTTTTTTTTGAAAATTAATGAAAAAAAAAATGGAACATTTTTTAAAAAAGTTATGTCCTAATTGTAGTTTGCAAATTACATCAATTAAAAAAATAAATAAATAAATCATTAACAAGTTTTTAATAACATGGAGCCGAACCTTGTAACTACTGTTTACTTTTAGTTTGATTTTAATTGTTTTTATATATAATTAGTATTTTTTTAAAATAAAAATATAATATTTTATTTTATAAAATATCATATTAAAACGAAAATTTAATTCAAAATGTAAAATTATAATACAAAGGTAAACTCCAATTAAAATTCTGAATAATAATGGGAGAGTGATGTCATAAAATTAATTAAATTAAAAGAGCCATAAATTGAATTTAATGGTGGGCCTAATAAATAAATACTTTTAACTCTGGGCATGAATTTACGGTGAGCAATCTGTATGGTGGTCGCGGTTCATTAATGATTTTGATTTGTATTAAATTGGGGGTTCGAACTTTATTTATGTTCGAATTTTGTTTCATAACTTAAAAATTAAATAAATAAATAAAATCAATAAATAATACTCCATCCGTACGTCCGTTTCACGTATTTAATCTCATTTTAAATTACAAACAATAATGATAATGGGACAAACAATAATGATAAGTTTGTATTTTGTTAACATAATTTATGTATTATTTTATTTTTTATTTTTTTTTTAAAAAAAGAAAGTTATGGTCAATCAATTAATTGATCTTATAACACCCCACCATTATGAAGACACCAATGGGTTCTTAACGACTCATAACATGTAACATTATGGTCAATCAATTAATTGATCGTATAACACCCCCAATGTCACATTAATTCATATATATATATATATATATATATGTGTGTGTGTGTGTGTGCGCCAATTTTTGTCAACCAAGACATAATTCCCAAATATTGAAAAAAACATCCTAACCAATGATGGCAACATAACCAGATGACTCCCTTCCCACCATTATAGAATCAATTTTTACAAAAAAACAATAATAATAATAAGTAATGCTAAATCAGTAAATCAAATATAGTGTGAAAATATATAAAAGTTGATTCCTTGGTGTGGATGACAATCCACTTTAAAACTAATTCAACAAACAGTTAAGACAATAATGGATTGAAATTTGTACATTACATCAATTATAGGAAAATTCTAACAACAAATGTAGAAAAATTCAGGACTAGTGATGATCTCATATACACATTACCCCAAAAAATAGAAAAAGGAAAACAAAGAGCCTACTTATGTATAGAGTAATATATGCATATATATATCTTAACATCCATATTGAAATTAACCAAAAACTCGCAACTTTACTCTAATCAACAACTCCAAATATCAAATGGAAAGTTATCTATAATTTCCCCAATCCCTATCCCAACCTAAAGTCACTAAATGGGGAACAAAAACCAATCCTTGTTCATACAAGGACTTCTTGGATCTGGCCTAGAATTTGATTAATCCTACATGTGGTAACATGAGCGCCTAGTAGTTTACCGGGTATATTATTCGGGCATATCCAGCCCGCTACGCAAAGCAACATAACCAAAAGAGAGAAGAAGTGGAAACTTGGTCCCCTAAAGTTAAATGGTAGAAAGCAAAAATAGTTTGCTTCAGCACTAAATAGATTAGTAGTATTTATATACTCCTTGACATGATCTTCAACAAATAAAATAAGGTTCCAAAAACTTTTTGATACCAAATACAGCATATGGGAAGTAAAATGCAAAAATATTGACAGATTATGCTCATTACATATCGACCCACTGAATTTTTACATGAAGGAAACATACGATGTAGTGCTTTAGCATTTTAGCTTGAACAATTGCAACTTCAAAAGAAACTAAATTAACACCGCCGGTAATGAACAGAACCACCAATCGACTTTCATAGTCATTGTCTAAATAAGCAAGCAAAACTCCAAGGTACAACAGCAAGTTGTCGGCTGGCACAACATAGTTCACTGAATTGAAAAAGCATCGCTTGATAGAACATTGCAAAACTAAGTGCACAGAATACCATTTAAAAAGAACTCGAGAAGCCTGGATATGTAGACATAGACTTAGAACCACAGGCTATTAAGGAGAGTATCTGATTAATGTAACAGGCAGGAAGAGTAAAAATATAGGTTGCAAAAACATACAATTCATATGTGCAAAGAATATGTAGAGCATATAATGTTGAGAAGAAAGTTAAAACGCAACGGTCAGCGCCACATAAGTTTACAGTAAGTACAAAGTTAATTCGATATGTGGCCAGAAAAGATCTTGGGTGGTGATGGCGTACCACAATTAGAAAATTTAGGCTTTCTTAGCATCTGATGAGAGAAGACCCATCTGCTCGGTGAGTTGTGCCATGTGCTGTGATTTGTCCCATCCATTATCCAAGGGCTTTGTCTCTTCATTGGGTAAATTATTAGTTCGGGTTGAGTCCATCTCAGTGTCAAATGGTGGTGGGCTCGGGCTCGCAAGGAACTTTTCCCAGAAGGGATCACCAACTCCAGGAAGTTCAGGGATCTCATCCAGTAGGGAGTCATCCCATTCCATCTGTGAATTGGAGGAGAATCCACTTATATCGAATGGAACTTTGTCGTCTACTGTCAATGATGAAGTATTCATGAAACTACTCCCAGTTTCTGGTCCCATGATATTGACATTGCTTTCTGACACCATTTGAGGGATCCCAGGCACTACTGTGCCTGTCGATGGAAGGGTAGTCGGAAGTGCTTGATCACCTCCAATAAGAGGTCCCATGCCAAAAACTTGATTACTCATACCTTCAGGAGATGCACCAGCTGATGATGCTCGGGCATCAGATATACCTGTAGAAGAGCCTCCATTAATTTCTGAAATTGTTGGGATGAATAATGGCTCAGATGTTGTGGGTACTTCCTGTAGAGTCACTCCTGAAACATAGCTTGAAGAACTCCCAGCATCCAATGCAGCAGAAGTCGATATATTATCACCAATCAAGAAACTGTCGGATGTGTTGTTGAAGTTTTCTAGCCTTGGTGAAGAATCTACCTTCATAAGCTGCCTGAGCATATCTTTTGCTGCCTCATTCATTAATGGTTGGTATTTAACAATTTGACCGTCCATAGGACTGGTAGAATCATCGGGAGAAACATCGTCCTGCTTAAGTCTCCGCTTTTTATTGCCTTCAGATAAGCGTCGACCGCCATCTTTTGGCTGCTGCTGCTGCATAAATTGTGCAAGAAATCCAGGGCTGTTCACAGCTTTTGCCAAGAATGACATCATCTGCTGTTGACGCTGTTCCATACCCTGAAGGCGTTGCACCATTGTTTGTAACTGGTTGTCAGTGGATTGTTGCTGCTGCCTCAACCTGACAAGCTCCTGCATAAGCACATTCTTGTCCCTTTTAAGGATCTCAACTTCCTCTTCAAGCCCAAATTTCCCAACCTCGACACATGCCCCGACTGCAGAACTCTGTCCATTTGGTTGTAGCTGTTGCTGAGGTTGCCCATGGGCAGGTTTCCTACGACTAATGTTTTTAAGCAGATGTTTTTGCCCTCTCAAGAATCCCTCGTTAGCAAACTCCCAGCGGTCTGGGTCAACCTTTCTAAAACCCTGTGCCGCACAAAAGCCCCATAAAGGAACTAAAAAAAAGATCATTGTTGAAAAAAAAAACAAAACCGCCATCATGGTTTTAGGTTCAACTGAGCACAAACACAAAAGAAATTGACATCAATCTAGGAATTTAATGTAAAACACAGTTACACAGGCTGGCAATAGTAGAAAATGCTTGTTATATAGAAAAGAAAAAATAGATTGATTCATGAACTTGAATGAATTTAAAAAAAAATAAAAAAATCTCACAGGAATATCTTGTAGAAAATACACCTTGAGAATGCTAGGAGTAGGAAGTTTTCCAAGAATGATTTACATCTGAAGCCATGACACCATGCTACAATTGCATTATACAAACGTGACTCTTTCAAAGTATGATACCAAGGTATACCAGGGAAGAGTTTGCAACTGATGAATTGAATCCTAGTAAGATGCTAAGATGTGGAATCTCGTTTTAATGTTATTTAGGTTATTTGAGGTTTTTTCCCAAAAATTATCTATTCAACCTCTCAAGATTCCCTCAAAATATCAAATCCAACTCTCGTTTTCCAAACAAAACATCAAATCCAATAACTATAAAAGTAAGCAAAACCCTTAGTTAATAGGTTTTGACAAATATATGTGTATATATACGCCTATCTCTAACAACATTTGGATATATTTTGTTCACATTGGGTAACGACTGAATTCCTAAGCCAAAAACATGTACAATACAAAATGTGCATCCACTAAACACGATATCAATGTTTTAACCTATTTAAAATGGAAAAACATGTCACCGTGGATCCCAATGTCATAAATGCGAACTCCATATTTTAATTATCATTTTCAAGGGAGTAACTAAAATCCACCCTTAACTTGTCGGTTAAATGGCTGGGGACATTTGAGAGTTATAAGTCCACTGGAATAAACAAACTGCTATAAGATATCAAATTACAGGAACTAGAAACATGAATTTAAAGCCTTTAGACTCTCTTCACTGAATTCCACCTAGTGAGAAGACATTAATGGCCTCTAATATATCCATGAATCTATAACAACCAGCAGAAATATTCATTCTAAACCTCACAATCCTCAGTATCTAATAAGTTGCCATTTTTGCTTCCCAAATTCATAGGACTCAATCAATTCAAATCTTCCCAGCGCTATTTAGAAAAGTGAACAAAAATTAAAACATACACTAGGCATCCAGTATTAAACATTATGCCACATAAAATATTTTCACCTAGTGTTCTATTGACTCACTGAAAGGAATCTAAGTGGCAAAGGGGTTGCCTTCGAAGGTAATAAAGCTCCAGAGCAGGGCGATATCGAGATGGTGTGTGCGGGCCTGCCTATATGTAGAACAACACTAAGATTTTTCTTATATATTTTGAGTTAGGTTAATAGTAGGTAGTTTATAGTTTAATCTAATTAGTCAATGAATGTCTTCAGCTAACCAGAGCACAATAGGAACACCCATTTGGAGTCCATTCCTTGACGACACCATGGGCCTTCAATGTGCAAGAAAGAAAAATTTCTTGTGTCAAAATCCTATCCCAACAAGCAAGCTTACCAGTGGCAGCAGAACAGTTCTCAATCTCAGCCTAATCTACTGAACTCTATGTCAAGTTACTCCAGCTAAAAAACAACAATCAAATGAGCATACGTTTAATCAAAATCACTAGAAAAGAGAAATCTACAAGCCAAAAGATAAGACAAAAATTAAATAACAGCAAGGGGGCCAACACACAAACAAAGCTCCTTATTTCAATGCTCCACATCCATCGATCTGCCCGTTAATATTGCCATACCAGTTTCAAAGAAAATAAAAATAATAAAAAAAATGGAGAGGAGAAGATACACACATAAGTGTTTAGCTGCCGGACAAAGCTGGAGAAATTGCTGTGCTTGAAGTGCTTCGGCAGCAACTCTCTAGCAAACTCCGCAGAGTCCCACACGATGAAACTGTTGTTGGTCGGACTCCACGACACTATCTTATCCGTGCTAGCGTCATCCACCATGTCGTACGTTTTCACCAGAAACGGAGGTGGCGCATTCGTCGTCGGCATCGGTGCCGGGGCCGGGGCCGGCGCCGGTGTGGAACCTCCGCCGTTAGCATCAGAAGAAGCGGTCGCTGGTTCCATATCAACACTCCAAATTAAATAGAGAGCATATTCAACAAGATAACAAACTGTAAAAACTTTGGGAATTGACGACGAATTGGTGCGCAGAATTAGGGATTTGGAAAAATGCACTCGGAAAACCCTTGTGCGGGGTGGAGGCCTGAAGAAGATATAATAAATAAATAGAATTAATTAATCAAATTTAATAGAAAATATATAGAGGTATTACATACAGAAAAGGAAAAGAGAAATAATGGCGAACACGGTCAGGGAAGGTGAGCAGCACGCGCTGCATGTGTAAGTGTACTCCACGTGTCTGCACTGATTCCATGGGATGTGTTTTGCTGCCGTTAATAAATTTTAAATATATTTAATAAATATTAATTTTTTTTTTTTATATTTTACATTACCTTGTTTATTTATGTCTACAATTATTCATCTTATAATAGTACGTAGTAATAATAAATGAATTTATTTTAAAAATTACTGTAATTCCATTTATTTTTAATAAAATTAGTAACCCAACAAGAAAGCCAATTTGTTGATTCAATTTTTATAAATAAAATGATGTATTTGAGCAAATGATCCTATAGGGTAATTTTTTATTTTTTTTATTAATTTCCTTTATTTATAATGCTGACCAAAAATATGTGAAGCCTTCTATGAAGATAAAAACTCAAACTGGGGCATGTCCATTTGTTGGGATTAAATAATCTCTAATGTTAGGTTTTATTTTTGGGTACATACAAAGATTATTTTAGTAACCCAAAGTAAACCAAAAAAATGGTTTGAATGTGACAACAAGCACTGCAAATTGAATAAGCAATCTGGAACTGGAAGCATAAATTTACAAGAATATAAGAAACCAGTAAGAAGCAGCAGCCATCAACAATGGCGGATCTATATCAATCAAACCGTATAAAAACTCCTTAAACAAACTTGATTTGATTATGTTTGAAACTCAAGAACGACACACACATTAAGTAAAATACTCTTCTCGGGCCCGATTACCTCGTTTCGTATAAGCGATCAGGCAGCGAGAACTATGATCACTATGAGAATCACGATGCCAAAAATCACCAACAGCAAGCAAGCCTGCGAAAGGAAGAGACAAATGAGAAAGCGCCACAATACCTCGACACTCACGAGTGATGATCAAATATATTGTATGATATATATAAGTCACCAGCGACGAATTTGATCTCTGGGTCTTGGAAGCTTTGACGAGTTGGGATTTCGCTTGACCAGTTGCTGCGTGAGCTCCCTCAATGTTAGATCCAATATCATCTGCATAAGGAGATAAGAAAAGGTTCCGGGATTAGATCTTTGTTTCAAACATGATATCTAAAAATCGATAACCAATCTGGCAAAAGAGGCAATAAGGTTAGCATTTGAGTCGAGTGAGGCCTAATGCAGTGAAGTTGTTTACCAATCATAGTTCCTTGCTCGTGAACTAGTACAGCAAGGTCTTTAAATATCTCATTCACTTCACCAATTTGTTGTTGTATTTCTTGTATTCCATGTTCTCTTTCGTCTATAATGGCTTCGTTGAAAGCAATCTCGTTGTCCAACAGCACCACCTCTTGCCTGCAGCATAAACACTACAATCAGCACAACAAATCATTCGAGCTTGGATGAAAATAGAACCGAACTTTCCGATTGATCTACTTTAGGACTGGCAAATATGAAAAAAAATGGTATCCAGATTCCAGGCAGCACCGGAGTGGTTCAAATATTCCATGTGTGACAAGGCAAAGCAACGTTCAAATCACTCAAAGAATTAGAGGGACATTACCCAACTAATTTAATTTGAAAAATTTCCTGATGCTAAAACGGAATTGAATTTACACGAGATAAGTAGACACATACTTAAGAAGATAGGTGAATTGCAATTGGTACCATAAACAAGTTGCATGCACTTATTATAGATGGATTGAAATAAAAGGAGTTACAAATTGCCCAATTATTGAAAGCTGAGTTCATTCATCTGTTGTGTATGCTCATTGTAACGACAATAATTCCATATAACATGCATAAATGTGTACCTTCTGGTCTGTGTGAGAAGAGCTTGTTGTTCTGGATTCTTGTCCGAGCTCGCATCTATATCACCGTCCATAAAGCTGCAGGAGATGATCAAATTTAAAAATATGTTGCATCAGAAACAATCAATAGCAATCGGATAAAATATATTCAAAGCTGATAAGTTACATCTAGTTATACGGTTCCCCAAATACCGTTACATAGAAAGTTCTTTAATTGGGCTATGAGACTACTTAGAAACCAAAATTGGAAATTTACAATTATCAAAATTCTAGCTCAAACTTTTAACTTATCACTCTAATTTTAACTGTAAATAAAAGGTAACATTTTCTTTTTCCTTTTTTTTTTAAAAAAAAATCAAATAGCATATTACCTGGGAGGTACAGACTGGGGAACAAAAGGTGTATAAGCTGTCTCCCTCTCGGCTGCAAGCCGCTGGGCCTTTTGATACTCCTTCAAGACTGCTTGGAAGTCTTTTGCAAGTTTCGCATCAGTAATTTTCTTGCTTGCCTGCACGAATTGGGATGGTAAGAACATAATCATTTACCATGCATCGGCTACTAGGAATTGGTAACTTTGAGCAACTACAGATTACAAGCAATCCTATCATTCTAGTACTGAACTACTAATAGCAACTATGGATATTCGCGACAGGCAACAAGATTACCAAAAGTTCAATTAGGATGCTGTCTTACACTGACTTCGGCATGATGATCAGTTTCACTAGCTTGCTTAAGTTTCGCAGAAGTATCTTTCACCAACTGTCCGATATGAAGCCGAGTTTTATGCCTGCGTATGAGTAGAACTAACATAAACTCCACAAAGAAATATAATTAAACACTAAATGTAATAATAACAGATTATGGATCATAAACAATAGATCAAGATCACAAACACCCTCTTCAGGTGTAAGCCATTTACATAAAAATCAATGGATATCGAAAGATGAATTGAAATTTATTAACCGTCCATATCATTGGGAAATTTCATTTGAGGTCATTGACACAACAAGTAACTCTAAATCATGTCTTGGAGAGTTTATACGATGATGTTGATAATCGACCAAAATATAACAGAGAAATTAAAATAGTTCCCCAAATAATGGATTCAGCTCACAATTCAACGAATCAAAATCAGTAATCAGCGCATACAAAACCAACACACAAGTTTTTCTCCGAGATATCAAACAGTTCCTTCAGATTCAAAGCAATTTGCACCAAAATACCGTACGATAAACAAATAAAATCAAAGAACTAACAGCTTCTCGCGGAGCTCAGGCGTATCCTTGGGAGTGCCGAGAGTGTTAACGAGGCGTTGGAATGTGGCCACGGCCGTGTTGATCTGGAAAATTCCGGACGCCACAGCCTGAGTGGGATCCTGCTTCCCATTTGTGTACCCCCTCCGCGACCCAATTCCTCGACCCGCTTCAAGATCCTGGAAACTCATCTATTCTTCTCCCAAACCGGACTCTCTGCGCTGCAATCACAGAACACGAATCCGAAGATCGAAATCTCAATCACAATCACAATCCGCCACTCAAAAAGAAACCCTAGATATCAATTGACTGGGTTTGGGAATTTTTCCGGGAATTTCGCGATCCGAATCGACACGAATACCGAGTAACGGACTGCAGCAATAAGAGCGGCAGAATTGGAGGAGTTTTGTGGGAGCGAAACGGAGGGAGAAGGAAAAGGGCAAGGGCTTTCGGAGTTGAGGATTTCTTTCCTTCTCTTCTGCTTCTGGTGGCCGTTCCTGCAGTCTTTACAGCGAAGAAGACTTTTGCGCTCAACGTTGGCCGTTGGATGCGATCATGGCGGACGGCTGTCGGTAATTGACACGTGGACAGCACGGCCATGGTCCCGCGGTATTTTAAGCCAAGTTTATAATAATAATAATAATAATAATTAACGCGTTGTTTATACTTTAATCACAAGTTTAGTTAGTATAATAGGGTGGTGAATGTTAGTATTAAGTGTATTTATTTTTGTTAGAAATTTACAGTACTGAATTTTGTTTTGGTTTAAATTTTAATAAAATAATGTTGAATTTATATTGATGACCTTATTATATCCTAATATAATACTAATATTTCTAAAACTATATACAAAAAGCAAATTGATACTTCTTTTTGGGACGGATGAAGTACTAAAAACTCCAAGTTTCTACTATCTGTGTATTTTGTATTTTTTTAAAAAAACATACAATTTATTTTTTCTGAAAAGTACCGTATCGTACGTTATTTTAATATCAAATTCAAACTAAAATTTTTTCAAATTCATTAAAATAAACAAACCCTTAGATTTAGCTTAGGAGAAACTCATTGTAACTTTGTAAGCATTAGACAACAAGGCCAATTGTTGTAAGTTTGTGATTGGAATGCGTATATAAGTATTTATCATTATTATTATATTTTTTTCCTTGTGTGTTTTTTTGATAACTGTATTTTATAATAATTATGTTTTTTTTATGATATTTATATAAAAAAATTGTGTTTAATAATATAAAAAATATATATAATTGTTGATTTTTGTGAATGGTAAAATATAGTGTATTATATAAAAATAATATTTTAAAAAATTTGTTCCGCCTAAAAATGTTAAATGAACAAAAATATTATTCACTATGTCGCACATCCGATGCAACATTTGGGTTTTAACATTAAAGTTTAGGTGAATAGAATTAAGTAAATAAATTAAATATGAGATAATGAAATAAAAGAAAAATATATATTTATTTTTTCAATGTAGTGAGATAAAATATATTTAATTATTTTTATTTTATAAATATTTTAAAATATGTAAAACAAATTAAAATAAAAGTATTTCAAAATATATTAGAGCATTTGACATATGTACTAAATTAATTTTCAAACAACCTTCATCCACATACAAGACTAACATTAGCTTTTAATATGGATGGAAAAAAATATTGTACTTAGTGGCATTTTAAGTTAAATAATAAATTTACCTTTATAGTAATATTTTTGTGGTCTTTTGAATAATTTTTTAAATTTGAATGCAACAAATAAAACTATCATATATATATATAAATAATAAAAATGCTAAGATTGTTTTTATTGTAGAAATAATTTAAATTATACGTAAGATTGATATATTTACATAATAAAAAAATTAAATAAATATTATTTTACAAAATATGAAATTTAACAAAATTATTACAAACTAGCTCCTCGATCTTATATTACTTTTCAATAAAAATAAATAATTAAAGCAACAAATAACAAGGGTAAATTATATAACACTTTATTGTATTTTAGTAAAAATGTACAAAATACTCTATGTTTTATTTATTGCGTAAAACCCCTTATCTTAATGTAAAATTTGCACAAAATACCCGTTCAAAACTGATGTTTGATTATAAATAAATACCTAAATTATGCAAGTTTTATAAAAATAAAAAATAAAAAATACCTTAAATAAATTTTTTGAATAAAATAAATAAATAAATAATTGATCAATAATTTATTTTTACAATTTTTGTAAAAATCATATAACAATTTGTCTTAAAAAAGTATAAAATGAAAAATTATTTATTTATTTAATTAAAAAAATTATTTAACATCTTTTACATTTTTTTATATATAAAATTTGTGTAATTTACGTTTTTATTTAGAACCGAACATTAATTTTGGAATATCCCCAGCTGTCCAGCAAGTGGATGGTTTATCTGGATATACCAAGAAAGATGTACGGTCTAAGTCGCGGATCCCTGAACTATAGAACGTGAGTGTTTCATGCAAATTTTATATTATAAGAGAGTTTCACGTAATAAATAAAATAAATAATATTTTGTATATTTTTACTAAAAGTCAACCGGGTTATATATAATTTACCCAAATAACAATGATACGTATCACAACATGAAAAAATGGAACACTCCTAAATTTTAAATATAAATAAAGAGTATACGAATATGAGCGTGTGTGGTTTATATTTTAGTTTGAGTTTTTATAGATTTTGACATATATTTAATAAGAAAAAAATAAAACATTTCTAATAAAAAATTATTTTGAATAATAAAAAATTATTTTGAAATAACATTCCAATTATATTATGCAAAAAATATATTTATTTTTATTTTTTAAGTTTTGTACAATTAATGATGATGAACGTGTAGATGTGGCAAGAGTGTTTGTGGGCACGTTCTTATGAATTCTTAACATTTATAATAATAAATAGATAGATAGATTTGACCTAGAAATTGGCTTTCTTTTGAAAAAAAAAATGAACTTTTTTAAAATAATAAAAATTAAATAATATATAAAAATAGAGTTTGTGAAAATAATATAAGTTTTTAATTTAAGATTTTTTTTATATATAAAAGTTTTAATAAATATGAATTTTTCAAAGAAAATATATAAGTTATAAAAATAAATTTAACTTTCCTTTTTTTCTTATTTTTGTCGTACTCGTCAACGCGTTTCATCAACTGCCTGCCGTCTTCAAGATCCTCTTCAAATTCAATTCCTAGTTCACACATTCATTGGATTGGGTGTTCCTGTGCATTTCTGGAGGCAGCAGCAACGATGTCGGTGAGTAGATGAGCGGCCGGCTACCTCTGGCTGTCTTCGGTTTTCGTTTAATGTATTTTGTATGTTTGCTTGGTTTTCCGATTGGTTTGGGATTCAATTGGTTGCAGGGCAATGGGGATTTGATTTTGATGCGCGTTGGTGCTTTGATTCTTCTGTTTGGTGGATTATATTGATTTATGTGATAGTTTTGAGTTTTTTATTCTACCAATTGCAGTTGTTTGGGAGCTTAGATCTTGTCGGTTCAATTAGTGATTTGAATTGTGTTAGTGTCATTGTCATCAATTTGAACTTGAATCTCTCTATATATGTGTGTGTATGTATATGTGAGGGCTTAATGTGGTTATGGCATTTTGTTCTATTGATCTAATTGGGGTGATGAATCCCTAGACGGGCATACGGTTCGAAACTTGCTTAGAGAGCAGATGAAAGGACATCCTTAGTAGGAATGATGGATTTGTTAGCTGCTCTGTAGATTTGATCCAAAAGGAGATTTAAAATGTTAAGCTTCCTTTGTGCATTGCTTGATTTGTATCCAGTGTGATGTTTAGTGTTTAGATTTTTAATTAACCATGGTCTTACTGGGGTTTAGGAGGTTTTGTGTTCTATCACTGAATAGGCATAGCGAAAGACGACGTCGTACGGTAGAAACTTGGTATATTATAGGACAAAGTATGCATAGTATGATATGCATTTATCCATGGGATGAGAGAGTAAGAAATCTAGCCGGAGATCTTTTAAATTCCTACTCAATCTTGACTCCCTGTTATCATCCATTGCACCTTCGAATGTGGACTACATCTAACCAAAGTTTCACATCCTATATTTGTTGTTTTATGAGTTGGCTTATGTTGTATTGAGGATCTAAATCATTGGAATTTTAGTTGGTTTTCACACCATTATGTATGGTTATGATTCTTAAATTGTATCATGGCTGATGTTAAAGTGGTAGGGTCGTGTTTGCGATGAACACGGTTTCATTTTAATGCTTGCAGCTTATGAATTCACCGAGGAAATTTTAAGATTGGTTATGATATTAAGCGTTTGATTAAGAATTGTGGGCATTTTGAAGATATGTAAAAAGATAACAGCCTCGTTGTATTTTAGTTGATTGTCCTATTCTGTAAATATAGAATTCCTGCAATAGGTTGTTACTATGTGAACCATTCTATTATTACACCACATCGCGTGCTATGGACGTTGCATTCTGTAATAAAACAAGACTAATGATTCCTACTTGTTTGAATTCCCTAGATAAAAACTGTGAGGGTCAGCAACCTCTCTTTGAGTGCAACGGAACGAGAAATCCAAGAATTCTTCTCCTTTTCTGGTGATATTGAATACGTCGAGACGCGAAGGTAGTTTTGGCACTTTCCAGTGTTGATTCATATAAATAGCATGCATATATATATATATGTGTATATATGTATGTATAATATGTGGGTTCATTGATTGCTTTGTATGTATGGTTTTCGTTGATCGTAAGATGCTAATGTTTATGCAGCGATACTGAACGGTGTCAAATTGCTTTTGTCACCTTCAAAGACACACAGGGTGCGGAGACTGCTGTTCTCCTTTCGGTGATTCTCGCTTCCCTCTCTTTCCTTTCTTTCTTTTGTAATTTTATTTTTGGTTATCGTTCTTGAAATAGATTGCGATCTTTTTTGAATTAGTTAAGCATTTCTTGTTCGAGATGATCACAATTTCTTATAGAAAAACTTTTCACAATGACAAAAACTATTGCAGCAAATTGCAGTTTAGATTTCTTTTTAGCTATGGTTCATGTTTATGTAACCTATCATGCTCCATGCCCTAAAGCTTCGTAGTTAGTTTGATATACCAATAATCGATCTTGAATGTTTCCTTTTTTGGGCGACTTCAAATGTTTGTGTCTGTTTATATTCTAAACAAAATGTTACTTATCCCTGAAAATCAATTTACCTTTTTGCCGGAGAAATGCATTCCGTTTACCTATCGTGTATTGCAGCTTAGAATCTTGTCTAACAATTTCAGGGTGCAACTATTGTCGACATGGTTGTGGAGATCGCTCTCGACCCCGACTACACGCTTCCTCCCGCTGCCCTCGCACCACCTCCGGTACATTCTATTCTTTAACTACTTCTAGCATGTTTATTGTTCAAGTTATATTTTTGATATAAACATGTTTTGATAGTTACATTAGCTGTCTAACCGAAACCCCGCGAAATATTGGCAGCCGTCAGAGGCGAAAACCGGGAACGATTCTGCTTTACAGAAGGCGGAGGATGTCGTAAGCGGGATGCTCGCAAAGGGTTTCATCTTGGGCAAAGATGCCGTCAACAAAGCCAAGGCATTCGACGAGAAGCACCAGCTAACCTCCACGGCGAGTGCCAAAGTCGCGTCCCTCGACAAAAGAATAGGGCTGACGGAGAAGATAAGCATGGGGACTTCATTGGTGAACGACAAAGTCCGGGAAGTGGACGAGAAGCTCCACGTCTCGGAGAAAGCGAAGTCGGCGCTCGCAGCTGCCGAACAGACGGTCAGCAATGCCGGATCAGCCATCATGAAGAACAGATACGTACTCACCGGGACGACATGGGTGACGGGAGCTTTCAGCAAGGTGACCAAGGCTGCCGGGGATGTCGGCCAGAAGACGAGGGAGAAAGTTATCGAGACTGAAGACGAGAAGAAGAGGAAGATGGTGGATGACTACGCCCGAATTCATCTATCCGAATCGCCTAAAGGGTTCGATTCCGAAGAGCAGCATTCTTCGAAACCGGCTCCGGTGCAAGGTTTGATACTTTAATTCTATCCCTTCGTTTGATGTTTTGCCGTCGTAGTCATTTTCGTCGCAATCTTTTATTTTTTAATGTTTACATTGCCGCCGCTGCTCGTTGAGTGCACTTCGGGTAAGACGGATTGAAACTATTTTGTTTCTTGAGACTTGAATTGGTTCGATGGGATGGTATTTTTTTGTTGAGTTGAGAATATAAAGAAAGTTAAAGATTATATAGTTAGTCTTATCAAGTGCAGTATATAAGTGGGTATTATTGTTGCATTGGGTGCTTTTCTTGGTAAGTTGCAGGTTCTCTACTTTTGGGTTATACTTGCTTCGAATTTGATTTACTTTTTAGAAAGAATATACTACTATAACTTTATTTTATAAAATATAATGTCAAATTAAAATATCAAATCAAATTGGTAAGTAGAAAACTCATACTCGGGAAATGTAATTGTAGAAATTTGTTTGGTTTGCGTTTTGATTTAAAATTCACTTTAATTTGAACAATAAGAAATTGATTTCGAAATAAAAATCAAATCCTCGGCGAGACTTGACTCTTTATAAAATGGTTGGCCAGTGCTTTTTATTTATTTCAAAGGAGCCATAAAATAATTACTGGACTATATTATTATTATTATTATTATTATTATTATTATTATCTATAAAAATAAATGCCTTTGTTCGGCAAAACTATAGTTGATAATAGTATAATTATTTAAAACAGCATAGTGCCTATTTTTATTTAAGGGTTATTTTAATCTAGAATTTTATTATTTCAAACACGACCAAGCAAGAAGCCATTCACAAAAGAGAAGACAATATATTTGATGGGGCAAATTGAAGTTAATTTCCTTATACAGGGAGTATTGTGTGAAAATGTTGAAGGGGTTAAGTGCAATTTCACCAAAAGAACAGACAACTGGCAAAATGCAACCGCACCACGAGGCTCGTTAAACTAACAGCCGTATTACAGCTGTTTCCCATTTTTCGTAGCCCCACATTCATAACTCCGCTCTTCCATTAATTCTGCCTTTTAAATTTTTACGTTCAATTAATATCACACAACCCCAGTGTATAATAATCACATATAGAATAGTGTACAATTAATATCACAAACTATTTATTTACAAATATAAATTTTCATGTATATCAAATAATTTATTTATATTTTAACTTATACTTTTTAATATTACATTTATTTACAGAAATGTCGATTCAACCTATAAATTTTTTTTATCACATTTTATTGACTCATTCATATATATTTCCCAAAATATAACAATTTTATATCACAGATATTTAACACGAACACTGCCAACACTCGAACACTGCCTAATGATATTATTTACAAATCAGAAACAGAGGTCCAGAGAAAAAATTTACAACAATATTTGTAACATAGATAAATAATTTTAAGTAAAAATGAAATACTATACGCGTTTTTTAAAAAATATTATTGGTTATTATTGATGTTAATTATTGTTATGAGAGTCATTTTCCACCGACAGAAAAATTTATGGAAAAAAAGAAAGAAAAAGTGATAACGAATATATGGTGGTATGATGGAGATATTAGATTTTTGCATAGAAATCAATTTATATACGAAGGAAGATGTAGTGAGAAACGTACATGTGAGGAAAAATGAAGAGCGAGCGCAGCCTAAACACGTGCCATTTTCCGGTGGCGCCGGGCCGGCGTATGCTCTAAGTTCTTCAAACTTCGTATAGCCAACATATCCTCCTTTTTGAGGTCGACAATGCGTTGCAATTTAGAAATATTCTCCTCTGAAAAGGAAAATGTTCATCCGTGTTTAATTACTCCTAATTCGAGAGATGTAAACTGAAGAAATGGAAGAACTAAGAAATTACTCAAACTTTGGAGGTCGGAGCGAGGCTTGAAGCCGTTGAACTCAGCCAAATCTGAACAAATAAACAAATCAGAAAATGAAAAGTCTCAGGAAACAGTAACCGAGTCAGAAATTATAACCAAACGATTGCGTTACATACCAATCGCAGAAGGATCGTGAGAGGAAAGGTAGAGAATGAGAAAGCAGAGGAGAGTAAGCATAGGTATGAGATGAATGTAGGTTTCCGGCTGATTAGATTTAGGCTTCGGCCTCTGAAGCTTCTTCAACGCCTCATCTGCCTCCGTCCTGCAATCCTTGTGTCCGTACAACGACGAGCCAGACGCAGAAATTGACGCCGTCGACGATGAAGGATCAGGAGTACCGAGGTGCTCATGCTTCACGAGCTTCAACGACGTCGGCGACCCCAGCGATTGCCGCTGCATATTTTCGGTGACAGAGATACAGATAGAGAGAGATAGAGAGAGAGAGAGAGAGTAGGTTTTCCTGTGCCAGTCTGTTTAGTCTATATATGTGATCTCCAGCTGTAATGTATCTTCTAGGGAAATTTTACCTAGAAGCTCCCGGGACTTCGGAACCCAATCTAGCAAGGCGCTGGAGTCCAGGAGCCCAACAAATCAGTGATGCAGTTAGTTTGTTGAGGGGACCATTCGCCTTTTACCTTTTACTATTTCCTTTTCATATTTTGATGATGATGAAAATGATTATGCTACACTACATTATGCTTTATTATTATTATTATTATTATTTTTATTATTATAAACTCGACAACATATTTGAATAATTTAATATAATCTTCAAATTTAATTAATTAATTACCCTCTAAATTATTTAAATAATAATTATAGTAGAATGTAAGTTTAATGTTTTATTAAAGATAATAAAAATAATTTTTGGATAGTATCAAATTTTATTAAATTTAATTAAAAAAACAATAGGTTAAATAATTCAATATTTAAATTATATTTAAATATTAATATAGCTTTGAAAAGTCTAAAGGAAAAGAGTAATAGAATTTGGAAAGTATTAATTAATAAATTAATACAAAGGGAGGGCATTGATTGGTGGGGTTTGGATAGCTTACAATCCAAGCAAACTAATTACGACGATCATGGAATGAAGTAATAAGTGGAGAATATTTCTTTTTATTTTCCATTCTCATCGGTGCCATTCAATTTGTTCATTTTCTTCGATAATAATTTACAACTTAAAATAAATAAATAAATAATTACTATTAACAATAAAATCATAATTTTCAATTTATAACAATTAAAATTAAAATCAAATTAAATTTTTTATCGAATCCAATTTAGTTAAAAATAGTGTAATGATCTTTTTATCTTTATTTTTTTTGGTATAAATATAATGATGTGATATATAGTAAGTGTATTCTTGAAAAAATAAATGAAGTATTTAATTAAATGTTTACTTTATAATGAAACGATATAAATATATATATTTTGTAGTTGAATGAAAAAAAATATTATTTATTAATCTATAAATTTTTATTATTTTTAAAAGTTCAATTTTTCAGTTAATCAAAATAAAAAAATTAAAAATCATAACTCAACAAAAACCGAAATTTATAAATTCAGTTTTGGATCGAACTGAACCAATTAACTGAATAGTTCAAACCAAACAATTCAAACCTAAAAAATTTTAAATTTTTTCGGTTTGAACTGACCAATGTTCACTCCCAGAGATTATGAGTTCAAATATAATATAATTTTTTTAAAAAAATAAATATACATTTTAAATTTATAATTTTATTAATTTTAGAGATTTCTTCTTTAGTCACCGTAACCAAATTTCTAGTATCTGACATTGCAGTTTTTATACATTATTTTAATTTCAAATTCAAATTAAAAATTTTCAAAATCTATCAAAAATAAACATACCCTTAATTTTAATTATTCATTGATTATATTTTTTCTAAAATTCAATATATTTGTATTGCTGACACAATTTTTTTTTTTTTTTGGGATGGAAGAGTAATATAAAAAATTTCTTACTAAAACGGCGTTGACCATCTAAATAAAATTTCCAAATAAAGATGTACGGGCGTTGACGTGTTACTACAGTCTAAATTAAGACAAACCCATCGAGTGAAACAGATAACGGTGGGGAGGGGCGACAATGGAGGACGCCCTTAAAAATAGTCGCCACCACTTCTTCCCTTTTAATGCCCTTCCGTCCGTACACTCTCAAAAAAAGAAGAAGAAAATTCAAATAAATAAATAACAAATAAATAAATAAAAAGATGATACTCCCTGCGCTGCTCCGTACCGTTATGATCCTTCAACAATACATATAACTCATCGTCTTCGTCTTCCTCCCATCACATTAATTAATTAATTAATTAATAATACATCTCTGCAACCTTAATCATCATATTAATTTCATCAATGGCGAGGGATTATGGCGCCACGCCGAAGCCCTTCCACCTCGACCTAACCAAACAGCGCCTCACCTTAATCCTCGCCGTCAGCGGCCTCTGCGTCATCTTCTACGTCATCGGAGCTTGGCACGGCCGGACCACCGCCCTCTCCGCCCAGCCCGATCTCACCAAAGTCGCCTGCACCAACGACGCCGCCGCCTCCGCCGCCGTCGATCCCGCTCCGACCAACCCCACCGACGCTTCGCCGGCGGCATCCACGTCAGACTCCGGCGAAGGGGTCGTCGTCAATGCCTCCGACAACAGCTCGGAATCGTTCCCGGCGTGCGACATGTCGTACAGCGAGTACACGCCGTGCGAGGATCGGGAGAGGGGCCGGAAATTCAACCGGACGATGTTGCAGTACCGGGAGCGGCATTGCCCCGCCAAGGAGGAGCTCCTCCGGTGTCTGATTCCGGCGCCGCCGGGGTACAAGCGGCCATTTAAGTGGCCGCAGAGCCGCGACTATGCGTGGTACGCCAATATTCCTCATAAGGAGCTCAGTATCGAAAAGGCCGTTCAGAATTGGATTCAGGTCGAAGGCGAGCGATTCCGATTCCCCGGCGGCGGCACCATGTTCCCCCGCGGCGCCGATGCTTATATCGATGATATCAATGCCCTTATTTCCATTACTAACGGAAGCATTCGCACCGCCGTCGACACCGGATGTGGGGTAAAAAATGACCGCGGATTCCACCCACCCCTCTACATATAAATTGCCAATATTTTCAAAATTTTAAAAATAGTTTTATATCTAATCCATAGTTGATTCCTCAAATAAAGGGACGCACACGTAACCAGTAACTAGCACGTGTGCGTTCATATGAAGTTTTACTTATTATATTCTGATTTTTTTAGGTAGCGAGTTGGGGAGCGTACCTATTAAAGCGCGACATCATAGCGATGTCCTTTGCACCACGCGACACGCACGAGGCGCAAGTGTGGTTTGCGCTTGAACGAGGCGTGCCGGCAATGATCGGGATTTTGGGATCACGGAGGTTGCCGTATCCTTCGAGGGCGTTTGATATGGCGCATTGTTCCCGTTGTTTAATCCCTTGGTTTGAATATGGTTAGACTTAGACATCTATGAGTATCGCAAGATATATTCTCCATCTATTTATCTATTTTTTCACTGAACTCTGTCTTCGATTGTTATTCTGTAGATGGCTTGTATCTGACCGAAGTCGATAGGATCCTCCGACCCGGAGGCTACTGGATACTCTCGGGTCCACCGATCCGTTGGAAAACATATTGGAAAGGTTGGGAGAGAACCGAAGAGGACTTGAAACAAGAGCAAGACAAAATCGAAGAAACCGCGAAAAGGCTTTGTTGGACAAAAGTGATCGAAAGGGGAGATTTGGCCATATGGCAAAAGCCCCTAAACCACAAAGAATGCCTTAGGCTTAAGGAGACGTACTCTAAGCCGCCGATGTGTTCATCGAGTAACCCTGATATGGCTTGGTATGTCATCACTCTTGATCGTATATGAAGTTACTAACTATTCATATGTACCATAGTTACTAATACGATTCGTTTTCATTTGTCCCTATGTCGATCATATAAGGTATAAAGAACTGGAGCCATGCATCACGCCGCTACCCGATGTGAGTAGCTCCGATGAGGTAGCCGGTGGGGCGATAAGGAAATGGCCCGACCGAGCATTCGCAATTCCTCCACGGATTTCCAATGGCTTAGTCGAGGGCGTCACGGAACAAAAGTACAAAGAGGACAATGAGCTTTGGAAGAAACGAGTAACGTATTACAAGAGTATCGTCAATGAGTTGTCGCGAGGCATGTATAGGAATGTGATGGACATGAACGTGAGGCTTGGAGGATTTGCGGCCGCGCTTATCAAGTTCCCGGTTTGGGTCATGAATGTTGTTCCTTCAACCGCGTATCCCGACACGTTGGGAGTGATATACGAGCGCGGCCTTATTGGCACGTACATGGATTGGTGCGAGGCGTTCTCGACTTATCCACGGACTTATGATCTCATCCACGCCGACGGGGTTTTCACTTTATACCAAGACAAGTAATACTATCTGTCACTTATTTTACTTTATATCACATCATTCAATTATTATATTGAAAAAAAAATCACGGGCAGTATTTAGCATACACATCCGTGACTAAAATGGGACAAGTGCACCCGTTATTAACGATTTATGTTTGTGAAGGTGCGAAATGACGGACATTTTACTAGAGATGGATAGAATCCTCCGGCCGGAGGGGAAAGTGATTTTCCGGGACAATGTCGAGCTCCTTGTCAAAATAAGAAGTGTCGCGGACAAGATGAGATGGGAGAGCCAGATATACGACCACGAATCAGGGCCATTGAACGTTGAGAAAATCCTCGTTTCTAGAAAATTATACTGGACTGTTGAGCAGAACAAGACAGAACAGAGCAAGCAAGGAAGGAAGAGGTTCTAGTAAGAACACGTTAGTTAGAATCATAAAACAAACTTTTTTTTTTTTTTAACATTTGATTGTCTTTATAGTAGAAGAAGAATCGAGTAGACAGATTGGAAGCTAAAAAATTATGTCTGCAATTTTAAAGTTCACAGTTTAGATTGAAATTTTGTTCGATGGCAACATACAAATTTTGTTGGTGGGCGCTATATGTGATTGATTTGCAGTGAGTTTTCGTTGAGAGTTTTATTTAATTTTTTTCATGTTATATTTGAAAATTAATTATTATAGCAAAATATAGTATAAATTAAAAAAATAATTATAAAAATACTTTCATTAGTGTCTTACATAAAAAAACTATACAAATATAAAAATATTTTTAATGTTAAATACAACGTAAAAAGTAAATATGACTCTTACAAACAGATAGAAGAGTACGTGATACAACGTAAAAATGCATAGGGATTTTCATTAATATTGTCTTCTTTAATTGCTTTCTTATTATAATAAAAGCAATAACACATTCATATATACCAAAATAACTCTAACTTCTATATAAATTACGAAAATACAATTACATATATACAAAGATAAAAATGTTAAAATTATCTTACATACTTTCACTAACCAGTAAAATATCTTTTAATATAATCAAAACCCGAAAGAGTATATTTATCTAGGACAGAAGGAGTATAATTTATCTAAATTTTCATACTGTATTATTATTGCACTCATTCCAGAAATTCTCTTCAGATTGATGATCATACAATATTGAACTGTTTATTTTGGTTTCGCCTCTGATCATGTCATCGTTTTCACGATAGAGCGTGAATGCGCCATCTTGTCGGGGCTTCTCATCATTCTCCTCATCTTTGACGCGGCAAGTTGTGGTCTTTTCAACCATTTCTTTGTACAACGAGGACCGGAGGAGAAGCCCTAACGCGGACGGGGTATTGCAAGGGCTAAGAGGGTTTTTCCTCTCGATGATTTCGTGTTTTTGAGAAATGGCGGGATTGCTTACGGCGTAGGAGTTGGATTTAGGGGAATTTATGAGACTTTTGTAGGTCGAATCGGGTAAATGCATATTCATCGTGGCGTTGTTGTTGTCGAAACTTAACCCTAATTCATATCCTTGTGGCGAGGGTTTGCGATGATGATCGTCACCGGTTGTTGGCCTTAGCCACCTAATGTAGGTGCTTAAGTCGAAGTTTGTCACAGCGTTGATCCCCCGGTATTCGATTGCTGCAATGTCGTAGGCATGGGCAGCTTCTTCTTGAGTACCTAATGTAAGAAGACACGGGTAATTTGAGCTTACAAGTGTTATTTTTTTTTTCGGTTCAATTATTTTTTATTTTTTAAATATCATATCAAATAATAAAATTAAACTTTTGTATTCAGACTAATTTTTTTTTTTTTCTTTTTTTTGCATTACTGCTCACCATAGGTTCCGAGGTAGAGATATTTGTTCCCAAATACCCGCCCGATCCTCGCCTCCCATCTTCCGTTGTGATGATGCCTTAAAAGTCCAAACAATAAAAAAATATGATCATTATTGGTTTTTTGCGTTATTTTTTTTACTACGTAATCACCGTAATATTTTATGAAAATAATATATTTTATCTCACAAAATATTATATTAAAATTCTAAAAATAAAATTAAATAAAGCTCTAAACCACGTATCAAATGAATGTAAAACTACCTTGCAACACCTCTATACTTGGAGACACCTCTTGCAAAGCCACTACTTCTACTGGAAACAAGAAATAATTGAATTAAGATAATAAACTGTTGCAAATTTTTACCGCGATAAAAGACTAAATTTTTTTTGTAGAGATGTAATTTTTTACCGTCTTAGAGAAGCCAAGTATTCTTCCTTGGTTACAGTCTGCATGATTTCGATCTCTTTATCGTAGTCAGAAATCTAGGATCAATAAACAAACATTAAATTAAGTTATTAAAATTAATTAAATTAAAAAAGCTAATTATTTAGCTCATAAAAAATTAGTTATAAGTAAATGAAAATTAAATTAAATGAAACAACGACGATGACGACGATGATGATGATAATACGTACCGGAAAGTTAGAGTAGGTTGAAGTTCCCCAGTACTTGATTGCAGCCAAATCGTATGCTCTTGCAGCAGCTTCTTCTTCATCGTATGCTCCTAATATTATTATTATCGTTATTATATAATTAATTTTTAATTACTTTGTTTGTTTGTGTTTTGTGATTGGGAATCTATTGAGTTGTTGATACGAACTCACCAAGATATACTGCTCCACGCAACCAAACAAGACACGATCCATCGCCAATTACAATTCAGTACATGAAAAATAAATTGTTAGTAGATGAACTGTGTTAATATAACATTTGTTGTGTAAATTGTTATTATGTACTCTTCCTGTTTTTTTTAAAAAAATATGCTTATATTTTTTGACGTTTTAATATGAATATTTTATTTTTTATAGTAAAAAAATAATACAAATTTTTATTTAACAAAGAAATATGAATACATTTTAAAAATACATACAAAAAAGAATAGAAGGCACATTTTTAAGAAACAAATATATTATTGTATATTCTCTATTTTATTCATATATTATTGAAATCAGCTGTAGTATTTAATATATGAATTATTATCACATATCGTAATTTTATATATTATATTTGTCTTATGTTACTATATATTTTGTATTTTCGGTTTATACATCATGTACCGTCAATTTAGATTTCGTATATTATCAACTTTGATTAATTAAAACTAATACCATAATCGTCGTCCGCGTGTGTATATATATATTCACTTTGTTCAAAATCAATCTATCTATTTTTTATTTTAATTAGTCCGAAATCAATATATTTGTTTATTTTTTCTACACAATAAAGTATCGATATAATTTAATTAGGTTACAAAACATCCATAAAAGTGAAGTTGTAGATTCAATTCTTTTATTATATATATATATAAAATACTAATATTCCAAAATATACAAAGAATGAATTAATTAGGGCACCTTGTTTCCCTTTCTTCTTCTGTGTTGGATTCCAAGTCCCTTTATCCCATAAATGAGCTTCAAATCGCCCTGTCCACCTATGCCTGTATAATTTTATATTCACCAGGTTATTCTAAAACCCGACAATATATATATATATATATACACGATACATCAATTAAGTCATAAATGTACGTATATATATATGTATGTATACTGTATGTACCTGCTAACTCCCCTAAACCTCGAACTCCTCTTGGTGGTTGTAGTAGCAGTAGGGGAAGAGGAAGGTATGGGGTCCAGCTGAAATGGCGATGGCTGTTGATCGCCATAGCCAAGAGCTAACACCGACGGGGATCGTCGCCGCCGTCTCTTCACAGATTTGGTCGCCGCCGCCGGCGAGAACGCGCGCTTGCCGGAGCACTCCACAGACAGATCCATAATCTAATTAATTAATTGATTTAGGGTTTTTTTTTTTTTTTTTTTTTTATTCTGTGCAGAGAAGACCTGAGGTTTACTTATAAGGATGAGCTAGGTTGAATTTGATGAAGTTGTCGGTTTCGGACAAGTCGATGATTACGGTGGCGAGTCTGTGATGTTGTTTTGTCCTCTTCGTTGGAGTTTCGTCCTCCAATTTACTGTTCTTCATTAATTATTGCTCATATGTATTTGGATTTTCTACAGATGTGATATCCAGCTTATGTAATTTGGATTGTTTTCTTTATGTTTTGTGAATATGTGTCTGGATCGATGTTTTCCAGGTTGCTTCCCGACTTTTAGAGTTTGTTTGGTTAAGATTTGAATTTTGAACGCTTATATATACAAACAACACACATTAATATTACACACAACACAACATATGCTGTGTATAATAAATATATGTGTTGTTTTTTAATAAGAACAAGTGTATTGTATACAAGTATAACATGTGCTAAAATCTATTGTTGTGTATTAATATGTTGTATTTGTATTATATTACCATATACAATGTGTTGTCTTTAGTAATATTGTGTACTGGTGAGACTATAACACGTGTTGTATTCGTATTATATTAACATATTCAGTGTGCTATTTGTAGTAATATTATGTGTTTGCCTAATAACACAAGACAATGTTAAATTCAGCACTGCAGCCACCGTCCAAAAATTGAGATATAATAATTGTACGATGTCATATAGTAAATAAATACTATTTGATTTTAAAAGTAAAATTAATTTTTAATATAATATAGAAATAGAACATCTGGTATTTGATTATATATTTTTTTAAATTTTTATAAATAATAAAATTGCATAACAATCAAAAGCTCGTACTACTTGAAAAACACATCATTAATTTATATATCCGTGGAACAAAAGTCCCAACAGAGTGGACTTGTGACTAACCCTGTGACTTTGAGATCATAAATTTAAAAATTTCCCTTGTTTCTTGATCTTACATACAACAGAGGACTTAGTCTAATGTAAAATATTTTTATTTATTATTATTATTATTATTTATTTTTTTGGAGTACTATAGTAGCGACCACTGTGGAACCACGCATTTTGTAATATGCTACCTCTTGATGGTTATTATTCCGCGCCCATTACAAGATTAGATTCGGGTATCTAATTGAAACAAACAAAATGTATCAACATACAGACAAAGAATTCGTTTGTAATTACAGCATTACGTGACAAATTGCAGAATCTTAATTTGTTTCTTGCATGCTGTTTCTGTTTCTGTTTCTGTTTCTTTCCTGGGTTTGTTGGTCGCCGCGGTTGTCATTATCCAGTTCATAACCGGGGCGTTGTTAATTAGGCGATTTTGTTGCTTTTTTCCTCTTGTCTCGTTGCTGTCCGAAGTATACATAGTTTTTTTTTTTTTTCACCCACATATGTATACACGCGTCCATTCAGGATTGAATTCAAAATCTAATCTTGAAAGAGGGATGTCTCATCATTTAGTTATAGGATTTTTTGACTATAATAATACTATATTAGATGATGTGAATATTTGTTTCATCTGAAAGTTTAAACTTATAAAAATACAAATCATTTATTTATTTATGTATGAGAGCCGACCAATAATATTTTTTTGTGTATTTTTACTCTTTGTCCGTTTTATCTTAGTAATCTGATGATCGGTGAACCAACAAATTACATTTTCTAGTATTCGTTTCCGATGCCGGATAATTTGGTCATTATTTGTTAATAAATACTATTATTTTGATATGGTATAGTTTTTGAGATGAAATAAAATATTTATATCGAGGAGTTTGGTCATTATGAATAATATACTCAATTTGTACAAATATAATAGTCTTGTTTATCATTTTTGTTCGTTCCAAAACAATAGTCTTATTTTCATAAATAACCATATCATGATCAAACTATCCCTATTTTTTCATTATTATTATACAATTGCCACTATTTTTTACACTAATATATTCATAAAGGCAAAAAAAGTCATTTACTCTTAATTTTTACTGACTACGAATACATTATTTACTTGGGAGTGAGGGAGTATATAATAAGCTGCATTGGATTAATCACACACATGTTTAGTGTTCGTTGGTGCTTGGGCAAATGGAATATTGGCCGAGTTCAAATTTATGGGCCAATTTATAGGCCCATATGGATATGAGACCCAGTAATAATGGGCCTCTATTAATCATGTAATATTCATTTATCGTTTCTTCTGGAAGAGTACTGAAAAGGGTTTTCCGCTTCAGCGTTTGAGAGCGCGAAAATGGGGAAAGAGGGAGATTTGTGGGACGATTCTGCTCTCATCAATGCGTTCACCAGTGCCATTTCCAAATACAAGGTAAGTTTTAGGTTATTGTTAGGCATATGCCTTCTATTTGATGTTGTTTGGACCAATTCGACTCCTTGTACAGACGATGCATGGGATTGAAGCGTCGAGCAACGGGAAAGTGGAAGATAATAAGGTAGAGGAAGAATTGCAGGCTACTGAAGTTGATACTCAAAGCAAGCAATTTGGCGGCTCCAATATTGAGTAAAATTCTCTGCTCTATGAATCTCTGAATGGTGTGGTGTGATTTAATTTCGACTATTTGCTTTTGTAGTTTGGGTTTCAGATAGTTGAAGAGGAGTTGATAATGACTAGGGTGTTGCAGCGCAGTTTTTAAGTAACTGTAGAAGAAATGGAATATTACAGTGTTCTGTAGAGAAAACCTGCCTTTGGAATTTGAAAATGAATTATTTGTTGAACATACCTTAGTAGGAATAACAAAGTCAGCCTTTACTTAGGATTTGAAAATGTGCAGAGTCGATAGTAATGTTCTGCAACCTCACCTACCATGTCAATGGAAATTGAAAGGAAAGAGCAAATAGGGATGTATATAATCCAACCAAGGGGATGATTGTTTAGGAATTCGGGAGTAATTTTATGATATTTGTTCAAGTGACTTGATGGTTTAAGTATTAGCTATATCGATCATAACAATGAATCTGTTGTTATTCTTATTTCTGTACGTTTATATCCTATGCTTTGCTTTTTATGTTTTTATTTGCCCTTGTAATTTGCAAATGCCGACATTCGAAACCAACAGAAGCATACTCATTAATTTAAAATGTAGTTTGAAAGAAACTATAGATTGCCTCATTTATACGAACTTCTCCTTAATTGATGAAGGAACATACAGAATGATGATAAAGTGTTTGACGCTCCGGAAACTACAGCTAAAATTGAAGAGACTGTCGAGCTTAACAAAATCAAGGAAAACCATCCTCGGGAATTGACTTTTTCCACAGATCATGTGGGTACTTCAAATGGTCAGACAGGACTCTCTTCCATCAGTAAATATCCTTCTGTGGGATCCTATCCTCCAGGGAACCATACCATCACTTCTGATACAAATATTCAAAATGAGGCAGCATTGAATTCCAACGATCAAGAAGAGTACAATCAGTTGTTGAACAAATATTATGAGATTGAAGATCAGAGGCAGAGGATTCTTGAGCAGCTTAACCAATATAACAATTGCTATTCTCAAAATCCTGATCAGCATCAAGAAGCTTATGTCCCTCAACCTTATAGCACTGTCGCTTGTAATTGTTCGTATGGCTGTGAAAATTGGGTTGCTCCATGCAATTCATTACCCAATACATGTCTGGGTGGCCCTTGTACTGACGAAAGTTGTCATGGTTTTTTCAAACATGATGAGAAAAGGAACTCCATCCCTGCTCCAGATCATAATTATGTACAAACTGCAATGGCTGCAGCCAAAACTGCACTATCTTCATTGAAACTGGAAACTTCAAGTATTCCTCATTCTTCTGCGAGTCAAGGTTAGATAACCATCTCGGTTTTCATTTGAAATTTTTCTGCACACATTATTGTTCTTTCCAGTCTTTATGAGGTAGGGTTTCCTGATTCTCAAAAGATTAGAGCCCCCTTGTGTCATTATTAAGTAGCATCTTTAGATAGGATAGAACGAATATTGTGTGCATAATGTTTTACAATTTAGTTAGTTCTGCATAGATTAAATAGAAAAATAAAATAAAAAATTCTAAACCCTGTTCTTGTCTTCTCAATATAGAAAAGCAGGAACCAGAGGAAGTGAAATGTTATAGAAAAAAATAGCATTGCATTTCATTGTACAAACTACAAAGAAATGGAACAATATAGTTAACAGCTGCTCGTTATTTAGATAACATGGCACATTCATGATTCATGAAGCTGATGATTAGAAAATTTAGATCATTTGCTGGTAGCAGTAATGTACATGAGTAGTTTATTGAGATTACTGTTGTAACAGTTCGATTTTTATAGGTGACTTGGCTAAATGCACTGAGCCTGCGACAGATCTTGGTGTGGTTCTGAATGCTTGGTACTCTGCAGGGTTTTACACCGGAAAGTGAGTTGCTTGGTTCTTAACATGCGCTGATTACTGTGATCATATATATCATCTTTACTAGTATCTTATCACAATATCTTATGTTTTTGTATTTTTTAGCTTACGAAAGTTAAAATACCAAGGGAATCTGTGTTCAACTATGATTAGGTTTCTTTTAACTGTTTGCTACTATTTCACAATTCATCTAGTGACCGGTATATATTTGTAACAGTACTTTGTAATCTGAATGCTGAAATAGTTTTCTTTACTAGTGTCTTTGTAGGAAACTATATGTTAATTTCTAAATTACGCTCAAATATCAATATATGAGTTGAGAATGCATTTGTCATTCAGTTTAGATACTTCATTATCTGTTTGTTTTGTATATTTTTTATGAAACTATGAATGTTTGATACTTCTATGTGAAGTGTGCAAGGTGATTTGATTAGGTTCTTGCACAATATTCCGCCACCATGCTTGTGCCATTTAATAGAGCACTTAGTTTTATTATGAGTGAAAGTAATGTTTTTGGTTAAAGACCAAGTACGAATGCCATGAGAGCTGGCCTGAATCAACTTGTTTGGCGGAGCATGTTTAAGTTTATAATCAGTCGGTTCTTCCTTATCCTAGAAAATGTATTTTCTCAGTACACTTTGTGCTTCCTCTTTTCACAAATTAGTCAGATATTATTTTCATTATTTATTGATATTCTTTTTTGCATCACAGGTATCTCTCGGAGAAATCTTTCGAAAATAAGAAACAAGGGTAAAAAGTCTTGAACATTGAACAGAAGAACCTCCACATCTCTAAGTATGGTAAGTGTTTTTCCCCGTCTTGCGGGTCAAGTTTTAAGTAACAAGAACTTGCAAGATAATTTTGGCAGTGGTTGAGTTATGGCTTATTATACTTAAGATGGAAGCAGAGCTTGGATAGAGTTAGTCTTTGAATCGTTATACAGTTTCGAAAATCAATCTGCATCAACAGATTCAGATCAGATCAATGGGGACTATAGAATGGAATGGTATGAGGGTGTAAAATCCATTTACCATGGCTCCCATATTTAAAAAAAAAAGATGTTTTATATGATTTTGTGATGCCCTTTTCAACATTATATCATGTTTTGTAATTTGTCAATTTGCAAGATGTTCTTGAAATTTTAATGGAATTGAGCATTGCAGAGGTGGCACGTGAAAAGAGAGATAGGAGCATATTGTTGATTTGCGATCCAATCTTAATCTATATATATGTGTCTGTATATTCTCCTTCCATTCCATGTTGCCATAGATCATCATTCACATGCCCTTTAATTTTTTATTTTTTTTTTAATATTTTATAATAATAATAATAATAATAATAATAATAATAGAAATAGAAATATAAATATAAATACTGCACAAAATCGAGGCTGGCAAACAACGTACGGCATATGACGTATAATTATTGAAACTATTATATTTATATTCTTCGAGGACAAAACTGTAATTTGAAAAAAGTGTTTTGGCAACGGCTACAAATGGGTCATATTCATATTTTCAAAATCAAAGATATATTACGATGCATTTAATATTAATTTTTTGTAAAATTGATTTGAATTTGATGTCTAATATTTGATGAAATATTTTTGTGAGAATAAGAATCAAATTTGAATGAAAAAAAATATATTTAGATAAACAAAATTAATTATTTAAATAAATATAATTATTTAGTACTATTTAAATTCCAACTCAAAATCTAAATCCCCAAACAATTATCATTATTTTTTACACTAATATACTCAGAAGAACAAAAAAATTATTTATCTTTATTTTTTACCAACTACTAATATAATATAAATATTTCTTAAATTTTGTACGAAACTAAAGATTATACTTTTGGACCGCAACAAATACTAACCAACAAAGAAATTTTTTTGAAAACACTAACCATAATAAAAACAAAAATAAGACCGCAATAAATACAGGTGTACTAATTACTTATATGGACCCGCAGACACTGTATCCGACCCCTCGAAAAGCTCCGCCTATATTCCCGTTAATAGCGAAATACCAAATTTGCCCCTCCCCTGCCACAATCCACGCCGTTTCTTCCTATCGCCTGTAATTATTATTACATCCCCTCCCACACGCAGAAAGGAAAGAGAATCATCGAAAGAGCAAAAAGATAAGGAAAAATTTCCATTTCTTTCTCAGAACTTGAATTCTCGGAGAATCCAGCGGCTGCAGGCCACACAGATCCCGCCATTGTTCTGTTCTGTTCTGTTCTGTACTCAAGAGTTTGAAGGGAGAACGAGGAAAGCCCCACCAGGAATTCTCCGAATCGTTGTCCAAATCAAATCCGAACCAAAAGGTCTGTCTGTAGTTAAAGTGGTCAGATCTCTACTTTCTATTGTTTATTTTACCCCATTTTTACCATTTCGTCGCGTTGATCTGCTGTGATTTGGAGTTGGTTTGCTAGTTGCTACTGCCGTCTAGAAATGCGATTTTTAGTTGATAGATCGAAGATTTCTTCTCGATTTTCAGTGAAATGGTAAATTGAAATTTTGGTTTTACAGACAGTTGATTGGTGAGGTTTTTGTTTACGTTTTTTCAACGTTACCAAGTCTTTGGTTAGGTTTATTCAGTAGTTATGACTTCTTGCAGAAATCAGACACACCATGAGAGACATTACCGAAGCATTAGGAATTATCAGTTGATTTAGATACAATTTCACGACGCGGTCAGCATAGCACAATTGTTTACAGTTGTAATAATATTTATATATATATATTTGCAAACCCAAGTATGAATACGTGTGGGTTATCTCACCATTAAAGTATTTGTATTTTGAAAGTTTCTTACACGTCTTGGGAAGGCCGTTCCATTATCTCATTGTCTTATTATTGCAGCCGTATTCTGTATATCTAAATTCCTAATTATATTTCTTCTCAAGTATTGGGAAACTGATTAAGTTTTGGTAGAATGAGACCACACACATCCATCATCTTCTGTTTCTTTTGAATGTTTTCAAAGAACAGCTGGTTTTGTCCTGAAGGAAGATCTCTCGATCTGCACATCTTCCATGTTTTCTTGGTTTCTTGATGTTCTTGCAAGGTTTCATCTCAATTTTTACATGATGAATTTAGATTTGCAGCTGTCTTTGTGGTTTTAGCTAATGATTTGAATTTGTCATAAAAAGTAGCCCTGTTTTGCTTTTCTTTGAAAATAAGATAAAGATATTATTGACTTTGTTTCATCTCAAAAGATGCACTCATTGCTTTGATTCGACTGTAGTTTGATATGAAAAGTATAAAAAAAAAAAAAAACTATGCCATTTTGTGTTTGAATTTAAATTTGTTGTCTTAGCTAATAGATCTGTTGTTTAAATTGTGTTGAGAGATTTATGGTTATAATTTGATGATCAATAATTTTAACAAATTGCATTTCTCTTCTGTAGGTTCCTGTAAGAACTGTGTTGTTTTTTTGTTAAGGAGCTCGAATGGCGGGAAGATCGTATCGATCCGATTCTCAGCCCGGAAGGGGCGGAGTCCCGCCGACGGTGACATTTACTCGGAGAACGTCGTCAGGTCGATACGTTAATCTGTCGAGGGAGAGTCTCGACAGTGAGATGAGCGGCGTCGAGTTCCAAGAATACACTGTGCATATCCCGCCGACGCCTGACAATCAGCCGATGGAGATGATGGATCCTCCGATTTCGCAGAGGGTCGAGGAGCAATACGTCTCGAGTTCGCTTTTCACCGGCGGATACAACAGCGTTACGCGCGCCCATTTGATGGATAAGGTGATCGAATCCGAGGCAAACCATCCCCAGATGGCCGGCGCAAAAGGGTCGTCGTGCGCCGTTCCCGGATGCGACGGAAAAGTCATGAGCGACGGGAGGGGCGAAGATATTCTCCCGTGCGAGTGCGATTTCAAGATTTGCCGGGATTGCTTTGTCGATTCCGTCAAGACCGGCGACGGTATTTGTCCCGGTTGTAAAGAGCCGTATAAAAACACCGACTTGCCTTCGAATTCCGCCGAGCCCGGTCAGCCGTTGCCCCTCCCGCTTAATTCCGGGATGTCGAAGATGGAGAGGAGATTGTCGCTTATGAAATCGATGAACCGGTCCGCTATAGTTCGGAGCCAGTCGGGTTTGATGAGGAGCCAAACCGGCGTCGATTTCGATCATAACCGGTGGTTGTTCGAGACTAAGGGGACATATGGATACGGTAACGCGATATGGCCAAAAGACGGCGGAGGCTTAGCAGAGGAAAATAATGAAGAGTCGAGTGAGCCGCAAGAACTCGTCAGCAAGCCATGGCGACCGCTTACTCGTAAATTGAAGATACCCGCCGCAGTACTTAGCCCGTACAGGTACGTGTGATTGTTCGATTACATAGTACATTCGCTTTTACGTGTTCGATTCTATACGTCGATATGTCGTTTTTCAGGCTCTTGATTTTGGTTCGTATGGCGGTCCTCGGGCTATTTTTGGAGTGGAGAATCAGCCATCCGAACGAGGATGCTCGATGGTTGTGGCTAATGTCGGTTATCTGTGAGATATGGTTTGCGTTCTCGTGGTTACTCGATCAGCTTCCGAAGCTGTGTCCTGTGAACCGAGCTACCGATCTTAATGTTTTGAAAGAAAAGTTCGAAACGCCGACTCCCAACAATCCGACGGGGAAATCGGATCTTCCGGGGGTGGATATTTTCGTTTCGACGGCTGATCCCGACAAAGAACCTCCGCTCGTCACTGCAAACACTATTCTGTCGATTCTTGCTTCGGATTATCCTGTCGAAAAGCTTTCCTGCTACGTGTCTGATGATGGCGGTGCGCTTCTCACGTTCGAGGCCATGGCGGAAGCTGCAAGTTTCGCGAACATGTGGGTTCCGTTCTGTCGTAAGCATGATATCGAACCGAGAAATCCCGAGTCTTATTTCAGCTTGAAGAAGGATCCGTATAAGAATAAAGTGCGACCCGACTTTGTCAAAGATCGGAGACGGGTTAAGCGGGAGTATGACGAATTCAAGGTCCGGATCAACGGCCTTCCTGATTCGATTCGTCGTCGCTCTGATGCGTATAATGCTCGCGAAGAAATCAAGGCCTTGAAGCTTCGGAGGCAAACCGCCGAGGATGAACCGTTGGAAGCGTTGAAGGTCTCGAAATCGACTTGGATGGCAGACGGTACCCACTGGCCCGGGACGTGGACGGTTTCTGCTCCCGAACACTCGAAAGGAGACCATGCTGGAATCATTCAGGTACGTTTCGCTGGTTCGATCGATAGTTATACGAAACGATTCGATTTTGTGGTGTTAAGTTTTCTTCTGTTGTTTTTTCGAACAGGTTATGTTGAAACCTCCGAGCGACGAGACTTTACATGGCTTGGCTGACAACGGCCCACTCGATTTCTCCGAAGTCGACATTCGGCTACCCTTGCTCGTCTACGTTTCCCGCGAGAAACGGCCCGGTTACGATCACAACAAAAAGGCGGGTGCGATGAATGCTTTGGTTAGAGCCTCGGCGATCATGTCGAACGGCCCGTTCATCCTCAATCTCGACTGCGATCACTATATCTACAACTCGCAGGCGATCCGGGAAGGCATGTGTTTCATGATGGACCGGGGAGGAGATCGGATCTGTTACGTGCAATTCCCCCAAAGATTCGAGGGCATCGATCCGTCCGATCGGTATGCTAACCACAACACGGTTTTCTTCGACGTGAACATGCGCGCTCTAGATGGTCTTCAAGGTCCCGTTTACGTCGGGACCGGGTGCCTCTTCCGTAGGACTGCGCTTTACGGTTTCGATCCGCCCCGATCGAAGGAGCACTCGGGTTGCTGCAGCTGCTGTTTTGCTCGTCGAAAGAAGAACCTGTCCGACAATTCGGCGCCGGAGGAACACCGAGCGCTACGAATGGGAGATTCGGAGGACGACGAAATGAACCCGTCACTCTTCTCGAAAAGATTCGGCAACTCGAGCTTCCTGATCGACTCGATTCCGGTGGCGGAGTTCCAAGGCCGACCCCTCGCCGATCACCCTGCCGTGAAGAACGGTCGCCCCCCTGGTGCTCTGACTATCCCTAGAGAACTCCTCGACGCGTCGACCGTTGCGGAAGCCATCAGCGTCATATCGTGCTGGTACGAAGACAAAACGGAGTGGGGAAATCGCGTCGGATGGATTTATGGGTCTGTGACCGAAGATGTCGTCACCGGATACCGAATGCACAACCGCGGCTGGAAATCTGTGTACTGTGTAACGAAGCGGGATGCGTTCCGTGGCACAGCTCCGATCAATTTGACGGACCGTCTCCATCAAGTTCTTCGATGGGCTACCGGTTCGGTCGAGATTTTCTTCTCCCGGAACAATGCGTTGCTGGCTAGCCCGCGAATGAAGTTCCTGCAGCGAGTGGCGTACCTCAACGTCGGGATCTACCCGTTCACGTCTGTGTTCTTGATCGTGTACTGCTTCCTCCCGGCGCTGTCGCTGTTCTCGGGACAGTTTATCGTGCAGTCGTTGAATGTCACGTTCCTCACGTACCTTTTGACAATCACGCTGACGCTCTGCATGCTGGCGATACTTGAGATAAAGTGGTCGGGGATCAACCTCGAGGAGTGGTGGCGAAACGAGCAGTTTTGGCTGATCGGCGGGACGAGCGCGCACATCGCCGCTGTTTTGCAGGGGCTGTTGAAGGTGGTCGCCGGGATCGAAATCTCGTTCACTCTAACGTCAAAATCTGGGGGTGACGAGAACGACGACGACTTCGCGGATCTCTACATTTTGAAATGGTCGTCGTTGATGATCCCGCCGATTACGATCATGATTACGAACTTGATCGCGATAGCTGTCGGGTTCAGCCGGACGATATACAGCGCGATACCGCAGTGGAGCCGGCTGATCGGCGGGGTGTTCTTCAGCTTCTGGGTGTTGGCACATCTCTACCCGTTTGCTAAGGGGCTGATGGGGCGGCGGGGGAGGACGCCGACGATAGTGTTCGTCTGGTCTGGGCTGATCGCCATCACCATTTCGCTTCTGTGGGTGGCGATATCGCCGCCGGAGGGGAACACACAGATCGGAGGGTCGTTCCAGTTTCCATGAGAGTCTTGGATGAGCTGATGATCTCTGGTTGTGATTTTTACTTGGATCTTCAAAATTGATTCGATGATCTCATCTTTTGATGAATTGTTTCTTTTGTTGTTCGTTAATGGAGAGGACGACATGGCCGTTTGTAGTTAGTTTGGTAGTATTCATTCGTTTTTTTGGTTTTGTGAAATTGTTGTTGATTATTTAAAGTAAACTTATTACTATTATTTGAAAATATATAAATAGCTTGTAATATTCATTATATATACAAGTTCAAGTTCATGTTTCAATTCTAAACTATTGCGTATCCGCCATTGTCGCTGGAGAGGAGGTCGGTGAATTCTTCTTCTGCCGCCGCCGCCGCCGCCGCCGCCGCTGCCTATCCGCAGATCGGCAAATTCTTCTGATGTCGTCTCTGGAAGAAGAGCTTTTTCTTCCCTCGAATTTTTGTTTGTCAATTTGATAAATAATTGATTCTTAGATTCGGAAACTCGGGTTTTTCAAGGCGCAAATTGACGTTGCAATGGCGGATGCTCGGTGGTGGAGCGTTACGTACACGAAGCACGTTAAGCAGAAGCGTAAAGTCTATCAAGACGGTCTTCTGGAGCTTCAAGTTTCTCGGCACAAGGTTTTCGCATTTTGCTTTCTGCTACATATACTGCTAATGTGAACTTTTCAACCTAGATGCACAGGATTTTGATTTCTTTGTATTATTGATTTATTGTTCTGATATAACTCAACAGCTAACGGAAAGAGATTTGAACTTTTATTGCTGATGTTTTGGTTGGTTGTGTTTTGCTCTGTGGCCCTTGTCTATCGCTGCAAATAAGCATACCGAGATATTTGTGCTGGAAATAATCATTTGAAAATAAATCGTTGTTTGTCTTCTCGAACTATTTTGCTTCTTACAATTATTGCAGAAATCTTTAGATGGTCGCTGACTTATTTTTATTATCAAGTGAGTTGAAGTATTGTGATTTCTGCTGATTTTATACACTTCATCCCCCTTATGACAGGTCGCTTTGTATGACGAAGGGGACAAGCTCTTGGAGAGTAAGTTTGTGAAGAAAGATGATGTAATCGAATCTGGTGAAACACTTGCATTTGAGTCTTATCTTGTTGACATTGGTGAACTGTGCGGAAGCTGTAAACCTACATCTACAGTGGCATGTCAAGGAAAAGACAGCACATTTATTGATATACCTAGGTCAGCCCATAGTTATGACTGCAGGAGCAACTCAACTTCTGTAGGTATTGCCTCATCGAATACTTTCTTGTCATTTTTACCTAGCGTTGATTTTCTATATAATTAATTGAAATAGTGAAATAGATTTCTTCTACGTATATTTCTTTTCTTCCTATTGAAAAGGAAGGAAACCTGCATTTCGGATGGTTAAAGGACGGAAGATTAACTTAAGCCCATCAGAGTATGTGATCAGAGGTTTGTGAAATTCAGCTGCTTGATTTATTTTTACAACATTGAACTTTGTTCTTTTCTGACATATATACCTGTACTGTAGGCAAAGTGAAACTGTAGTCTTTTATATTTTTTGGGTGTGGTGGGGATGTAGTGGTCTACATAGAATTTAAGGTCTCAAATGCTTTTGATAAATAGACAAGTACTCTTCTTACAGTTCATAATACTAGCAGTCCTTTTGCAATCTAATAGTTGCTTTACACACAATCTGTTCAGAAGTCAGGGACCGCGAAATGATCAAGCATGCAGCTTTATCTAGCTCTCCGGATGTGATCACGAGTAGTACAACAGGTTGGTTGTTAACTTGGAATTTGTCTTCCATTTCATTTAATGGATATTTAACTATATATATGCGCATATACATTAACAAGAATGGCAGGTCTTATACACAACACAAATATCACAAAAGGCCAAGAAGTTTCATGATGGATTTTTACAACTTGTAGTTAGAGGACTAGGGAGGCAGGTATCGGCAACTGCAACTAATCTTTATTTTTCTGCATGTGTACAATCATTAAATATCATATGTGAAAGCTAATTACAGAAAATTTGATCATGTAATATCTTGAATATGTAACTTTACTTATGATCTGTTGCCTTTGGTGATAAGACTTCGTGTTAATCTTAAAGTCGCATCAGTTATTTACAAAGCTGTTTAGCTCCTGCAGTATACTTTCTTTTGTGTTACAAAACTGTGGTTTGGATATGAATTTCTAAAAGGACTCACCTTTTAGAAAATAAATGTTTTCCTTACCAATCTTTAGTACCTGCAAGGTAAAGGGGTTTCTAGGACTGGAGGTAATGGTGGGTGATGTCAGTTGAAGGTAGAGAACGTTACAGTAGATTTAAAAACATGTGGGGATGAATATAACTGTGATAATTATTAGGTGCAGCTAATTGCAGAGGATTGTTACATTGTGTCTGGGGAAGCTTATAATATTACACAGTGAAAAGCATCATTATTCACTGATTACATGCCAAAGAGGCAGAATGTTACTGAAAGGAGGATCAGTTTCTTGCAATGCATTTTAATTTGATTTCTATTCCAAGCAAATTGTTAATATTTGTTCCCTCATTTTAATTTGCTATTAGTTCCTAAAATATAATTAGTAGACTACATGTTGAACTTTAATTTGCTATCCAAAAAAAAAAGATGTGTTTGATCAGATTGACCGCTAATATAGTTTTTTATAGTTGAATATTGCTTTCTTCCTTGATCTATTGTAACAGCAGAAAAAGTATAAACTGCTCCATTATTCTTGAACAGCTACACCAGATCATTAAGCAGTAATTAAATGCACAAAGGAACCATTTAGGTCATTAGTTAATACCATAACAAATGCATATGATTGTCTTTTGTCTCATGCCCTTTAAACTGAAACTTCTGTCTTCTTGACCTATTTGCAGGTTATGTTGTATGATATAACCAGGAGAACCTTGGAGAGCAGATTTTTGAAAAAACATGAAATTGTTTGCTCTGGTGAGTCGCTGGCATTTGAGGGCCATTTAGTTGAAATTGGAGAACAGAACGGAGTAGAGAAGGCTGCAACAGATATAGGAATTCAGGAAAAGGACTGCAAAATTGTTGGACAAAGTGATATATTTAATGACCAGGCCAAACTTCCAACCAACAAGAGATTTTTGGCTGGTATGTTCTTGGTTCCCTATTAGTGGATACTCTTATCTTTCATTGGTATCAATCAGATTCTTTATTTTCAACTGGGCCATAGTTCTTGCAAGCCTCTCATTCTGGTTTACCTCTATATAGTGATGCTCATCCATCATGGTTCTTTATGGTGCCCTTTTTTTCTTGTTATCTCAGTTGTGCAGTATTCCACTGAGTTTGGTGTTCAATCTTCAAGAAATAGCCACCAATGCTAGCTTTATATGTTAAATAAAGAACTTGTGTTTTTCCATCTGTTATAAATTTTCTATTCCAGAGGAGGAACACCCATCTTATTGCTCGAACGCTTCTCTTTTGCCCAATAATTCTGCAGTCTATTGAATTTATTCTCCTGTCTCTCTGTCAAGCAACACTCTGACCTTTGTATAGGTGAGTTTGATTTTGCATCCCCGCAAGTTGAATTCTTTTGGTTCTTACAGAAATCACTTGATATATAATTGTGCTGATGGGATGAAGTAATTTGGTAGTTGTTGGATACATAGCTTGAATCTAGAGACAAGCATGTAAAGTAAGTAAACAAAAAAAAAAAATGAAAAGAAATGCAAAATGGGAGGGATGATAGTGTGAACAAGTTCATATTCTACCAACAATTCAAAAACAGTAAAGTAGTCTTAGTAGTTATAGCTCTTGTAACTTCTGAGATCTTTACCCCACACATCACATTTAGCACTTATCAACCTACCTTCTCATGCAATTGATATAGCGTGAATGAGTTCATATTTTGTTTTCATCAATATTGTCTGCATACTTGTGTTATTTGGTTAATGATTGATTTTTCTTTGCATGAGGACCTGTAGTGTCTCCCCCTATTATTACTTGTTACATGGAAATTTACTGTCTTAGCTATTTAGTCACCTAATTATCACTTATTTCTTTTATTTCACATGTTGGCTTGGATGTCAAGGTAAAACTCCAGGACAGACCTCTCCAGGGAGACGTACTAAAATTAAAAATTCTAGCTCCGAGGTTGAAAAAGTGAAATTAAGCTGGGGAACAGTTGCAAATGAGCCAGTCCGTGCTGGTAAGAGCTCTCTTGGTTTGAGAACATTACTGTACTTATAACAAAAAATGCCATTTTTCTAACCCTGAAGAGAGGTTGATGCTGTTTATTTCTCATCTACCTTGGTTTCCTGGATGGAACTTAAAGTCTAAGCTCACTCTAGTCCTTTGCAAGCTAAGATCCAGTTCGATTATTCTTATCTGTTTTGAAATGGATTGAGTATTCATTCTTATCACTTCTTAATGTCAAAATAGTTCAGGAAAGTGCGTTCGCACAATCTTCTCTGGCTAAATTGGCTGGAAAGTTTTTAGCTCATAAAAATTAACTGTTCTGGCCCCATTATAGTCTTGTTCATAAAGCAGATGCATGCTCCATCCTTCTTATATTCCTCAGCATGTTCTCTAGATGGACTTGAAAAAACCAAAAGTTTTAAAGATTGGTACATCAAATCTACTTATGAAATATGTTCATTGCAAAGATTTCAGTATTTATTTTGCTTGGATAATTTTGGCAGCTTTCTTTATGTGTTTTTGTTTTTTTTTTTTCCTACTGTCCTATTCTCAGTAAGCAAAACAAAACATTATTCTATGACAGTTCATGACATCTTGACCGTTCTCAGAAAGCCGGATGCCACTATGAATAAGACATGTGAGGAAAAGCAACATGAGTCACTTTCAAAAGAATGCAATGGAAATGAAGATGAACTGAAAAACAATAAGTCAAATCAAGATTGCATAATGAAGGTTATAAAAACTGAGAATGTCAACGACCTCCCCAGTACTGAGAAGTGCACAGTTTATGGAAGTAGAAGAGAATACCAAGCTAGTTCCTCAATTGTCGATCATAGGTATGTATTTTAGGAAAATCAATTTGTCTTTGCGTCAATGACACAAATGATTGAAAGGTGCTCTTTTATTATAGATGCTCTACAGTATTTTTCACCTATAGGGATTTATTACAGAATATCTCGTTTTCTGGTCCATCATAGAGTTTCTGAACTTAACTGGAAACTGTCAATGGAGCCTCAGCTTCCTCAACTCAATAAGGTTGTTCTGTTTCTTGTAGCCTATGTAGGATTGCGTTACAGTAAGTTGTAAGCAAGAACTATTTTGTTCTGCTGGTACAAACTTTTTGTTTTTGTTTTTAAACTATGACTCCTGTGCGTCTAGAGTAAAAGATTATATAGAACTGACAGGCACATTTTTGGAAATGCATTCATTGATGGGGACATAACTAAACTTGTTTTCCGTTGCAGTTCAGAAACAACCAACAATATGCCTCCCATCCTTAGTGTAAAGTGCACTGACAATAAAAAGCTGGTGTCAACTTCATATCTGGAACCCAACTCACCAGTCAATGCTGTGTTGGATTCTCAGAACCACAAGCCAATTGAGCCAGCGGATCTCCTCAAATCAAATGAAGCTGTGGAACCTGAAAATCTCCCTGAAATATTTTCTTGTGAAGGTTACTTCTGCAAATACACACTGCTGTCTATTTTTTTATGATGCTGAAATATGTTGTTCCCTTTCAGAGATTCTGATGGAAACAAAGGCAAAGGCTAAAGCAGCAGTTGCTTTGAACGCCAGTAAAATTCCTAAGGTGAAATATGGAAATACTATTGCCTTTTGATTTAAGCATTCACCTTTTGTTCCCTAGATTCTCACATGCTAGTTTGCTTTTGACATCAATATGAGCATCTTTAGCTTAAACTGCATGCTCTTATATGCCTTTTGTGTATAGAGTAGAGGAAACATTTTCGATCACCGAAAAAGTCGTGTTAGAAATTAGAATGGGTAACAAAGTAGGTTGATTATGGCAATATTTGTGGAAAAGCATAAAGAACATGTGGCCTCAAACTATTATGCTACTCATTAGTCATGATCTGTCTGATGTTCAAGCAGGATCATCATGAATCTGCAAAGAATTTGGATGAGTTCCCAAGTTTTGATCTTGGATTTTGAAAAGATTCAGTACTTGCACAAATGCACCTTAGTAGGAATCATCGAGTTGGCTTAATGAAATCCTGCTGTCGAAGAGGAAACTCAACTAAAGTAGAAGACTCTTCTCATTGGTACACATTAATGCTAAGATCTTTGTTTTATCTGGATTTTACAAAATATATGCCTGTTCAGTAAAAGAAGACAGTGGCCATAGAGTCCATTTTCTCCCTGAACTTTAGTAGATTCTCCATTGTTGATTCCACAAACTAACCACAATACATATAGGCATAGCTGCATGTAAACTTTGCACAAACAATTGATGCCTTATATTTTCCAAAGATATGGATATTTGACCCATGATGAAAGTGATTGGCACTCAATAAATGACTAATAGATAGATGTGTTATAAAGTGAAACTCTCGATAATTGTTTACAAGCTAAGTCATTGAATTCCATCAAAATTTGAAAGCTAATAAGGGCTCCTTCATTACTTTCCTGTTGCACAAATTTGGTCCTTAAAAATATGTCCTTTATTATTTTGTCTTTAAGTAGATTGTCTTTGAAACTTATGTGGGTGGTACTCACATGTGCTTAAAGACAGTAACATGTGAAGTCCACAATCCATGTGTAAATATGGTCATTTGAAATGATTGCATGCTAACCTAAACTTGCTTCCCAGAGTAAGAAAACAAAACCCCAATTTATAGTAGGGAAATGGAAACAATTTGAGATTCCAAATATGATTTACATTATTGGTTGAGAAAGAATGATATTGTAGTTCAATTGTCATATCGCTCAACTCCCCACATAAAAATGATTCTAGTGACAGGAAATTGACCCAGCCAGCACCTTAGATTAGCTTGTATATTGGGCAATCTACTTTCTATGGCGAGTCTGCGTTGACTTGAAGACTTCCAAGTCACTTTACCTGTGTTGTTTAATGCACATCACACACTCACATAAAAATAGCTTGACTTGACTCCCTATGAGGGTGGCTGAGTTGGTGTGGCGGGTTCAAACATTCCGGCGTCCTTTTGATCTAGCTTGTTACATAGGGTTTGTCTAGTGTGTCTTACTCGGTTGGCATGGTTTGTAGGTTATTGTGTTCGACATGGAGTAACCACGGGTGAGAACATTATTAAAAACAATAAAAATAAAATGGCTTGACTTGGAAAATCAACGCCCCATTCCTTTAATACTAGTCATTGAGAAATGAGAATTCTTAGATCATTCCACTCTTTTGTTGTTTGTAGTCTGCAGATGGATTCCTCCTCTGTGAATCTCTCCTTAGCTATCATTGCTAGCATACTTGTAGTAATTGCATCAGAAAATACTCCTCTATCAGATTATCCAGAAGAATTGAATGCCTTGGTTTCAAGTGGTTTGTGGGATGAAGATACTCATGACTACTCAGATAATCATTGCCAGTGGAATGGAATCACTTGTAATGGTGCTGGACGTGTTGTCGAGATTCATTTACAAGATTGTCATCCTACTCCTATTTGGAGGCCTATGGTAAACCTTACTGCTTTCCCAGAAATTTCTAGAGTTCGTCTTAGCAACTGCACAATCATTACAAATCTCCAATCTTGGATAGGTAACTTATCACAATTAACTTACCTAAATTTGTCGATAAATTTTATTTATGGTCAGTTGCCTCGTTTGCTATTTCTCACAAAATTAGAGACGTTTGACGTTTCTTATAACTATATAAGTGGTTCCATTCCATCCCAAATAGAGGCTCTATCGAATCTATCTTATCTGGATTTGTCACATAATTCTTTCACAGGCCTATTGCCTCTTACAGTGGCGAATCTCTCTAACTTAGGTGTATTCGACATTTCTTTTAATAGCATAACTGGTTCTTTTCCATCTCAAATATTGGCTCTACCAAAATTATCTTACCTCAATCTTGCTTCTAATCTTTTAAGTGGTGATATGCCTTTTCTTTCCTCACCAAATCTCTCAAAGTTGGAGGTATTTGACATTTCATATAACAACTTCTCTGGTGTCGTTCCACGTAAACTCTGGAAAAAGTTTTCGGATAGTTCATTCATTGGCAATCCCAGATTTCATTTCCCAGCCCCGCGCGAACGATTTCATCTTATCAAAATTATCCTTCTAGCTGTTTCAGCACTAATCTTCATCTGCACAGTCTGTCTGGGATACTACCTGTGTATGAACTGGATTAGGAAAAAGGTGAAAATGAGTTGTGTTGTAGATGATGATGCTAAGCATGGAGATATATTCAAGATATGGAATTTTGATGGAAATATTGCTTATGAAGACATCATCGAAGCAACTGAAGACTTCGATGATAGCTACTGCATCGGCATTGGAGGCTACGGCAGTGTCTATGAGGCAAAACTGCCGAGTGGGAGAGTTGTTGCAGTTAAAAAGCTTCATAGATTCGAAGTTGAGAATGAAACTTGTAGCAAGAGCTTTCTGAATGAGGCTGAGATCTTGTCTGCAATTCGGCATCGAAGTATTGTGAAACTTTTCGGCTTTTGTCTGCACAAGCGCTCCATGTTTCTTATCTACGATTACATGGAAAGTGGCAGCCTGTTTTGTGTCTTGAACGATGCAATCGAAGCCGTTGATTTGAATTGGGCGAGGCGTGTAGATGTGGTGAAGGCCGTTGCGAATGCGTTGTGCTACATGCATTACGGTTGCGATCCACCAATCTTGCACAGAGACATTTCCAGCAACAACATACTTTTGAACTCGAAGATGGAAGCTTGCGTATCTGATTTCGGCACAGCTAGATTTTTGGATCCCAATTCATCGAATCAGACTCTCACCGTGGGGACCTATGGTTACATTGCACCAGGTTTGGTATCATCAAATAATTCTTTAAAATTTCTTTTGATTTTTCCCTAAAAACTCTGTCGCATTCCGACTAACAATTTCGTAATATATGTTATTCAGAATTGGCGTACATGATGGCAGTCACGGAAAAGTGTGATGTGTACAGCTTCGGAGTGGTGGCATTGGAAACCATGTTCGGATGCCATCCCGGGGACTTTATTACCTCCACGATGTCGATATCCGGACAATGTGGTCTTGAGAAGGTAATGGTCCAAGACTTGCTGGATAAGAGGCTCCCGGCGTTGTCTCTAGACAACGATCTACGGATGGCTAAGGAAGTTGCGCGGATGGTGAAGATAGCGTTGGCATGTGTTAGTTTCGACCCGAGTTCCCGGCCGACGATGAAGCAAGTGTGTGAAGGGCTTGGTGGTGGTGCACCACCCCTGCCTAGGCCTATACATGGCATCTCAATTCTGCACCTCATGCCTTCAAACAACAACTAATGTGATGAGGTAAATACAACGATAGATTTATTATTATTTGTTAAAATATGGATAATAATATAAATTTAAAAAATGATATAATCTTAGCAAAAGAAGTGAGAATATACCCACTTTTTATTTATACTAAAATGTCTCAATTCTTCCTCAGATTTTTTATCAAAGCATTGTGCCCATCATGATTTTTGAATAAATTCTTAGATTTTGATAAGAGTCGATGCATACATGCAAAAATCTACCTACTTACAATAATGGGTGAATTTATTTATGCCAGATTTTTGTAGAAATTATTTCATGAATTAATACACAAAAATGCACCATACTCACTTGCAAAGTAATATATACACATATATTCGAAAAGAATATCCTATTCTGTTAATTATTTATTGCATCCCTTAGTTGTTGGAGGGCCAAACCGACTTACCAATTAATTATATTCTTCCCATTATCATTTAAATATTCTTCACATTCCAAAATACAAATCCGTACTGTGCATTTTTTATTTTTTATTTTTTCCTTTTTAATTCAATAAAATAGTAACAATAATGTTCTTAGAAAATTAAAACTTACTCTCTTCTACACATATAATCCATATAAAAGAAGTTATCAATTATGATCTTACTATATATATATATTAATTAAAATTTTGATTAAAACAATTCCATCACGTCTGTGGAAATAATGACAGAAAAAGTGGAAAAGGGGAAAGTATAATATTGTGAATGGAGCAATTTGATAAAATAGGACAATGAAGAGGACGTGGATGTCACCCCTCCACTGTATACATATGTGACAAATTATTAATAAATCATAGTATTTTATTTTATTTTATTTTATTATCTAAATAGAATTTGATGGTGCATTCTTTCATCATCACATCTCTTGTCTCTTCTCTTCACTTGCTACAAAAAGGAGTCACTTTATTTCGATCCAATCAGATTTGTTGAATACAGAACTATTGTTGTATTTTTTAAAAAAATATATATATATTTTTGTAAGATTACTTTTTGCCTTGATTTTAATTAATTGATAATAAAAATGTATTGTAATATAATTAAACTCTGAAAATTGTGATAATTCAGAATAATGTATTGGAGTTGGAACCCAGAAAAGAAGTTTAGTTGGAGTAACAAATTGGAACTGATAATGCGTATAGTATTTTGATATTATTCCATGGAATAATTCCGTGTAATATAATTAAATTACCCAGGGTAAAACATTTTAAAAAGACATCAACAATGAGGAGAAATATATATATATATATATATGCATATATGAAAATATATAATATTCATTAGTCTCATTGATAAGTTGTCATTTTTTTTTTCATCTATTCCAAAATAAATTTATCAATTTACTACTTATCTAACATAATCAATACCCTTGCAATTTATACTATATTACCCAAATGTCATTATTTTTATATTACACAATACTAACAGGGATATTTTTATCTTTTTCACTACAAACTATAATAATATTAATATTAAAAAATCTACGTGCAAAAAGTAAACGGTAACCTTGCACGGGACAGAGGGAGTAATATAATATACAACACATATTATGCCGTATATGATATAATTTCATATAATACAATATATTAAAGTCAGCCCAATAAATATATTTGTACAGTATAATACATTGGGTGTGTTTGTTTGGGGATTGGATTTTCGATTTAAATTTTGGAGAATTTGGAAGTATGAATTTTTAAGTCGTATTTTTGTTTGAAGGTTTGAATTTTATAATGATTATGTTGGAAAAAATTATTATTTTATTAAAAAATGATATATTAGTGTGATAATTTGAAATGAATGATATTTAATATTGTTAAAGATATTATAAATAATAATGGAAAATGATAGTTTGATTTGATGTTTATAAATAAAATTTAAAGTTAATTTCTTTTAAAAAAAATTTTTTTGGACTACGTAAATTTTGGAAAATTCATACTATTATTCATTCATTTTTTTGTTTTTTTCATAATTATCAAATTAAACTTTTTTTTTTCTATAGTAAGATAAACATTAATTTTATATTCATATTATATTTCAACTTGAAACAAAAATTCCAACCCAAAACAAACACAACAATTTTATTTTATTTATATATTTAATTTTGAATGGAATTGAGTGTACAATAAAAACACCAAAAACGAACACATCAATATATAAATTGCACAATACATATGTTTATATGATAATATGAGCTTATTTGATAGTGAGTGTTCCAACACAATCATATATATATATATAACTAAAATCTATATTGTGTGTGTCTCGTAAAAGATGATAGCATAGTGTGGAGTTGTACTTGTAACCGTGACTTCAGGTCAGCTGCCATGTAATCTAACTAAAATCTATATTTACGAATGATTTGAAATTATTAGAATGCCTTTTGCTAATTTTTAAAAATCATATTTTAATAAAAAAAATATATAATATAATATAATATTATAAATAATAAAATTTTATATAATACAAATAAATAAAAAAAATTCTTAAGATACAAAAAAATATCTCAAGTACAAATAAACACACCCCATTGGCCGTAATAACGTGGGACTAAATTGTCATCGATTAAAAGTTACATTATGTCGTATTCTAATTCAAGAAAATTAAGTGTTAGATATTTAATTATATTTTATATATATTTACTTAAAAGTTTGTAAAATTTTCCATGGAACATGTTTATGAATTATGACACAGGTGGTCCCGATTTTAATTTACGCTGCGTAGAGGAGCCGGGCATTACACTAAAGATAATTTGCATTAAATTTATAAATTTTAGTCCAGAGTCCTAAATTCGATTTTTGTGTTTTTTTAAATAAAAAAAAATTGTTAATAAAAGATTTTTTTAAAAAAATAAAAATAAAAATGAGTATATAAGTGTGCACACCCATGTCAACATGACATGTGATCTGATTGAATACTTCTATACTAATCTAAAATCGAATAATGCTAAAAAGTCCCATTATTAGCTGTCATTATTTCGACACAACCATTTTATTTTATTTTATTATTTTTTTTTTTTCAAGAATCGAAAATGTTAGCCCAGATATTTCGAATCAAATCATTTCAGTCCACAAATAAATTTTTGAATAAATTAAATTTAAATCAAATCAAATTACAGCCACTGCTCCCAAATATATTCATAAATGTATTATTATTATTATTATTATTATTATTATTATTATTATTATTTTCTATTAATATAAAAACACATACTATCAGTCCTGAATCAATTTTACACACTGGAATGGCAAAATTTAAAATAAAATAGTTTTTTTTAGGAAAATGAAATTTAATTTTCTTGATTTATTAATTTTGATTTATTTCAATGTAGAGACGGAATCTCCAAGACAAGAGGCAAGTTGATGAGTCATTGTCACATTGGACCACAAATCCTCATTTAAATATTTTCCTTTGTTCCTATCCATAATATTTAAATGAACCAGTTGTAATTATATATATATTTATTTATTTATTTGTTTAATTATTTATTACATAGACATACGTAGATATGCATTTAGTTTTGGATAATCGTCTCCCCGCGGCACAGATAAATGTCGGATGATTGATTGATTATGTACAGTACATACAGGTGCCACATTTTTCTTCATCATTAATTATTATTAAATTGCCAATTCATATTATTATTATTATTATTATTATTATTATTATTATTATTAAATGAATATATATATATATATATGTGTGTATAGACAAGAAAGCCCACATTACGATCGTACAACGTTACAGAACATGAATGTCAGAACAATAAATTATTCTCATGCACCAATTGGTAGTTTGGTGCCCAGAATTTACCTAAGTATTTCAATATATATATTTTTAGATTTTATAAATTATATAAATAAGGTTCAAAAAAAAAAAAAAAGAAAAACTTTCTATCCATTTAAATTGTTTTAAATAAATAAATACTAAAGTTCACAAAATTTTTTTTTAGATATTTTTACATATTTTTTTTACTATTTAATATTTTATTTAAAGTTCTAATCTTTATAAAAATATTCCATCGACTAACATTAAATACAAAATATAAAAAACAAACAAAAATATAGTAAATTTTTATGAATTACTTCTACATCCACCTCTAATTTGCTAATTTTATTTTCGACGTGATATCGTAAGTGACATAATTCTTTTATTTAAAATACTTTCATAAATTTTACATAAAATGACAAGAAAAATTAATAAATATTTGATTTGTAGCACAACTTACGATTTAATAATTGTATTATTATTGTTGCAGGGTTAGGCTTTAATTAAATTATTAAATGGTGTTATAAGTCAGCAAACCCAAGCTACCACAAACATCATTATATGAATATTTTACCTCTATTATTATTTCACTTTATGCATCCACTTGCCAAATAAAAATTAAAACAGGCATATATACACACAAACTTGAATATACTTACTACTTATTTAATTATTTCTAAAATATAAATTATATAAATAAATAAAATAATAAGCAGCAGACACCCACTTTGCCTCCATATAGGAAGAAAAAATAATGGTTACTTTTTGTACTCACATATTATTTTCCAATCAATTTAATTATATATATATATATATTTTATTCAAATTTTGATTTATTATCCCAACTCTAAATCGTATTGCATTATATATGTAGATAACAAAATTGTCATCCTTACTGGTCAACTATAAACTACTACTTCTTTAGTAGATTAATGAATTGGTGAATCTAATTGAAAGTCAGATATTTTCTGGGGCTTTGAATCTAATTTGTTTAATGTAAAAATATAAATGTGTCAAACTTATGTTTTTTTTATTTTTTATTTTATTTTTTATTTTTATTTTTTATAATTCAATTATTATAAATTTTTCTTTTTTTAGAAAAAAAAAAACTTTTGTACTTCTGTGCCTGTTAGATATATTCAGGGTGTGTTTGGTACAGAGAATTAGCAGTAGATAAATGAAAATGTTTCTATTTCTCTTGTTGTTTGAGTCAGAGAAATAGAATTTGAGAAATAAATCATTTTTATTTCTCTATTTTTATTTTTTATTCAGAGAAATATAGAGAAATAATATGCAGTATATATATTTTTATTTTTTTTATTCTTTTTTTTACTATTTAATTTTTATAATCATTTATATTATATTATTTCAGTTTTACAAAAAATTATATTTAATTTATCATTCAAGTATTTAATTTTTACAATTTTTAAATAAAATTATACTTAAATATGATCATACAAAATATCTTATCTAATATATAATTTTTTGTTTTAAAAAAAGTCATCAGAGATATTTTTTCATAAATTCTTACTAGCTAAAACTCTTTTTTGTTAGATTAATCATTTATTCTCCATTCATTTTTTTACATTTCTTTCTCTGTTCTACCATTATTTTCATTCTCTACTCAATTCATTTTCTCTCAAATTCCATTATTTACTGTCATTTATCTACCATTCTATTCTTTGTACCAAAGGACCTAAAGGTTGTTCATTTATATATTTTTTAAAATCATTTTTTATCATTTAATTTATTATATTTTTTTTCTAAAAATATTACACATTCAAGAATCAATATTTTTATTTTATTTTATTTTATTTTATTAAAACAACAACACTTTAGTTTTTCATGTTGCCAATAATTCTAAATACTATTTTATTCTCTCATAAAAAAAAAAAATACTCATTTATTTGTAATATAAATTTTAATATAGTGCATATTTTTTGTCTTTTATAGAAAAAATAAAAAAATTGGTAATGACTAATATGATTTTTTGCTTAAAAAAATAAATAAAATCTTAAACTCAAATAAAAAACAAACACACCCTATATATTCTCAATTTTAGATATTTTGTTATTATATTTAATTTGAGATATCCAAAAAATTTATACAATTTTTCTTCTTTTATCCCAACATTTTCGTAATTTACATTTAAAAAAATATATATTCATTTCAAAAAATAATAAGGATAAAATTGAAATATATTTTAAAAATTTTACTTTCTAAAATACCGTGTTAAAAATAATTATCGCTAAAATAATGGGCCGTATGGAGTATAAATTAAAATTAAGAGGAAAGTGTGATTATTTATTTATTTATTTATTTTGGTTTAGAAATTTTAAATCTAACTGACAGTGAAAGGATAATAAAATTGATATATCCCACCGTTTCTAATTTAAATTATTTTTTTTTGGGGGGCAAATGGTTACTTCCCCACGTAACTATATTTGTACAGTGGACTTTACATTTTTGTAGTAGCTAAGTGTCCAAAAAAAAATCATTAATTAAACAATATTATTGTCTAAGTCTAAGATTAGTTTAATCATTGATCTAATCTATTAATCAATTGTCATATTCCAAACCATAACATTTGTTAATCAATGTGGAAATAATTGACTCTTCACCATGCTTATCCAAATATTAATAATTTCTAGTGGAAATTAATTCTTCAATTTTCTTGTATATATATTTTTATTATTACAACATATTTCCTTCACGTTGTGTTTTAGCTTTCTTCTTGTTCAAAGTATGTCCTTGGATCCATAGTTACCAGGCAAAAGAGGTCGCAAGCGGAAGTGTGACCACAAAGTTGGGAAAATAAATGCGAAGAGGAGACGACAGTGGGGCAAGAAAGGGACACTAAAAAAATACAATAAATAAATATATAAATAGTTGCTGTGGACTGTGGAGCAGAGGAACAAAATCCCCACCATACCCATATATATATATAATTTTATTTATTAATTGTCTGTCTTTTTCTTTGTGCAGTCACACAAAGAAGAAGAAGAAGGAATACAATTACAGAAACAATTAGAATATAGACTAGGGCCAAGCCAAACCATTATTAATATTAATATTAGTATTTATATATATAAGTATTAAGACTATTATTTAATTAGATTCCACCCATTTTTCTCAAATGGAATTCAACTCCAAGAATCACCACCATTTCACCATCGCCCCCCACCTCACCCCCCACCCCCTCCCCCACGCCCGCCCCCGCCCCCGCCCCCGCCCTTCCCCAATCCACACAACTGCACATCTCCTCCGACCAAATGAAACTGCCGCCGCACGACTCCGGCGCCTCGCCGCGGCCGCTCGATGTGCTCATGGACTTGGATCTTGATCTCGACGCTGCCTGGCCGTTGGATCATATATTCGCCGGAGCCGGTTCGAATCCCGACTCCCCTCTGCTCATGTCCAACTCCGAACGCCCCTGCTCGCCGCTCTGGGCTTTTTCCGATGATAATTCCAATGGGAATTTTGTGGCAGCCGCCGGTCTCCGCCTCTCCGACTCCTCCAAGATCCTTTCCTGTAAAGACTTGCTTTCTAATTGGTGCTTTTTTTTTTTTTTTTTTTTATTTTTGGATAAGTTGAATTTCGCTTTTATGTTAGGTTAAAGTTTACTGTTGGGAAATTTTTTTGTAGCTTTTCAAAGAGCATAGAGTAAAATCTTTTTCTGGTTTTCTCAGTTTGGGGATTTTGTGTTTGATTTTTTATGAGATGTTTTTTTTTTTTTTTGGTTTTTATCTGTCCTCCATTTCAGTGGCTAATTAAAACTCGATTTTGACTTGTTGTGAACAAATTTCTTCTGTGGTTTATTTGATGGATGCGGAAAATTGAATTATTCCTTCCTTCACTGCAACTTTGGCTGGAAAGAGAAGATTTGAAATTCGTGTAAATATTCCTCATGATTATCCTGTTTCAATCTGTTGGGAAAGCTCTGGTCGAAAGTCAATGAAGAAGCTAACCCTAATTTTGATCCAATTTTCTGATTATGCCTTTGGTCGAACTGTATCTGCATTTTGTATGTTGAGCTATAACTAATAGTTGATTACATTTCCATTGTTCTTGGGTAGATGGCGGCAATCCCGGCGGCGGCACGTCGGAAACTCCGAATGAAGACAAAAGGAAGGTGCCATCCCCCTTCGTCAGTTTGGTGCCTATGGAAAATTGTGTAATAAAGGAAAGGATGATGCAGGCTCTTAGGAACTTCAAAGATTTGTCCGGGCAGCATGTTTTGGCTCAGGTTTGGGCGCCGGTGAAGAAAGGCGGCCGGAATATGCTGACGACGTCGGGGCAGCCATTTGTTCTCGATCCTACGAACAATGGTCTGCATCAGTATAGGTTGATTTCTTTGGGTTATATGTTTTCCCTGGATGGAGACATGGATGGGAATTTAGGGCTCCCGGGGCGTGTTTATCAGCACAAGGTGCCGGAATGGACTCCGAATGTGCAGTACTACTCGAGCAAGGAGTTTTCGCGGTTGAACCATGCTTTGCATTACAATGTTCAGGGAACTTTAGCCTTGCCCGTGTTTGAGCCGTCTGGACAATCGTGTGTCGGCGTGCTCGAGCTTATCATGACGTCGCAGAAGATCAGCTACGCTCCGGAGGTTGATAAGGTTTGCAAGGCACTTCAGGTTAGTTAGGTTTCCAAATCTGGATAAATATGAAATTGGTACGATGGGAGAAGGAAAATGATTCGATTTCTATGTTATGTTGATCCGATTGTGTGCCTTATTTGGTTTGATTATAGGATGATCTTTATTTTTTTAACATGTTGGAATAAGTCGAGGGGGATATAAGTTAATTTAATCCTTCTGCAGGCAGTGAATTTGAAAAGTTCGGAAATATTGGACAACCCGAGCGCGCAGGTAAAATACAATTCTTGATTTGGCGATTATGTCACTGTACACGTAACTTCTTCTCCTAACTATTTATGCCGAATTCTTCTATGGTAGATATGCAACCAAGGTCGTCAAAATGCACTGGCGGAGATCTTGGAGATAATCACGGTTGTATGCGAAACGCACGAGCTACCGTTGGCTCAGACTTGGGTCCCCTGCAGGCATCGCAGCATCCTTGCGAACGGCGGCGCTTTTATGAAAACTTGCAGCAGCTTCGACGGGAGTTGCATGGGTCAGGTTTGCATGTCGACGACCGAGGTGGCGTTCTATGTTGTCGATGCTCACTTGTGGGGTTTCTGCGAGGCTTGCGCCGAGCATCACTTGCAAAGAGGTCAAGGTGTTGCTGGACGGGCATTCGAATCCCACAATTCATGTCTCTGCCCGGACATTACGAAATTCAGCAAGACCGAGTACCCGTTGGTGCATTATGCGCGCATGTTCAAGTTGAAAGGAAGTTTCGCGATTTGCTTGCGGAGTAATCACACCGGGAATGATGAATATGTTCTGGAGTTTTTTCTTCCTCCGAATGTCGAAGGGTATGACGATCAGCGGGCTTTGTTGAACTCAATTTTAGCAACAATGAAGGGGCATTTTGGAAGCTTAACGGTTGCTTCCGGAAAAGATCTCGACGATGAGTGGCGGTCTATTGAGATTATCGACGGATCTATCGACGAGAAGCTTAATTTCGTACCCGATTACGCCGCTACGTCTCAACCCATGTCCGTTTCGCACAATGCCTTCAGCGAGTTGAATTCTTCAACTGGTAATGGAAATTCCAGTCGCCCCGTCGACGCTCAAAACGTAAAACCCACCGCTGTAGTAAAAGATGCGAAGAAACCGGAGAGGAAGCGAGGTAAGGCCGAGAAAACAATTAGTTTAGATGTTCTGCAGCAGTATTTCGCCGGGAGTCTTAAGGATGCGGCAAAGAGTCTCGGTGGTATGCTTTTCTTACCGGCTACTTCGTCGATCTATATATATATGTATGTGTGTGTATATATGTCTTAATGGTTTTTTGTCTTTGAAGTTTGCCCTACTACGATGAAGCGTATATGTAGGCAGCATGGAATCTCGCGGTGGCCCTCGCGCAAGATAAATAAGGTTAATCGTTCTCTTTCGAAGCTAAAGCGTGTAATTGAATCTGTCCAAGGTGGCGAAGGAACGTTCGGTTTGAGTTCCTTGGCTATGAGTCCAATTCCTGTTACGGTTGGTTCTTTTTCTTGCGCATCATCTGCGATCGGATTGAATGAATTATCCTCACCTGGTTCTGGGCTGTCTGAATTTCAGGATAACAAGAACGAGGTTGTCGTAAATGCTGTGCAAGGATTGGACGGACCGGAAGAGGCTCCCCCAAATTGTGTATCGGGCGATAGAGACGCAGCTGGGTTTGTGCCAGCCGAGCACTCTAACCGAACTGGCTCGCAAGACGAGAGTGCAGGAACCCCGACTTCCCGAGGCTCGTCTCACGGTAGCCAGTCCGTCAGAAATGGTACACCTCCCGATGACACGGGCGTTGCCCGTGTCGATGATCGACATATGAATGCCGGCGGATCCAATGATTTAGCTCGTCAACAAATTAGAGACGTTAACTTATCCGCGGCATTCCGAGTCCCGAATAATTTTCTAATGGAGCACGAGAAGCCTTTCGGAGGAATGTTGATCGAGGACGCGGGAAGTTCGCACGATCTCAAGAACTTGTGTTCCACCGACGCTATGCTCGACGAGTACGGCGTCGAATACAGCTGGACAAAGCAGTCCCGTTTTCTCGACGAGATGCCTGAAGACGTGCAGGCTGCTCCGGCAGATCGAACCCACGCGTTCGCAGCCCGGCCGGAAGTGAAGAGCGTCACTATAAAAGCCACACACAGAGAAGACATCATCCGGTTTCGACTGCCCATCGACTCCGGCATCATCAAGCTGAAAGAAGAAGTGGCGAAACGGCTGAAATTGGAGTCGGGCACCTTCGAAATCAAGTATCTCGACGACGATCATGAGTGGGTCTTAATAGCCTGCGACTCGGACTTAACGGAATGCCTCGAATTATCGAAATCATCCGGCGGCAACATAATCAGGCTATTGGTACACGACATTATGGCCATTCTCGGAAGTTCTTGTGAGAGCTCCGGCGAATGAGAATGAGACGACGTGAGGTCTGCCGGCTCCGGCAGGTAAAATTTTACCTTTCTTCCTGGTTTAGGACAATTCAGGTACAGTGTATTGTTATCTATTGAAGTTTAGCACTTGTTCTTCGGGGTCGAAAGCTTAAGCTTATTTGGTCGTCTCCCTGTCAGTGAAGTGTATACTAATTACTACTTAAGGGTTGCTGTTTGTGGTAGCTTATTGGTATATATTAGTTCATATGTTATTTGATCAATATTTTGAGTGTTAGCTGAGTATATTTATGAACACATAAACAACCAGCCTTCTTCATTCATACTCAAATGGCACTAATAAGTTGGTCGATTTAGTACCAACATTAGGATACAATAATTCAGAAACATGAAATAGAGCTAGATTTATTTGGGCCAATTAAACCATCTCAATTTTAGAAATGTTTTGGGCCGAGCCCAATCCGGCTTGGGCCTTCCGTTCCGCCATAATTCTCTTAGTGGACTTGTAAAATGTAGCGTACAATACTAATTGGGCCAGCCCAAGAAATGTCCCCATCCCATTCGGTGCCTGCATCATAAAACTTGTATAAATAATGGAATATAATTCTGTATATGTGACATTAATTAATTTATTTAATTTTTAATAAAAAAAATACTGACAAGAATGAAGGGGTCGAAACGGATTAGGGCATAAGCCGTCCACGAAATGCCATTTAGGAAGGAGAAGAGGGACAGGAAAAATGGCATGAACTCCACGCTTCGTGTCTTGATCACCAATTTCTGCACCAACAAACAACCTCGAATCATTCCCATTGCATTGTCCTAATTATACATACATACGTATGAATGTATTCATGTGTGTATATATATATATATCTTATATTAGGGTTTGATAAGAGTTACCAAGCACCATGCAGATTAATCAAATCAGTACATAGCAAATAACACATACGGTATAGAGTATTCGAATATATATACTTTCTTCGTCCAATTTTCATTGTCTAAAGTATATTTGCACGATTTTTTAGGTGATTGTCTTTTGTTATGAATGGACAAATTTGCCCTTACGAATGATAGAGATTAAAAGTAATAAATGAATGAAAGTAAAAATGTAAAATTTGTATTTAAAAAAAAAATAGAACAATAATTGTTGAAAGTCTCGAATAGAAATTATAACATTAGTTTGTGAACAGGGAGAATATTATTTATTTTATTATATATATATATTATGTTAATATATCTTGTATGTCAGAAATCAATTATAGTCTATATATTGTGTAAATTATGTTAATTTATATATTGTATTTATGTTATATATAAATATACTATTATAATTTTTGCTTTTTGATTTATACATAATACTCCCTCAATATATATATAGTGTGATAATTATTGTAGACACGATAATATATATATATATAATATATAATTAGTAAATAATTAATAATATATTAATAAAAATAATTATAAATTAATATTAAATTAAAGTGTATAATATTTTTCTTAAAAAAAGTGGCGAAAATAGAAAGTGTGAAGGAGGGGAATATATTATTTGTATTGCAGCACAACAAATGAGATGTATAAATAGTTAGTTATGACTTATGAATGATTTGATTTTAATTTAGTTTAATTTAATTAATAATGAAATTAATTAATTAATTGTAGGTACCTACCATGACAGAGAGCGGCGCCGCATACATGCAGATGTTGCCGACCATACAGATGCTGCCGACGACGGCGGAGCGGAGGCGGGTGGTGTGCGCCAGGGTCAGCACCAGCGTGGCCAGAGAGGCGGCGAAGGCGCACTCGGCGGCGACGATTCCGGCGAGGCGGAGGCGCCGGCGGTTGGAGTCGGAGAAGGCGAGGAAGAGAGAGAGGTAGACGAGCTCGATGGCGATTCCGGTGCCGTTAATGGTGACGACGAGCATGCTGTGGGGGTGCACCATCGGAAGTCCGTACAGAACCCACAGAACACAGTTTATGAACGTCGCCAGATACGGAATCGCCGAGTACTGCTCCACCGACCTCTTCCGCCATATTCTGTAAAATGTCGGCCTGAAATATATATATATGTATATGTATGTATGTGTGTATATTTGCAGGATTAATTGGAAAACACAGAGAGGAAATGGATGGAGCTTACACTGGAGATAAGAACAGAACGAGTGCTATCACGTTTCCTGCAATTGAACAAATCCTTAAATTTTAAGGTTTTGGGTAAATTTATATATATGTATGTATGTATAGGATGAGATCAGAAGAAGTGACCTATAATGCCAACAACAGTACGAGCATCGTCTTTGGTGACCATGATTGGGATCGATGAATTTGTTGCTAGAGAAATTCAGGTGGGGGAAATTGGAATTGGATCTATATATATATATATATATATATATAGAGAGAGAGAGAGAGAGAGAGAGAGAGAGAGAGAGAGAGAGAGAGAGATGTATATGTGCAGTAGAGTGAGAGGGGTGAGAATTTATAGACAAGAAGATGTATCATGTACGTTGATGATTTTTTATTTTTGTGTCGATATTTTGCCTAAAATTGTGATTATGATTATTATTATTATTATTATTATTATTATTATTATTATTTTCGAAAAGATCGAGACAATGGATAACTAGGCGTATTAAATTTTTTACTATTTTTGTCCGTCTCACTTTAAACCATTCATTTTAATTAAATTATATGTCAATATCAAAATACATTTAATTATTACTTGAATTACAAGCGTACCGCCACATATATATATATATAAATTTAAAAGGTAAAAAATATTCAAAAACTTTTACACATTTCTACTAACTAATAAAATACTACTCCCTCCGTCCCAAAAGTATAGTCTTATTGTGTTGGGTACTATATTTAAGAATTATTGATATTATACGAGTAGTTGGTAAAAAGTAAGGATAAATGACTTTTTTTTTTTTTTTTGGCCTCTGTGAGTATATTAGTGTAAAAGTAGTGACAATTGTATAATAATAATGAAAAAAGTAGGGATAGTTTTATGGTGATATAGTTATTTATGGAAATGAGACTATTGTTTTGAGACGGACAAAAATGATAAACAAGACTATTGTATTGAGACGGAGAGAGTATTATTTTTTAATCTACTATAAAAACCCCAAATTATATACGTTAGAACTGTTTATCTGGTGACAAATTTAAAGCAACACATATAAGTGCTCTATAAAAGTTATTTTGGCTCAAAAATATGATGGTAAAATTGATACAAACTTGGTCTTATGGTAAAATAATCTTTATGGGATATATAGTGTAAAAGGTTTGGACCAAATTAAAAAACATGATGCTTAAGAGGAATTAGAAGAAATTCTAATTAAGAGGATATTGGTTTGTGTTGTCATTTGATTTTTGCGAAGAAAGCATCAAATAAGTGTCGGCATTGGACTTGATCACGGAAGGAATCGAAGCTTTCGGGTAAGGAGTTGTGTTGTAAAACCAATCACGTCGGTAGGAACGCGACATAGAACACAACAAGCGACCCGATGTGGCAGTATTGTTGAGTTTGTTCGTTATAATTTTTTTTTTGATTCAATGTCGACACAATACATAGTTAGATAATGCTTTAAATAGCGAGATATCTTTTTTTGAGACGATAATCCAAATTTAAACCCGAGGGGTATGTGTAAAAAAAAGAAAAAAAATTATTCATGCTTTTCATCAAGAAGAAATACGGTTATTTTTTTTTTATTTTTATTTTTTGTAAATATAGGCCTTAGTTGAATGATGTCAATACACAGCTTATTTTTGATGGTATAAGTAATCACAATAAATAATATAAATGTTGCTTATATTAGAACTGTCCTAAAAATTTTATGGTGTTCTTTTTTCTTTTTTTTTTTCTTTTTTTTTTTAAATTAAAAGTTTCTCAAATTTTATCATTTACATTCTGCAATTTTCAATTTTTTTATCTCAAAAAATTCTCATAAAAAACTTAATTAAATATGTTCAACGATATTATATTGAATAATAAAAAGGTAAAAATATTCAAACAAAGACAAGAAGAATTATAGTCTATTATAATTATGTTAAACCCTTATATATTAATCAATAAAAAAGTCTGTCCAACTATATTAAAAAAAAAAAAGAAAAAGAAAATTGATAGAATTATATACAATATATATATATATATATATCTATCCAACATATATACTTATTTAGCAATAAGTGAGGGGTAGGGATTGGGGCAAGGTCAATGACCTGTTGGCTACTCTCAGTCCATACACAACATGGGTCGTTATATTTGATTCTTAATTTTTAATTATTATTTTCTAAAATAAAATAAAATAAAATATTTGAATTAAATTAAATGAAATGTGGCACTAGACTCAAGGTGGGCAGAGAGCATCATAAATAAAAATACATCTGCACTGAGTTCAAGTGGCCATCATCTATATCTATCTGCATGGGCTCATTTATTTTTTATTTTTTATTTTTTATTTTTATTTTTTATTTTTATCTTATTATAGGTATAAATATTGGATAAGGAATCGACTGTAATTGGAAATAAAATTTGGTGCAGTAAATTCATATCATGATCCAGATAACACTGCACATATATATATATATACACATCTATATATCTTTATCTATACATTGTATTAAGTTACAACATATTATTATCTTTATCTATACATTGTACTGATCTTACAACATAGGAGTATTATATAAAATTTGATGAATTAATAATGTATTAATACTTTAGCCATTAAATTATTGATTTGTTTGATTTAGGTTTGTGTAACAGTCATTTGATATGAACATATATAATTATGTAGGTTTTTTTATACCACTTATTGTAATAGATTTTCACGTTGTTCAAAGCCTACCTATTATACTCCATCCGTTCCGAAATAAGTATTCATTTGTTTTTTCACGTAGTTTTAGAAATATTAGTATTATATTAAAATATAGTAGAAATAAAGTAGAAATGACTAAAATAACTTTATTAGTATGTGTGATACAAAGGTAATGGCATTTGTGTAATATACTGTAAGGGTATTTGTAATATTAGATAGAAAATACAGTTATGGGACATACTAAAATGGAAAAATGAATACTTTGTCATGGGAGAGAGTATTAACCATGGCTGATTGATGCATGCTGCCCAAATTTAAATATTATTATGCACTTATTTCTGTTCCATGTCCATTTTAAAATATTATATATATACACTATTATATATTGTGTTTGTGCTAACAAGATAAGGAAATGATCATAGTCAACTCGACCCATTCAGCAATAAATTTAATATACAGAAGTCAGAAGATGATATATATATATAGATATATGGGTTACACATGAATCCCTAAATCCAATAAATCGCCTATATAGGTTGACCTCATCCTCCACTTATCCAACAAAATTGACCAAATATTCAAATAAATGTTTTTTTTTTTTCTAAAAATAAAATAAAATTTGTGTGTATATTTTACAGATATAAAAATAATAATGTAATGTAAAGTATATTTGTGTAAAATATATATATATTTTTTTAACTGAATAGATAAAGTATTATGCATATACTATAAACAAAATAATAAACTAAAGAGTAGTTGTTTTTGTGAATTTTTTTAATTAAAACAATAACAATAAATAACATATGATATAATAATTAATAGAATCACATCATGTCGATATAATTCACGGCACATCTATTTATATTAATATAATAAACTTAAAATTATTTATACATCACATCACATGTTACTATTGAATCCAACAAATAAAATATCAGTTATCACCATAAGTGCTATGTTAAATAAACTAGCTAATATGCTGCCTGAAATAACCTCTCCCGTTAAATAATGAATCAAAATTTAATGACAGAAAAATAAATTCCATGCATCAAATTAGAACAAATAAATCAGTAACAACGTTACATACACTGACCTTTAGAAACCTTTCTTTCTCACTTCAACATCACAATTTGCAAAACAAACTAAAAAACAAAAAAAGTAAAAAAAAAAAAAAAAAAAAAAAAAACCAACACAAGGGAAAATAACAAGAAGCGTCTGGAAGAACAGCTTACAGCTTCAAAACATTACCATTCACAGATAGAAACAGACAGACAGACAGACAATCTCCAATCCTGCTATGTTGTTCGAACTTTGGCAGCTGCTGCTGTAGAAGAAAGAAACAAAGAACACCACACAGGCCATACATATATAGACACACACATATATATATATATATTATATATATAAACCGGATCCGGATCGAAGGAAGAATCAACTTCTAAACCCGAACGCCGACCACTTCTTCGACGTCTCCTTCTCCTTCTTGCTTGTCCTCCTCGAATTCGGATCGATCAGATTCTCCAGCGACTTCGCCTTCTTGTTGCGCGACCTCCCCGCCTCTTTCAAAAGCTCCGCCAGCCGTTTCTTCTCGTCGTCAAAATCGGGATTCGCCGTCCCGAGTTTCTCCTCCCGGAGTTTCAGAACATATTCCAGAATCTCTATGGCATCTCCAATCCTAGAGATTTTAAAAAACAGTTACTGAATGCAACGGCTATATTGATTTACTTTCGTATTCCTAAAGCTTAAATTTTTAGATGAAAATGGTCATTTTAACTGATCGAATATATTTACTACCTTCCCATTGCGTCGTACGTCGCAGCGAGGTTGCTGTAAACGCCGAGCGTGTCCTGATGGCAAGGGCCGCATTCCTGTTCGAGAATTTCCCGCGCCTCCTCGAACAGCTCGGCGGCCTCGTCGATTTTGAACAGCTGGACACAGGCCAAACCCATCTGGTTCAGGACAACCCCGAAGAACGCCGATTTCCGCTCGCCGCTCGACCGGAGTTTCGCGACGGCGCTCTCGAACGAGCTTCGAGATTCTTCGTACCTCCCGACCATGTACAGCATCACGCCAATACGAGCTTCGATCCCAGCGATCGTGCTCTGCTGCCCGGGTTTGTCCTCCAACAGCTTCATAGCCTTTTGGAGGAGTTTCAGAGCTTCGTCGGGCTCGTTGAAAAGCTCGTAAATTGCGGAAATCTCCGTCATCCCGCTCGCAATTTCCTCCGCCGATGTTCCTGGCACGGGTTTCGCGTATATTCTCAGCGCGTTTTCGCAGTACGATCGGGATTCGCGGAGCTTTCCGGTTTTGTAGTATAGGTCGGCGAGGCGGACGAAGACCGAAGCGACGGCGGGATGGTTGTCGCCTTTCGACGATTTGAAAACGGTGAGCGCCTTTTGGTAGGCGAAAACCCCCTCGTCGAAGCGGGTGAGCGACGAGTATATATTCCCGATGCTTACGTCGATGGATGCGACCTCGACTTCTTGTCCGTTCGCGATCATCGCCATGCTGGCTAGGACAAGATGCTCCAAGGCGGATTCGAACTCGCCTTTTGCCTCGCATATGAGCGCCATTAATCGACGGTCGGCCGCCTCCTCCAGCGACGCCGGCGGGCTGTGGACTCGGTGGATCTCAAGAGTTCTCTTGCACAGATTCTCGGCTTCGTCGAACTGCATTGCTTGAACATGAGCCTCGGCTAAGTATCTGCAGAGTTTCAGGGCAATGCAAATCATACATTCTAAAATTAGGACAAGATTCAGTATAATTTTCCCCAAATCTAGACATCGAAAAATAACGAATTTGTGTTTGATAATCTAATCCGGAATACGAGGTAGGATCCAATTTCGTTGTAGGAGAATAGGATCGATGTACCTGCAAGTTTCTGCGACTCTGGGGTCTGTATCGCCGAGAGCTTCCATCTGAATCTTGAGGCCTTCCTTGTAGCAATCGATGGAGCGATCGAGCTGTCCGAGCATGGAGCGCGTGTCGCCCAGCTGCATATAGCCGGAGAAGAGGGCGAGCGCGTGATCCGCACCGCGGGCCACGTCGGGGACTTCGATCGCCCGCTCGAGAACCGGGACGGCCTCGTCGAACCGGCCGAGGCTGCAGTAAATCGCCGCCACCACGTGGAGGCTCATGGCGAGGTCGAGGCTGGGCTCCCCCTCCGCCGCGCATTTCTCGAAGCTCTTCGACGCCCGGAGCGCGTAGTCCAGGGCCTTCGCGGGACCTTCGCCGGAGGCGATCGTGTCCCGGGCCAATTTCAGGAGGAACGGCCCGAGATCCGGGTTGTCCAGCGACGCCTCGTTCAGAAGGGATTTCTCCGGCGGCGATTTCTTCTTCGCCGACCCGCCCCGATCCGGCGACGGCTTGGCGCGTGACGTCGACGGGGAGGGCGACGGCGGGCGCCGCGGCGCTGGGGAGCTCGATTTCGGCTCGGATCTGGCCGGCTCGGGCCGGATCGGAGTCTGCGGCTGCGGCTCCTCTGTAACCGTAATCCGCAGCGGCGGCGCGTCCGGCGGCGTCTTGACCGATACCAATCCCGGCATTTCTAGATCCGAAAAATTAATCAATTGAGTGAAGAATTCGATTAATCCGACGGTGGGCTAATTAAGGAAGACGAGGAAGATGGCAATGGTAAGAATCTGAAAGTCTCAGCTGGCGTATGATTGGCTTTTCAGATGAGCTGTGCTGTGCTGTTCTGTGGGCTGTATTTGTTTCAGTAAAAAAAAAAATTGGTTTCTTGAGTGTAGAAATGTGGTCTCATCTATCTCATCTCTTCTTCCTTTCTTCTTCCTCACAATTCACACTATAATACAACACAAATTATGTCATAAACACAATTATGATTATCTACCATAAAATGTCATTATTAAATTTTAATTTTTTAAAACAATAATACACCAGAAGTTTTCAAAAAGTAATCTTTATTTCTTTTTGGTATGTATTTCCTTTGTCTATTTCTGCGTCTTCATTGTAATACAAGTTGAGTCTCGTACCATATAATATAGTGATTTCAGGTACGTCTTACCATATTTAAATTTGGGATTCGATTTTCAATACACAAATTAAATTAAAACAATGTTGAATTGATTGAGTTGAGCCATCCACATCCACATTCATATCCACGATCTATGAAATTGAAATCAATTGGAAAATTCAATAAGAACCCTCAATAGGAATCTCTAATAAGCAACAGCAGCTCCGGCGAAAGCAGCGGAAGCCGACCGGGAAGAAAAGTTCGTCTCGCCACCGCCGGAGTCGGCTCCGCCGCTGCCACCTCCGCCTTGCAACACCGACATCTCTCGAACGAACCGGGTGAAGCTAACCCAGCTCCGAGGCTCGAACATATTCTTATCCATCCGAACAAAGTTGAACGAGAAAGACGGCGTCTCCTGCCCGTCCGAGTACAGCCTCGACATCTTCAGCACCTGCTGGAACGACTCGTCGTCGAGGTTCATCGAGTAGTTCTCCCCCTCCAACGGGACGTCGCAAATCCTCGCTGCACGCATCAATTGCCTCACGAAACTCTCCGGTAGACTCGTCGGGATCGTCTGCTGCTCCTCCACATCTTGCATCTCGAAGCACGGACAGCACACGGTGAAACCGTATCGACCGAACATTCTGACGATCGATACGAACCCGTCTCTGATCGAAGTGTTGTAATATCCCGACGTTAGCTCCGAAGGGTGAGATCGCGTGCCGTAGTGCCAATGAACTCCGCTCACTTTTCCCGACATATTCACCTCGTTGCCTCGGAAAATCATCTCCGCTTCCCGGCAGATCCTCTCCCCATGCAAAAGCAACATACCGGAATACCATCCGAGGAAAAATTCGCCGTACGGCGACCTCCAAGAACCATCGGTTTGAAAGAACTCGGTATCCTCGAGATTTTGCATTAAACTTCCGGTGCCAAAGGGGCCTCCGGCTCCCCATTCGCGAATCCCCGTCTCCCGAGTGCAGGCGTTCAACGATGCCAACATGTACTGCCGAGAATTTCGTTATAAGGGAATCGACAATTTTTAAGCTACAACGATCGTATGTAAAAGTGTATACCTTATCGTAGCATTGAAATTCGCCGAGTTCCCGCACTCGCCACCCCCAACTTAGCTTCTGTGTAGGGCAGGAAGGGTATCTAAGTTCTCCGCCGGGGCCTAGACCGACTTGAATTCCCTGAAAAAGAGAAAACTTTTACGTAAACGATACACAAGCTAATTCATTTGAATACGATGATTAATGGCCATACGGTTATAGTTCCACCGAGAAACGATCTGAATGTGTCCCTGAAGTTTCTCATGAAATCGGCGTACGCCTGAATCGGTGACCGTCCGCAGAGAATCGGGAGGATGTCGCATCCCAGTGAAATGTACTCTGTGTTCCTCCTCCCGAACCGATCAGCATATGCAACGTCTGGATCTTTGTCGATTTCTTCGAGCACCCATCGAGGAAGAGGAATCCTTGTCAAAAGAACAAATTAATAACCAATTCAGAAGTCCATTTCCACAATCGGACAGCAAATAAGAATGTAAGATACATCCTCTAAATCTCCTCAAACACTAGCTTTCATACAGTAACCACACACATTGAATTCAACATCGAACTAATGCTTAGCATTGAAACAAATCAATGTTAGTGGCAAATGCAGAACAGCAACAAGAACACAGAAAAGAAAGCCACAGTTTGAATGTAAAGGTAAATGGAAGCACAAACGGGGATGGAAATGGGGAGGGTTAGTTACCAACCAGAGGGGGTCGCCGGGGCCGGTGCCGGACTGGTGGAAGGCCATGGCGGCGCGGACCTTCAATCCGAAGCGTTTCGCCATTTCGACAAGCTCCAGATAGCCTTTCCAGTTGTAGCGTGTGGGGAATTCCTGCTCCACCAGTCCCCACCACACCTCCATCACCACTCCCTCCACGCCCGCCGCCGCCAGCGCCCGGAACGACTGCGCCATCGCCTTCCTCCGCCGCATCGTCTCCGCCGCGGGGCCGACGGCGTCAGCCGGCAGCGTCACGTACACGGGGAACGACCCCCTCCTCCTGCCGCGGCTGTGGTAATTCAGCTCGTAAACCGCCTCCCCATCCGACGAGGCGCTGCTGCTGCTGCTGTTCAACCGGCACGCGATCCTAGGCCGGGTCGGGACCCGAGATCGAGGACCCGACCCGAACCGCGCAGAAACGGGTTGCGAGAAACTGCGCCGGGCCGGGTCTGTGCAGCAGAATCTGGGAGCCGACGGAGAAGCGATCGCCATTGGAGCAGGGCAACAATTCCAATCCAATACTTTTTGTGGGGGTAGAAATTAGGATGGATGGATGGATCGATTGCACATGGCCGGCTGTGAGGATTAATAAATTAGGAAGGAATTGAAAGAACCGAGCATAATACCATTGCGGCACGCACAGGAATTTGTTGAGTGTTGGGCACCTTTTCCTTTCGTTAGCTTTGGACTGCAAGAATTAACCAGAGCTGAAATGAAAGGAGAGAGAAAGAGGAAGAGAGAGAGTGGAGTGTGGAGAGTGGAGACGAGGAGTGGAGCTTCCGTGAGCGTGTCGCATAAAGGCGCAGGACAATACAGACCACGAATTGGATTGAGGACAACCAAAATACACATTACAATTTGGGAAATTTATGATAAGTGTATTCGTATCTCGTATCGGTAGAGAGAGAAAAAGAAAGAGTTTTGATTTTTGAGGTCCACTTCACTTCACTCATCTCTTACAATGTAATCATCAAATCAGACACTGCCCATGATTCTCAACCCCATCCCATTTCTCACTCAGTACGTTAGAAATTAGAATTAGGTCTTTTTTTTTTTTTTGCATTATTTCAACTAAATTTTAATTATTGGACTGAAATAATGGAACTTAACAATTATTGAATGTATTCTCGACTTTACAGATAGAAACTTCAATATAAATTTCATATTCCATTTTATGTGAATTTGACCCGATCAGTATCTCAATCACCGCCTAAATTGCACATGTTTGAAAAATAACATTTATTCCTTTCTCTAGCTCTATTATTGCACATACATTTCCTCTATTCGAGTTCCTATAGATAAGGTGCCCAGTGAATGTAGGCTTGTTTGTGTTTTCATTTTGGCGTTATTCCAGAATAAAAACACAGGGTCTGGACTCAAATCTCTTCGAGAACAATGGAGAAAATTCTGAAATTATACAGCAATCAAAGTAAGAAGTTGATGGATTAAGTTAACATGAATCTGACCTTTCGAGACAATGGTCACGTCTCCGAGGGCTCTCCGAGTTGCTGCACAAGTTGATCGATTTCCCGGAATTGATAAGCCCAGTTTGTGTTGTACAAGAACTGTCGTTGATCAGACCTGTTATCCTCCGGCGCCGAGCTCTATCAAAACCAGCAGCATAAACTTGATTAAGAAATAGTAGCATAAGCTAAACTTTCCATGCGTATTTGATGCATTCGCTGCGCAAACCATGTTCATTACCTCAACCAAATATGACGGTGTTAGGACAGTCATCTTGTGCCGGTGCATTGAGTATTGTCTGAAGAAATGCTTCACTTTCTCGGCAATCTCAACTGTGGTTAGCTTTGTGCTCCATTTGCAGCAGAGGTTCTGCAAGTTGAATGCCTGAATTATAACAATACATACATATATGTTTGTACGTATCAGAATAGGTTTGAGACAACCTTGAACATCGAGACAGGTCCACATCGGGAGTTCTTTCGCAACCTCAAATATACTGAGATTTCGTCGTCAGTCATTCCTATGCCCGATTCATCCTGCTGCTTCAAAAACATTGATGCGATTGAACTCTAGCAATCAAAAAATCTCCAAACATTGGTTGTGTAATTCTTACAGATTCAGATGCAGTGCTATGATCATGAGCAGCTACAGCTTCTGATAAAGACGAGTAGCCGAGATTCACAGCTGCCCATCTCAAGAAAGCTTGAAGATCCTTCTTGCTGATATTTCCTACAAGATTTATGTCACCGGAGCTGCATCCATACTTAATGACAATAACATGATTATTAATTGGAACTCATCTTCATTCAATCCTTAGTCGAAATTAAACGTTCAAAGATGGCTAATGTATATCGAACTACTGTTAAGCTACCTTGGTTAAGTTACCACACAACCCGTCATCTGCAGTGGTGCTGCACAACACTAGAAAAAATCCAGGCTTGTTGTGAATCCACGGAAAAAGCATAGCCAGCGTATACGCAATCACCATTCTGCTCCGTGATCGAATGTTTTCCAATCCAGAGATTTCAGCACCATTCCTCCCACCTTCCTGCTAAAAACCATAGCCATTAACTGAACTGCTGGATTCTTGTAGCTTAGATTGAAGAATTAAAATGGACTGTACTTTGTTATGCAGATGTCTTCCAGTAAGTGTTTGAAACAAAGAGAGTAGAGCAGAAACAACTCTGTCTATTGAAACGTCTAGATGCCATGATCCGATTTCCTCAGCTAGCAACCTTGACAGCTTGGAACTAAAGCAGGAAGAAGGTGTTTAATTTGCCGAGTATGTAAGAAATAAAGAATTCATCCGAATTAATCGACATTTAGTCACTAAGTTGAGAAGCAACTAACAAAGAAGTGCTACTCACAGTTTTCTATGAAATGAAACAAACGTGGCTCAGAAAATCTGCCTGATAAAACTAGTCTCACCTGTATTCAGATTCCATGGAGACAGTGTAGAGTATACGGTTAGCTAATTCCTTGCTGTCCATCGGCAACTTCCCTTCAGCATAATGGCCAATTCTTATAGCATCAGCTATGACTTGTTCATCTCCGCTTCTGATTTCTGAAGGAATATTTACTTCATCAGTCTATGGACTTGTCGAATCTATGCTTCAATAGTAATATTTAGGTTCGACCAAAATCCATAATTGGTTATGACTATGCACAGACAATGACACAAAAATATGAAGGTGTGCATTAGAGAGGAAACATATATATATATATATATATATATATATATAAAGATATATTTGTAGAACCGTTCAAGGATGCATGCAATTCCAAGTTCAGATCAAATTGCTTTCGATAAGTCTGTATGGAACAGGAAAGGTGAAAGGAGAAGTGACCTTTTACGACTAGCTGGCACATGCAACCAACAATGGAAGCAACAGCTGAACTACCAATTCCACCAGATAGTGGAAGAAGAAAGCCTGATGCACCACTTCGTCTCAGATAATTCCATAGCCAACATGCGGCTCCTAGAGCAATTTCCTCTTCGAGGCAATGATATGGAATCTAGCAGAAAAGGTAAGAGTTGTACAAACTGAGGGGCTATTGCCAAGATATCCTCAAAACCATATAATGAAAAATAACTATTTAACACTAGAAGGTAACTTAACTAGAATTTCAGAGTTCAGATATTCTTTAGAATGGAAAGGCAGTACCTCTATTGGACTCGAAATTGATTTCTGGAGTGTAAAAGACTGGCAAAGCTTAAAGGGTACCAAAACTGAGGGAATTTTCGTTTTGCAGCTGGCTTGTTCTTGAAAGCTACTGTTAGAGACTCGTAGACTGCCAACCTGCCAGCAACAGCAAATCAAAGTTTGATCTAACAAGAAGGTAGAGAAAACCAGATCTTGAATTGGTGAACAGTAGTCTGTTGGGGAACAGGGACATCACAACATAAATTCTACAGGCAATATATCTATGAATTTCAAGGTCCCATTCCCATTCTATGAACAGAAAGAAAATAATACTAGTAATAATTGAGCTGATTGCAAACCATATCTAAATCTATCTGGGCAACCACCAAGTCCACATCCTTCAAGGAATATTGTAATCCATGGGCAACCACATCTCCATTCAAAATAATACAAGAGCATCCATCTGAGAACATAAAATACTCCAATTAAGACTTGCTTAAACAATATTCAAGCCAGGTTACACTACTACAGCAAATTAGAGAAAAAATTTGAAAAAAGAAAAAAAAGAAGAAGAAAACAGTATTTTGTGAACAATAAATTCAATAGTATGCAACCAACCATAATAAGCACGACCACCATCACATCCAATGTGATTGCTGTACATGTAAACTCCTCCACGGCCATGTGTGGCGCTCATTATGGTTCGAAGACGTCGCTCCATCTTGCGCAGCTCATGAATACTTCCACTTGCATTCATAAAAACTTCTACCCCATTCAATGCAAGTTCAGGGTGAACAGGAGCACAGCTGAAGAGCTCCATGCAAATTTCTGCTGCAACAGCTCTGAGAGAAAGATGTTAGCATTGTTAAAACATCTTAATGGGAGCTAAACAGAGAGATTGATTGGGATCAAAACTATTGTTTTATGTTCCACATAGCAATTCTGACATCGAAACTAAATATAGTTGAGGTGAGAAAACAGCATAAAATAGTATGAATGCACACAAACTAGTAATCTGAAAGCAAGATTAGTAATAATGTTGAACAATGTATTTCACACTAAAAAACTGAGGCATGCATATTGCATAATCTGTATGCTCCAATTCATATGTCAGGACTCAGGAGTACTTTCTGTTTTATAAATTGCGATTAAAACATATAAAAGGTCGATTTTCAAACTTATAAATTCATCAATGTGTGCATACACATTGTGCTTGGATTGGAATCTACCATGAGATTCGAAATATGAGACTGCATAGCAATGTGAAAAACATCAATTATAGTTACCGTGATGCTAGAATACTTACGTGTCTGGAAACTGAATATAGCCATAGCCAAAAGGTACCGTAGTTTGGGACAAGGCCTCGGCCACATCACTTGGGAGCAAAAATTCTTCAAGACATGGTTCTTTCTGCTTCCATGCGGTAAACCACCGGAGCTCTCCACAGCTGCCACCATTTGCAAGCCACATCTTTGGGCGTATCATCACTATTTTTCTATTCAAACACAATACCATACAATTGTATCGTTCGGACCCTTTTACGACAGGCATCCCAAAACTACACAGCAGTCCATCAGTCCAATCAGCAACCAATAACTCTTTTAAGCACTGCCACCTGCAGTTACAATAAAGCTCATATATCCAAAACTTATATGTAGATTGATAGAATTAAGGTTGTTCTTCGCGCAAAATTTACTACTTACGCATGGGTGATGGTATCCTGCTCCAAGAAATGATCTTCACAGCCATAGCCAGTGATTTCAAGTTCAGGTCCAAGACGAATAGCAGCGCCTGCTTCTTTGGTCCTCGAGATGGATTCCTTGATATTCTTCATGTTGGTGTCGAAGTCCATAGCCCATTGGTTCAAGCTACAAGTAGCAACCTTCAAAAGCCTCATCTTCCACTAATTGAGGAGTTTCTCTGAGGATATAATTCAGCCAGTTAACAAGGCACAAGCAGAGTCAATGCTACCTGCTATATTGTCAAATCCAGATACAGCCACCTTTATATATGGCTGCATATACATACATAGATACATGAGGATGTGAAGTGCAGTCGGCACATGGTGAAATATAGATAATTTATACATCCATGATTACCATGTGAATTCAAGCATCCAACAGTAATGCTTCACGTTGGACTTTAGTAGTCAGACCTCTGCATAAAATGAATAAACAAATCAACCTTTTCTTAAGAACTCACTTTATCGATTAGTGCAGCATGCATCGAAGAAGATGAAGGGAATCTGCAGTCAAGCAAGGGATACCACTTTGTACTTCGTAATCAAAGCCTCAATCGATTGCTACCTCGTGTCTTCAAATGTTGATTAATCTTAAGCACCATAGAAGAACTAAGTAGCTCTGAAATCAGTCAGAATGGCAAATAGGGATACTCTTGTTGGTGTTAATTCTTGGATGCAAAGCTTAAGAATGGCAAATTGATAGATACTCAAAGATCTGAAATACGAAAAACGCGAAAATGGATGAATGGAAGGAGGGAGAGGGACCTCTTCTCCGCAACTGACAAAAACAATTAACCTATTATTTAACGATGCGCATCCGGGGAATCGAACCCCGGTCAGTACCGTGGGAGGGTACTATGATACCACTACACCAGATGCGCTTGTTAATTTTACGTTCAATTGTTATCAATACTAATCCTATTTCTACCATCGTCTTCAGTTGATCTTCTGCAACCTTCTGGTGTATCTGTCGCAGTAATAGGGGTTTTGTCGAGTTGGTTTTGATGGGAGATCGTTGGATTTCGGATTTAGATTGTAATGCATAATCGAGAACTTCCAGGAATTTCAACGTCGACTAGCCATTGGAGAGGCCTCTGTTTTGCAGGAAAAAGAAATTGGGGGTGCACAGACCATGGTTTGATTTAGGTTGCATTTGCAGTTTGATTTACATAGCAATTGAAAGGCTAATTTCCTGATAATGACCACCTGTTCTTTGTCTAGGGTTTGCAGATGGTCAGTGCAGAATGAAATGGCGGACTACTTCGTTAGATAATCTTCAAAACTTCCTTTCACACTGAAGAATTCCATTGTTGAGAATATCATTTAGCGTGATCACATTATGCTTGGATTAGATTATGCATGATCAATCCCACTGGAATCTATCTTGCTATTATATGCATTTTTCAAGAACTGCATTAACACACAACACTGAACTAGCGGAATTGCTTCTTGCTGTTCGTTCTATTACACTGCAATAGTTATCGACATTCTTATTTACATGCTATGCTTTCTATGATCTAATTCTAACCTTACAAAAGGGTTGGTCCTAATCGTCATGTCTCCAGCAAAGGAGCTTGTAGAGACATTTACGTATTATGTACAATCTCCCTCGTTTCTCCTTCAAGGCGTCGCGTATTTGTACATGAATTCTGCCCTTCCTTTGGCTGGCTGATGCAGACCCCTCCATTGACACATGCCCTTAGCTTGTCCTTTTGCTGGTCTTCTTCTTCTTAACAATTTAGGTACATGTACATTGATCCATTCTTGTTGACGTTGCTTTTTATATTTGTGTTGGAAGCCATTAAAGAATCCTGATGAGTATTTAATTCGTGGTGTTGAACCAGGGGCCCTGTTAACCTGATTTCAAGGGCTGTTTGTATGTATGTGTTTCTGCCAGGGCTTTCACTTTACCAGTTTTTCTGGTGAAGTTTGAAGACTCACTTTTTATTTATTAGTCTTTTACTAATTAAGACAGTGACTCTTCTGCATCTGCATTTGCATCTAGGTAGACCGAAAGGGAGTGTTCCCTACAAAGTTCAAACCTCAGTCTACGAGGAGATAAGGGTCATTCATTCTTTGCTGCTGCCGCCACCGCGCCCGCCGCCGCCTCCGCCTGCGAGCTGCTTTCAAGGTACCCCTCCACCCCACCCACCATTAATGTCCCTGATGACATATTGCATGGTTTTTAACTCTTTGCATTTTGGTGCTGTATAGTTAATGTGTCTATGCTCGTTTGAAATGCCGTGTTGCTCTTTTAAGGAAAGTTAGTCAGAGTCTCCTCTGATGACACCATTGATGTCGCTTTTCTTGCCAACGTTACTTCGAATTTACTTCTTCTTAGGTCAAAATACAAAACAATAATTGGAAAAATGCTATCTTTAGAGATGTAATAAAAATAATACGTAAAATGCGCATCCGGGGAATCGAACCCCGGTCAGTACCGTGGGAGGGTACTATGATACCACTACACCAGATGCGCCTTTTGCTAGGATTGATAATTAGAAAATTAATATTTTAAAATTCGCAATAGCGACATCAATGTAAGGACGGTTAATCAGGAACTCGGCTGTGGTTTACGCTAAAACCCTATTCTGCTTTGGTTGGAAACTGGAGCTGTCATCGGATGGTAAAAATGGCGTCTTTGATCTCCGAGACAGTCCCAAAATTCACTGCCGAAACGCTGAAGCTAGCCGCTAAACAATCCGAGCGCTGCCACATCGTCCCCGCACGTCTCCGGGACGCGATTGATAAGTATATCAAAGGTGCAAGTTAGTTTTTGATATTGATGGAGCCGGAGGTTTACCTTTTATTTATTTATTTTATCTCAATTGGTTTTTCATTACTTCCTGGAATGATCTCTGGTTTCTGAACATTTACGATATTGAGCTGCTGTTATCGATACTTAATGCGAATGTGTTGAAGCTTTTTAAATAAAATGAAATGCTGAATCTAAGCTTCGGTATTTAGAGCAAGATGTTATGCATATGAGGAGGAAGGTGCTGAGCTTGTCGCAATCTTTCAATGGAATTAAGGAAGTAAACTTGCTTCTGCCTACCTCGACCTCGAAGGAGTTGGTGGAAGATCCACTCAAGTCTATGGAGCGTACTCAGAGATGGAAACTAAAGACTGCTTATGGTGACATTGGTCTTAAATACCAAGAAGATCAGACTGTAGCATATGTTGCAGCTCGAATGCCTGCTGTGTATTCTGCTCTACACCGGGTTCTTGGCGAGGTATAAATAGAATTTCAGGCCTAGCTTGGGTGGACCAATATCTGTATGTTTATTGGTTATTATAGATTGTTTGGTTATGATTATCTTGGATAGTATGTGATATCTTTGCACTATAGTACACTTTGTGCTATTAAATGTTTTTTACTTGGACAAAATACAGTACTTATAAACATTGAAAAAACACATTCTCACTACACCAAGTGGGGAAGGTTAATGTTGAATCTGTGTAACATTATTGGTTATTACTAATTTAGTTCTAATAAAGAGATTAATTATTGTTTGAAAGAATTGTTATAATTTCGTAGGTGAGAAGAAGAGTTCCAGATTTTACTCCAGCTAAAGTACTTGATTTTGGGGCAGGAACTGGTTCGGCTTTATGGTGAATATATACAGTGCTTTCATTTTCTGCTCATCTATTTTTAATATGTGTTTAAATTTTACATGAATTCTTTATTAGGGCAATGATGGAGGTTTGGCCTGGGTCTGTAGAGAGGATTAATTTGATTGAGCCATCACAATCAATGCAAAGAGCAGGACAGAGCCTAATCAAAGGTACAATTGTACCTATGTTGACTATTGGCAATTGAATCAAGTATCTTGCACTTTTTCAATTTATGTTGTTATAGTTATTATTAGATGGTGGAGGAGTGTAAGTGGTGCTGTACAAGAGAACATAATTTAGTTGCATATAATATCTTTGTGACTTGTGAGCATGAGCATATGCATGTGTGTGGATACAAGAGATGTGCATATGGTCTGTTTTTCAGCCACCAATTGATTTTTATAAAACTGAAACTTGTATGGGTTTTAAATTTCCATCATGAATTATGCAATGGCAACTGATTTGGATGATATTGTTTCATAATCTGCACCGGTAGTTTCTTGCTGTATATGCTCTGTGCATTTGTGATTGAAGCATGCTACTCTAACAAACATTTTCCTTCAGCATTTGCAATATCGTATCTTTATGTTTCACAATTAGAAGATCTAACATTGGGAAATGTGTTGGGTAAACATATCAGTTCATGACTACATGCTCCACGGAGTGCCTTAATTAGTCTCCACTGTCTAGCAAGTGTTATTTGCTGCACTTTATGTTAATATCAACGTATGTTGATTTTAAAGCACATGATTCTTACTTTCTGAATTTTGTTATATTCTACATCTATATTTGTGTTGAAGGACATCCTTGAAATATTTCTGACCTTTGTCTTGGTTACAATTGTAGACTTAAAAAAATTGCCACTTATTCATAGCTATGATAGCATCCAATCATTGAGTAAGAAAATCAATAAGTCTGGCAGAAGACACGATCTTGTTATTGCTGTAAGTTATTTATTTTAGCTTTTCATTATAACTTTTTTGGCACTTTTTATGTATTGTAGTGAAATGATACTTTAACTGAACAGAATCTTCAGAAATTTATGAGAATTAATGAAGTATAATTATTATGTTAAAATTTTCCTTACCTTTTGGTGAAGTCATATGTTCTTGGAGAGATACCGTCATTGAAGGACAGAATAACACTGGTACGCCAGCTCTGGGATCTTACAGATGACATCTTGGTAAAATTTTGAACCTTTACCTTATATATATATATATATCATGTGCAATTTGATATCGCACCTTGAGGATGATGCTTTATATTGGCATTATGTACAGTATGACAACGTCCAGAAACATCCTGCAAAAATGGCAGGGTGCGGATAGTAATTAGAATTTCTGTATAGAATTAAGGGTGAGTAGGCAGTTGGGATAACTCTTTATAACCTGAAAGCTATCATTATGACTGTTTCAGACTTAGCATGATTTGTTTGAAAATACATGAATAATAATTTATTTTATTTATTTTAGATTGTTTTTCCTACTGTCAAATCAGGTTTTGGTTGAACCTGGAACACCACAAGGATCAAATATCATATCTCAAATGAGATCACACATCTTATGGATGGAGAAGAGGGTAACATAATTATTGGGTTTCTGAAGTTCTCATTCTGCTGATTATCAATAAACTGACATGTTCCTTTACTTTGCAGAGAACTCGAAAATTACAAAATGCAGCCAGTAAGTCCTCTAAGAATGTGATGACACTCAAAACTGGTGCATTTGTAGTTGCTCCAGTAAGTTGTTTTATCTGTCATTTCACTTCAAAATTTATCTCTTAAAGAATGCTATTTTGGTGCAAAAGAGGATCCAGTACCCATTTTGCTATGGAAGTGCTTAACATAATGTATGTTCTTGGTGCAGTGTCCCCATGATGGACCTTGTCCATTGCAAAATACTGACAAATACTGTCACTTTGTTCAACGATTGGAGAGGACGCCTTCTCAGAGAGCATACAAGGTTCCTTAGAATTCTTCTGCCTTGCATAGCTTGGAAGTATAATTCGTTCTTATTAGTTTTGATTTTGTATGTTGGTATTAGATGTTTAACAAATTTCTAGTGGTAGCTTGCATTAGCATTTAGGTTTAACAGTTTTGATTTACCTTCCGAGTCTGTTGCTTTCTCACTCTAGAAATCGAGTTTTTTGTTTATTTTATGGGAAATATGATGCCTAGTTTTCAACAATCAACAAAATAATTAAGTAGCAGGCCTTTCCATATGGATGCATGCATCCAACTTGTTCAGTAAACTGCAGTACATCCAAACATCAGGGTTTTTCCGCAATGAGATAGCTGAATTAGCGTGTGACTTGTGTAGTAATCCAGACACTATAGGCATTTTATTCCAAAGATTATGAGGATTTGTGAAGTAATATACAAGAAAGGTTTGAGTTTCATGTAAGATCTTTTTGGTTGATATGCATCTACAATATACTTTAGGGCTTGTTTACTTCAAATGATTTAATAATCATGTTATAATACTTAAATAATTTTATGAAGTAAAAAAATCCTAGATGTTCTCTACACTTCTTTATTTATTCCTGTGTCGTGCCAACAACATGTTTGTCGAAGAATTTTGCTTTGAAGTTTATGGGAAAGAATATTGTTGCGATGTGTTTTCTTTTGCAGAGATCCAAGGGCCCTTTGCGCGGCTTTGAAGACGAAAAATTTTGCTATGTTGCCTTGCGACGAGGAATGCGACCAAGGTAAGCATACCAAATATTTATTTTTTCCACACGGAGATATCTTCTCTGCACAATCAACCATATTTAACTCATTGGCCGGTCTAATACTCTAGCTGATGCATCAATTTGCTCTTGGCTCAGGGAATCTTGGCCACTCGATGGTATGACATTCGAAACGTTGAAGCAGATGCAGGCTAATAGAGTACCGGAGAATTTGGATATTGACGAGGATGAGGGTTAGTAACCTTGTTTAAATCTTATATCCAAAGGTCTATTTTTGTAATACTTCACATTTAGCGAATTCTCTTTGCTGATGCTGTTCTTAATGAAGCTAACTCAGTTCAAATTGTTTCCAGAAAGCCAATTTGGTGCTGAAGAAGTTCCCGACTATCATTATGAGGAGCAGGAGGATCTTGACTCTGCAGCTGAATATGATCTAGAAAATTCGGAACCGGATGCAACGGCTTCTGATGACGAAAAAGAAACAGAACCTCGCGCTGATCTGGGGAGTGGTTGGGGGAGAATAATTTATATGCCCTTCAGGAGGGGTAAACGAGTCGAACTAGATGTGTGTCGAGCTACCAATGCCGAGGGTACTGAGGGGTCCTTTGACCGGATTGTCCTCACGCAAAGGAACAGCCCGGCGTTGCACCATCAAGCGCGTCGATCGATGTGGGGCGACTTGTGGCCGCTTAGGAGCGGGAAACACTCCAAATTCTTCATGTAAGTTGAATCTAAAATATATTGTGCTATTATTTCCTTTCTTGACTAGATATTTGAAAATAAAAAAATTTAAAAAAATTTAAAAAAAAGGGCAAATTTAATTCATTTACAAAATAAATGTTTGTTTTGTTTGAATTTCTTAACCACCTTTTAACGGCTTACTTGCCGTATTTGTTACCTTCTCGTGTTGATGGTTATCAAGCTCAAATTGTGAAAGATCAAGTAATGATTTTATTATTATTATTATTATTATTATTATTATTATAAAATTTCGATAGCGAACACACACCAACAGTGTCCAAACAAAAAACAACTCAAACAAGACAAATATTCATGCATGCAACCTTGGCCACTTAAACTTTAGCTGTCCTCTATATATAGAATTTTAAAAGTAATAAAAAATAACTCGAGTAAAAAGACCCATCTTTATAAGTATAATTTAAATATAGTTTCAAATTTATTGCATGTTAACCTCACTCATATTCCAAACATTAATAATTCAAAGTTTAGTCAATTTGTTATTATTCTTTTAGGAGAAGGAAAAGTAAAAAATAGAATTTTGTTGAATTTGTAATTCAAATCATGTATTATTATATTAAAATATTATTTAAATTGAAAAAAAAAAAATCAAATGGAGACATAAATCAAACAACACCAAAGATAATGGTTAAAAGGTGACATCAATTTTTTATTTTTTTTTCTTTTCGATTATTTGTAGGCTGTCGTTTTCGTACTAAAAGCAATTTATTTGTTATTTATAAAATTTAAATTCAAATAGGGTGCCATTTTGGTGGGTTGGTGTATATTTTTGTACTTGGGATGTGTTTGTTTTGTGATAATATTGAAAAAAAATTATGTGAGGCAGGAGGAATTGGATAGAGAATATAAAATAGTGAATGTGTGTAATGTATTAATATTTTTTACATTCAAAATATCACATTAACGTCTATTTATATCACATCATACAAATATTCAAATTCAAAATTTTTACTATTTAAATATCAACTCAAATCCAAATCCCCAAACAAACACACCCATTCTTTAACATTTGTATGAAAATTGAGGATTGTTTGAAGAAAAATTATAAAATTTTATAATTTAAAAAAATATATAAATAAATAAAAAGAACACATCCAAAACAGTACTCTTTTAAAACATATGGAACAAAACATTTTTTCTAACCTTAAATTGTAGTGTGTCGTGGGGATGAAATTTTTTGTCCAGATACATTTGAATCCTATATATGAACAGGCTATCTTCATCACACATTTATTATTATTATTATTATTATTATTATTATTATTTTCATCTTCAAATTTATTTTTATTTTTATTTTTATTGTTAATTTTCGTTGAATTTATCTTTTTTTATTAATTTTGGTAAAATTTACAAATAAACATTTAATAGTTACTCTATCTCTTGAATACTTATCTACAACAAATGTCACTGTTTTTTATATATTTTCTATTCAGTTTTATTAAATTATCTAAATTTTCAAAATATCATCAATTATATTTTTACCTTTCTAATAATATATTCATTTTTTTAAAATTTTTGTATCCGAATCAAATGTTCTAATTTTACAAGACTGAAAGGAGTACTATTTTTAATTTTAAATTACTTATATAATTTTATATATCTCAAGTAAAAATATTTTTTTATTTACAGAACAAACACACTAAAAAATTTATCAATTGTTATGAAAAAAAAATGTAAAGTAAATTTTGATAAAGTTGATAATATTCACCTGAGGCTAATTTTCTCGATTTTGAATAAAAACTGAGTCTATTCAATTATTATAATTAAACTAATTCTAGAAGTTACTTTTATGATCTTCAAAATGTGTTTTAAATATATTGTCATATACTAGTAATATACTGAATTTAACAAGTAATTAATTATTTATTAATTGATGAATTAAATAGTATTATATATTTACGTGACTTATAAATTATTAAGTTCGAATTTTTACGTTATAGACATATATATTTTTGTATGCTTTAATTACGATGAATTTATATTATTTAATATCTATTTATTTTATTCAGGGAACTGTAGAAGCTGCAAATACTCATCGTAGACTTTGTCCAGCATTTCTGCGTTATCGGAAATTGAATCGGCGTGGCTGAGCAACTCCGGAGAAAACTCGCCGCCCAGAAAATCCGCCGCTGCTCCTCCTCCACCGCCATCTCCGATCAACATTTCATAAACCGCATCTTTGATTTCGAACAGCGGCGGCCACTCCACCGGCGAACCGCTGGACGTCCGGCTGCCGGAGCTGTCGAAGCTATTCGTCCTGGAGAACTCCGGCGAGACTCTCAACGGCTTAGGCAAATAAACTCTCGTCTTCTGAAACGGAGCTCGATTTTTCACGCCGTCGTCTTCTTTCTTCTTTGTATGGCTCTTACTTTTCTTCTGCTTCGTTAAATTATCGCTCCTGGGGAGGTCCCGGCCGCCGGCGGGGTGGACGACGCCGGCGCTGTGTAGCTTTCTGAGGAGATGAGTGTTCCAGTAATTCTTGATCTCATTGTCGGTTCGACCGGGCAATCTGCCGGCGATCAGCGACCATCGATTTCCGAGGAGCGCGTGGAGCCGTACGATCAGATCCTCTTCGTCGGCGGTGATGTTTCCCCGGACGATCCCCGGCCGGAGATAGTTCATCCATCTCAGCCGGCAGCTCTTCCCGCACCTCAAAAGCCCTAATTCAATAATTAATTCATCCATTTAATTATTAATTAATTAAATTATATGTATAGATTATAGATACAGATAGATACAGACCTGCTTTCTTTGGGAGGGATCTCCATTGCCCCTCGCCGTATTTCTGAACATAATCTGAAAGCAGACTGTCTTCCTCCGGCGACCATGGCCCTTTGCTCAGTCCCACTTTTGAGCAGCAGGGGGCTCTTCCCATCTCCCAATTTTTTTTTCTCTCTCTCTAATCTCTCTCTATCTCTTTGTCTGTATCAATTTGAGTGGAACTTTCAACGTTTTTTTTTTTTGTGTTTCCGGAGATGCTTAGCAGCCAACAATGGCGTTGAAGGAATGGTCTTTTAATACTAATCCAGAACTATCACGTTGGCTAATTATTGTAGATGTAAGGACAAAACGGCGTCGTCTGGCTATGGGTGGAAAAAGTGAATTTAAAAAATTGCGTGGGTGCTTTTCTTTTTTTGGTAATCTCGAGGCACCATAACCCATTAAGCAGTACTTACTAGTATTAATTAAATCATGAGATCTGCAGAGGACCACAATTATATACATATGGTGTATGTATGTAATGTATCACCCATCTTCTGTATTTTAATTTGGTATAAAGTGAACACATATCTATTTTATTTATAATGTCTAATTTATGAAATAGAATTTTTATTGAATTTAATCTCTAGTTGACCAATGAGCCATCACTAATTTTATAGAGCATTTAATTTCACCTTGGCACTATTGTACTGGACCAAATCTCTTGGGGTATCCCTCCTGTCTTAAATTTTGTTTTTTCTTACTATTATTTTAACTTGGGATTATTGTACTGGATCTAAATCATCTAATTATATGTGCACAAATTAAATTGTGACACAGAAAATCTGGAATCTGCAAAATAAAAAATTCAAACACTTGTATATATAATAAACAATATAGTAGTATTAAATTACTACATTCCCAAATCTGGATCTCCATAATGCCAGTCAACGGTCCACACTTTTTTCCGTTACAGATACGGATTTGTAGAATAAAATTAATAATTTTAGGTAAAATATAAAGATATAATTGAGTTTGTTTAATTATAATTTAAATTCAAATTAATATTATCCATTATATATGTATATATATATTTTCGTAAAATATCATGTTAAAATATTATTCTCATTTCAATTCAATTTTAAAGTTATAATGAAAATACTTTTGAATGTGAACACATTTATTAAATTATGAAATAGATATAGTATTATTTATGAGTAATTTAAAATAGTAAAATAGATGCATTTATTATGGATATATCATTGATATATATATATATATATATTTTCCTTTTACTATATTCATGTTAACTTTTTATTAAAAATTATGGCTAATATTCAAATTTTATAACAAACGTACATTAAAATGATTTTTCGATTCAATAATAAAATAATATAACTTCAATCATGCTTACATCCAAACACGACACTCATAAATAATTTGTACAACTAATGAATTTGTCTATTTGAGATTTTTTTTTAGCTAAATAATAAAATATGAAATTTTGAATAAAAAAATAATAATGATCAAAATAATATACTCCCTTCGTCCCAAAACTATATTCTGGATTGTGTTCGATACGAGATTTAAAGAATATTGATACTCCCTCCGTCCCATATACCGTGTCTACTACACACAGTATTTTATGAGGGATGTAATTAGTAGATAATTAAGAATGTATTAGTAAAAATAATTATTCTATAATATAAATAATTATAAACAAAGATTAAAATAACTAATTAGTTTAATTAAAATTTTAAGAAATAAATTTAAAAACTTAAAATAAGATTAAAATGTGTAATCATTTTCCAAAAAGTGAAAGTGACATGGAATGTGAGACGGACATAAACGGCAACGTGGACATGGTATGTGGGACAGATGGAGTATTATATTAGTAGCGGGTAAAAAGTACAGGTAAAAGAATTTTTTGCCCACGTGAGTGTATTAGTGTAAAAAATAGTGGCAATTGTGTAATAATAATGAAAAAGTAAAGGTAGTTTTATAGTGATATGATTATTTATGAAAATAAGACTATTATTTTGAGATGAATAAAAATGATAAACAAATATATTGTATTAAAACGAAAGAAGTACTGTACATAAAATAAATGTATGCATGTGTCCCACGTCTAAGTGTAACATCAAACATGACACGATGATTAAAGAGCGGTGACATGTTGGATCTTAAAGTTGGTATTTTTAGCTTCAAATCTAAATTTTTATTATTTGAATTTTGCATTTTTAAAAATTATACATATTTCTTTCTCTTGCAAAGAATCTGTTATACATTATTTTAATATCAAATTTAAATAAAAAATTTTCAAAACCTCATCAAAAGAAACACAGTAATTAACTGAGTGCTAATACATTTATCTCTGTTCGACTCTTAAGGTCTTATTTATTTTTTGCTAAGTACAACAAAAAAAAAAAAAAGTAAAATGAGACTTTAGAGCTGGATAAAGAGAATGTATAATTAACATATATACTTTTATGTCATTGGGACCCGTAGTGATCACAAATTTACCCCATAATCCCTTATTTATGGGAAAATCTTTGTGTGCCATATACTCCAAGAATTATAATATTAATTAATCATAAATAATGTGAGTATTTTTAATGAAATGAAATATAAATAAATAAATTTAATAGCATGTGATAAATGAATATTTGAAATATGTGGAAAAATCAAAATATAGAAATCCTAAGATTTGTTTAGCACAAAGAATAGAATTGTAAAAAAATAACAAGAGAATAAATTAGAGGGAAAAAAAATACAATAGAGACTTGAGAATTGATAAAAATAAATAAATAAATCAGTGAATCGAATAAGAAATTTTTCAACAAGTAAATATTGGCATATTTTGTTAGTAAATTTTTATTTATTTTATTTTGGATAGTAATGTTTTATTAAATGAAATTTTTCTATAGAAGATTTGTAAAAGTCAAATAATAAAAAAAAAAGTTGAAAATAAACTTTGTAAAATGAACATAAATTATTTCTATAAAAATGTAAAAGTTAAATAATAAAAAATATTATAAAATAAACTCATTCACAATCATCAATTCTCTCTCTATATATTTTTATATATGAGAAACAAAATAAGATAATATAAAATTATTTAATTCTCAATTTTTCAAACACATAAAGCTTGTTCCGTCAGTAAAAAAAAAAAAAGAAGGATAAGTTACATTAGAATTAAAATTCTTTTTCAATATTTAAATATATTATAATACTGTAAAAATAAATATATTTCTTTCATGTTAGTTAAAATAATACATGGAGGTAGAAATACGTATATTAAAATCCTAATATAAACAAACACTTGTTTATTGATCCCACAGGCCACACCCTTATATATTTCATCAAAACTATGAAATATGAATACTTGTATTAATCTATATTTAATATATATATTTTTAAAAAGATATAAATAACATTCATTTTTATTAATTCAATATACGTAACACCTATTATTACTTTTAAATAAAGAATACCAAACCAAAAACAAATAATATATATATGGCGACAATTACTTGCACTAAAAAGGTTCGTTTATTTGATTAGAAGTAAAATATTAGAAGTGATGTATTTTTTTAATATATAAAAATCTTAAATTTGGCTTCTTTTTTTTTTTTTTTGGAAATTTGAATTCGATTTTTTAGTATACAATTAACCATTGCGACATTTTTTTTAGTATATAATTAACGAACACATAAATATTTAGGGTGTGTTTTGTTTGGGGTTTGGATTTTGAGTTAGGATTTGAATAGTAAATAGGCGTATAATGTGATATAAATAGGTGTTGATGTGATGTTTTGAATGTAAAATTGATTTTTAGTGTAATATAAAGAATGAAAAATAGGTGTTTGATTTGATGTTTTTGGGGAAAAAAAATTGGATGAATAGTATAAATCTGTATAAAATTAACCGTTGCAATCTGTATAAAAATATTTAACCATTGCCAATTTTTATAATACTCCCTCCGTCCAAGCTAAAAGTATACAATTACTTTTGGCGCGGAGATTAAGGAATAATATTATTTTAATTATAGTGGTTAGGTAAAAGTAGTAAAATGACATTTTTGCCCTTACTTTTTTGGTATAAAAGTAATAATGTGATGTAAAGTAGGGGTATTTGTGGAAAAAATAGGGTATTTAATGAAATGGTTACTTTGTAATTGGACGTTCCAAAATAAAAATATGTATACTTTCTAAGTGGACGGAGAGGAAGTAATATTTAACCAATGCAATCTTAATAAATAACGAACACATAAATATTACTAGATTTAATAATAGCCTTAGTTGATGCTTCCAATAAATCACGCGGTACTCAACAATATATAAATTTTTCTATGGGGAGTAATAATTATTATTATCATTGATTACAATATTATAAAAATAAATAAATAAATAAATCAGTCACGTAAATTAATAATATTGGTACTATATTTAATGGTTTATTTTTTATTTTTTTGTGAAGCCTTTTATTATAGCAAACTGTCACAAACATAAAGCCAATCCACGTTTTGCATGCATGATTTGGTCTCCATGTTGCATTATTATATTATTATTTTTTAAATATATATATGACAAAGCTATTGAACCCTTCAACGATGCAAAACGACAAAATTAATTCGCGCCATTTTGTAACAATGAAAGGGATCGAATTATGCTTAAGCACGTGACTTAAAGTTAAGAATCTAGTTAGGAATATACTAGGGAAAAATAATTTTTTTTTTTTTAAAAAAAAAAAGTTTTAAATTTCAATTTAAATACATTTATAAATTGTCTGAGTAATTAATAAAAATGTAATATTTCAAATGTCTATATTATATAGGACTGGTAAAAATTGTTTAATCATTACATAAACACACCTTATTTAATATGAGGTAAAAATTTTCTACTGATGGTACGTAATAGATAAATTAAAAATAAAATATATCAGTATAATAATAGTACTAATATTAATTAAAAAATAAATTAGTATTGATAATATAAAAAATAAGTATTATATTATATTTTATATTTATATTTTTCAAATATAAAATAATTATTTATTTAGATTAGGTTATAATTATTTGGGTAATTGTGGCATTTTAAATTTTAAATAGTTCACTAAAAATTTTTCAACAGCAATATCCTTTTAAATTTTAAATGATGGCACTAATGGCACATTCCTCTAATACACATATATGGCCTGGGGTTTGTTTAGTGCAACTTTTCTTCCTAATTTAGTTTGCATGTACGTTGGACTATAAATTTACTTGGTACATACTCGAAAAATAATTATTGT